GTAGTTTGAATATTAAATTTAAATTATGTGTATCAAATTTTAAACAATAGAATAATTGTTATATAAGTTTGTAAAATTCCAATTATTTTAGATAATTTTGAAATTAGAGAGATAGTTTTGTTGTTTTGTTACATAAAATTTTCCATTGATTTTCATCTTAAGTTGTTTGAGGAGACTAGTCAAGAAGTGATTACACCATGATTTACGATCAAGTACGACTAGCAGCGCAAAATGTTTATGATCTTTAGTTTATAATTCAATCAAAATTACATTGAACTTTATGATTGTTTTAACTAGCTGTAGTAAAGTCTAGTTTTGATTGGTTCTTCGAGCATTTTCAACATTTCTATTCATAAGAAAGTTGTTAAAACAATCATACTCGAATACTTTTATACATTTTCTGTTCAATTCATCTCTGTACTTTTCGGAGTACTCAAACTTTTAAGTTGGGACTTATCTCGATGGGTACGGTTTGACAGTTTGGTTTTCGTTTTGCACGAATAGAGGGTAGATTAAAAAAATTCTTCAGTTTCATAGTTTCAATTCGTTGCATTTATAACAATTTTGGCTCCGAAAGGTCAAACTATTTGCATCAATCAACAACACACTTTCCAACTCAGTTCATTGTCAAAAATTTAAAGAAATAAACGAAATAATGAAAAATTCTAAAAGATTCTTAAACTTTCCCTATTGCTCAATATATAGATTGTAATGATAAAAAATTAAGATCAATAGAATTATCTGAAGATTCAAAACATACTCCAAATTGTATACAGCATGGATATTCGAAATGTACGATTATTTATCTTGTGAAGATTTTGTTAGTGATGAGAAGTTGATGATTTGTTGTATATTGTTGGTGTTAAGGAAACAAAAAATTAAGAAATATAAAAGTGATAAATATTCCAAGATGATATAGAGTAGTACAGTGATTAATATACATTTTTAGATAATTTCTTCTGGAAGATTAAATTGTAGTTTATCAAGTCTTACAACAAAATAAAGGTTATGAGTCTTTCCTCTTGTTTAAAGCGTAAAAATTTCTTATTCTGGCAAAATAAAGTGGAACTTGGAGTTTATGCTGACAAAACAATTCAAATATTCCCATATCTCGTCTTAAATTGCTATCGCCAACAATATGATTTTAACTGCTCATTTTAGACAATTAGAAAAACGTTTTGCATATAATATTTTTATGTGATAAATCAAAATATTCAAAATTAGCAGTTATTAAAGTAATAATTTTTTATTTTAAATGAGAAACACATTTTGTGTTATTTATTGAAACATTTTTTTAAACAATAGAATTAAAAAAATATATACAAACGATGAAAATTGTCTATTAGTTTACGACAATTTTTCAACTAAAACATTGATTTCTATTGCTTTTAATTTTTGCATCCAATTCAGGTGTTTAGATGGCACGCGAGAAAAAACTCTACCTTTCAAATATTTTGCTTCAAGAAAGAAGTCCATATTTCCAAAACTCCAAACTATCAATTTGGACAAATGGAAGACTTTCAAATTTTCGATTGTTTATAAAAGATTTTAGGGTGATGACAAAGTTGTGTCGTTTAAACGAATTTGAATTCACTTTATATTTTGTAAATTTACTCTGTACTTTTCGGAATACTCAAACTTTTAAGTTATGACTTATTTCGATGGGTACGGTCTCACAGTTTGTTTTTCGTTCCACACTAATAGAGAGTAGATTGAAAGAATGTTTTAGTTTCATAGTTTCATTATGTTACTTTTATAACAATATTTGGATCCGAATGATAAAACTGTTTGAGTCAATGAACTTTACAACATAAACTACATAAGACTGTGCATCTGAAATACTAAGAATTTGATGAAGTATCAATTTCGAGTACCTGAATTATAAGTTTAGATCACGAGTTGTTTTTCAGATTTAGACTAATCAAATTTTGTTGACAAATAACCCCACTTCAAGTTCACATGAAAATTTATTTGACGTCGAGGAATTCAAATATAAAATGTGATAATCTTTTATTATATTTGTAGTTTTACTAATAAATACGGATTTTGTGTAACATATTCAAATAATGTTAAAAATAATTAAAAAAATTATTATATAAGATTGTAAAGTTCCAAATTTTATAGATGATTTTGAGATTAATGAGAACCTTTGATTTTTTTTTACGGAAGCATTGCCATCAAAATTAATTGTTAGTTTTTTTAGAAGACTGGTCAAGTAGTAATTACACTATGTTTTTATCATAATTGTGAACGACCATCAGCGAATATGTTTATTATCTTTAATTTATAAATTAACCAAAATAACATTGAACGTTATGATTGTTTTAATAATTTGAAGTAAACTCTAGTTTTGATTGTTTATTCGAATGTTTTCATCATTTCCATTCATAAGATAGTTATTGAAACAATCATACTCGCATACTTTTATACATTCTCCGTTCAATTCATCTCTGTACCTTTTGAAATTTTCAAACTTTAGGCTGTGAACTATTTCGATGGGTACGGTTTGACCTTTTTTAGATTTTTATGAAAATACAAATATAAGCAGAGGAGGAACACGGCCACTGTTTATTTTGTCACTAAGAAGACCGTTGGATATTTATGATTTTTTTTATTAATATATAGGTAGATCATTTCGCATTTTTTACTTTAGTACTGGCTATAAACGGCTGAAATGCCAAGCTGACCAGTTGGTTTTTTTTATGTAGTCGAAAAGATCAACTGAGCATTTGTTTTTTTATAGGATAAAAACTATCTCATTCAAGTCCTAAATATAAAAATTTCAATTTTGTTGGGTCTAAAATTTAAATTTTGTTTATTCTTTTAATCTTTTTACTACTTTCGGAGTTTTTTTTTTTGTCTAAAAATTTTTTTTAGTCCCAAATAATATTTCAAACGTTCTAAACCAAGAGAATAAATAAATTTTTTTGTTCCTAATTGTTCCTTATTTATAACATCTCAGGTTTTGATTATTTAAGTAAACAATACAAGAGGGGTGGAGTGGGGGAGATTCATATGTATTTTGTTTATATATTATTACAAATATGAAATTGCGATTTTGCCCTAGATCTCTTAAACTTAACTGTTTAATATGACAATTGATAAGATTTGTTTAAGGAACGTATATTCAAAGAATGATAATATTTTATTATATTTGATGTAAATGATTTAGTAAGATTAACATATTATAATATTCGTGGAAAAAGTGGGGACAAGTGTTGTTTTGTTAGGTCCCTTGTTTGTGAACAGCCAATTTGAAAAATTTATTATTCAAATAGTGATTTACTTGAAACAAAATATCATTTTATAATCTCTTTTAATTAGGTTTTAATTTTCGAGATTTTCGTAAATATAATGTTTAGTAAATTATAGAGATCTTAAACTTTAGTTTATCAATTTCTTAATTAAAAAATGTAAAAAAGATCTACAATTTTAATCGTGAATTTTTAATAAATTATACATATACGTTGTATAGAATTTATATTATAAACTATAAGGTTTCAAATTTGTAAAATTTAAGATTTAAAAAATTGTTCTATTTTTTATGAAATTTCAAATATAATATCAAGTTTTAATATTTTTCAAATGAAAAATTCAAATATTAAAGAATTATTAATTTTTGGTATATCGATCATATCTGAAACACAATTTTCAACTTGAAGATATGCAGAAATAACTTTTTTATTAATTACTTTATATTCCGAAGATCAGATTCAAAACTTGTATTTTTTAAACTATTCACAATATCCCCACCTACAACAATATGTTTCACTTATTGCATATTTTGTCAAACCTAACATAGGGAATATGAATGTTTTTAGTCTAATTTCAGTTAAAGCTCAAACAAATAAAGAAGAAATATTTTGCAACCAGCCAACACTAAAATTAGAAGTCACAAAAAAAAAAAACAGATTAGTAAGTAGTCCAGAGAAGGCTTCTCAAATCACAATAAACAAGACAATATGAGGAGTAAAGTGTCAAATAAACTACTTTTGTTAAGTACTAAACTTAATTGTTTAAACACTATAGTTATAAACGTATTTACTCTCCACTAACTTAATAAAATGAAAATTACAAAACCAAAATAATATCTACAAATTTTACATTGAAAAAAATTGTCACGCACATGCTTCACTGACTAATACTCAAGTTAAACGTTTGTAATTTCAATCAAAGAAGAATATATAAGAACTAAAATAAAGTTCTAATAGATTAAGTAACAAAGGGTATTATTATGTATTTATATTAAAAATAATTATTAAATTGTATTAACTACCATAATAAGTAAAAAAAAAAAAGAAGTAACAAAAATGATATTAATATTTTATACATAATACTTTACTTCCTTTCTACTTAAATATAAAATTATGTATTTAAACACTTTTTTTTTACAACCAACAATTATTTATATTTATTTATATTTATATTTATACTTTAACCAATATCATATTTTAAATTTATGAAATAAATTTTTGTTGTTATAATTTGATCTTTTATTAGATCAATCAAAAGAATTTATTAAATATGAATCACAACACAAAATATTTTAATTGCAACTATCATTAATATTTTACAACACATAGAGATCACACATTATACTTTAACAACCAATTAATTATACACACCTATTGCAAATTATTTAGTTCACTTATTATATCTTTTTCAATTCAATTTTAATTGTTTTTATTCATTGATTTTATATTATTTGTTCATATTTTATAATTCAACTCAAGTTATTACCTATAGGTTCAATTGGTTGTAAAACTTTTGTTATTAGCATTTATTATATTATTTATTACAATCATACATAAATTTTATCAAATAAATCAATTCAAAATTCAGAGGAACTTCACTAGCTGCATTTCCAACTAGCAGTTTTTTTCGATTCTATAATACAATAATTGTCAATTCAACTTCATCTTAAATTTCACTTACTTAATTACAACTAACAACTCCGAAAATATTTAAGTTTACCAACAAAAAATCTAAATAACACAAAAATGGCAACACCACAAAAAAAATATATTTGTGGGTTTTGTGCAAAAGCATTCACTAGATCTGAACATAAACAAAGGCATGAAAGATCTCATACGAATGAAAAACCATATCATTGTTTATATTGTACAAGCTCATTTGTTAGAAGAGATTTATTACAAAGGCATTGTCGAACTGTTCATCAATCTGAAAATTTAAGCGGTATTGTACCAAATCCATCAACCAATAACAATAATAATGTCAGTCACAATTACAATCACAATCAATCTAGTACTTTTAATACCAATAGTAGCAATGCATCACATCAACAACAACAACAACAACAACAACAACTAAATCAAATACAACAACAAAATTATTCACTACCACAACCACATACACTTCAATATAACGACTCATCATTAAGCAACAATAATCTTAGAAATTCAAATCAATATCACTGTGATACTAATGAAACAGTAATGCCTTCTTCGATTGCAATGACTCCTGCAAATAGTACAAATAGTAATAATAGTGATAATAGTAACTATAGCTATATGAATACTGTACCTACTGCAACTGCCATGTCATCATCATCGACATCATCTAAAAAAAGAAGATCGTCATCTGATGTTCAAACAAGAAAAGTTTCAGTATCGTCATCAATAACTTCAACAAACTCAGATAATTCATTAATTAATTTGTTATCAATTACTAAAAAGTTGAAATATATATTAAATTTAAATTCATCACCTAACTCAAGCAATGATATGATTTATGATTGTTTTTTAATTGGTTATATTACATTACAAGAACAACTGAATAATTTTTCAGTCATTGAATCAATATTAAAAGACTTAATTTATTATTTAAGTACTTATTATATTGATCCTGTATCAGCATCGTCTTCAATTCCACCACCACAGCCAAATTTATTTAAAGTTGGAATTATTTATTCAATAATTTCATTAGGTTATATTTTAAATAAAAATCCTTTAAAATCATTAGCATATTTTAAAAAGTCATGGGTTTTATTAATTAGAAATTTGATACCTCAATACAACAATAGTAACATTCCAATAGATCAAATTGAAATTGCAAATAATTTATTTTTGTTATCCTTTATATATATAAATTACGACTTAGAAGATTATGATTTAAATCAAAATATGGATCAAGATCAACAAACCATTTATTTAAATAATCAAGTTATGTTGGATTATTTAGATCAAATTAGTTTCATCATCATATCCAATTTAAGTGAGTTTACAAATCCAAATGAAAAATTAATTGATTCAAATATAAATTTATTTTGGAGTATCTTCATTTTATTATCATTTTATTTGGAAAATTCACCAAAAATATACCCTATATTATTACATAAAGTAGTTGATCAAGATCAAACATTATTTGAAACAATGAAAAAATTTCAAAAGAATTCTTTAATCATTGATGAAAATGAGTTTTTGAAAAATATAATCATTGCTACATTAACTAATGAATTAAAAACTAATGAAGAATCAGATCCAAAAATTTTTGAAAATAAGAATGTCTTGCATAATTCGGTTATTCTAATTAATAAATCTATAAACTACTTTCAGAATAATATGAATAAATCATCAAATAACGACAGCAGTGAAAAGATATTTAAAATATTCAAAAAGAACTTGATTATCAACTGTCCATTGAAATTTCATGAATTATTAAATAATTATATATTTGTACCACAACATTTCAATAATTGGCAATTACTACTACTCATCCTAAAAGAAAACATCATAAATTTAAATTTAGATCGATTTTTAAAAGCTCAACTTGGTAAATCATCAAGTCACGAATTAAATCCTAATAACGATTTAAATTCATTTTTAATTCGATTTTTAGATTTGAAAAACTATTCAATTGAAATAAATAATAATTTATCAATAGTATCATTACCAATAATATTTTTATCAAATTTTTTACAACTACCACATAACTCCATAAAGTTTCAATATGAATATAATATAATTCAACTAAAAACTATTCATTACTTGGTGGTATTATGGTATTTAATAATGAATAAAGTATTAATTATGATTTGGTATTACGAAAATGAAACAACAACAAAAACCAATCTAAGATTTGAAGAAAACTACATTTTACAAACTTTGATATATATGTTATTAGATGATAAATCCGTGTTCAACAATTATTTATCACCACCACCAACAACAGCAGAAAAAATTTTTGAATTCAACGGTAAATGGTTTTGGATAATTAAAAACAAACTAAAGTTAGTTTTTTTGAACTGGATTAATATTTTAGAATCAGAAATTGATGCCAAATTAGAATTATCTACTACTAAAACAAGTGGTAAACAAATAAATAAATTAAGCTATGCTATAAATGAATTTATTGATGAATATATGACCGTTATTTATAATTCTTATGAGTTTAGCAACAAACCAAGTGGTGGTGGTGGTAGTGATGGATTTAATACTCAAAATGGGGTTTAATTTTGTTTATAGTTTAAATTTATTGTAATCAATAAATTCTTCCTGGTGGAATGGTTTTAATTTCCATAAATCTATAATTGTAGAATCTATTTCTACTTCTTTATCTATGCTATCAAAACAATAATTAATAATGTCAACAGGTAGTATAAATGTAAAATTTGTAATTTTTTCAAATTCATCTTCTGGTTCTTTTTGGTACGACTTAAATTTCTTAACTTGAGCATTTGAGCAAATCACACCGATAAATTCATTATTAAAATTGAACAATCCACCCCCTGAACTACCATTGAAACAAGAAGTTGAAGCAATAATCATTCCATTAACATTATTGTTTGTGGTGTATATGTAGTTGATATAACCTGGACATATCATTGTTGATAAATTGTTTTCATTTAAGTATAACCCATATGATTCAGTATATACTTTATTTTCTGTTGTGTAACTTGTACATGATTTGACAGGAATATTTCCTGGTAAAGGTTCTTTTAAATAAATAAATGACAAGTCTAGATCCATAGTTGGTGTTTTAACTTGTTCTTTAGTTATATATATGACTTTGTTGGATAGTATAATTTCAGCAGTTGATGAATTTTCAGTAAGTAATGGTGATATAACATGATGATTTGTAATCAATACGTTTGGTTCATAGTAAACACATGAACCCCATGTATATTTCTTCAAAGTTTTGATCTTTATCGGAACGACTGAGGAGGATGATACAGAATTTGATGAAATTACTTCCATTATTTCATCATTGCTTAGTAGTCTAAATATTTTATCAAATGGTATTATTATGGTTAGATCTCCATCTCCGTTGATTTTTCTAAGATTACCCACAATTAAACCTAGAATTGAATCATTTGCAGGATTTATAACTATTCCACCATTCGTATTATCTAAATATTTTAAGTCGCTTAAATAATAATTATGTTGTAGTTGATTGACAATGTGAGCGTAATTGACAAAATTTTGAAAAATGAAAGGATTCGTTAGATTGAATGGACTTGATATTACTTTTATTGCTTCTCCAACTTTGATATCTGAGTCTATTTCGAAATCATGAGAATCGGTGGTAGGTATTGAAGTAAGTTTCACTAATGATATAGTTTTTGATGGAAATTGATCACATGGGAAAATATTAAACTCATTTTTGAAATATTTAAACTCTTGAATCAACTCTATTTCTTTCACCACTCGTACTTCCTTCCAATTTACTATATTCTCCAATTTGTTTGGTCCATGATTTACATATATTTTATAATCTGAGATGTGGGGTATATGATTTATTGTTAGGACATATGATTCATTTTTCGTTATAATGTTGATTCCTGATGATGCAAATATCGCATCTTTATCATTTTTACTAATATAAGTGATTGAAACTGGTTTGTATTTCATCATCAATCATCATGGAAATATATGAATTAGCCATAATTCGTAAACTTTTGATGAACTACAAAAGATGCACTTCTATGACACAAAGCCAGTAGTACAGATTCTACATACAAATATGATCGCGCTAAAAATTATTTGGTAGCATCCAACGGTATTAATTTTTTATTTTTATTTTTTATGTTGACGTGTAAAGAAATTAATTTTTCAATTTTCAGTTCAATTAAATCAAGAGCCAAATAACTATTGATTCATAATTATTAAACAAATTAAAGTAATTTGAACCTTGTATATTCATCATAACCACATTCATTTTACACAATAAGAACATCAAATACATAACATAAAATGCAATTCACATTTCTACTATCGACCATCATTTTGACATTAATTTCATTAGTAATATCAAAAAAGAATTTTTATCAAATATTAGGTGTGGATAAATCAGCATCAGATAAAGAAATAAAATCAGCATATAGGCAATTAACATTGAAATACCATCCAGATAAGAACCAGGGGGATGAAGAAGCTCATGATAAATTTATAGAAATTGGTGAAGCATATGAAGTATTAAGTGATAAACAAAAGAGAAAAAATTATGATCAATTTGGTGATCCAAATGGTCAACCACAAAATCAACAATTTGATTTTGGTGATATGTTTGGACAATTTTTTGGTGGTGCAGGCGGTCATGGAGGCAGACGTCAACAAGTCCCCAAAGGTTCAGATACTTCAACTGATATTCATTTATCATTAAAGGATTTTTATAGAGGTAAATTAGTTTCATTTGATGTTATTATGCAAAATAAATGTGATACATGTGAAGCAACAGGATCAAAAGATAAAAAGACACATCAATGTGAGAAATGTCATGGATCAGGACAAATTACTGTACAACATCAATTAGCACCGGGATTTTCTCAACAAATTAGAATGGTTTGTGATTCATGTCAAGGACAAGGTAAAAAAATAACAAATCCATGTTCCACATGTAAAGGATCAGGAGTAACTAGAGGTCAAAGACATTATGATATACATTTAGAACCGGGACAAAAAAGAGATAGTTTTAGAAAATTAGAAGGGGAAGGAGATCAATCACCAAATTGGATTGCAGGAGATTTAATTATCAATTTTAGAGAAAAATTTGATGAAAGTTGGGGTTATAGAAGAATACAAGATAATTTATATCGTACTGAAGTTATAACATTAAATGAATCATTAAATGGTGGATGGGAGAGAAGGATACAATTTTTTGGAGAAGATGAAGATTCAGAAATTGATCATGAAATTATACTAAAACGAGCAAAAGGGGAAGTTATAATTGATGGACAAATTGAAATTCAAAAAGGTAAAGGTATGCCGATACTAAATGATCATGATGAAGAAGATAAATTTGGTGATTTATTTATTGAATATAAAGTATTAATACCTGGTGGTGTTGAATCCACGAAAAAGAACGAAATCAAAAAAGATGAATTATAGATGTTTATAAATATATAGAGAGAATGAGAAAATTTGCATAATTTTTTAACATCAATGCTCTTAGCTAATACATGAAGTTTGATTAGTTCGAAAAGTACAGAGAACTTGCCATTGCCATGGTTTAATATAAAGAAGGATTGAGAATCTCTCATTGAATCAAAGCTCCTCATTAGACAGCTTAATTGAAAATACTAATTTCAGTGTGAAGATCTATTCACTTCATTATTAAATAACCGTAAAATTCTGAAACATGTATTTGAACAAGGTGATTTCAAGGAATATCATACCTACTTCTCAAAACTGGAAAGAATTATATGGAAATGAAGAAGCTTTATATACAATAAATTAGTCTCTTATGTTCAAAACAATGTTTCAAACTATTACACAAAAACAAACTTAATAAAGGACTGGGGATCTTTAAGTGAAATTACTTCAGGTCTACAGTAACATATAAAAAGCCATCAATCGCTCACGCTCGTGTTGTTTGTCAATTTTTCAAAAGCGATTTGATCTATGAATTCAAAACTCGGTTTTATCACCCATCTTGATATTTTCAAGCTAACGAAATAATCAATTGTTGTTAACACACAAGCGTTAGCTTTGATGTATCTATAATTACATGAGTTTGGGATTAAGGACTTCACCACTCATGAATACAGGTTTTGAAGTTAATTCTGAGTACAAAATACGCTGTTTCTGTTACAGAACTCATCAGCATAGCCTTTGTTATGGTGTATTCAGGTATTTATGAATATAGATTCCATTTGTAATTAGCCATAAAAGCCTGAACTTGAATTTTATTCTACAACGTCTGTATAATTACATGATATTGATTCTGCAAACCAAAAATTTATAGAATAAAACCTGAAATTACCCAAATGTAGTCACAGCTTGTGGCTAATACGAAAACAATAGGAGTTGTATTTCCAAAGTAGTTACGGAAAAGTAAAATTCCAGGTACTATTTGTTAGACAGAAATAAATTCTTTGTTCTAATTATAAATCCTATTGTAATTTCCGAAGATTGCTATGACCAAAATGTTACAATAACTTGTTTAAAAAAGTTAAGTATGATGCAAAATGAATGTTACAGATCACCCCAAGTGTTTCAATTTTTTGGTCTAGCCAAATTTCTTGATTCGAGAGTTTGTAATGCAGGTAGTTTACTATTGAAGGGATATTTTTGGTACCGAGATATTTCTTATTAAACAAAAGTAAACTCGCAAGTACGATCAGTCAAATTTGAGCCTCAAATTTATTAGCTAGTTGTAGAACTAAATGGTCATCATAATTAAATTACCTCGCGGGTACGGAAAGTACAAAAGGGATGCTTCAAATATATTTCAGATATCGGTATAACTTTTATAAGCTAGTTGGTAGCGCCAACAATCAAATATTCCGGACTTCAATAAATTTCTTTTTATAGTTGCTGGACTTCCGCTTAAATTTGGAAAGAGTTTTTTATCAATAGATTGCAGATATGACCAAATATATCGTAGGTTTTTAAAAAGCCTGGAATAGAAAACTTTCGGAAATATGAAAGCGTTCGAATTAGGTCAAGATAGAGAAATAAACTTACCTGTCACCCCACGTATTTTTAAATAAACGACTGATTATGCTAATCCCAAACCTTCTTTAAGAACTATATACCCTTTTTAACAAACCCTATTTAAGCATAAGGTTAATTAATTCGGTTCAATTGCACATTCGACAACATCGACTTGTAGTGAGAGATTAAACGTATTAACATGGAGAATATGCAATTCAAATTTTACTTGTAGATTCTAGAATTTCTTGAAAGAGAGAAAAAAAATTTGAAAAATTTCAAAATTTTCAATTAATCAAAAACGTTTTCACCCTCGTTTTAATTGGAAAAGCTTATCTATGTATTTCCCCAACTTCTCCAGTTTCCACAAGTTACCTTGTAAGTAAGAAAAAGTATAATCTTCAGGACTTTATGTATTTTTCACGTAGTATGCAAAGGCATTTTCTTGAAATAATGTATTTCTTGTTAATTGGCTTAAAATCTTGGATCGATCTCTATAATTTTTAACAAAATACTAAAAAAACAATAAAAAAGGTGGGGAGAGGTAACTAATAAATTTTTTCCATAGCCATCTTAATTTACATTTTTTGAAAGTAGGCTCAATTGGTAGTTGAATAAAATAACGATGGACTTCCTTAGTGAAACATCAACAACTCTTAACTGGGGATAGAATAAAAAGTTTATAAGTTCCATATAACCTAACCTTGTCTCAGACTGGAAGTCAATTTTAAAACAAGAACAGTATTATATTATAGCAATAATCAATACATTTAACCTTAGATTTCTTTTGTTTTAAATTTGAAATTAAAAAACTTATACCAATGTAAGAACACAAAATCATTTTTCCACTAAGTTTGGGGGTGATCTAAGAAATTTTACATAAATGACACTAAAGTTCTTTCTTGGTTTAGAATTAATTTGAATTGAATAATAAGAAATTAAAAAGAACTAGATTTTAAAATTTGGGGATCTTTGTGGTACGTTTAATATTTTAATTAAAGGCGGAAGAATTATATTTTTAAGTAAGTAGTATTTATATAATATTTCAATTTTCTTATAATAAATTATTTTGAATATTCTTTTTTCATTATTAGATTCAATCATTAATTATATTTTAAAAGTACCAAGAGTAGTTCAAGTATTCATTATTCATTGAACTTAAGTAATTAAATCGGAAGAGATACTACTACATTTATACATATTCAAATTTTCAGCTCATTATACTTATTATTGTCCCGAAAAAAATCAATTCTAAAACTCTATACCAGTCAAATTAAATTAGATCAAGACAGCAAATTATGTCGGTATTACCACCACTAAATAGTACTTTTCAAGGTAATCATCCCACTGGAAAACCTACAAAATTAGATAATATACATAAATTGTCATTAAATAATCAACTACCCGACATTGAATCTAACAATACATCATCATTACCAATAACACCGATATCCATGGATATGCCAATCTCATCAACAGATTCACTATACAAATCACTTCCAATATCCCCACAGCCGTCAAAAGTACAACCAACATCATTAGATTCAAGCAACGATTTTTCACCAAATCTTACATCAAATGCATTAGATGGATTGAGAAGATATTTCAACCACGATATAACAGGTGATGACGAAGAAGAATTGGATGAAACGGGGAGTATAATTTCAGAAGTCTATAGTCTTTTAACACCTGACTTGGCATCAGACAAAAATCAATATACACAACAATATCTACAACAACAAAAACAAAAGCAAATTGCAGATACTGCATCATACATCAGTGATGTAAAACAAACCTTACCATCAATAACATCAACAAAAGAATCATCTCAATCTATACTCTCATCTTTTTTATCAAACGAAATCTTTTATGCACAAAATCTTATAAACTTACCACAACATTTCATAAACCAAGAATTTGAATCCTTCAGTCATGATTTGATTTTACATCCACAAATACCTTCCCCAAAATATCATGAAAAAATAATAAATATTTTAGATCAATTATATGAATCATCAATAGAATTAGTGTCAACAATTACCATGTTTAATTGCTTGTTGAAAAAAATCAATGTGCACGATACAAGTTTGAACAACTTAAAATTAATCAAAAAGCAATTCAACAACTTAATACACAATCATTTGAGTCATGATGTGCACTACATTTTGGACAAAATAATAGATGGATTATACGAGTACAATTTAATGATTGAAGAATTCAATGAAAAAGATAAAAAGGATAATAAAATTTCAGATACTAAGACTGATGAAGCAAAACAAAGCTATGCTACTATTAATGATTATTATTCTGAGATCGAAACTGTATTAACTTTAAAGAATTCAAAATTAACTACACAAGATTGTGAGAAATTTCATACTTTGTTAAATGATGAAATTTTAAGTAACAAAAATTGGAATAACTATATTAATCACTTGAGATCAATTGTTTGATTTGTATAGATTTATATGGATTTATATAATTTAATGTGACTATGTCAAAACGATGCAAACTCATAAATGTAGAATACTGAATTTTTTTATACTCTACAAAACAATAGTTTGTTTGTTGAGATGTTTCGTAATTGAGTACAAAATCACTTTAAGTTTTAAAGTGTAGCAAAACTAAAAGTTTTATTTTTGTGTAAGTTTTATTTATCAACTGCATTTTTCATGATTTTCTTTGTTTTGCTTACAAATAAAAATTTAGAAAGGTTTCACAAATTCTAACCATAAATTTGCTTACAAATCTTGTGGTATAAATTGAAAAGTATGGCTTTGATCTCTCTATTTATTCATCAATTATAAAGTCTCACCAATCCAACCTACATTCTTTTTCCGATAATCAGAACTAATCAATTGCAAAATGTCAGAATCAACAGAAATCAAGATTAGAGCATTGGGAGATACAAAATTATTTCAACCAATTCAAGTTGGGTCCAACACTTTGAATCAAAGAATAGCGTTTGCTCCAACAACAAGAAGAAGAGCAACAGAAGATCATACCCCTGTAGATTTAGAATTAGAATATTATACAAAAAGAGCTCAAGCTCCAGGAACTTTGATTATCACTGAAGCAACTTTTGCAAGCCCTCAAGGATCAGGTAGTTCTCGCGTACCTGGTATATTCACTGAGAAACATGTTCAAGCATGGAAAAAGATTAATGACTCTATTCATAGAGAAGGTTCATTTTCAAGTATTCAATTATGGCATTTAGGTAGAGCAGCTGATCCAAAAAATTTAAAAGATAAAGGATTACCATTCTTAGCTCCTTCTGCTGCTTATATTAATGAAGAAAGTGAACAGAACGCAATTAAAGCGGGAAATGAATTAAGAGCTTTTACTTTGGAAGAAATTAAAGATTTGGTCAACAATCAATATCCAACCGCTGCAAAGAATGCCTTAGCCGCTGGCTTCGACTATATCGAATTGCATTCAGCCCACGGGTACACTTTATCTCAATTTCTCAATCCAGTGAGTAACAAGAGAACTGATGAATATGGTGGATCTATTGAAAATCGTGCAAGATTGATTTTGGAAATTGTTGACAAATTAATTCCAATAGTAGGAGCTAACAGATTAGCTATAAGATTATCTCCATGGGCTACTTTCCAAACATCAGCACCAGAAGGTGAAGAAATTCATACATATATTTTGAAAGAATTAGAAAAAAGAGCAGACCAAGGAAATGAATTAGCTTATGTATCTTTAGTTGAACCAAGAGTTTCGGGTAACGCTGATGTAGATAAAGATAAACAACAAGGAAACAATGACTTTGCAAACAAGATATGGAAGGGTAAACTCATAAAAGCTGGTAATTATACTTATGATGCTCCAGATTTTAAAGATCTTTTGAGAGATATTGAAGATAATAGAACATTAATTGGATTTTCTCGTTTTTTCACATCGAATCCTGACTTAGTTAATAGATTGAAACATGGATATCCTTTGCTTAAATATGATCGTGATACTTTTTATAATCCAAATAATTGGGGATATAATACTTATAATAATCATGATGAAACTGAAGTATTTGACGAAAAGAAGGAACAAGGAAGAGTTGGTGTTGCATTAGCTTAATTTATAGATTTGCTAGAAAGATAGTTATAGATTGTTAGTAGAGAGTAATAGATCTTTTGACTTTTAGTGATTAGACACTTAATAAACATATAAAGTATTGAAGATAAAAAAAATTCAATGATATTGACCTCAAAAAGTTTGGTACGGCTGCAAAATTCAATTCCATTTAAAGCGCGTTTAATTAATTCGATAGTCGGGCTTTGTCAAATTAATCTCCGTATTCAATATCTTCAATCTAAATTTATTTTTAGAAACAATTGAAAACATGAATCAGAATAAAGAGGTCAATTGTGAATAAGTGTTAGTAGTTGATTCATTTTACTATATTTGGGAATGACTGTTGAAAAAGTAGATAAACCTCATCCAGTGAAGAAGAGATCAAGAAATGGGTGTTTAAGTTGTAAAAAGCTAAGAATAAAAGTATGTGAAGAGTTATTATTAACTCACTATTAATTATACTAACAGGTTCCTAGTGTAATGAAGCTAAACCAAGTTGTGAATATTGTGTTCATACAAGTAGAGAATGTATATATCCAATTCCCAAGCCTACAAAATCAAAACAAAAATTGAAATCCTTATATAATCAATCACTGAAGATAGAGCTACTAGATGACTCGGCTTCGACATCTGCCTCCACAAGTAATGTATCAACTCCAGCATCATATGATCCAGCATCTGTTTTATTTGGACCTCATTCACCTTTTGTTCTTCATACCGGGGATCAAAATGAATTTTTATCTTATCATAGATCAAAAAGTAGTCCAACTCCGGTTGATGATTTAACAAGAACATTAATGTTGAATCAGTCGTCTCAAATGTTAGGAATTCTGAAATTTGAATTGAGGTTATTAAAATTTTTTGACTCTGAATGTATTCAATTATTTAGTTATGGGGTAAATGAAGGTATATATAATGCATGGAAATATAAAGTCCCTAGTCTTTTTCTAGAAAGTGATTTGGTGAGACAACTGATTTTTGCATTTAGTGCTATTGGATTAAGTGCTACTTTAGATTTAGAAATCGTTCAAAGTGAAGATAATGGAAGAATTACAAATTTTGAAACTTCAAAAAAATGGGATCATAACTTAAGTTTGGAATCAAAGACTAATCTTTATTTAAAAACCACTTCAGGCTTTTTGAGAACTTTAAAAAAAGCTAGTGAGAAAATAAATGAACTACATAAAGTTTCTGGAGGTTTCCAAGATCCAACGGTTGCAAAAGAATTAGTTGTTTCAAGTATATTGATTTTTTCATTTTTAGGAGTTCAACCTCATAAATTGATCAAACTTATAAGTTTCAATAGAGAAGAGGAAGAAACAGATATGATACAAATATCAAGTGGTACAAGAGATACTGTGTTAAACTGTGCAGCTACGATTTTAAAATCAGATATGGCTGGATTGTTATTCTTCAAATCTGAAGAATTGAGAAGTAGTCCTAGTGCAAAAGATTGCGGTTATCCAATAATTAATTATTTAATGAATGATATGTATTCCTATATTGATCTGTTGGAATTAAGTCTTGAATCATCACAATTTGAAGAAATTTTTGGAACAAATATTGATTATTTGACAAAATCTCTTTATGGAAGTCATTATTATAAATTTCCAATACCAATTTTCAGATTTCTAATGGTAATAACTGAGAATTTTAAAAAATTGCTTTATAGTAAGAATCAATTTGCATTAAAAATATTATTTGTTTATGCTAGTATTGCTTCAATTGCAAGGTTTCAAATGTATAATGAACAAAATATATGGAGAGAATATCTTATATGGTACAAGGAAGAATATGGCTTAAGTAGTGAAATGGAAAAATGTTTGTATTACTTAGTTGTCCAGAAACATTTCATGTCTATAGATTTTGAAAATTTCCCATTTTTTGATCCAATCGAAGAATATAAGAAGCAGATAAATACATTGAATTTGATATTAGGTTAAAATCGGAGTAAATAGAATGTTCCTAAACTAATTCTACAAGTGTAGACCCTTTCTAAAAGCAGCTGTTACATGTAAGGAACGTATTGCATGAATTTGCATAATCAAGAACCCTCGTATTTAAATACCTTTATCTGAGTTACTCAATTAGTAATCAAAGCGGATAATTTTGCAGAAACTGAAACGGAAATGAAGATCTTGTTTTTGTGTTATAAGATTATTTTTTCTTCACCATATAAAATTCTCCACATATTCTCTTTCTATATTTACATTTTTAAACCTTTTGCAATCTTAACAACCAAATATGTCGAAATCACCATTAAAAGATACTTTGGTGTTCGAACCAATACAAGTAGGAGATGTCACATTATCTAATAGAATTGTTTATTGTCCCACAACAAGATTTAGAGCAGCTAAATCACCAAATGAAATTGGTGCTCATTTACCATCAGATTTAATGTTAGAATATTATTCTCAAAGAGCTCAATATCCAGGAACTTTGTTGGTTACAGAAGCAACATTTGTAAGTCGAGGGGCTGGTGGATATGATGGTATACCTGCTATTGCAACTGAAGAAGAAACAAAAGCTTGGAAAAAAATTGTTGATGCTGTTCATGCAAAAAAATCATTTATTTCATTGCAAGCTTGGTTTTTAGGGAGAGTAGCTGATGCAAGAATTTTGAAAAAAGAAGGCCAAAAGTATGTAGCTCCTAGTGTTATATATCCTGATGGTAGAACAAAGCATTTGAGTGAGAAAGCTGGACTTCCATTGACGGAATTATCAATTCCAGAAATTCATGATCTTATTCATAAAGATTATGCAATTGCAGCCAAGAACGCTATGTCTGCTGGTTTTGACTTCTTCGAAATACATTTTGCACATGGTTATTTACCGGATTCTTTTCTCCATGAAAGTTCTAATCAAAGGACTGATAAGTATGGTGGTACAATTGAAAATAGAGCTCGATTTGGTTTAGAATTAATTGACCATTTATCTACAATCATACCACCATCGAAATTAGCTATTAGACTTTCTCCATGGGCAGAAATACAAGGTATCTATGAAGAGACAAGTCCTATTCCTCAGTTCTCATATTTCTTAGATCAATTACAAAAAAGAGCAAATAATGGTCAAGAATTAGGTTATGTATCAGTTGTTGAACCAAGAGTACAAGGTGTTGTTACTGCTGATCTTGAAGATATGAAAGGATCAAATCAATTTGTGGAGGAGGTATGGAAAGGTATAACGTTAAGAGCTGGAAATTATACTTATGACGCACCAGAATTCAAACAAATAAAAGAAGATGTTTCAAATGGTAGAACATTAGTTGGGTTTTCAAGGTACTTTATATCAAATCCTGACTTAGTCAGTAAATTGAAAAATGATCCATCAAGTTTAGTCAAATATAATAGAGAATTATTTTATCAACCTTATAATTGGGGTTATAATACTTATGATGGTAAAGATTATGATGAAGACACAGAAAAGAAAAGAGTCGCAAAACCAATACAAAGAAGTGAAGTAAATTTATAGATTTAGAATTCTAATAGACTTTCGTTATAGACTTGTAATAAACCAATTTTTTGCATTATTTATTTTCCACCTTATTTTCTTTTCAATTTATGGTTGTTCCTACCCCTTAAAATGTTTTTCAATCTTGTAATTCTTTCTTCAAATTGAGTATGAATATGAATGGTATTAAGACATTCGTTTAGATCATTCATTTAGTCAATACATTTATCAGATTTATCAGCTGGTAATTGATTTTTCACATTCATCGGGGCGATCATTCTTTCAATAGATTTTGTTCTCATTGGTGCAAATACTAAACTTTCATTTGGGTAAATTGGTTCCTGTTCTTGTTCTAATTCAGAATCAATAGATTCAATTGATGCAGTACAACTTTGGAAATGATTTGAAAATTTTCTTTCTTTCATTATCGCATTCTTGACAAATTTACAATCTAATTTATCACAACATGGATTCAAAACAAAATCATAATTTTCATCTTCCATCATTAATTTCTTCAATTTTAATTCACATGAGGTAGACGATGAAGTAGTTCTATCAAAATCAAATGGTAATTTTGGTTTTCTCATCATACGTATTGATAATATGGAGTTTAAATCATTAATTGGTAATATATTCTCTTTATCATCATCAATAAATGAAGGATTCGAGAAATTAGGTGGGATAGTGGAAAATTTAGTTGGAGGTCTAGCTGATGATTTACTCGAAGTTGGTTTTAAATCTTCGAAGCTTACCGAAAGTGAAGACACGTTTCTAAACATTTTTGGTGGTTGCATTTTAAGTAGTTAAAAATTATTTTGTAATGTTTCAGAAATCTTAAATAAATGTTGCAAAATCTTATTCTTTGTATTATTATTTTCTAGAATTTCAGATCTGATTAGGGAAAAAAAATAGATCAGAAAAATTTTCACACTATAAATGAACTCAATGCGTCTATGGTTTTACAACATGTGATTAATTGCATTACAAGGTGTAGGTCTTCTGAAGATAAAGCTGATTGAGTTGAATGAATGACTTAGAGACCTTAATTTTAAAATGTGTGTTAGTTGGTAGCGATGCTGCATTGAATTTTATAGAAGAACGCGATAGATCACCATAATTAAGTTAAACGCATCTTTCATGATCTAACATAAAGTGAATATTCAACAAGAACTAAGCAAACTTACATGTCCTCACAGCTATCCAAGAATCTAGAGAGTATATCGGATCCATCAGACTTCAAATCAACTACCATACCGGCATTATCAGAACTCGATGTTTTAGAAAGATGTTATATATGTAAAGAATTCTTTCGTGCTCCAGTTATTACGTCATGTAATCATACTTTTTGTTCACAATGTATAAGAGAATATCTTATCACAAATAATTTATGTCCACTATGTAAAACGGAAGTTTTTGAAAGTAGTTTGAAAAGGGATGTTTTGTTGGAAGAAATAGTTGGGTGTTATACGCGTCTTCGGCCATTTTTATTAATGCATTTGAAGAATGATCATAATTCACAAGAGCAACTAGAGAATACAAGGAAAAGAGAAATAGAGGAGAATAATGACGTTATAGAGATTTCATCAACGAACATATCAGCGATAGAATCACAACAACAACCAAAAAGACAAAAACTAGAGCAGTCCCCAGATGTCATAGAAATTCCACAAGAAGATCTAGTTGAATGTCCAGTTTGTTCAAAGAAAATGACGGCAGAAAGACTACAAAATACACACATAGACGCATGTTTAAATGGAACAGCAGAACCAATAAGTCCCCGACCAACACCAAAACCCAAAGGAAAATCTTCAATAGCATCGTTTTTCAAAACAGCAACTATATCATCATCACCACCTTCATCATCAGCATCATCAAAACCAGCAATGGTACAAACATTACCAGAAGAGTTGGGACATCAAAATTTTTATTTCAATGAAACATCTAGAAAACCAGTTGAATTGAAACGACTACAAAAATTAGATTTTGCATCATTAACAACAGTTAAATTAAAAGACAAATTATCAAATTTACATTTGCCAACCTCAGGTACTAGACAACAATTAGAACTTAGATACAATCAATTTTTTGTGTTATATAATTCAAATTTGGATAGTAATCATCCAGTTTCAGAAAGAATATTAAGGCAAAATTTACATCAATGGGAATTATCACATCTGGGTTTCAAAAAGCAAACTAATGCTCAATTTGGAGTGAAAAATAGTCTGAATTCCGGTAGATCAATCACTGATAAAAATTTCTCAGTTAGTGAATGGATGAATGAATATAAGCCGGAGTTTAAAGAGTTGATACAAATAGCTAGAGATTCTATAAAGAAGGAGAAATTAGAACCTCAAACTGAGTCGGATAACAAAAATGGTACTGCAGAGGAAGTTGAAAACTGTGCAGACTTAAGTAATAGTAATATAGATTTAAGCAGTAGTATCTTGTTTGATTCCAATGATCTTGTAAATAATTTAAATACATAACTTATTTATTAAACATCTATGTGAATAATGAACTCTTTTAATGTGTATGAAAGATTCATATGCATAGAATCATCAAATTATGCGTGTACTGCATATAGCTTATTCGTAAATTGTGTTTTTTAGACTGATTATGTCAAAACTCAGCTTTCTATGCATGAAATTTGATCAGCTGTTGCAAGAAGTTCGAGAACTTGGTCTTGCATTTCTTTGGTAATTTTTTTTGTTTTTTTAGTAAGAGTCTAAATTGCCAACGATTTAAGTATAATTTTCTGCCAGTATATTTTCAATTTTTCAATTTCGAATTTAAACTTTCAATTTGAAACAAGACCGTAAAAAATTTTTCTTTTTTCTTATCAAATTTGACAATTTTTACCGAATTTAGAAACTGATTCCTTGACACATTACATAGTATTGCATATTTTTAAATAATTATCAGTTGACATAAATAGATTTTAAACACCTGAAATATCAAGTTCATTCGCTTTACATCATAATCATTAAAACAAAAAAAAAACAAATTATATGGATGATAATAATTACTCAACTACGTATGAGTCCTCATTAGCTGTAGTTGCAACAGCGATGAAAAAGGCAAGATTAAGTTTAGATGTTTTATTACTAAATTCAATACTTGGAGGAATGGTTTTCTCAACTGGTGGGATGTTACATTTAGTTGTCGGAGCTTCAATATCACCAGAATTACTAGAAAAATATCCTGCAATTTTACAAATTTTGAGTGGGATATGTTATCCTATTGGATTATTTTACGTTGTTATACTAGGTCTTGATTTATTTAATTCAAATATTTTATTTTTCAGTTGTGCAATTATGAGAAATGCAGTTTCAATATTTGACTTGGTGATTAGTTGGCTAGTTAGTTATTGTTGTAATTTAGTTGGGAATATTTTTGTATGTTATATCATAAGTCATTATTCTGGTGTGACTGATCTGGAAAATTTTTATATTGCTGCTCAAAATATAGTTGAACTAAAAGCATCTTATTCATTTGTACAAAACTTACTCAAGGGAATTGTTGGAAATTTTTATGTTTGTTTAGCAATCTATCTTCAAATAATGGTTAAGCCAATGCACGTCAAATATATAATGATGGTATTACCAGTTTTCACATTTGTTGCCCTTGGTTTCACACATACTGTTGCAGATATGTATATGTTGATAATTGGAAAAATCAACCATTCACCAATACCTTTAAGTTTAATATGTTGGAAAATATTCGTACCTGAAACTTTAGGAAATATTATTGGTGGATCATTTTTTGGAATAGTTTTATGTTGGTACTTGCATATATATGTTGTTGAAAGAGATCAAAAATTATTGCATTTACCACAATATGAATTAAGAGATGAACAACCTGATTTAAATCAAGATTCAAGAGTTGTTAGACAAAAGAAACCACAGTTCCAAGAAGATGAAATTGACGAAAGTTCTGAGGAACTGGATGAATCAGTACTAGAAGAACTTCACAAGGTTAAAACAAAGGAGAAAGATCCACTTTCTAGAATCAATAGTGAAATTAGCGATGAAAGTTTTATGACCACACCTTCAAACGAACTCCAGCCACTCCCATTTAATAGAGTTACATCAAACATAAGTAATAATGCATCCTTCGTGAGAAGGAGAAGTACAACTAATAGTATATCTAGATTCAAATCACCAAAAAATGTATTCCCAGTATATGGAATGGGACCACCATCAGCAAGAGAAAGAAAAATAGCAGAAGGTAATGATAATACCAAATTTACATTTTCAGCTAATGACATAAACAAGAACAGTGCCGAATATATAGGCTCACAATTGAAAAGAATGGTAACAAATAAATCAAGAGTATCAAAACGAGATAATGATTTAGAATCAGCAGGAATGAGTAGAATGAGAACCAATTCAAGAGTAGGCAGAAGGATGTCATCACTAACACCAGCTTACACGTATCCAGCAGTTTCTGCTATTGATATATCTCAAATAACACCAACTTATACAAATAACAATAGACTGGGTTTAGTTGATACACCGGAGCCTAACCAAGCTACTGAAGTCGAGCAGGATTTGACAGAAGTATCACCAAAACAAGTAACTTGTAAAAATTTATAGACAATTTATAGACTTAAATAATCAACATTTGTGTTATTGCTACGCTGAGAACGGAAATTGTCACAAGATGATTATTCGAATTTCTCGTAGCTAACTACTCAGCTAAGAAAGTACCAAAAAAATTGCAAAAAGAAAAGTTGGTTGCAAATTCAACTTCTTATTGACTTTGGACGAGATGAGAATCGAACTCATGACCTTTTGCTTGCAAGGCAAACGCGCTACCAACTACGCCACACGCCCTAGTTCTTGTTTATTTTCACTTTGGGATGTTTAAGATTTCTTTTTTTTAATCACGTGTTGTAGTTTTTGGACTGTTAATTCATAGTGAAGTCTCGAAAAATAGTATTTTATGACTTTAAAGCATTTCAATGACTAGTTTGAAAGTAGTAGCACATTATTTTGCAAATAGAAACATAAAATGATTTTTTGATAAATTGTGTAAATTTTTGCAGCAAATTTTAATGAACTAGGAAAAAGAAAATTGTAAAATATAAATTGTTATATGGCCTCTAGAAATTTTTTATATTCTCTGCACAGTTTAGTATGTGCTGAAAAATTTGTTGATATCTTTTTAAAAAGTCCTCTATTGCTCTAGTGCGCTTGACATCTCTTCCTTAAATCAACAATCTCATCAAAGAATGGTGTAAATGGTAGCTAATCTTGTTTCAAAATAATTAAGCGTTTTTGTATCTCACATCTTGAAAAAGCCGCTCTACTAAAAAAATCTTTAGTAGAAATCAGTTTTTAAGAAGACTTTATAAACCTCATCTTAATAAATCAACGACATCAAAAACTATCAACCAAAATAACCAAATAACAATGTCATCAACCACATCAGCATCATCAACATACATAGACGAAGATACAACATGGGACTCACTTAACTTGGACCCAAGATTACTACAAGCAATTGACAAATTAGGTTTTGAAAATCCAACATTGATTCAAAGTAGTGCTATACCTTTAGCATTGGATGAGAAAAGAGATATAATAGCGAAAGCAAGCACTGGGTCAGGAAAGACTGCTGCTTATTCTATACCGATAATACAGAATTTATTAACTGACAATTCGGAAAAGGGGATCAAGAGTTTGATTTTAGTGCCTACTAGAGAATTATCTAATCAAGTTTATCAATTTATGGAAAATTTGATTAAGTATAGTAACAAGCAAATTGGGATTTTGAATTTATCTTCTAGTTATAGTGATCAAGTCTTGCAGTCATTGTTGAGTAATAAACCAGAAATTATAATATCCACACCTAATAAATTGATTCAGATATTGGAAATGAATGATAAGAGCAATAAAATAGATTTAAGTACAGTGAAGAATTTAACAATTGATGAAGTTGATTTAATTTTAAATTTTGGGTATCTTGAAGATTTAAATAAATTGGAAAATTATTTACCAGTAAAGAAAAATTTGCAAACTTTTTTAATGTCAGCTACAATAAATGATGATTTAAATGAACTCAAAACTAAGTTCTGTACCAAACCAGCAATTCTAAAATTAGACGATGAGACAAATAATAATGATAAATTAGTTCAATTTTATGCTAAAACTACAGAGTTCGATAAATTTTTATTAAGTTATGTCATTTTCAAATTAAATTTAATCAAGGGGAAAACAATAGTGTTTGTGAATAATATAGATAGAGGGTATAGACTTAAGTTGTTTTTGGAACAATTTGGTATAAGGTGTTGTATATTAAATTCAGAATTACCTATAAATTCAAGATTACATATTGTTCAAGAATTTAATAAGAATGTTTATAATTTATTAATTGCAACTGATGAAAAATCATTGGAGAAAGAACAAGAAGAAGATGAAGAAGAAGATTCAAAGAAAGATACATCAAATAACAAGAAAGATACCAAAAAATCGAAAAAACCAAAAAATGATAAAGAATTTGGAGTTTCAAGAGGTGTTGATTTTAGAAACGTTGCATGTGTTTTAAATTTTGACTTACCAACCACATCAAAAGCATATATACATAGAATCGGAAGAACGGCGAGAGCTGGGAAATCAGGTATGGCATTATCATTTGTTATCCCCACAACAGAAGTAGGTAAACATAAAATAGCATCATTACCACTGGCTAAAAAAGATGAAAAAATTTTAGCTAAAATAGTAAAACAACAAGAAAAAAATGGGTTTGAAATTAGACCATATCAATTTGATATGAAACAAGTTGAAGGTTTCAGGTACAGAGCAGTTGATGCATTTAGATCAGTTACTCAAACTGCTGTAAGAGAAGCAAGAGTTAAAGAATTGAAAAATGAATTAATCAACTCGGATAAATTAAAAAGATACTTTCAAGAAAATCCCCAGGATTTAGCAAGTTTGAGACATGATAAAGAATTACATCCAACTAGAATACAAGCTCATCTTAAAAGATTACCACAATATCTTTTACCTGAAAATGCAAGAACTGACGTTAAGAATCTTGGATTTATACCATTTCATAATAAAAACAAGGTGAATAAACATAGAAAGAAGGGTAAAACAACAAAGAGAAAAAATGATCCTTTAAAATCATTCAAAAAATAAATGTTATCGTCTAATATCATTTATTCATTTTATGCTAATTTACTCAATATCAAATTCCAGATTAAATTTGCTAAACAATTACTTGGAAACATCATAGTTTGAGGTACGAATACAAATGAAAATACACTGAAAAATGGCCAATAACAATAACTATATTTTAAAGATTTTAAATAAGCTTGTTTAGGATTTTTGGAAAATAATTCACCATGATCCCACAAAGTATTTAAGATATTAAAAATTAATTGAAATATAGGTGCTCCAACTAGTTGATCAATTATAATTCTATAAATTAAATTATCAAAATTTAATATAAGTAAATTTATCCAAGTAACTGTAAAATATCCATTTATACTACCCCAAATCATAAATTTGAAAATTTTATTAAGTGTGAATTTTTTCTTCATAAATTGATTTATAGATTGTGCTAATGCACCTGATGAACAACCTAAAAGTGTTGGTGCTAAATGTTGATGTATTACTGAAATTTTATCATAATGATAATATATAGTTATTGAAATAATAGTTTCTAGAATTAATGCAAAATATAATTTTTTTAATATGTGTTTTGAACTTGGATGTAATTTATAGTTTGATTGATTTGTAGGTTGTGAATTTAAAGGTAATGTTGTTGATGATTTATTTAAATCATGTAGTTGTATATTTTCTTGTGTCAATGGTAAACTCATTATGTGAATTGTGAGCGATAAATATATATGAATGAATATTTAAATTATTGGATATTTCTTGTTTGATAATTTAAAAACTTGTGTTGTATCAAGATCGATATCAATCTTTTAATAATAATAAATTTGTTTGAAAATAAAAAATAAAAAAAAATTTCGTAAATTTTCGAATTAATTTTTTTTTTTTTTCATTTAATTGACGTGTCGAATATTTTTAGTCAATACAAAAGAAGTGTTATACCATTGAGATTTATCAAATCAAATCGATATTCATCATAAGAACGAAACTCACATTAGCCAACTTGTTATAAGAAATGGAGTTTTTCCATCTCGGGGTTTGTATTTTCAAATGTTGAGTTGATTAAATAATATTTTAATAAGTTTTGAAATATTATTTTGAATAATTCTTTATGCACTTTTGTACTATGAAGAAATAATATTCAGCCTTTAAATTCCCAATAGAATAGGGCCAATTTGCGTCTTGCTTTAGCATAAAGCCGTTTTAAAGATTAGTGGGATCTTATTTTGAGATACGAATCTAGTCAAGCAAATAAAAGGAAACGATCTTAGATTCATTTCGTAATCCAATAAAGTTTTTTATGGGTTTAGAACATTTATTTGTAATCATAAGGATATAACATCTTATTAAACTTTTGAACTAGATCTACTGATATACTTCTGTTCCGTGTAGATTTAACTTTAAATTTTTCGGTCCGTCTCTCGTTACGATGAAAAAAAATATTTTATTGTTTTTATAATTTATTATTATTAATCAATAAAATAGATATAAGAAATGAGATTATGTCTTAGATTGGTTTCTTCAATTTAATTTAATGATTTATAAACAATAATGACAGATATGAGGGATGGATCGAAAGCAAGAGAACTTAATGGTACATATAGTTCAGAATCAACAATATCAACATCACTACAACAGACGGAAAAACCAGAAAAATTAGATGAAGTGGATCCATTTCTAGTGGTTTTTGATGGTAAAGACGACAAAGAAGATGTTACAAATTTATCAAGATTTCATAAATGGGCAATAGTTGGTATTATTTCATTTGGATCAGTTTGTGTTACTTGTCTTTCATCATGTTGGTCATTAGCTTCTGGAAATATAATGGCACACTTTGGAGTAAGTAGAGAAGTTAGTGTTTTGGGAATATCTTTTTTCATATTGGGATTGGGGACAGGTGGGATGTTTTTATCTCCAATCAGTGAGTTTCATGGTAGGAAAGTTGTTTATATATTAGGATTAACGCTTATGATTGCTTTTGAATTTTTAACTGCTTTTACAAATAATTATGGATCAATGGTATTTGGTAGATTTATGAGTGGTTTTTTTGGTGCTAGTTTTATGAGTGTTTGTGGTGGACTGTTTTCTGATATTTTCAAAAAGAAGAAAAACCATCAGAATGAAGAGGGTAAAGATTCAAATGAAGATTTAGCTTTAGCTTTGGTGTTGTATTCTGTGTCGCCATTTTTAGGTCCACTGATTGGTCCACTTTTGTCTGGGTTCATTAATAGTAATCTTCATTTCAGATGGACTTTCTATGTTATGATTATATGGACTGGTCTTATTCTAGGGTTGGTAGTTTTATTTGTACCTGAAACTTATGAGCCAATAAATTTAAAACATAAAGCTAAAAGATTGAGAAAACAAACAGGAGATGATAGGTATTATGCGCAATCAGAAAGAAGTAAAACTTCATTATTTCATAGTGTTTTAATCAGTTCAAAAAGACCTTTTTTGCTTTTATTTTTTGATAATATGACAATGATTCTTTGTTTTTATACTGGTTTTTGTCTAGCAATAGTTTATTTATTTTTCGTTGCATTTCCTTATATTTTCAGCACAGTTTATGGATTTGGATTAGCGGCTCAAGGAATGTCATTTCTAGGTTTAGCCACAGGAATGGTTTTAACTTGTTTAGTATCTCCTTACTTTGCCAAGAGGGCTTATTTGTACTTACTCAAGAAGAATAATGGGGTACCTAAAGTTGAATTTAGATTTGTTTCATTAATGGCAGGTGTATTTGTCGTACCTATTGGATTATTCATGATTGCTTGGACTTCTTATCCTACAGTTCATTGGATAGCTCCAATAATTGGATCAGGAATATATGGATCAGGTACAATATTGGTTTTTAATGGAATATTCGCTTATTCAGTTGAAGCATATATTTTATATTCAGCATCATCAATGGCATGTAATTCCTTTGTCAGATCGGTTATGTCATGTATTTTTCCATTGTTCGGACATCAAATGTATGAAGGTGTTGGAGTGCACTGGGCAACTACAATATTGGCTGTTTTTGCTTGTATTTTGATACCGATTCCTTTTGTGTTTTTTAAATATGGAGAAAGATTAAGGAGTAGAAGTCCATATGCATGGAGCGAATAGTAATGAGTTATGATATAGATATAGAATAGATTAATAGATAATGATTATGTACTTATAGTTTGTAACTCTATCTTAATGTTTGTACAGTTTATATGAATTTTTGCAACCGGAAATTTGGTAGCATTAGAATGTACTAGAATTTTTAATGCACCAGATTTTTTTTCACACCCAAAGTTTAAATACCGAGAATTGTAAAAATCGTGTTACAATTTAAACATAGTTTTTCATCAAATATTGCATAATAAACAATGGTTGTTCATAATCCAAATAACTGGTAAGTACTATTTGAAAGATAAAGGAACGAGATTTTTGAATTGTCACTAACTACTTATATTTTTAAGGCATTGGGTTGATAAAAATTGTTTACCATGGACAAAAGATTATTTTGAAACAGAAATCAAAAACACAAATTTCAAAAATGACGACTACGAGTTTATAATATCAAATATAGATTCCATAACAGGAGATTGTGACGTAACTCAAAGAAAAGGAAAAGTTTTATGTATATATGATATGAGATTACAACTTAAAATCAGTGGGACAACAAAAGATGATAAAACCGTAAGTGGAACTATAACAGTACCTGAATTTATACATGATCAAGATGAAGATGAATATGTGTTTGAAATAAATTCAGATGATCTAATACCAGAGATAAAGAAACATTTAATACCTGTACTAAAAGTAAAGTTAATGAAGTTTCAAAATGATTTGATTAGTGCTCACGCTCAAGATGTACAACATGGTTCAGCTACAAATTCAACTACAAATTAGATCATAAAGAAGATATATACGAGCATCAATAAAAATTCGTAAACATTCATTAAATCTATATACAAAATAGAAATACATGTATTAATTTATCCATCAAAACCATCAGGAACACCCTTAGCAGATCGATTATTCTCGCCTTTGAACCCTAAATATAAATCAAAAGGACCATTTGTAGAAACATCTGAATTTAAACTTAACCAAGAAGCTTGACCCTGTTCTATTGATTTGAGTAGTCTATAAGTTTCAACTGAACTATACGGCATACCTGTTTGTGGATCAAAATATTTAACTTCTGTACCTGAAATCATACATAATTTTTTGTTACCATTTGGGAGGTAAAGACCTGTAGGAGCTTCTGTTGTAATTTTAATTTCGGTATTTTCATTTTCTTGAGTATCTTCTTCTACCTCGATAATATCATGTTGTACACCTAGTCTTGGTAATTTTTTTAATTCGTCAAACATTGGATCATCTTCGGTTAAGTTATAAGCTGAAGCAAATAAATCATCTGAATTATCTGTTTGCGTAATAGCATATGGATTTTCAGTCTTACCTATATGTAAAATAGTTTTTCCGTCATTAAATCTTCGTTTAGCAGGTAATAATGATTGTTTACCGAATAACATAGTTCTGACATTAATTGGGTTGAGTCTCAAATCTCTTCTATCTTCATCGAAATTAATAAAACTTACCAAATTTCTGCAAATTCTTTGAACTGGACCTTCGAAAATCTCAGGTTGCGGTGGACTTTCTAATTTTATTTCTTCAGGTTGTGGTGATGCGTCTACTGATTGTGGTTCTATTATATCATCTGCAAACTTAACCTTTTTGGTTTCTATTTCAACGATTCCGTTTTGATGAACTATTTCTTCTTGGACCATGATTATATCCTTTTCATCTTTGTTATTGGTTGATGGAACAACTTCCTCTTTAGAATCAACCATCCCTTTTTCACTATCAAACTCTTTCTTCACATTTTGCCCTTCTCCATCTATTTCTTTTGTATTTGTGTCGTCTTGACCTATCTCAATTGCTTCATTTCCATTCTGAGTTTCTTGCTTTAAACTTATATTCACTCCATTATTTGCCTCTGTAGTAGCTAATTGATCTTTTACAATTTCTTTATCACTTACTGATTTTGTTGATAATTCTTCGATTTCATCCTTATTTTCATTTTGTTTTTCATCATCAATTGATTCAAGTTTTACACCTTTAACGGAACTTTCAACATTGTTAGCAGGTTCAGTTTTCTTTTGATCTATTAATTTTTCCATCAAGTTTATATTCATTGCTTCTACTTTATCAATTTCAACTTCCATTAATTTTTTTCTTTCTGCTAATAATCTTTGCTGGTAAGGTGAAGAATAGTTGATAGAAAATGGTTCAATTTCTTCTTCACCATTACCAGCTTTTCTTTTGATTCTTCTCTTCCTCTTAAAAAACTCTCTCCTTGCCTCATCCACTTCGTCTTGAGGACGGATGAAAGCTTCTTTCGAGACAACTCTTAAGATGTTTTTCATTGGTTTTCTTTTTGATAGTAAAGATTGACGTTGCCTTTCCTTTTTCACAATTTCTTGCTCTTTAAATTTATTCAATGATTCAATATTCTCTTTTTCAGTTTCTATAGCTTGGGCCATTCTTTCTTCTTGAGTTGGTTCTTTAGCCTTCTTCCTTTCAACATAAACATATTTCGCTTTTCTTTTTTCACTCTCAATTAATCTATCAACTAGTGCTTGTTTACTTTCAACTGCTGCTGATCTCGATGATGATCTTCTATTTGACATTAATAATGAATCCGATGTAACTAATGGTGATTTCTTTTTTGGAGCTGGTGGTTTTGTATTGACTTTTTTAATTGCTGGTATTATTGTTTTCTTACGTTTCTTTCTTACTCTTTCTTGTTTTTGTAGTTCTCTTTCTCCCTCACTTGCATCTGAATCCGAAGCTGATATATCTGAGTCTGAAAGTTGTTCATCCAAATTCACCTCCTCTTCTTCCTCTTCAATGTCACTATCTCCATGCCGCCTTTTCTTGGTTGTTGATTCATTATTGTTCTCTTCATCTTCATTCTCTTCTTCTTCGTCCTCATCTATTCCCGCTAGATTTTCATTATCTAATTCTTCATCTATAAATTCTTGATCATCTTCATCATCTTGAAATAACAAATTGACATTTTCATCATCTTCTGTTACAAATTGATTATTATCTTGTGACTCATTTGTTTGTTCTTCTAATTCAATTAATTGTTTTAATCTTGAACCTGCATTTGTTCTTCTGGCTCTTGTAGCCATTAAACTCTCGAAAATTTCTTCATCTTCTGAATCACTCATGAACTCTTGAATGATGTTGTTAAGTTATTGTTAAATTCTGATATTTTAATGTGTGTAGAAAACAGGTACAAATAATCTGAAAAATAATTTATAATTTATTTTAATTTTTTAATCTCGAGTACTTATCAATTCAACTACATAATAAATTAATGAATATACGGATATTTCCCAAGTCATTAAGACAATGGAGTCAAATAAGGCATATAAGTAAAAGCTCAATATGCTCACATCAAAACACAAGTGGATTCACCAGTTCCTCACCATCAGAAATGACACATTTTAACGCTTTAGCATCGTCATGGTGGGATGTCAATGGACCACAAAGAATATTACATAAAATGAACCTATTAAGAATGGATTTTATATATGATACTATTCAGCTGCATTTAAAATTAAATACCAATGTTGCATCAGAAGAAGATGAAATTTATATACCACCTTTCAATCTTGATTTATTACCAACACAGATCAAAAACAAAATCATAGAAGATCAAAATTTAAGAAAAGAACAATTGTTGAATATAACTAGATTAAATGTGCTAGACGTTGGATGCGGTGGCGGGATACTATCCGAATCAATGGCAAGATTACCATTTGTTGGAACTGTCAAAGGTATAGATTTATCATCAGATGTATTACAAGCTGCAAACTTACATAAATCAAAAGATCCAATATTGACCAATAAATTATCATATGAATTATGCGCTATTGAAGATATACCAAAAAATGAAAAATTCGATATAGTCACTATGTTTGAAGTTTTAGAACATGTTGATTATCCATCAAGAGTATTACAAGAAGGATTAGAGAGGTTAGATGTGGGAGGTTGGTTATTTTTATCAACTATAAACAGGGACCCTATAAGTTGGTTTACGACTATTTTTATGGGTGAACATATACTAAAAATTGTACCTGTTGGAACTCATACTTTGGAAAAATACATTAATCAATATGAAATCAAAGATTGGTTAGAAGAAGATTCAACAAGAAAACAACAATATCAAGTTGCTTCTACGAAGGGTTGTGTCTATATACCTGCTTATGGTTGGAAATTTACTTCTTGTCCTGATATTGGAAATTACTTCATGGCCATTCAACGTGTAAAATAAGGGCGCCGTTGATATCGTAAACTATGTGTCAATGTAAATAAATAAAAGTTAATCCATCCTTTCATTAATCCTACGTCGTAGCTTAAGTAAGAGTGCGATTCATACTTAGAGATAATCTACGTTGTCTTGAAGTACACAAAAACTTACTTAATAAAGTTCTTCTGCAATTAAGTTTATGCAAACACATTACTCATTAAATTTAAAGACCATACAACTCTCAATTTGCTACTTCTTTCGCCTTTTCTGGTTCTTCATCTATAAAATTTGGTAATTTGTCAGTTGTAGTAGTTTCAGCATCATTTAAATAGCTTGGAGCACCAATCCCACTTTCTGCCATTTCGTTTTCAAAATCAATTTCCTCTCCCAAGGCTTCTAATTCAGCATCTAATTCAGATTCACTAATTTCATCAGGTACATCATAACTTGTACTTAAAGCTTCTTGTAATTCATTCGATTTATCTATAATATCTAGCATTTCATCTTGTAAATTTTCTAATTCGTCTATGTTTATTTTACCATATGTTTTCTTGAGTTCCTTGTTGGCTGTTTTCATTGCATTTATTGTTACCATTGTATTTTGTAAATTATCTGTTGTCATTGACGCTTGTGACATGTTCCATGATTGATTTTCTAATTGATCTTTTTGTCCTTCTATTTGCTTCCTCTGTCTTAATAACTTTAAAGCTTTTTGTTTTAATGCTGATTTACCGGGACCATCTCTCATTCTACTTATCTTTTGTTGATATGTAGATAATTCTGAGTTTATTTTACTTAATTTTACATCTAGTGATCCAACTCTATCATCAATTCCTTTTATTGCATCGTTTAATGATGGCTTGGGTACTGTGCTTTTGGTTCCAAATAATCTATTCATCGTAGTTGTATGATTGTAAGTGGCGTTGATCAAATTCTATGATGTAAGTCCAATCTCTACTTTTCTCCATTAAAAGTTTATCGTAAATTTTGAGCCGCACTGTTTTTCCAACTTTGTACACAATATCAATAGATCATATATTTAGCAAGTCAAGTAATTCAAGAGTCTCAAAGTTTAAGAAGTAAAAGGTCAAGGATGCCTGAAGTTTCAGAGGTATGTTTAAGTTTTAGTCAATTGTAGTGTATTTTGAACTTATACTAACAAAATCTCAAGGTTGCTCACATTGTTGCATTATTAAAAAGGAATGTGATTGGGTTTAAAATATCAAAAGTCAATCTACAATTAGATAAATTATTATTCCCAGTGTTGAAAGACTCACCAAACCCTGAAGAAGAGCTAGAAAAAATGAAACAGACATTCATTGATTCAGAAATTCATTCTACTGGTAGGCACGGCAAATATTTCTGGTTAAGATTATTAAGAGGTGGAGATCCAAAAGAAAATTCAAACGTGTTGTTGATGCACTTTGGCATGACTGGTATGATTAAGATACGGAATGTTAAATCTCATTTAGTATTTATGGAGAATGGTGGTGATAAAAAGTTTAAAAAGAAATTAGAAGGTGAAGAGGACGAAGCTAGTGAAATTAAAGTTGAATTAGATTCTGAATGGCCTCCAAGATTTACAAAATTCGAGTTTGAGTTGATAAAGGGAGATAATAAATTAGAGTTAGCTTTTTGTGATCCAAGAAGATTAGGTAGAGCTAGATTAATAACGGATCCAAAAGCTGCAACAGATGAAGGTCTATTAACATTACCACCATTGAACGTGTTGGGACCAGATTATAGTAAATCAGAAGAATATGTCAAATCGGAAACTGAATTTATATTTGGTGATCCTGATCCACTGCATCATGGAAGACCAAGGTTAGGTATTCAAGATTTCAACAAATTAATATTAACAAGAAAAAAACCACTTAAGAGTCTTTTGTTAGATCAACAATTATTCGCAGGTGTTGGAAATTGGGTTGGTGATGAAATTACATTCCATGCAAAATTACATCCAGAAGAAGTGATATCAAGTAAAGTGGAAAACAATATAGAAGTGATCCATCCAATTATACAAAAATTATACGACTCAATAATATATGTATGTGAGGAATGTGTGAAATGTGAAGGTAATGCAAAACAATTCCCCGATCATTGGTTAATGCTTCATCGGTGGGGTAAAGCTAGAAAAAAACAAGGGAAATCTCAAACTAAAGAAGGATATGTTTTAGATCATATAACTGTTGGTGGAAGAACCAGTTGTTATGCACCAGAAATACAAAAATTATTGAAAAAGGAATTTGGGGTTGAAGATGGTGATGTTGAAGTTAAAAAAGAGCCAAAGAAGAAAGCTGCTAAATCAATCAAAGATGAGCCAAATGTGGAAGTGGAAGTGTCACTCAAAGAACCCAAAAAAAGTCCAAGAAAAAGAGTCAAAAAAGAAGAGGACGTAGAGTTGAAAGAAACCAAAGTCATAAAACCCAAAAGAGCAAAGAGGGCCACAGAAAACCCACCAAACGGAGAAGCACCGAAGGAGACAGAAGTAGTAAGCGGCAGAAGAAGATCAACACGTATAAAATCTAGAACTAATATATAGTATTAATATACAAAATTAGACAAGAATGCAAAAACTCTACCCCAATAATCCACCAGTATAAGCCAAGGACCAAGTCCTAGACATCCCATTATCAATTTGTGCGGGATTGAAACCAGGGTCAGCAAACCATTCATAGGAACTCTTAGGGTCAAATAAAGCCTTGTTTAGCATCAATATACCTTTCCAACCATCTGGAATTTTATCTATAATAGAAGCCAACTTTGCGTCCCATTCCTCTTTTACAAATTGAGGTGATCTAATATATCCTGATATGGGAGTTATTGGTAACATATGAATTCCATGAATCCATTCATCACCTATGCTTCCACGACCGAAATAAGTTGCGTAATCTATCTTATTCTCAAACAAAATACCAGATACTTTATTTCCGATAATTTTCAGTGGTTGAATCTTATTATCATTCGAATATAACATGTACATATTCATTGCTCTTCGCATTATTGCCAACATTAAATTAGCTCTATCTTCCATTGCTTTATCCTTAATTACATTGGCAAATAATTTCATCCCATAAGCAAAATGATAATCTTCACTAGATGATTCTTCATCTTTTCCATCACCAGATGCAAAAATTCCATGTGCAAAGGAATGTCCATTGTACCAACAAAAGCTTCTTGATTGTGGAAAGAATGCATCTGCTTCTGGACTTGCTGTATCCCTTAACAACGTGATAGCGTAGTCATAGACAAGATTATCATTTTCATGTAACCAATTTTCATCTATATGTGCAATTAAAGCAATTGCATGGATATGATATCCATAATGGAAATGATGATCGTTGTAGTTAGAATTACCGAAATCAGCACCCGGATCAGCTGATGATATCAATCCTTTCCAAGTAGTATCATAAACCAAGGGGAATTTTTGTTGATTTTTGGCGAAAATTTCTATAGCTTGTTTTATCTTAGGTAATGTTTGACAAGTTAGGTTTTGATCTTTTAGTATGAAATGACAAACGTAAGCGATATATGCAAATTTGTCTAGAATTTTACCTGATGTATACATTGAATCTATGTTGGCCATTCCTATGACATCTTGTTTGATTTCTTCAGTTGCTGCTTGACCAATTAATTGTATAGCAGATGATGAAAATCTAGCTTCATTGGAAAAAGAAGTCCATGGATCCCACGTTATATCTATTGGTAAATCAGTTTCTTGCATTACTAGTTCGTTTGTTTTATAAGCTTTCATTAATCCTTTTGTTGGTGAATCTAAAGTTAGATCTGTATCTCCACCAGATTTAATAATAACTTGTTGATGAGGCAATGCCCATACTAAAGTGGTACCAGTTCTAGATCTACCAACTATATTATACTTGAATGCATATTCTCCAATTTTACCATCAACAACACCGGATAAATCACAACTCGTAGGATAACAACCAACAGTTTCATCATAATGACAAGAATCACCACGTGCAATTTGAATTGTTCCTGGACTATTACCAACTATATGATTTGGGTCTCTTAAACTCAACTCAATGTCACTATAAATTGACCAAACTACTTGATTAAATAATTTTGCAGTGTATTTAGTCAATCCATCAATTTTAGTAACTTTTTTAAATTCTTGAACACCAACTTGTGAAGCTAAAACCGGTTTTATTCTATCATAGATAGCAGTAATGAACCCCATTCCATACATTAATGGAACAACAATACTACCTTGATTATTCTCCAATCTTGCAGTTACTGAATTCTTTCTGTGATCATGTAATGTTAATTTTACATTGTTGAAGTTATCACCACTTAAAACGAATGATTTAATTCTTGGTGGATTAAAATAAAACTGTGATGTTTGTGTGTTTGGATCGGGTCCAAATACTCTTTGTTGTGCATCTGTGTGATTGAACGCGAATCCATGATCTTGATCTGGATCTTTTGTGAGCCAAAGTGAATAAGGTAAAGTCCATATAGGGAATGTCTGATCTTCTAATGTCAAGTTGTTATAAAAATTATTGGTTTGAATTGGTTGATCTAATGTACATCCTTGTGGTTTTAATGGATGCTCCCTTCTTTTGAATAACTTTGGAGGTTCACCAGTTGCAATTGGATTACTGAAAATATTGTCTCCTTTTAAAACTTGGCTATGTTGTTGTTGATCTTTATTTTGTTGCTGCAATTGAGGTTGTTGTTGCATTTGCAAAGGTTGTTGAGGTGGATTTTGCTGTCCATGGTGTAATCCCAATTTCTCAAACTTGTTCCTTAAGTCTTTAAAACCCATAACATCAAGTTTATACTAAACAATCAATGTTACGATTCTATCGAATAACTTACATGTTTAAGAATTTTACATGAAATTTTACGAATCGCATATTTCCTAATTGGGATTCAAAATTCCGCTTTGACATATCGTAATCTTAAATTCCGTTTTATCATTTTCATAAAACAAACTAATTATGTCGAAATTGAATCAACACTAAGCATAGTCATCACCATTAAAGATGTTGAAATTATTGATTCTACAATTAATCATATCAATCGCTTATGCAACATCAGACTTAAAAGACAAATGGGGTACTTTATGGCAATTTCAAGGTATAGCAACATTTGCACATTTAGATCATTTTCAATGTTTAGTTGAACCAGATCAAGATTTCGATATTGGAATTATAGGCGTACCTTTTGATACCGCGGTATCATATAGACCAGGTGCAAGATTTGGTCCCAGAGCTATTAGAGATGCATCACAACGTCAATATAGCTTGAGGGGGTATAATCATAGAGCTAATTTCAATCCTTACAAGTCTTGGGCTAAGATTAATGATTGTGGTGACATACCTGTTAGTCCAATGGATAATAAATTAGCTTTTAAGCAAATGGATTTAGCTTTTGATGAATTATTATCTAGAAATTCAGTAGTCGATTCGAACTTACCACCAAGATTAATTGCTTTGGGAGGTGATCATTCTGTATTATTACCACATATTAGAGCATTATATAAAGTATATGGGCCATTAAATATATTACATTTTGATGCTCATTTAGATACTTGGAAACCTGATAAGTATCCTTCTTATTGGAGGACTGATCAAAGTGATTTAAGTCATGGATCAATGTTATGGCAAGCTAACGAAGAAGGATTGACAACAAAAAAAAATGTTCACGTTGGTATAAGAACTAAATTATCAAGTTTAGAAGATTATGAAGATGATGATTCACAAAATTGGGTAAGAATTGAATCAGATGATATTTGGTTAAAAGGACCACAATATGTAATAGACAAGATTTTGAATACTATTCCCAAAGATACCCCAACTTATATATCAGTAGATATTGACGTACTTGATCCAGGCAATGCACCAGGTACTGGTACCCAAGAATCTTCAGGTTTATTACCAAGAGAGCTTATTCATTTATTAAGATCTATTGATGATTTGACTATCGTTGGTGCAGATATTGTTGAAGTTGCTCCAGCTTATGATATTTCTGAAATTACCGCTTTAAATGCTGCTCAAGTTGTATTTGAATTATTAACAAGTATGGTCAAAAAGGGTAAAGTTGATAAAGATCTAGTGAATAAAGAAGTTAAAGTATTTAATTGATGGATTGGAAGAAAAGAAAAATATTGTATAAGATTGATTTAATGTATTATTTATCATCTTTTATTTTAATGTGAATTTCATCTTTAAAAGAGGCGAAAGTGTAGCGAAAGCGCTTTAGTTTGACAAGAAATTTTCAGAATAAAATTTTACGAATTGAAGCACAAAAATAAAATATTGTACAAAATTATAAAATATAATTTCTAAATTTTTAAATTAGAAAATAATTTTGTATGAACAAATTATGAAAGGATTTCTTTTCATGGTTACATTAATATAATTCTACCAAATTGAAATCGGATCTTAGATTTGTTTTTGTAATTTTTTCTATACTTTTTGAAAAATAATCTTAAAAATTATTCAACACAATAATTTAAAAATTCTTGTACTGCATATACTTATCTTTATTACATTACACAAAGTAGGTTTTGTGCCCACGCATCCGTATGAAGTGGATTTATGACATCCGTGAAAAAAATATCCGTAATCAAAAGAGAATGCAACCTGGAAGAGGCGATCTTATATGTAGATGCAATTAGTGACCATGTTTTCAAAGTATCTATATAATGCTTTACACTAAAATTTGATTCAATCTTGGGGGCAGTGAAGAGTCTATCTAGTGTATAATGAAAAAAATATAGAACCCCTTTTTCTATATATAGCATTACTAGATTTTTTCTCATAACGCTCATACGACCACGCGTTGAAGAAAGTGCTGAAGTGTATATACAATACCTAGACGTTCAATTGATTTGCTCGTTGGTTACGATTGCCCTTGTGGATGACTGTAAATGGTTGTCATATGTAGTTTATCTAAATTTTCAACTTAACTCCAATTTTAATAATAATAAAATATTTTAATATTGTTTGACATTTATTACACAAAAACCATTCTAATAGAATTCCGTTATAGAACAAATAGAAATTTGCTAATTTTGAATTTGATGAGGCTTTTTTTAATTTTGTTTAACTTAGTTTTTGAAATTGTAAATTCAATATAAATATAACAATCCCTTTTCATTTAGATTTTCAGACTGGTCTTCTTTTTGTTCATTGTTGTTAGTACTCAATTGATCAACTTATTCATTAATACATTATCAACATATTTTAAATTAAAGAAATTATGTTAGGTAGCACAAAACGAAACGTATATTCAATACATCATCAAATTAAGAGAAAAGTATCAACAAATGTTCATACCCATACAATAAAGACACCAATTGGATTAGATGCAGCAATTCAAGAATTAAAACCTAAAACCACAAGATTATCAACAGAAGGAACAGTAGATTGTCCATTAACTGGATTTGCATTACTTAATTCACCATTTTTAAATAAAGGTTCAGCTTTTACAAATGAAGAAAGACAAGCTTTTGGTCTTGTGGGATTGTTACCTCCTAGAGTAAATACTTTAGATGAACAAACTAAAAGAGCTTATGCACAATTCAAATTACGTATAAATGATTTAGCTAAAAACTCGTTCATGGATTCGTTAAGATTACAAAATAAAGTACTATTCTTTGATTTAATTCGTAAACATGTTAAAGAAATGTTGCCAGTGATTTATACTCCCACGATAGGTGATGCTATAGCGGATTATTCACATAGATTTAGAAAACCTGAGGGGTGTTTTTTAGATATTGGCTCTCCAGAAACTATTGATGAGAGATTAGCTGCATTTGGTGGTGAAGAAGATATTGATGTTTGCATCATTAGTGATGGCGGCCTGATTCTTGGGATTGGTGATTATGGAGGTGTTGGTGGCTCAGTTATGTATGTATAATGAAGACTTGTCAGAAATCTAAATACTAACTAAAACCATTTTAGAGCTGTTGGAAAAGGTTCAATAGTTGTAGCAGCAGGAGGTATACAACCTCATCGTATCTTAACAATAGGTATAGACGTTGGAACTGACAGAAAATCCCTACTAGAAGACCCCTTGTACCTCGGTCGTAGAACCAAACGAGTTCAAGGACCAGAATATTACAAATTTATGGACAAATTTATAATGGCATTTAAAAAGAGATTCCCAAAATCAGTATTACATTTTGAGGATTTCCAAACTGAACCAGCTAAAACATTGTTACATAAATATAGAGATATATTACCTTGTTTCAATGATGATATTCAAGGTACTGGTTGTGTTGTTGTTGCATCTTTAAAAGCAGCTTTGAAGTACACAAATAGAGAAATTACAGACAGTAAAATATTGATATATGGTGCTGGATCAGCTGGTATGGGTATTGCACAACAAATCATTTTGAATTTAATTACTTCAGGTTTAACTGAGGAAGAAGCACGTAAAAGAATTTATTTAATGGATAGATTTGGATTAATTACAACAACAACAGAATCAACAGAAGCTCAAAAACCATTTGCTAAACCAGTTAATGATTGGGAAGGTATTGATACTAAAAATTTAGTTCAAGTTGTAGAACATATTAAACCAACTTGTTTAATAGGTTGTTCAACTCAACCAAAAGCATTTAATGAACAAGTTATAAAAACAATGTATAAATACAACAAACAACCTATAGTATTTCCTTTATCAAATCCAACAAGATTACACGAAGCATTTCCTGAAGATATAATGAAATGGACTGATAATCAAGCATTAATAGCAACTGGATCACCATTTAAACCAGTTGATGGATACGCTATATCGGAAAATAATAATTGTTTTGCATTTCCTGGATTATTATTAGGTTCTGTATTATCAAGAGCTTCCAAAATAAGTGATTCAATGATCAGTGCTGCTGTAGATAAATTATCAGATATGTCTCCCAAATTTCAAGATCCTAAAAATGGTCTTTTACCAGATATTTCACAATTAGATTATGTTTCAGCACATGTTGCTAGTGCTGTAGTTTTAGCTGCTATAGATGAAGGTTATGCTCGTGTTGAAGAAGAACATAGACCTAATGGAGAATATGTTCGTGTACCTCGTGAACCTGAACAAAATTTAAAATGGGTTATTTCGCAAATGTGGGATCCGATTTATAGACCTTATAATAAGATTGAATATACTGTTCAAACGACTCAATATTAGGAAAAATTGTTTGGTTATGATCTACCTTTTTGCAGCCATCAATTTTATTTTATTTATTCAATTTTATATTTTAGATCAACTTAATAAACGAATAATTTTATAAATCATCAAAATTTTTTATATTTGATTCATCTGATTAATACCAGCTGTTAGAATTATTTCTGTAAATTCTCTTTAATGTAAAATGTTAATGTGTATTGTATTCTACATGATCTCTATAAATAATAATAATAATAATAATGCAAAATCAATGTTCATCACCACCTAAGCATGGAAAATCCTAGTTCTTCTTTTCTCAATTCTATCAGCAGTACTCAAATCACCACCCCTTCTTTGACTCATGTATAATTTAGCATCAGATTCACAAACAATAGAATCATTAACAACATAATAATCATTCAGAATACCAACAGAGCATACAGAACATTTTAAACAATGAATATGCCATTTTTGTTGTAAGTCGTTTTCAATACATGATCCTTCGATTCCAATACCACATTTAGAACAAGTTGATGAATTCACGAGATGATAATGTTGGAAACAATATGGGTTATTTTCGTAAACGTAACATTGGACTTTTTTGTTGAAATTTATGGAACAGTTGGAGTAAGAGCAATGGAAACATGATCTATGCCATTGACCTGATAATTCACCAGTTTTTGAAAAGATTGGTTTTTGTGAACCTTTTCCCATGGGATCTATTTGTTGATGACAAGATCTACATGGACCTGTACCTGGTTGGTATACTTGAGTGCTAAATTCTTTTGGATGATCGGTGACTACTATTGTATCAAAACTTTGGTCTGGTTCATCATCTGTGATTTGTTTTTCTAAATCATTAATTTCAGTAATGATTTTTGTAAATTCAGCAGAATCTTTTCTTTTTGTTATGATTTCGTCATTGTTGTGATGAACGTTTCTTTTAGTAGGTGACACTATTGATTGTGATACAGATAATGGTTGGATTGATTCAATTGAAGCAATAGACATTTCATCGAGGTTACTATCTTTAGTATTTTGAGAATCTGAACTATCTCTTCTTGGTTCATCAACGTTTGAAATTTGGAATTGTGGAACTGGTGCGTTTTTCAAACGAATTGAATTTAATGACTGTAATGAATTTATTGTCTTTGTAGGGGATGTATTTGATGAATTTGATGCAATTGAGGACTCTTGAATTTGATCAAAGTTCCCACCTTCGTTTTTTATTGTTTTGAGTTGCTTTTCTAATTCTTGTTCTATTCTTTTATCTTCCTCATTGAATGATTCTTTTGAAAGAATGGAACTGACCATTGAAGTTTGACTAATTCTCTTATCAGTGGTACCAGTTGATAAAAATTGATTATAATCATTTTGTTGTGTTTCATTAGTTGAATGCTCTGGATTTTTAAAATTTTGAAATTTAGATAATCCAATTTCAGAAGGTGATTGATTAGGTAAACTAGGTGGTTCAATATTACTTTTGATGGTATGTTGACGATGTTCTAAATCATGTTTGAATTCATCTAATGCTGGTGATAATTTATCTTCTCTAATTTCTGAATATGTAGGTTGACGTGTAATACCTGGTGGTTGATATCTTTGCTGTTGTTGTCGTGGTGGTTGTTGGTGGAATTGTTGTGGTGGTTGTTGGTGGAATTGTTGTGGTGGTTGTTGGTGGAATTGTTGTGGATGCATTGTTGGCATTGGTGGTGATGGTCTGTTTTGCAGACGTGGTGGATAACCTGGTGAATGCATTGGTGGTTGATTGTTGAAACCATTTGGTGGGAAGTTTTGTGGTGGTATTTGGTTTTGATTTTGACCTCTTCGTGATGGTTGGAAAGGCGGACATTGCTGTTGATAATGTTGTTGTTGGTGATGTTGATTATGATATGGTTGTTGTTGTTGATGTTGTTTTTGATGAGGTCTCATTTGAAACTGAGATTGTTGTTGCAAAGTAGGAGAATAATTTGGACTCATTGGATACGGTACTTGTTGATTATGTTGTGGAGTTATATTTCTATTCATCATTGAACCATTTTGTTGTGGTAAAAAAGGTTGTTGTTGAGGTTGACCATTCATCATTGGTGGTCTTTTTCTTAATTTTCTTGGATCAAATTGTTGTTGATTTTGTTGAGGTGGTGGAGCTTGTTGAAAATTTGGAGATATTTGTGATGACGATTTATTTGATGATGGTGGAGTTGGTAATTGATAACCTTGTTGTGCATAGATATCTTGAGATTGTACTGGTTGGCTGTTTCTTGAATTATGCGAATGGTTCGAGTGGTTAGAATGACTTGAATGAAAAGAATGATTTGATGGATTGGAATGTAACTTTTTAAATTCAGATTCCCCATTTCTAGGTATAGAATTTACAGATTTATTCGAATGATATGATTTATTTGATATATCTGAAGTATAGGAATGTAAAGAATGAGAATTAGATTGAATTTTTTGAGCTTTATTCATTTGTTGTAAATCACTTAATTGATCTTCTTGTTGTAAATCTAAAGTTAAATTCTTGATATTTTTTTGAGATTTTGCTGGACTTACTTCATTTAAAGAATTCAAATTTATTTCATTAAATTCGTGTTGTTGTTGATAAGTTCTTTGATCCAGATATAAATTAGTTGATGAAGAAGTATTTGAAGTATTTGTTGCATTAGATTGTTGAAATTCACCAGTATTTCTAAATGTAGTAGTTGAACTATTACTTTTACCATATGAACCCATTGAATTTGATTTACTTGATGCAGATGATGATGAAGTTGTTGTATTATTTTGATATTCAGAGTTTGGAGAAGTATTATCAAAATTATTTTGGTTGTTATTAACTGATAGCTTTTTATTGTTTGCAGTTGTATAATTGTTGTTATTATGGTTTTGATTTTCAAACTGAGTAATATTATCATTTGATCTATGCAATGGTTTATTTGAATAATTATTCAGATTATGATTATCATATGTACTATCATTTGGAGATTGTTTTGATCCATTATTATTATTATTCCCAAAATTTTTATTTACATCAAATCCAGCTCTTTCATAAACTCCTTTATATTTATGTTGTGGATTAAATGGTGGAAAAGCAGAATCTAAAGTTCTTGGTGATTGTTCTGCTTTACGCATAAACGTTGGAAATGAAATCATACTTGGACTCTCTTGCATTATTCAAAAATTAAAATGTGGGCTGGCTATTGAGTGAAGCTGTAGTTGCAATAAGTAAAACGAAAGTGTAATGAAAATGATTGACTAGGTTGAATTTGATTGAAGAAAGTGACGATAAATTAAATATCCCCCCTCTCTATTGTTGTTGTTGTGTTGTTATGTTGACTATAATTTAGACGATTGACTTTTGGAAATATAAATTTGCAACCAACTTTTTTAATTTTTTTCTCTCTAATCCCTCTGGCAATAAAATGAAACGTTGAAGTTATACTCTTGATCAATGTTTTTTTATTACCTTCAAAACGTTGGTTGATTAATTGATTTAATTGAAAAACTAATAAAATTTTAACTTAATTGTCAAGTTGTCAAAAAACTCAAAATGTAAAAATTTTAATTGTACAATAAATTGATTTTATTATTTGTTTATATTTTTATTACTATTATTACACAATAATAGAATAATTATTATTATATATCGTGTTTTGTGTTTAGTATGTAAGTTAGGATTTTATTAACTAAATTTAGTTAAATTAATTTTTTAATATTACATACTTATGCTAATGATTAGTTAGTATCAATTAAAATCAAGTTTAATTGACGGTTATAATATGAAGGTGTACTATTCGATGATCTGATCTATAACTAATTTATAATATACTTCAAGTTCAATTTAATATATTATTATTCGAAAGTTTAAAGTATATTCAATATTTAAGCTTAACAAGAATTCTTCTATAAGTTGTATTAAAATATTTCACTCATTAAAATATTTTGATAGAATAAAAATAAGAAAAAATCACTTTGAGTAAATACAATTATTACACTAAATTTTAATACCGAATAAGATTTATTTATTAGTCGAATTAATGAAATTGTTGAACAAATATTACAATAACAAAAGGTAAGAACTTAATCGAATTTTATAATTATTCAAGGAATAATAAACAATACAAATTACATCTTCATAAGCACTTTTATATATACGCGTATTAAAAACAGCTTAGATAACACAAAAAAAAAGCTGAACATGGTAGCTATTTTTGACAAAATTATTTAATGACATATATTTTTATGTCTGGACAAACTCTCAAAAAATCTTGAATCTTCTATTATTGTGTTAATTGATAATAATATTATATTATCGTACATATTTTGATTCCTAACAACATCTTTTAATCAATCATAAACTCAATTAAATAATTATGGAAAATGTTTATACGGCATTATCATTATCATTAATCACCAAAAACAGATTTGTTATATCATGTGAAGAATCAACAAAAGCTATAAATCAATTTATAAATTATATTTTACAACCAATTAATTTTAATCAATCACAATATGTAATAATAGATTTACTACAAAATAAAACAGATGATGAAATTTTAGATCAAATGTCTTATGTTGTTGATGATAAATTATGGTTTAAAAATATTATAATTTGGCAAAATTTACAACATTTGGAAAACAAGGAGTATAAAAGATTATACAAATTAATTTTACAAATTGATAATTATAATATGAATTCTTCAAAATTATTAAATAATTTACCATCAAGTTTTACTATAGATAAAAAGATAATAGAAATATATAAACCAAAATTATTTACAATTATACCATTTTTGGAATATGATTTATATCGAAATAAAATTTATCCTTTTTTAAAAGAACAATTTTGGTATAGTATAAATTTCCCCATTATAAGTGATTCAACATCTAATCAACTATCAGATGTTAAATTTATGCCAAACACACAAGATACACTATTAGTGTTACGATCCAAAATGGATAAAGTATTTATGTCACCTGAAATTAAAGGTTATATATATTCATTAATTGTTTTTATTAGGTGTCATAGAATAGGTTCATTAGCTCCAAAGCAAGTTAGAGTTCCTACCATAACCTTAGAATACGTTTATGATTTTTGTAAAGCTTTAGTATTATGGAAGAAGAAATTATTAATAGATGAACAACCTCCATCACAATTACATTCAATCGAAAAAACAGAAGAGAAAATTGAAGAAAAAATATCATCATTATCTGATAGCGGTACATCAGAAACAGCAACAGCAGCAACAGATTTTTACATTAACACAGATGAATTATTTATAACTCCAGAATACGTTAAACTAGCAATTCGTAAGATATGTTATTGGTTAGTAGATTGGGAGTACAACACTAAATTTGCCAATACTGATGATTTTAAATATACAAATAATGAAGAACAACAACAAATACTAGCAACAAAGAAGTTAGAGATTAGCATGTTAACTGGTGATTGGTATGGTAGTGATTATAATCATGTTAATGAATATTTAAAGGGGTATAAACATGAAAAGGATTATGATAGTCCTACTGGGTTTACTAACAAAATTATTGAAGAGTGTATTAATCTGGTTAGACCACCTTTATAAAGCTTAGTAAATATAATCTTTTATTCATTAATTTGACCTAACGTTGTAGAGGCTTGGTGTAATAAATCATGTTAAGCGGTTGTATTCGGCTCTAAAGTTTGGTAGCTTCAATGTTTGAGAATTACTGCTATTTTGCCTCTTTTTCTGAATTACCTGGTCAAACGGGCCAGTTCAGCCTATTAACTAAGTAATCGCTGCAATTTTGATCTCTTATGCTTTATCAACAATTCGTTAGTGGATTTGGTTTACTAGTACAGTGAAAATATTTATGGAGTCTATTTGATTAGATAAATAAAAATCGAGCAAAAAAAAAAATCAACGACAGAAATAGAGAGAGAGAAGTAAATTAATTGAAAAATTGAACAACAAATTTGACAACCAAACCTTTTTTTAAATCAATATATATCAATATAAATTTCAGAATTAACATAACAATATAAATCAAGAAGAAACTAATAAAGAAGAAAGATTGAAGGGAATTGAATTGAACTAAAAAGATTTATTTGTTTATTATATTATCATTATAAATATTACTTTTTTTTATCGACATAACAGATTGATTTATCAAAAGTTCAACACTACAAAATGTCAGATATTCCAATTGACTTTACGGAGGTTACTCAATTAACCGATTGGGGTATTTCTCCACAATCATTAGATTTCAAATCAACTACATTAGAATCAGATCGTTATATATGTTCTCGTGAATCAGGTCCACAAGGTAATTCAGTTGCCATTGTTGATTTACAAAATTTAAACAATCAACCAACAAGAAAAAATATGACTGCTGATAATGCAATAATGCACCCTAAAGAATTTGTAATTAGTTTAAGAGCTAATGGTACAACTTTACAAATTTTTAATTTAGGTTCAAAACAAAGATTAAAAGCATATACAATGAATGAACCAGTTATATTTTGGAAATGGCTTGATGATCAACATTTAGGTTTAGTTACTCAATCTTCAATATATTATTGGAATGTTTTCGATGGAACTAATGATGGACCAACAAAATTAACTGATAGACATCAAAAATTAAATAATTCTCAAATTATTAATTTTGTTGCTGAACCTGATTTAAATTGGTTTGCAGTCACTGGTATTGCACAAGAAGATGGTAGAATTGCAGGTCATATCCAATTATATTCAAAAGCAAGAAATGTTTCACAACCTATTGATGGTCATGTTTGTAAATTTGCTTCAATAACTTTAAATGGATCAATACAACCAACAAAAGTATTTTGTGTTGGAAATAAAAACGCTTCAGGTCAAGGAAGTATGCATATAATTGAAATTGATCATGTTGATGGTAATCCTCCTTTCCAAAAAAAAGTTGTTGATATTTTTTTCCCACCTGATGCAAGTAATGATTTTCCAATTAGTTTACAAGCTTCAAATAAATATGGAATTATTTATATTTTAACTAAATATGGGTTTATTCATCTATATGATATGGAATCTGGTGCTAACTTATTTGTAAACAGAATTACTGCTGATCCAGTATTTACAGCCACTAGTTATAATGATGGTACTGGATTATTAACCATAAATAAAACAGGTCAAGTATTAAGTGTTGAAGTTAGTAGAGATAAAATTATTCCTTATGTTTTAGATAAATTATCAAATGTTCCGTTAGCTTTAGCATTATCTTCACGTGGTGGGTTTCCAGGTGCTGAAAATTTATTTAATCAACAATTTCAAAATTATTTAAATCAAGGGGATTATACAAATGCTGCAAAAGTTGCTGCATCATCAGAACAATTACGTACACAAGATACTATTAACAAATTAAAACATATAACTCCACAACCTGGACAAATTTCACCAATTTTACAATATTTTTCAACTTTATTAGATAGAGGTACTTTAAACAAATATGAATCTATTGAATTAGCAAAACCTGTTTTACAACAAGATCGTAAACCATTATTTGAAAAATGGTTAAAAGAAGATAAATTAACTTCAAGTGAAGAATTAGGAGATATTGTTAAATCTTATGATACTGCTTTAGCTTTAGCTGTTTATATTAGAGCTCATACTAATATAAAAGTTGTTTCATGTTTAGCTGAATTAGGTCAATTTGATAAGATTTTACCATATTGTGAAAAAGTTGATTATCATCCAGATTATACAAATTTAATTCAAAACTTAGTTAGAGTTAATCCAGATAAAGCAAGTGAATTTGCAACTTCTTTATTATCAAGTGATACTAAATTGAATGTTGAACAAGTTGCTGATTTATTCTTTTCCCAAAATTATATTCAACAAGGTACTGCATTCTTATTGGATGCTTTGAAAAACGATTCACCAGCTGAAGGACATTTACAAACAAAAGTTTTGGAAATTAATTTGTTGCATGCTCCACAAGTTGCTGATGCTATTTTAGGTAATCAAATGTTTAGTCATTATGATAAACCAACTATTGGTAAATTATGTGAAAAATCAGGATTATTTCAAAGAGCCTTAGAGCATTATGATGATTTAAAAGATATTAAAAGAGTCATTGTTCATACCAATGTATTACCAAACGATTGGTTAGTTTCATATTTTGGTCAATTAAATGTTGATCAATCAATAGCTTGTTTAAAAGAATTGTTTAGTCATAATTTACAACAAAATTTACAAGTTATAATTCAAGTTGCAACAAAATATTCAGATTTAATTGGTGCTAAGAAATTAATTAAACTATTTGAAGAATATAAATGTAATGAAGGATTGTATTACTACTTAAGTTCAATTGTAAACTTAACCCAAGATCCAGATGTCGTATTCAAGTACATTCAAGCAGCTGCAAAATTAAATCAAACTAAGGAAATTGAAAGAATTGTTAGAGATAACAATGTTTATAATGGTGAAAAGGTTAAAAATTTCTTAAAAGAAGCAAAATTAGAAGATCAATTACCTTTGGTAGTGGTTTGTGATAGATTTAATTATATTCATGATTTAATTTTATACTTGTACAAAAATCAACATTTTAAATTTATTGAAGTTTATGTTCAATCTGTTAATCCTGGCAAAACTCCACAAGTTGTTGCTGGTTTATTAGATGTTGATTGTGATGAAGCCATTATTAAAAATTTATTGATGTCAGTATTAGGTAGAGTTCCAATTAAAGAATTAGTCGAAGAAGTTGAAAAAAGAAATAGATTGAAAATATTGTTACCATACTTGGAAAAAACTTTAGAAGGTGGTTCAAGCGATCAAGAAGTTTTCAATACTTTAGCTAAAATTTATATTGATTCAAATAATTCACCCGAAAAATTCTTACAAGAAAATAACAATTATGATACTTTAATTGTTGGTAAATATTGTGAAAAAAGAGATCCGTATTTAGCTTATATTTGTTATTCTAAAGGTGGTAATGATGAAGAATTAATAAATATCACTAATGAGAACAAGATGTATAAATATCAAGCAAGATATTTATTAAATAAATCAGACCTTGATTTATGGAGTACAGTTTTAACATCAGATAATATTCATAGAAGACAATTAGTTGATCAAATCATTTCAACAGGTATTCCAGAATTAGATGATCCAGAACCAATTTCAATCACCGTTAAAGCATTTATGGATAACGAATTACAAGAAGAATTAATGGAATTATTAGAAAAAATCATCTTGGAACCATCTGCTTTCAGTGAAAATTCCTCATTACAAGGTTTAATGATTCTTACTGCTATTAAAGCTGATTCATCAAAAGTTTCAAATTATATTGAAAAATTAGATAAATTCGATCCAAATGAAATTGCACCATTATGTATTACAAATGGTTTAAATGAAGAAGCATTTGAAGTTTATGATAAATTCCAAATGAGATCAGAAGCAATGAAAGTCTTGGTTGATGACATTGTATCATTAGATAGAGCAGAACAATATGCTGAAAAATATGATACTTCAGAATTATGGTATCAATTAGGTAATGCACAGTTAGATGGGTTAAGAATCCCTGAAGCTATTGAATCATATGTTAAATCCAAAAATCCTGAAAACTATGAACAAGTTATTGAAATTGCTGAACATGCAGGTAAAGAAGAAGAATTATTACCTTTCTTGGAAATGGCAAGAGAAACTTTAAGAGAACCAATTATTGATGGAGCATTTATTAATGCTTATGCTACATTAGATAAATTAGGTGATATGGAAAAATTTGTATCAAGTTCGAATGTTGCAGATTTAGAAACTATTGGTGATAAATTATTTGAAGCTAAAAACTATAAAGGAGCTAAAATCTTATATTCTAACGTTTCTAAATATTCAAAATTAGCTACAACTTTAGTTTATCTCGGAGATTATCAAGCAGCAGTTGATTGTGCAAGAAAAGCATCAAATACTGAGGTTTGGAAACAAGTTAATAATGCATGTATTGAAAATAAAGAATTTAGATTAGCACAAATTTGTGGATTAAATTTAATTATAGATGCAGAAGAATTACCAGAATTAGTTAAAACTTATGAATATAATGGATATTTTAGTGAATTAATTTCATTATTTGAAAGTGGATTAGGATTGGAAAGAGCTCATATGGGTATGTTTACTGAATTGGCTATATTATATTCAAAATATAGTCCTGAAAAAGTAATGGAACATTTAAAATTATTCTGGTCAAGAATTAATATCCCAAAAGTTTTGAGTGCTTGTGAAACTGCTCATTTATATCCAGAATTAATTTTCCTTTATTGTCATTATGAAGAATGGGATAATGCAGCATTAACAATGATTGAAAAATCGGAAACTTGTTTTGATCATACATCATTTAAAGAAATTATAGTTAAAGCTCCAAATTTAGAAATTTATTACAAAGCAATTCAATTTTATATTAATGAACAACCTAATTTATTAGTTGATTTATTATCAGTGTTGACTCCTAAATTAGATTTACCAAGAGTTGTTCGTATGTTTGTAAAATCAGATAATTTACCAATGATAAAACCATTTTTAATATCAGTATTGGAGAAAAACAATAGTGTTGTTAATTCCGCATATCATGATTTATTAATTGAAGAAGAAGATTATAAAGCATTAAGATCATCAATTGAAAATGAATCAAATAATAGATTCAACAAATTAGATTTAGCAGAAAGATTAGAAAAACATGATTTGATTTTCTTTAGACAAATTGCAGCTACTTTATTTGCTAAGGAGAAAAAATACAACAAGGCTATATCAATCCTTAAAGCAGATAAATTATGGTCAAATCTTTTATCAGTAGTAGCTCAATCCAAATCCCAAAAAATAGCCCATGAAACAATGGATTATTTCGTTGAAACTGGTAATCATGAATGTTTTGTTGCTTTATTATACACTTCATATGAATATATCGCAAATGATTATGTTGTTGAATTATCTTGGTTACATAATTTAGGTAATTTTATAAAACCTTATGAAATCTCGATTATTTATGAAAATCAAAAGAAATTGAATGAAGTTTATGCTGATTTAGAAAAAAGAAAAAATTCTGAAATTAACGGTGAGGAAGAAAGTGGGAGTAGATTAATGATTGGATACTAATTTTTTTGGTGTTTATTTTATTGCTTGTTTTTGTTTTTTGTTGTTTTGTTTTATTTTGTTAGATTGATTTTTTAAAATATACAATAGTTTTGTTATTTAGTTTAATTTGTTAACTTCTATTTCTAACTTTAAGTCTAACTTGAAATTTGCAAAATAATAATACTTACCTATAGTTGTAAAATGATTAAAACTTTTTCCTCTCCGATAAATTATCCACAAATCAGTCTGACAATCTCACCAACAACACTTTTAAGTTCAGTAAAATGTCCATTTGCCAATCCATAATTAATAATCCCCACAGAAATAGCAAAACAACAACTAGTTAAAATAGACCAAATTAAACAAACTCTTACTTTGGTATCTTTTAAATTAAAATAACCTATACTTTTCAATTTTTCATCGGTGCAACAAGCTTTTGTAACGTTGATTCCAAATAGGCCACATATGACAAAGAATGAAGCTGTAAATACGTATGTCGTTTCATGGTTTAGTAATTGTGAAAGATTTAAATATATATTTGGATATCCGATAACTGTTATTATGGCTAAAACTAACGATATAGTTAATCCTATAATTTCAATGGACATGACCTATAAGAACTATGACTTATTAGTTGAGTAATTGAAAATTGTTGAATTTATCATTGTCTTAATTTAAACTAACCATTTTAACTAGATTAAATTGTAAATTATGTCAAATTTGACAAACGGCTTTAATTTCATTTTTGTGTAATTGATGGATTGATATTCGTAAATTTTCAAGATTTACGAATAAAAACGTAATTATTACATTATTAGGTTTTTATTCCTAATTTTATTTCCATTTTCTATTTGCAATATACTCCTTCTCATTATCTATGAAAGATTCTATGTTCTGAATCTAATACCAATTTTTCAGTAGAAAATTTTCAATATTAGTGAAAATTTCCGTATGAATGTGATAACTGAGCCAAATTTATTAAACAAAAAATTGAATCAAATTTAACTATCCATCTCTGCTAAGCATCCTGTCTACCAACAGTCATGTATCTCAAATATCAATGTCAAAAAAGGTAATCAGTCAATTAACCAAATAAACACAAAATCTCATTTGGTTCACTCCAATGTCAAATCTAAATCACAGTCCAGTCAGTTAGTCAAGTTTGTCTCCAAAGGTTGGTTCTCAAGTCTAATAAAATCATTAATTTGTCAATTGGGTTGAAACAACGTCTCCGGTATTCAACTTCGGTAGTTCCCATACTTGTGTTGGTGATGTTTCTCACAAATAATTCTCAATTGATAATGAATGCTAGAATTTTGAAGTTAGTAATAGTAAATGAATAAATAAATAAATAATTCTATATTTGTATGGATAAAAGTTTTTGGTGATCAATTGAAGAAGAAATTGTTGCATAAAATATTTAGAAAAAGAGGAAGTTTGTTTGTATTTATATTATTAATGGCAAACTATTTGGTATGCATCGATTTAGCTGCAAATAAAAGTAAAATTAGTCTACAAGAAAATTATTGAGATTTGTATATCAAATATAGTGAAAGTTTCATGTAGAGATTTATTTGAAATGGACTCAAGTTGAACCTTCTTAAGTACACTGACTTTGTGTCTGGAATTCGTCTGATAAGGTAGTAGTCTTGTACCTAATTACATGAATTCTGAGTTAAACGCGTTGACCTGTCAAAATATGTAAACAAAAAAAAAAATTAAAAACTGTCATGTAAATATCTGATTCAAGAGATAAAAATTTAAATCAAAAATATCAAGATCCCAAAGGAATGCAATTCTTTGCAAATACAGCATGGACAGCTGATTACATAACTGGTTTAAAAACTCTAGAGACACAATCAACAAAATCAATTTCTCAACTACATGATTTTAGAAAATTGGTCTTCAATTATTTAAAGTATTATCATTCAAATAGTGAGTTTTTGAGTAAACATAGCTCAGATCTTCAAAATGGCGAAATCTTAAAAACAACATCAGATGAATCTCCAAATTATAATAAATGCATTGAATTGTTTAATAATGAAATGTCAATTGAATCAAATATTTTGTTACAATTAGCATCCGCAATTGATAAATTTATATTAGATGGAATTACGAAATACTTAAAGCATCATGAACCAAAAATTAAAAAAGAAATTACAAGATTGGAGGAAATATACGATCAATACATTGAATCATCTACAAAATTGAAAAAACTAAAAAATAAATATTTCGATCAATTAAGATTAAAAGAATTTGCAGAAACTCAAGGTCATAAAATTCAAGAACCACAAATACAGCGACATGATGAAGAAATAGATTATAGTGATGAGGAGTCATATGCAGATGATGAAGTCGAAGAAATCAAGACTCAAAAACAAAATATTGAATTCAAATTCCCATTGCATATCGGTACGACAACTTTTGAAAATGAAGAAGAATTACAGCAAATAATAGCTCAATTAATTACCAAAACTCCCACAACCAAAAGAAAGATACCATTACCAGGCTACAAAGCAGATATTTTTGCAAGTGGGTCATTATGTGAAGTATTAACAAAGATAAGAATAAAAGGATTAAAACCATCAAGATCTAATTTTGAAAAATTTGGTCAATCGCTAGTTGATTTAAAACTAATAACCCCAACTAGTATATTTCAAAAGAAGTTCAAAAGTGAAGGAGTGTGGTTTGAATGGTCAGATTTGGCTGATTTTGTAGCTGAAAATTTACCTAATAGTCTTGACTTACCTTCAACTCCAATTAAAACACCATCATCATCAAGGTCGAGTGATAGTACACCGCATAAAGTAACATCACCGTCTAATAAAATCATGTCAGATATATCAGAGACTTCAACAAAATTTAGTGCAATGTTTAATAGTATGAAAAGTACAATATTGAAAACAAATCATGATGAAGTGATTTCAACTACTTTAGAAGATTACAATCACTTGCTATTAGAGGTACAAGAATTAAAGTACTTTTTGGAAATGGGTTACATAGAGTTATCAAAATATTTAGAAAAATTTGAAAAAATGACAATTCAAATCATATATACCAATTCAGCAAGATTATCAGAAATAATATCAAATTTTCATCATGAACAAATCAAACAAATTGACGATTTCACTAAGGAAATGATGAGTTTGAACAAACAAGAAAATCATGAACACGATTTTGAACTAAAATTAAACTCATTAAATTCAGGTCTTTATTTTGCTTTGACCAATGAAAATCAACTACCACAAAACTTAACGAACCAATTCAATATATTTAACGATATACCACTACAACTTTTGAACTACCAGATAAACGAGGAAGATGATCAAGATATTTTAAGCATTGCGTCAGTGCCGGTTTTGCTATACAACTTAATTCAAACTATAGAAACTGAGAAATCAGACCTAAAATCTTTATGGCTACAACCGTTAAATTTTCAAACTGCCTGGACTATTAAACAAGAAGTCACACAACTTTTAGCAAACTATATACCCAATGAACTTGATCAACTTACTAGTGCTTCAGATTTACAAGAATCATTTATCAACGAAGTTATAGACTTTCTTCAAAAGAAAAAATCTGAAGAAGTTGTACATTTCCTCAAATCATGGTTATTAGAAATCAAAGATTCAGTAATACCGTTTATAGTATTTGATTCAATATTGAAAATCTACAAAGATGAATCACAATCAACTTCAGATTTAATCAAAATACTATCATCAATTCCAAGAAGTAATTTAGCATCCCTACTTTGTATACTAGAACATATATCAGATGTATTCAAATTAGGTAAATTTTTAGAATATGGATTATCAGATGAATTAAATGAGAAATTAAACGAAGATGAAAAGTTATTGGAGCAGGTTTCTGAAGAGTTGAATTCGATGGAGTCAATTGGTTCATTACCATTTTTGCATTTAATCATGAGACCTTCAACTACTAAAAATTCAACTGGTTTCAAACCACCAATTCATGAATACAACTCAATGCTTAAGGATTTGTTGAAGTTAGATACAAGAAAGAAATTATTCAATGTATTAATCGAGCAAGAGACTAAGTATAGACAAAAGAAAGAAGCAGAGAAGAAAGCTGGTATACCTACAAAGAAAATTCATTTACCACCACCACCTTCATCATCACATATCAGTTCACCGCCATCTGAAAAATTACAAATCAAAGTAACACAAGATAATGAACCACAAGAATCAGATTTGGCAACACCATTAAAACCACATCCGCAAAATCAAGAATTAAAAACACCAAGACCTTTAAGTGCTGATACTTTCACATTAAGACCATTCAAAACAAGATCAACTCCAGTACCATCCCCACAAGGTTCACCAAAACATCAACACAAAGAATTTGAGCAAGAATTAAGTCATAGACCAAGAAGTTCGAGTAATTTGGGACCAAAGATGGATATTAAATTTGAAGAACCTAATTAAATATACAAATCTTTTTTATCTATTTCTACCACCTTTGAAATTAGTCATTGTAATTTTTTCAACTTTTCTTAATTGTTTAACACTAATGAATAATAAACCAGCTAATGACAACAAAGATAATGTAACAACAAATTCAAATCCACCATTTGATTCTTCTATAAAATTTTCTAAATTCATACCGTATAACGCAGCGAAATATAATGCTATACCCATTGATAATAATCCGGTAGAAAATTTTAAACCCAATAACATTAATTCATTTCTATTTGAATCTAAAACAATATTGATGATTTCTTCAGTAGTTTTAATTTGAGATCTTAAATTTTCAACAGTTTGTACGATTTCATCAGCAGTCTTGTAATAAGATTCTAATAACATTTCCACTTCTGCATGATTTGTACCGGTTCTTTTATCGGTTAAGTACAAGTCATTCAATTCATCATCTCTTTCTAGCACATCCTCGAGTAAATCTCGGATTAATGTTACTTTTTGTTGAAATTGCGCTAATTTTTTCAGTTGGATTAATAAATAACGTAATTTAAATCTTTCTATACTTTCATCTAGTCCATTTAGTACATTTGTTACTATAGTCTTGTGAACTTTCATTTCTGTTGTTAAATTTGCAATAACATGAATTAATATTGCCTCTAAGGCTTTAAACTCGTAATATTCATCATGAGTATGTGATTCATCTTTTGTTTTAAGTTTATCTCCGAGTTCCTTGAGAAACTGCAGTTGAGTATGACTTTCACTTCTAGAAAATGAATTAGAATCAAATAATGTAACTTTATCTTTATTAATTAATGCTCTCACATTTGACAAGTTCAACATAATACAATTCCTTCTAGTAACTAAACTCGGTACTAATTCAATATTATGCATCATTAAACTCGGATTCTTATTCCCCAGTACTGCAGTATGTTTTGAAATTTTTCTAAAATCTCGAGGTACTAAGTTATATTGTTTCATGAATTTTGATTTGGCAATTTCTTTACCATGATGAATCATATCTCCATTTTCATTGAAAATTGTGCATTTTATTAATTCGTCATCTTGATATTTTGTTGATGATAAGGTTTTGTAGATGAAAAGATCATCAAATGAATCTTTGTGTTTTTTGAATTGTGATGGTTTTGTTGCTATTGATCTCGGGAGTGTAGTGGCAAAATGCCGTAGTGTTGTTGAGTTAGATGCTAGATGTGAACATCGTAGTATTCTGGGTATTATTTGTATGTTATTGTATGAGAACATTGTAGATAAGATGATTTATTGAAAAGATGTTGTAGTAGATTGAAATCTAAAATTTCGCAATCAAATAATGCCGTTTTAGGTTTTGTTTTTGTTTTTTAAAACTCCATGATTTTACATTTCAGACGACTTTACAAAATAATTACATGAGAGTAAACTCAACAGATGAGTTAGAAATATATGAAGAAATAGGTAGAGGAGGATTTGGAATAGTTTATAGAGGTATAATCAAAAAGACCAAAGAAGAAGTAGCAGTAAAACAAATTGATTTAGAACAAGATTCAACAGACTTAATTGAAATCAATAAGGAAATTCAAATATTAAGTGAATGTAAATCTCCACAAATAACTTCATATTATGGTTCATTTGTTAAAAATTATAAATTATGGGTTATTATGGAATATGTTGATGGAGGATCCATCTTTGAATTAATTAAATCAAGTGGTGGGCTAGGTATAAAAGATGAAAAAACAATTGCATATATTACCAAGAATGTATTATTAGCATTATCTTATTTACATAACCAAAATAAAATTCATCGAGATTTGAAAAGTCAAAATATTTTAGTGAATAAACAAGGTCATATCAAGTTAACCGATTTTGGAGTCAGTACTCAATTAAATTCAAATTTTTCAAAAAGAAATACTACGGTAGGGACACCATATTGGATGGCACCTGAAATTATATTAAATTCAAATGGGGGACATGGGTATAAGGCTGATATATGGTCATTAGGATGTTGCTGTTATGAGATGTTTCATGGAAAGCCACCATTACAAGATTCGAATCCACCCATGAAAGCTTTGAGGTTGATTTCAAGATGTACTAAAAATGGAGATTTTATAAAATTGATTGACCTAAAGAATTTAGAAGTTAGCGAAACGTTTCGGGATTTCTTAAGCTTGTGTTTTATTGAAGACACTAATTTGAGATTTAATTCGGATAAGTTGTTAAAACATAAGTTTATAAATCAAAGAATCGATGATGGACCAAAATCAATCAAGAAATTGATAACTAGGAAAATACTACATGATACAACTAACAACTCCTCGAATAATCATAAAAGTTACTACGTATCTACTGAGATCCACAAAAATCAAATAAAATGGAATAACGTAGAGGAAGAGGATCAAAAAGAAGTTAATTTCGACATAAGTTCGCTAAGTCAAGAAAATAACAGTTACAATTCTGAACCAACTATCAATCCAGATGAAGATTTATTTAACATACAACATCAGTTTCAGCAGATACTAAATAAAGTTTCCCAAAAGGTAGAGCAAAAATGTAAATTAGATCAAACTCAGATCTCGATTATGAACCAACTAGATGAAAACATGATGAAATTAATGACTAAAAAAGATGATGACAAGACGATCATATTCCAGTATTTAAAGACGCTATTAAAAGAACTTTCAAAAAGCAAGAATTATGAGATTAATAAGCAAATCCTACCGTCGAAATCAATACGACAAGATAATTTAATTTTCAGAACAGATAGCAATACACTCAAACCATCTCAATCACCAAATAGATTCGATGAAATTGAAAGAAGTCTAATGGACTCTTGGATCCAAAGAATGAAAGAATAAATAAATTTTATAGAGTTAACCAAAAGTTTTTGCATTTCAAATTGTATTCTTATATGTATTCTCCCTCTTACAAAGCTAAACTATAACTATATTCATCTTCAATATTTTGAGATAACCACAAGACAATACAACTCAACATAATACAACCATTACAAACAATATTAGAAACCCCCATTCCCAAAGTAGGAAAAGTATAATGTTTCATTAAATATTTTAGAATAAAAACCATAAAACTTCCAGCCAATCCACCAGCCAATAAGCTAAAACCCATAAATAAAATTATACGAGCGGCCCATATATAATTTCCTTCATCTTGAAACATTCCTCCCGATTGGTTGTTGGTATTCATAAGATTGTTTTTTTCAATTGAATTTACAATCAACATTCCTAAACTAGAACATATAAAGGGGATCCAATCGATAAAAGTTACATGTACATCAGAAGCATTTATTGTTTTGGAATATATGGCGGAATCAATTAATGACCAAAATCCAATTGCGAATAATCCACCTGCTAAATATATTCCAAATGATCTTAATTTTGCTGATTTTGGTAATCTTAATTGGGAGATGTTGAATTTGAATAGGTTACTTGTTTGATTTTCCATATCGGTGGTTTGTCTTTTTTGATTGAATTTGTATTTTTAATTTTGACTGTAGTTAGAAGTTGGTGATAATTGCCAATCGTTATTATATTTTTTAGTACAAAATTAAATTTAAACCGTCAATAAAAAAAGCATTACAAAACAAAATGAAATGGGTATAACATTAGATCAAACTCCTTCAAACGAATTATATACATTAAAATATTCATTTGAAGAACTGAATGCAATAACATCAATAAGAATATCCCCCAATGGACAATTGATAGCACTAGCGACACTATACAAGATAAAAATCTATGATTTTCAAACTCAAGAACTAGTAACAGAACTAATAGGTCATTCCAAGGGAATATCAGATATAAAATTCTCACCAATAAACTCCCAAATAATAGCTTCTTGTTCAGATGATTTAACAATAAGGATATGGCATATCAACAAAAATTCATCTAAATGTATTAAAATTTTCAAAAAACATACTTTTCATATTACTACTATACAATTTAATAACAAGGGAAATTTGCTTATAAGTGGATCCGCTGATGAGACTATTACGATCTGGGATATAATCTCTGGAAAGATTCTAACTACGTTAGCCGCTCATTCTGATCCTATTTCAAGTTTATGTTTAACTCCTGATAACTCGATTATTATAAGTGCTTCGTATGATGGGTTGATAAGATTATTTGATTTAGAAAGTTTCCAATGTTTGAAAACATTGACTACATCAACATCCCACGGAACAGCAACAAGTTCATTATCTACGAAAGATTTACAGAATTTCCCCGTTGCTAATGTTTGTATATCACCTAATGGGAAATACATATTGAGTACTAATTTGGATGGTAAAATAAGGTTATGGAATTATATGGATAATAAAGTTGTTAAAACTTTTTTGGGAGTTGATGGTGATATTATATGTGAGAAATATAATTGTGAACTGAGGTTTATTTCTGTTAATGACATGAACCTAATTGTTAGTGGGAGTGATTTTGATGGTATTTTATGTTGGGATATTAAATCTAAGGCTTTAGTTTGGAATTATTCCGAGAGTGACGCTGTTTTGAGTATTGATACTTATAATAGTGGTCAATTTTTGGTTTCTGGTGGTTTAGCAGGTATAGTAAACATCTTCGAGTTAAACTAGCTAACGGTCTAACACAATAATGGATATGTTGTATATTGTATGTACTAATATATGTTTAAATCAAATTCTATATACTATAAGGACCCATCAATTCTTTTTCAAAATCACTAAAATTGAATAAATCTAATTCTATTGGTTCAGAAGAACCTCTTGGATAAACTTTAAATTCTTTATTTTTCAATTCTGCAAAAAATGGATGAACAAGCACTCTTCTTGGACTTGCTCTAACTTCTGGATCATATACTAAAATTTTCATTAATAAATCTATTGCATCCATTGGTGAATTACTAAATATTTGTTTAAATCTTTCTTCAATTGAACAACTAAATAATTTTGTTGTATACATATTACCTCTATATTGAGGATTACTTTTGAAAAAAAAAGTATTTGGTGGTGGACCTAACAATTTTGCGATTTCTTTTAATTGAGATTCTGGTGATTGGCCCTGAAATATAGGTTTACCTAGAAACATTTCAGCAACAACACAACCTAAACCCCATATATCTATTTTTGTAGTATATAAAGAACAACCAACAATTAATTCTGGAGCTCTATAATATCTGGAACATATATAACTTACTGATGGTTGATTTGGTTCCAATTTTTTAGCAGAACCAAAATCACAAATTTTTAATCGTATTGTTGTTGGATCAACTAAAATATTTGAAGGTTTTATATCTCTGTGACTTATTCCATAACCATGTAGATATAACATTGCTCTAGCTAATTGGAAAGTATAAGCTTTCATATGAGGATAAGGGATAGTATATTTTGATTGACGATAAAATTTAATTTCACTTTGTAAATTAGAAGGTAAACATTCCATTACTAAATTTTGATATATTTTTTGATCAATGGGGGATTTCTTATCGAAGAAAAATCTTAAACTAACAATATTTGGATGTTGTACAACTCTCAATATTTCTAATTCTCTTGATTTATATTCTGTTTGTGCTGGTACTCTTTTGATGGCAAATGGTCCTATCCATCCACCATTGGTGGTTGTATTATTATTTATATTATTTTTAGAATTTCCATTACTATTATTATTCGTGCTATTATTATTTTCTTCATTATTGCTGGTAGATGGTGGTTGATCTTCATACCTCAATACTGCTTCAACAACAGTTCCAAATGCTCCTTCACCTATCTTTTTGTATTCTTTTATAGTCATTTTACTTGATGTTGAAGTCTTGTTATTAACAACTTGTGGTAATGTATATTCCGTTAAAGGTGACTGCTGTGGTTGTACCATTATGTGAGATTTTGTATTTTATAAGTCTAAATTTATATATATAATTGTCTAGTGAGTATAGAACTGAAAAAATGATGGAATAATTAAAAATTGATGTTTGATATGAAACTTGATAAGGTTGACGCGTAATTCTTTCAAATTAATATCAAGTATAGTATAATCTTGAATTATTGAAATTTCGAATTAAAGTTCACCAAACTGTTTAGTTGTCAGTTAAAATTTGGGTATTGTAGTTGATTATTGTTATCAATGGTTGTATAGAATTTTAAGGAAAGAATGATTGTGGGGCGGTAATTAAATGATTATATGAAACGGTAATTGATAATGCGAGTATTGATTTAGTTCAATTGAGTGTATGGCAGGTTGTGATATCTAATTGTTATATAATCTAACAATTGGTGAATAATGCGCTTGTAAACAAGATCAAGTAGTACTAAACTGTTCTATATTTAGATTTCAATTGATAATTATATTTTTAAAGTTGAGTGTTTGATTTTTTAAAGTGTTGATTTTTTTTTCTCGTTTTGATTTTGGATTATTATTGTCTTTTTTACTTTCATAGAGATTAAACAATCAAATTTATTTTCATTATCTTTTATAATTCTAATTCTAATTTGTTGTTAAATGCTAGTATTATACACTTACATTTACTATTACTGGTTTACCATACGTATCGATTTCAATAACTTTTTTATTTCTTTTACTAGTGTTGAGTAAGTTAACGGCCACTACTTTGATAGCTAAAAAAATGACAATAATAATAATTAATTGTCTCATTTTTTCTATTTGATTAATTCATAGTATTATTTTATATTTCCGGGGTATTATTATAAGTGACAGGGTAATAAATATAACAATAGAGTTGATTAATATTCTGAAGTTCTAAAGTCGAATGTATTTGGGTTATCAATAATTATTGCAAAACTACTGACACTTACCAAGAGAAAAACTTAAGTTACTCCAGTTAACGCAGTTGCTTAATAGGTCCCTTAATTTATTGAAAATGAAAAAGAATCATTGCTGAATAATTAATAATAAATTTCGCTTAAAATTCTCACTTGATACAATTTTTATCATGAAATTCAATCTATAAAAACAGATTGTGGCTAATTTTTTTGTTTCAAATTTAAAAATTGATTTTAAAAAATCATTGAATCCTCTCACCAAAATAAAGCGTCAATTGACTAACCTTTAACTATTAGATGATTCTTTTTGATCTTTTGACTTATTTCTTATCTTTTAAAGTCGTAACGGCTTAAAACGTTGAAGTATTTTTGTGTCATTAGTTGATTGATAACGTGTTTTATATTATTGACGACATCAACAATTATAAATTCATAACTCTCCAAGAAATGAAACCAATAAGCTTTCCATTATCTAATTATCAAACTTAAAATCGTCCAGTGTTGGAAGTAATGCACATCGTTTGCTTCATCACACTCTGATGCACCAAGTTTTTGTTCTTAAAACAATATAGCTTTAATCCCTGACTCGTGAATTTAAACAAAACTAATAGGTTTCAATACTTCAATAGCTCAGAAAGAGGCTTAACGTCTCCAAGAGAGAGCTACTGAGACTGAAGAAAAATATGGTATGTTGTCTTTGGTTGCAAATAATTGACGCGTAATTGGTAGCAATAAATTTTAGTAAGATCGTAAAATTGAAATTTTCCTTTTATGATTTGAAGAGATTATAGCGTAGGAAATTACTAGAGCCCAATATATCAATCATGTTCCTCAAACAATGTTTGCCTAATTTGGGTAGACAATATATAACAAGAACAATACTAGCGCAACCGATAAGACACCAGTCAATTATAAGACAATTCTCAAATTCATCATCAATTCTTTCTTCGACAACCAACAAAGACATACCAGGTACAACATCACCATTATCAAACCTTAAAGAATTAAATGACTTAACAGAAAAAGTAATACCCGCAGCAACAGAATCACCATCAACAACCACATTCACTCCATCAAAAGTAAAAGTAAATGAAAAAATAGTATATTGGAAATTATACGCAACATTTAATAGACATAATACAAGATGTACATTAGTAGCAGTAGTTGAAGATTTAAACTTTTTAGAATCAAATGCCAATTTATCTTATAATGAAAAAGTATTATACTATTTACAATTACCACATAAAGTCAAATACTCAATAACAGCAGGTCAATTAGGTTTTAGAAAATCTCAAAGACAAGAATATGAAGCTGGATTTCAAGTATCTTCCAAAATGTTCAAAATAATTCAAGAAAGAAATTATATTGGACCAAACGATAAGATTGAATTAATATTAAAGAATTTTGGTAAAGGTAGAGAAGCATTTCAAGCTGCCTTGTTAGGTAAAGAAGGTTCATTTTTAAAAAATAATATTGTTAGAATTAGTGATTCTACTGTTATTAGATTTGGTGGTAATAGACCAAAGAAATTAAGACGTTTATAGATCATGACCATACACTTGTTAATAGTTTACATATATCAATCATCAATATATACATATATATTGTGGTAGTTAATATCAAGTGTATAGTAGTTGAAGTTTTCCTAATTTCTAGCGTCTAAAACCCTAAAACGAGCTTTATACACGTGATAGTCATATGGCAGTGAGCGAGATTCTTAACTATGTAAATATAGTATTTCTATTAGGTACTATTAATTTTTGTACTATCAAATCTTCATAATAGTAAAGAAAAAATAAATTTTCATTTTTCAATTTTGTTTTATAGAACCTAATTTATCAATTCATCATCAAACTATACAATGGGTTGTATGTGATTATTCAAATAAGATGAGTCCTAGAACTATGGTGCTACGAGACCATGGTTACGTGAGTGAAGAAAGAGCATTTTCGGAGCAAGTTATGGATCAATAAAACGATATTAAAAGTTCATCCAAAAGTCATGAGAAGAGATTAATCAATCAAATCGTATTAAAGCAACAACAGATTTATATAAGTCATTAAGAACTACCACACTATCTTTTATTGTCATTGCAATGTACTTTACCATGTTTCTCAAACCACTATATATTCAAGAACAATTTTTAGAGAGAGTCATATTGAATCAAGAATTCTCATGCCCCACCACAACTTCATACACAATCTAATCACTTTGTTCATCAGATCAGGTCCCTCGTCTTCCAGCATAGTTCTAGTTCGTTTCATTTAGATCATCTTACTAACAAATTATTCTTATAGCAACTACAAAAGGTGCCACTGCTGCCAAAAAAGCTACTTTAAAAGGTATTAATGGTAAAAAAGCTTTAAAAGTAAGAACTTCAACTACTTTCAGATTACCAAAAACTTTAAAATTATCAAGAAATCCAAAATATCAAAAAAAATCAGTACCACATTATAATAGATTAGATGCTTATAAAATTATTATTTCACCAATTGCAACAGAAACTGCTATGAAAAAAGTTGAAGATTCAAATACTTTAGTTTTCCAAGTTGATATTAAAGCTAATAAACATCAAATTAAAAGTGCTGTTAAAGAATTATATGATATTGATGTTGATTATGTTAATACTTTAATTAGACCAAATGGTACTAAAAAAGCATACTTAAGATTAACTGCTGATCATGATGCTTTAGATATAGCTAACAAAATTGGTTATATTTAAATTTAGTTAAGTTGATAATCATTTGTATATTTACACCAATATAAAAAAAATAAAGTAATTGAAATTCAATGTAATGCTGAAGAAGTTATCTTACTTCTCAAGATTGTAGAAACCTCTACTTCGATGAGATGATAAACATACAAATTAGAATAAACCACATTTCACACAACTGTAGATAAAAGATTAGGTTTTAAAAAAGAAAACTAGCTCAATATAGTAGACGAGGTTTATTGTAAATAAATTATATGTGTTAAAGGTCAATATCAAATTTTTCTATGACTAAAATTCAAAAATTGTCATCTGTTAAGTAAATTGAGCAAAAAATATAAAAATTTCAAGTAAAAAATTACAATTTAAATTTTTTGAATTATTTGATCTTTTTACTTAACTCAAATTATTGTTTGTTTTTTATCAAACTTTCAAGTTTTCGAGTCTTTCCTTTAAAACTAGATCTTTTCCTAAAATTTCGAAAAGAATTAGAAACTGATTTTTTATTTCCAATTTCGAGTGGATCCATGTGTCATTATATTGCCCTATAGCTGTAAAAATTATTTTACATTTTTGTTGTTTAACTTAAATTCTATACGAAAGCTTTATGCTATAGTATAAGAAATTACGTTTTTTCAAAATTTTTTAAAACTGATCGAAAGTTAACTTTCAATTTGCAATTAATTTACAAAGTTTTAATCTTTGATGAATAATCTCTCTACTCTTTGGAATATTCATACAATTTACAAGTATTGAATTATTTCGATGGGTAGGGAGTGACCAATTTTTATGTGACAGCTCACATAAAAGACTTAAGCTAACTTCTACATACAATATATTTTTGATTGAACTCTCATAATACTTATCTAATTTCTCAATAATAAACTTATTGATTAATCTTTAGGCTCATATCTCAATTTAACAAATTATTGAAGATAATATTGAATCTATTAAGATTTCATATGAATTTTGAATATTTCTCCACTTTTAAAAACTCAACATTTTAATAATTCATCCACTAAATTAATTTAACTTTAAAAATTTGTGTTTTTGTGTATTATTATGAAACAATTTTTTAAACAATAGATTAATTTACTCAAATATGTATATGTATGAATTCTCGAACTTTTTACTTTTAAAATAGGTTCAAAACTCATTCATTGTAAAGGTACTATATTGAACGAGCCTTCGTACGAATAGTTTATAAAGGTTCATGATGTCACATTTTTTCAGGTGCATATAACATTTACTTAAAATAATTTGTGTCACTTCACAAATTATTGATCAAATAAAGGTGAAAATAAAACCATAATATAAAATTTTACCATCACAAAAATTGTTTTTTATTATATAATTTGAGCAAAAAATATATAAATTTCAGGTAAAAAGATCAAAAAATTCAAATAATTTTTTAGACTATAATTTTTTGATCTTTTTCCTTAAATCAATTTATTTTTCATATTTAATCATCTTCAAAAGTTCCTTTTAGTTCTTCTACTTTTACTCAAAATAGGAAAAGAATTAAATGCGATACTTGAGATTCACTTCTGCCGTCGGCCTTGTTTAAGCCTTGAAAGAAGCATGCAATTCATTTTGACATAAATGATTTTGACTGTTTGTAAATGAAAATTAATATCAAAATCCGTTACAGTCAAAGAAACTACGTTTTTTCAAAGATTTTTAAAACTGATTGAAGTTAACTTTCAATTTCCGATTAAATTACATAGTTTTAATTTTTAATGAATAATCTCTCTACTCTTTGGAATATTCATACAATTTACAAGTATTGAACTATTTCGATGGGTAGGGAGTAACCAAATTTTACGTAACAGCTTACATAGAATACTTAAGGCAACTCTTTCTTACTTACGATCTATTTTAGGATTGGGATTTTGGTAATACTTATCTAATTCCTCAATATTGGTTTTAATGATTCATCTTTAGGCTCATATCTTAAACTAACCAGACGTCAAAGACATTGTTGAGTTTATTAAATTATCATATGATTTTTAAAACATTTCTCCACTTTTAAAAATTTAACATTTTAACATTTTAATAATTTATCCTTTAAATTAATTAATTTTAAAAATTTAAGTTTTTGTGTATTATTATGAAACAATTTTTTAAACAATAGATTGATTAACCAAGTATATATATGTATGAATTCTCGAACTTTTCACTTTTTAAATAGGTTCAAAATTCATTCATGGTAAAGGTACTATATTGAATGAGCCTTCGTACAAATTGTTTATAGACGTTCATGATGTCATATTTTTTTTCGGGTGTATATAACATTTACTCCAGTTGAATATGTATCTATTTATCAATAATTGATTAAACAAAGGTGAAAATAAAACAAAAATTTAAAATTTTACCATCACAAAAATTGTTTTTTATTAAATAATTTGAGCAAAAAATATATAAATTCCCGACAATTAACCTCATTCTAGAAAATGAGATTCACAAAATTACAATTTAAATTTTGATTTTTTCACCTAACTTAAAGTAGCTTTTTCTTTTACCCCAACTGTGAAATCTGGATATTTTTCTAAGAATTGGAAAAATAAAATAAGAATTACTTATTGATACCGTCGGCTTCGTTTAAACCTCATTTAAAAGATTCCAAACTGATTTTTTTACATTTTTTTGATTTCACTTGATTTGAAATGGAATTGGTAACTTATACTAAAGCTTATGCTACAGTATAAAAAACTACGTTTTTTCAAAAATTATTAGAATTGATTGTAAGTTAACTTTCAATTTGCGATTAATTTACGAAGTTTTAATTCTTAATGAATTATCTCTCTACTCTTTGGAATATTTATACAATTTACAAGTATGAACTATTTCGATGGGTAGGGAGTGACCAATTTTAATGTAGCAGCTAAAAGAAGAGACTTAAGCAAACACCTTATTACTTACATTCTATTTTCTGATCGGACTTTGATAAAACTTGAATAGTTCAATATTAAACATAATTATTAATCTTTAGGCTCATATCTCAATCTGACACGTTATCAAAGATGTCGTTGAGTTTATTAAATCATCATATGATTTTAAAAAATATTCTCCACTCTTAAAAATTTAACATTTTAAATGTTCAGCCTTATATTAATTAACCTGAAATTTTGAGTCTTTGTGTATTAATATGAAACAATTTTTTAAACAATAGATTGATAAACCAAGAATATATAAGTATGAGCTCTCGAACTTTAAACTTTTAAATAGGTTCAAAATTCATTCACTGTAAAGGTAATATATAGATTTAATTTTATTGAATTTTTTATGGAAGTTCATGATTTCACATTTTTTTCAGGTGTGTAACATTTACTTAACTGAATTTGTGTCTATTTATCAATAATTGATCAAACAAAGGTGAAAATGAAATTAAAATACTGATCGCCTTTGACGTTTTACATATAGATTCAGCTAAAAACATAATTGATTTTTAAGTTTTAAGTTCTATTTTCAAACTTGTTTTCTCTGTAGTTTTCGGAAAATTCAAACTAAATTAGATTGAATTTTATTTTGAAGGAACAATTTGAACAAGATTTTCACATCACTTTTAATCCAATAAGTTCTCCTCGAGTGAGGTAAGTTAGTATCTTTAGGGAAATTATCATGTTCAATTAGAGTATTAAGAATACAACCATTGCAAAAGCACGTCGTCTTTATAAATCTTACAGAGTATAGATTTCAGTCATAAATGTCATATTCAATTGATAGTATTTAGTTAGTCGTATTTATATCCTGGTGAAGTATTTAAAGACTCAAAAGCATAGAACACGTCTTTTATACCACCACTTGACAATCTAAATTTTCTTCTAATTAAAACTTCTCTCTTCGTGAACCCTCCTTTAAATTTATTTTCTAAAGTAGATAAAACATTGTCATAACAATCATCAAGTATCAAACTTTCTTCACGATTACGATAAACATTTGAGAATTTAAATTGATCTTTAATATTATCAAATTCAATAACTAGTACGTGGCCCTGGGTATCTATTAAATGTATTTTAAATTGAAAAAATTTGACAGTTCTTTCTATTGGTTCGTAAATTTTAGCTTTTTTCGGTTTCATTTCAACTCGTAAAATAGCCTTAAGTACTATAACTTGTGATTCATTAACTTGGCGATGGTCTTGATAATATTCCTTTAATTCTTTTATTGATTTAAACTCTAATTTACTTTGCACTTGAGCAGAAGTTGATTTCGACGTAGGTGAAAATGAAATATTTGATTGTGAAGATCTTAAAGGTGAGGATTTAGGTGGTGTAGCTAAATTTAAACTATTTCTTTCATGTCTTATATCTTGAGATATTGTAGTTGATGTATTTAATAAATCAGTAAACTTTTTTTTCTTAATTTGTGAAGAGTTAACTATAAATTGATCATTACCTTCAAAATCACTAGTATCTTCATTTTCTTGTGGAATTTGTGGTAATTGTTGATTGTTTAATAATTTACGTTTTTTTGAAATTCCATTTTGTGCTGTTGATGTTCGTCCTTGGATTATGGAACCATTTGTTACTTGTGTAGGAAGTACAGTATCATTATTTGATACATCAAAACTTTGACTTTCTTTATATAAGGAACTTTGAGTATCTAATATTTCTCTCATTGAAACTCCCTTTTCGTTGATAAAATTTTGTAAATTTAATTTAGTACTTAATTCTGTCCAATATGTCTCACTTACTTTTGACTGAAGTCTTTCCAATAGATTAACACAATCGTTTTCAATCCCTTTCATAACTTCATAAATATTATTTGAATCAACTAATTTACAATCAAAAGCAAGTCCTTCAAGAAACTTTATATTTCTTGCTCTTAAATCAAATTTTAATCTTGCTATTCCAATTTTATTATCCACATTTTCATCATTAGAAAATTGTTCTAATGCTTCCTTTTGCCATTCTTTATCTACAACATTTGTAGTAAATAATTCATTGGGAAAAATTGTTGTAGAATCTAATTCACAGGTTGGTAAATTTGAATTCCAAGGACTACAATGAAATCTATAACATGTCTTTTGATCAATTTTAGTTAAATCTGATATTAATATAGTTCCATGAGTGGAATTACACGTTGAATGGAAAATTATTACAGGTACATCATATCTATAAATAAAACTTTGTTCATTTTTTTGTACTAGTGATACTTTATGAAAATTACTGAAAGGTCCAAATCCTTTGACTATCTGTAATTTGCCCTTCTTCTCACCCTCCATAAGTCTCTGAATATATTTGATTTAGTTGGTCGTCGATGATGAATAATATGGGGTTAGTAGAGTTTAAATATTTAAACGCGTCTCTTTATTCTAAGTTTCACGCATGCGTAAATTTTGTTTAGACTAAAATGAAATGAAGTATAACATTCAGAAGTTGTTTCTTCCATTACCACAAAGATAGGTTTAAGGGTGAACTTAATCACAAAGTTTCCTTCATTGGGTTAGTAGAATTTGAGTTTAATTACTGGTCAATGTTTCGACTTAAAGAATTCTCAATGAATTTGCTGCAAAATAAAATAAAAAATACAACTACGTTTGCAACAAAATATCAAATGCTCAAATTTCATTCACGTGACTAAAACATCCTAAATTCATCTCAACTACTACCCTATCATCAAAGCATCAATCACCGTAATATAAAACAATTACTATACATAATGAAGAGTATGTCAACTACAAACTGATAAATTAGCACATAAACTAACTGAATTTATAGAAAAAATTCCAAAACTAAGTAAAAAGCAACTCCAACAAACCACTACGTCATCAGAGCCAACAACATCAGAAGAATGGTTAGAACAAGGATCGATAGATGAAGAAAGTGGAGATAGATGGTTAGGTTCAGATATACCCAAAGCATTGAGGTTTTATCAAAAGGCATATCATTCATACCTTAAGTCAATAGCAGAAGGTGGTGAACAAGATGCTTATTATAATTCATGTAGATTATTGTTACAAGTTTATTTATTGATTAAAGAAGATGGATTAGTGTTGGAGAATTTGAGTGGTATTGATGAGTTGTATGTCAGCGATTCAATTTTGGCTAATTTGGAACAAATTTTAGAGCTTCATCGAAAGAGTTTGAAAGTTATCGGTGATAATTCTGATTTATTGTTCAATACTGTTATAGTCTATATTGAAATATTAGAAGCAAGTGCATCAAATGATAGTGAAATAAATTTGGGATATGATGACGCTTTGTCAATATATAATAATGCACTGGATATTTTACTTAATTTGGGACAGAAACAGTACAATGAATTTCAATCATTTGTAAAAGAATTAAACCAATTAAGTGAAAATGAACCAAACGATCAACAATCTTTATCTCAGTCAAATAATGGAGAGGGTAAAAATGAAGAAGCCGTCAGTGAAGAGATTATTCAGCCAGTTGATTTATTTGAAACCGTAATATCATCATTTAGGTTAATTCAAGCACTATTTAGGACCTTAGATCTTCCAGATTTATCAAAATTAAAGCTACAAGTCGAGCCATTAGAATTATTTGCTACAAGTTTGGCAACAGTGCTAATCAATGATTATTCAGATGTCCAAACAAAAGATAACTCAATGTTAGAAACCATATCAAGGTCACAAGTTAATGAGATCAAAATCAATATGATCGTATTAAACAGTCTTACTTTTACTAGTTTTGAGGAACTATTAATGTTATGGAATCAAACTTTTGTATCAAATTTTGCAGACGAAATTCCTGAAAAATATTTAGCATTTTCAGATGAAATTCAATCATTATTAGATAAAAAAGATATCACAATACATTCAATAAATCAAACAAATGATATTAATGATAAACAGACTTTTTTTGATATACTAAAATATCAATGTGATATACTTAAAAAGGCACAAGATTTAATCAATATAGAATTAAGTAATAAGAGAAAACAACCACTGGGTAAAGAATTAAATATTGGATCAATTATTGTACAGCTATGTGACGTATATATAGAAAGAGCAGACATATATTATCAATTATCAATAATGACAAATTTTGAACCCACCACAAACCACAAAGAAACTTATATCACAAATTGTAAAAATTTATTAAAATCAGCAATGACACTAGCTAATTCATCAGGAGGATTACGTGAAAGAGCTTTAGAAAAAATGAATAGAGATAAAAAGAAAAATCAATCTGTTTTTAGATTATGTTTACTTGAAAATAAAACAACCATAGAAGAATTAGATAAAATAATGACAAGAGCTAGATGGACAAAAGAATATGCTGAACTAACGAAATTACAAATATATAATGACTTGATACAACAAATACCAATATCATTAATATAAAAAATAGCTTTAATACCTAAAATCTTCGTGCATTAATAATGATAAACTATATAAATAAGCCAATCTATAGCTCTACTCTAAAAACTAGCAATTAGCAAAAAAATCCCATTAAACCAAGAAATAAACAAATTAAGAAAAACCATACTCTATCAATTGTTGAAAAATCAAACTGAAACATCAAACTGAAAGCTAAAACCTCTATAATATAAATCATAAAACTCTAAGTCTATTTATATAAAATCATCAACAGGAATATCAGTAAAATTACTACTCCAATAAAATTGTTCAGCATATGCACCACTACCATTAACTGGTTCAGCAGGTGAACATCTACTTGCCTTATTGAAAATTGTTGAATCAATATATTGTAAACTTATTGATGGATTTCTTGAATTGTTGACTATTATTTGTATAACATTTATTTTAAAGAAATGTAGAAGCCAAAGCGTTATTTTCATTTTATAAAGTTGTGATGCGTGCTTGTATAATAAAGTGTGTTGTGACTTAAAGTAATTGAACGAATATATATAAGTATCCTTCGTTTGTTGACTGATGAATAGATATTTAATTTAAGGTGAATATGTTGTGGTATTGATTAGATCTTCCTAATTATGTATAATAATAGTTTTGATGTTTCAAATCTTGTGAGTATGTTTATAAATTCTAAGTGAGTGTTTTAAAATCTAAGTGATGTTTTAATATTTTTGAAAAGGGGGGCGTGTGCAGTAAAAATTTAAATAGAAATAAAAATATTATTTACTTTCTTAAAAATTACTTAATTAAGTAACTCCCGAGGCTTTTGGAAATTCTTTATATATCCCATAGAGAAGAATTATAAAAGTATTTGGACTTACATTAACTTACATAAATTACGAACAATTGGATTGAATTGACTAATGAATTAAGTATTAACAATTGGTTCATCTGATTAAATTAGTTACAGAATATTATTTATTAGATTGTTCTTTTGTCTATGTACATTATGTTTATCTCTATCAAAATTTTATTTTATATTTATTTTTTTTACTCCTTAATTCTCTCACAATTTCATTTATTTACTTAATAATTTATCAAAAGCAGGAATCAAAGATTGGGCTAAAGCAAATGAAAAAACTAATTTAGGACCAGTTGTTAATAATTTTGGAGTTAAACCTTTGAAAAAAGAAGTTATACCTTCATTTTTAAACATATTTTTTAAAATTGTTATACCACTTTCAGGATTATCAAAATTTCTATTTTGAATTCTTGTTTTAATAACATCTAATGGAGCACTTACAATTAATGAAGCACTTGCTCCAAAAATTGAAGTAATAAAATTTTGAGTCCATGTAGCTTGACTATAATCTTTTAATCCAAATATATATTCTTTTGCAAATGAATTACCACCAAATAATGCAAATGATCCTGGTGCATTTCTTGCCATTGTCCAACCCCAACCTCTATATAATCCAAATCCTTCATCTTTTATAATTTTTAAAAATCCTCTACCTTTAAAAGATTCTGGATTAGTTTGTCTTTTAATTTTTAATACATCTAATGGTAATAATACAACTTCACCAATTCCAATAAGTGAACCAGCTGTAGCACTCATTAAAGCTTTACCATTTTTTGGTCCAAATGTATTATCAAACAGGTCTTTGAAATTTTTATTTAAAAACTCATTTGCAAATGGTTGACCACCATATTTATAAACTCTTTGTAAAATCTTATAACATGCTGCATAACCTAAACCTGGAAATAATGTCAAACATCTTTTTAAAAGTGGTAAATCTGCTGCATTTCTAAATATAACTGAATTTAATTGATGTAATGATGTAACTTTTGTATGATTTGACATTAATCTTTTAGAAATTGTATCTACTGGATGAAATACACCAATTTCTGCTATACCAGCAGTTGCTGAACCTAAAACTCTTGCTAATCCAGATTGTTTTTTATCTGTTGATGAGTGTGCTGATGGGGACATTTTTTGACTTGGTTGAAGGATGAAGATGAATTGAAGTTCTTATCGAAAATTGTAATTATTCTCCTTGATCTTTAAATTGAAAATTTTTTTAACTATGTGAGCCATATTAATTAAAGAGAAAATATCAATTTTTTTTTTTTCACACCGCGCTAAAGAAAATGTACCTTTAAAAACGCAACAAAACGCAGTATCTTTTACATATAAAGTTTGATGACTGTTAAGTCAAAATTCAAGTTCCTGAATTAATAGTTTTTACAATGCTATGTAGTCCCAGAAATTAATTTAAATCATTTTATGAGAGGCTTCTCAACTCACATTGATCTTAACTACAAGAAGTAAGCTATTTAAAAACTAGTCTTTCCCTACCCATCGAAATTATTCAATACAAATTAAGTATGAGAATTCCAATGAGTAGAGAGATGTCTTCATGAAAGATGAATTGATTTTGATTTTGTCTAAAAATCTGACTAAGAAAGTTAATCAATTCTATCTTTTACGAAGATTTTAGATTTATTTAAACCCAGTCATAGTAAAGTTTAATCTATGGCAATCTAGAAATCTGGGACAAGAACTCACCTAAAGCTCATCCCAGGTGAGTGATACAATCAAATCAGCGAAAACATAGCTGATACATTTACAAAAGCATTAGGAAAAATGAAGTAAAACTTTGTTTGTACCAAATTATTCTAAGAAATTGAGTTGACATTTGTAAATATGAAATGATAATAATACGTTGGCATTTGAAACTTAAAGCCATGCCTAATTCTCCAATTACTGGATCCTCCATTCAAGACGTGAATGTATATATCATCCATTAAACAAAATTGAACAAAGTTGGTCAATTGAAAAATAAATTATACATCACTGATGATTCATTAAATCAATATACAAATGTATATATTAAAAATTCGTTATTTTTTTTTTGTTTTTTATTGTCGTAATTTCATAATTAAGACATCAAATTTAAATAAAAATCACTATTTTATCAGAACACAAAAAAGTTAGAATTATTGATTATGGGTCGTGCATTGACTTTCAAAAAATACAAGTGTTCATGATAATACTAATAATATGAACAAACGAAGCAATCTAGGACAAGAGATTCAACATTAACACGAAAAAATTATAGAGGGTTTTATGTATGAGTAATATAGCTGATTTGTTGAGCATTTGAGACTATTCAGTTCTGTTCGTAAGCTCCCTACCCATCAAAATTTTTCAATACATTAAAGTATGACAATTCTTAAAAGTAGAGAGATTTCTTTCTGAAAATAAAATTGATTGAGTTTCAACATGAATAAGGATATACAACTCTAACAATTTCGCATTTCACAAAGGTTCGATTTTTAAATCATCTAGGATTTGCTATATTTATTAATGGAAATCTAATCACTTGGGGCACAAAAAAACAAAAAAATATCACTTCATCGTTCGCAGAAAGCGAAGCAAATTTCTATAAATAGTAATACAAATATATTAGTAGATACATATCCTACTTGGATGATAAAATATTTATCAACTATTGAAGACGAAATCACAAAGCAATTCCATCATCACTAATTTTAAAATTAAGAAAAAGATTATTTAAACTGAACGTAGACTAAATTAATCTTTCGATGACTTTAAATTTTTTTTTTTTTTTTTCCTATTCGAAATTCCACGGTTCATATACGAGAATTTCATAGTCTCGTAACAAAAATCAATTAGCCGTGCTTTAAATTCTTAATAAGATTTTGAAACCATTGACAAAACATATGCTTAAATTACTTACACTATTGAGCTGTTGCAATTGCTCCGATTAAAAATAAAAGAGTCAATCCTATTGAGAGATTCATTGAACTTCTTACAAAGTAAAATTTCATAGTAAGGTCTTTTATAAATTGTTAATTTCAATTACGTATTAGTACGTCTGATAGTATATTAATCGAACTACATCTAAAAATTGGACTCTACCTACCCATCGACATTGTTCATTACTAAATTGTATGAAAATGTCAAAGAGTAGAGAGATGTCTTTAGATTGATTAAAACTATATTGATCTCAAGCGCTAACTAATCAATAAATCTCAAGATCAACCTTAAAGATTTTGGTGTTTTTACTCCTACCACGGACTTGAGCCTTTTATTTCAACTCAACTTTTTTTGGTTACTAATCTTGTGTTACTAATATTTTGGATACTAATATCACTATTAGTTTTCTTCAAAGTGTATATTCCGTTCTAATATACCTATGTTCATAATCGAGAAAATTCAGTTAGATGAAGCCCAACACCAATAGGTAATAATTTAGAAGTACAATTACAAAAATTGGGAATCAATTTTGAAATCGAATAATTTTGAGTAATCTCTTTTTTTTTGTTATTTTGCCATCTCGAATTTAGAGTTGAGCTACTTTTGTACGTGGTTCAGTGTTTGTAAAGTACAGATTTGAATATCAAAAAACAATCATGCGCAGGGCATTTTTTTGCGGCTCACTTGAGAGTTCTTGAATTTTATGACAAACTAGTAAGTCTAAAAATTATAATATATGTGTGGAACTTTTCACTCGTTTGACCATACCCATCGAAAAGAATTCAATCCAACTACGAATAAAAGTTGCTTTAGTTTCTATATCCATTACTCTATTTATAATTTAATCAAAGCCCAGCTTCTAAATTTTCTAAAGAGCGTATCTAAAATTTGGATTTTCTTTATCAGTTAAATCAGCAAATTCATAATTTTCAATATGTGACATATCAACTGGTGGTAAATTATCTCTTCTTTTATTTTCCAAAATATATGAAATATAAATTGCAATAAGACATAATAATGAAATAATTCCACATATAACAATTGCAATTTTTGCACCATTATAATCTGGTGCTTGAGTAGCTATAAAAGTTTGAGGTCCAATTAAATTTCCAACACAATAAGCTATTAAATAAATTGCATTAACTGTTATTTTTTTGGTATGACCTGCAACTGAAGAAGCAATTTGTGAAATAAGACAAATAAATCCAATTGGTCCAAGTGTATATAAATAAAGACCAGCTAATTTACCTTGATTTGATGGTGCAAAAGCTAATAAACATTCTGCCATAACAACAACAGCAGTAGTACCAATAGCAACCAACATTCTTGATTTAACAAATTTTGCAAAATAAGCAAATAATGTACAACCAACTATTTCAACAGCACCTTGAGGCATTTGCATTAATAAAGATTTAGATTTAGTAAAACCAAATTGTTCATTCAATAAAATAGTACCAAAACTTGTAATACCACCATTTGGAATATTACTTGACAATGAATAAAGGAAAAATAACCAAGTACGATGATCAGTTAAAGCTTCAATAAATTGGTTCTTTTTAAATCTTCGATTTCCAAAACCTTGTTGATTTGATCTAATTCTTTCAACAACCAAAACTTTTTCTTCTTCAGTTAAAAACCAAGCTTTAGTTGGAGCATCTGGTATATGAGTCGCAATAACAAATCCAAGGAATATGGTTAAGACACCAGTAACAACAAAAACTAATTTCCAAGCTGGTAATGAATAAGATTCTTGATGAATATATAATCCATAAGCAATACCTGATCCAACAATAGTTCCAATACCGTTTGAAGCAAACCACCAAGCAGTTCTTAAAAATTGTTCATCCCTTTTATACCATTGGGAAGTAATAATTGTAAAAGCTGGTGTAACTGCAGATTCTAGCATTCCCAAGATAGTTCTTAAAGCAATAAAACCAGGATATTTTGGTACTGAACATAAAGCTAAGATCATACCCCAAATTATAATAAAAACACTAACAGTTTTAGCAACTGGGAATCTTTGTAATAACATTGAAGCAGGAAATTCAAATACCAAATAACCTAAATAAAAAGAAGTTGAAGTCCAACTATACATATCACCAACCATATGTAATTCTTCTCTTAATCCTAAAATTGAACTATAACTTGTACTTAATTTATCCATAAATTGAAAACAATATAATAAACACATAACAGGTAATAAAAAAGTATCAATTTTTCTTAAAATCCTTTTATTGGTGGCTTCATCTAATTCAAATCCATCATTTTGATGTTCAAGTGCATATTTCATAGCTTGATCAACATTATTGGTGATTTGAACTTCTTTACCATTAGGTGATATAATTGTTGTTAAAACATGTAAATTTTTATCTTCTAAATCATCTTTGGAAAATGAAAGAACTGGTTCCAAGCTAGTCTGTTGATCCTCTTTTTCTGACAGCATTTTGTCCTAGTTGAATCTGTAAGGTTGAACTTAATAATTTATTGACTTAATGGTTTAAAAATTAAACTTAAGCAGAATCGTCTCAATATATATGGCTGACTCAAACTCATTTATTTATATAACCACAGTCTATAAATTTAAAATTCACTGCATCTCATTTAAAGATTAAGCGCCTGTTGAATTATACTGAATTTTTAACTTATTGTTATCTTAATTCGATTAAATTGATAATAGAATTTCCCGTAAACAAAGGTGAAAATTTGTATTCCAACGTTTGTAATTTGTTATCTAGATCAATATGAAAATTAATAATAGGAAAGAGCTCATATGCAATATGAGATTTTCTTAATTTGTGTAACCATCTTTAATATTTGGTTCCTTTATCTTCAAAAAAACAATAAAAAAAATTTAGTTGTCTAATTTTAATTTAATTTTAATTTAATTTTTATTGATAAGAGAATAAGACTTTAAATATTTTGCAGATTATCTTATTATATTTATTTCCTTTGACTCAGAAGATCCCTCTTTAAAATGGATATTTCAACTTTCAGGCGTTGCCTTTTTAGATCAACATAAATATTAAAGACAATTATGTAGATTTGATTAAGGTATTTTCGATAACCCATTCAAGTTTTCCAAGAATTAAAAAAAATAAAAGTAAATTTAAAGTAAAGAGTTTGACATATTTTTTTTTTCTTGACCTAATCTTAATTTTCCGTTCTAGGAGGCGGAATAATCTAACGGAATTTGAAAACCGCTTGATCCAAACTTATTGCGATTTCCATATTTAATAACAAAATTCCTTTCTCACCAAATCATTTAATTAAATGTACATCTAGCATGATTGATAAATGTAATGAAACAGACTAACTTCGAGTGGGAAGAAAGTTTAACCTTATAATGTCTCTCAATTTTTCATAATTTCAAGTCACCATAATTAGTTTTTGTTCTATGTTTTTGAGCTTATCTATTGCTGTTCCGATGGTTATTCCATTATAGTACTGAAATTGAAGCGTGCTTTACTTGTATGTATTACTTTGAGTTCAAATATTTGCTTTTATCCTAGTCTAACCTTACCAGTCGAAAAAAATCATGTTTTCGATATGAGTTTTCAAGCAAGTACAAAGGAAGCGACTTTGTTGGTAATTTTAGAAAGAACTTTTCAGAAACACTTCACTAATTGTCTTCATCGCATAAACATTTTGGATTAATCACAAGTAAAAATAACGAATTAGACATTTATGAACTTTTCAGATGATAAGAAACTCATTTTATTTGCAATTTTTGCGAAGATTCAAAGTAGTATCTGATGAACTATAATCAAAGTCAGGCTGGATCAAATAAATACTCACAACAATGTACAATTTGAAGAATGCAAAAAAACAAATTGCAATGATACAATTTTTTTTGTAATAAAATTAAATTTGCTGATACTATTGCGTTTTTGATTATTTCTTTTTTAACTTCTGGTTGAACCAAATATTTTCAATTACTCATAAGTGTTTCATAATCAATTATAGTAACTTATTATATTTACATAGTAATACAGTTAAAATTGATCTCTAAAATAAATAGTGGAGTGAATTAATTCTATTAAATTTACGACGTGTAATGTTATAACAAAATTCCAAATCAATAGCTACATCAGTTTCAAAATAATATTAATTGTAAGGGGAGAGCTTGTGATGGAAATCTAATTGATTATTAGTACAATGTGTACGGTTCAACCACTCGTATCTTAAATCGTTTCATACATTCGATCACAAAGACGTTCTATATTGTCTAAATAAATTTTAAATTGAAAAATTTAGTCTAACCGTACCTATCGAAAAGTTTCACATATAATTAAAAAAATTGAATTTTCCGAAAAGTACAGAGAAATACATTTAAAGTTTTAACTAAATTGAACCGTCTACTAAGATTTTTTAACAATGAGTTTTAGTCATGTTGTGTATTAAAAGCTAAATTAAATCTAGTTCAATAAGTTATTAACTTCAAATGTTGCTTAATCACAGGAAAAAAATCATTTAAAACACATAGGGAAATGCTTTATAAGTGGATTGGTCATAAATATAAAAACAGTTTGCGGCCTTGGAAAAATACAAAAACAATTTCAGTGCCCAAAAAAAATTTTGCAATTCAAGAATTAATGCTGTAATTCAAAAAAATATGAGGAAATCTTTTTCTAGAATATTCAATTCTATTTATATAAATTATTTTCTATTGTTTTAAAAATTGTTTCATACAATTACACAAAATTTGAGTAAATTATAATAAATATATAAATACACATTATATTATATATTATATATTATTACAATAATTTAATTAATAAAAGTGGAGAAAGTATCTGATTTATTTTCCTTATAATTTTAAAGATTATTAGTATGATAACATCAACTCATAATGAAAATGCTTAAAGTATAAAGTCGTCTTGATCAAAGAGACTTCAGAAATATTAACATCTTGTAGAGATATAGTAGATATAAAAGATATCAAGATACTAAACATGAAATTTCGTAGATGTAGATCTATTAATACTGTACAATAATTTAAATATTATATGTAATCAAAAATTTTGGTCATTCCCTACCCATTGAAATAGTTCATTACTAATATAATAGTATGAATATTTCAATAAGTAGAGAGATGATTTCTAAAGATGAAAACTACGCGTAAGGTTTTAAAACCTATTAAATTGATAATTTAATCAATAAGTCTTCAAAATCTTTAAAAAATTGTTTCTAATATTTCACAAATGTGTGATAAACTTACGTATAAGCTCCATTCATTTAGTGTCAAGTTCTTAGTGTTTTCCAATTCAATCAATTGAAATTAATTACATTTTAGATCCAATAGTATCCGTGTTTAGCTTGAAAAATGCTTTATTAAACGTACATAAAAGAATAAAATCAATAAGGAAGAAAGTAAAGATTTGTAAAATATTAAAAAATTTATAAACTATATTTAATTTTATTTTGTATTAATATATTAATTTAAATACTATAAAAAATAATATATAGTACTCTGTGTACATTAGAATTAAATAATATATTGTTTGCTTTTTTTGCTTAAATTACTCGATTTGCGTACTTTGTAAATTATCATAACTTGAGATGCTACTTGTTGATCTGGGAAAATTCTTATCTAAACATCATTAAGATTATGTTTTGTTGTTACTCCATGTAAATTTCTTATGTTACACAAAAGTCGTATGCTGAATGATTTGAGAAAAGAATTATCAACAAAATTTGGATGAGTGAAAGAATTGAGTTTATGCTTACAATCATTGTATTAGTATACTACAACAACATATCCAAATGTCTGATATAATCAAACAATACGAACAAAAACTATCAGAGTTGACATCAAATAATGGACCAATTATAACATATGTAACTCAAATAGCAAAACAACATCCAGAAATAGCAGATCAAATAATGGATTTAATTGCAGATAGAATCTTTAAAGTACTACCTGAACAAAAATTATATACATTATATGTAGTGGATGATATTTGTAAAACCGTGAGGAATCCATATAATATATTAATTGGTGATGATTAATATAATATTTATATACGTGTTTTTCAATTGAATAATGATTTTATAGGGAACAAATTGGTTAGAAACCATTAAATCTTTAAGTACTTGTACTATTACAAGTACTTTGTGAAGAGATTGTTCATAGGAAAATCTTTAATATATTACTATCAAAATAGACTATTTTTTCTATATCTATATATAATTTTGAGTAAGTAGTAGCAATTAATTACGACTTTACTTCAGTACTTTTTTAACCTCAAATTGAACCAAATATTTTCATTATTCGTTTTAGTGTTTTATACCAATGATAATAATTTATTATATCTATATACATAATAATAAAAATCAATTTAAATTCTTAACAAATCTGAAAAGTCATCTCAATAGCTCATTAGGTTTTAAAATACTATTTATTTAGTTGTAGAATGAGAACAAGTGATAGACATCTATTTGATTTTTAGTACATTGTGTATTATTCAATGTGTTGTACCTTAAATAGTTTATACTTTCAATAAAAAGACGTTCTATATTATGTTAATAATTTTTGAAAACGAACATTTTGGTCTAACCGTACCCTTCGAAAAGTTTCATATTAAATTAAAAAATTGAACTTTCCAAAAAGTACAGAGACTTACATTTGAAGTTTCAACTAAATTGAACCGTCTACTAAGATTTTTTTACAATGATTTTTTAATCATGTTGTGTTTTAAAAACTAAATTAAATTTAGTTCATTAAGTTATTAACTTCAAGATGTTCCTTAATTACAGAAAAACATCACTTAAAACATATAGGGGGTAGCCTGACAGATGTATTTCGTGCCAACATAAAAAACAAAATATGGCATTATTAGAAACATGACTTGTTAGTGCAAAAAAAATACAAAAATACACTGATTCAAAAAAAAAATGAGAAAATCTCTTTTTGAAAATTTAAATTATATTTATATTGTTTAATTAATCAAAAAATAATACTATAATTAAATTAACCAATTAAAAATTATTTTCTATTGTTTAAAAAATTGTTTCAAACAATTACACAAAATTGTGTGTTTATATATTAATTATTATAATTTACTCAACAATTAATAATTAATAATACATTATTTAATTTAAAAGTGGAGAAATTATTTGATTTAACTTGCATATGATTTTAAAGCATTTTAGGATAGAAGAATCAAATATATAATTAAAAGACTTGAAGGATCAAAGGCATTGAATTTCATTTGAATTTATTTTGATCATAAAGACTTCAGTAAAATTAACATTTTGTAGAAATATAGTAGATTTGGTGGACATCAAAATACTAAACGTGTTTTTTCTTATGAAAAGAGATTATATTGTACAATAATTTAAATATTACATGTAATCAAAATTTCGGTCATTCCCTACCCATTGAAATATTTCACTACTAATATATAATAGTATGAGTATTCCAATATGTAGAGAGATGATTTTTTAAAGATAAAAACTACGCGTAAGTTTTTGAAACCTATTAAATTGATAATTTGATCAATCAGTTTTCAAAGTCTTTAAAAAATGTTTCGAATAATTTGCAAATGTATTGAATTGAAAGAACATCGAAAAAACTATACGGTCTTGTTCACAGACAGAAATTGGAGACTAATGTCTTCGCATTACAAATGTATCTATATTTAGTTTGAAGATTAGTTTGAGGATTACTTTGTTGAAACTTTATTTAAGTAGTACAATTATTGAGAAAATCAAAGAAACAAAAAAGTTTAAAAATATTAAAATATTTATAACTTATATTTAATTTTAATTTGTATTATATATATTAATTTAAATACTATAAAAATTAATATGAATTTCTGTGTGTACATTAAAATTAAATAATATATTGTTTGCTCTTTTGCTTCAATTACTCGAACTGAGTACTTTGTAAATTTATCATAGCTTGTAAAGCTACATGTTGATCTTGGAATATTAGCTAAATATTATTAAGATTATGTCTTGTTGTTAGTACTCCATGTATATTCTCAAAATGTTACACAAAAGCCGTATGCTGAATGATACGAGAAAAAACTATCAACAGGATTTGGATGAGTTAGAGACTTGAATTCAGACTTATTATCATTAACTGTTAACACACTACAGCAACATAACCAAATGTCTGATATAATTAAACAATATGAACAAAAACTATCAGAATTGACATTTAATAATGGAGCAATCATAACAAATTTAACTCAAATAGCAAAACAACATCCAGAAGTAGCAGATCAAATAATGGATTTAATTAGAAAGAATATTTAAAGTACTACCTGAACAAAAATTGTATACTTTATATGTATTGGATGATATTTGTAAAACCATGGCGAATCCATACAATATACAAATAGGTGATGAATTATATAATATTTTTATACATGTTTTCCAATTGAATAATAATGAATAAAAAATAAATTGGTTAGAAACCATTAAACCTTTAAGTACTTTTTTAACCTCAAGTTGAACCAAATATTTTCATTATTCATTTTACTGTTTTATACCAATTATAATAATTTATTATATCTACATAAAAATAAAGTTCAATTTAAACTCTTAAAATATCTAGTTGAGTAAATAAATTCTATTTACCGTTATGAAAATTCATCTCAATAGCTAATTAGGGTTTAAAATACTATTTATTTAGTTGTAGAATGAGAGCATGTGATTGAGATCTACTTGCTTTTAGTACATTGTGTATTATTTCATGTTACACGGTCTATAGGAACAGGAACTTTTGAGAATAGAAACAGCATTAAAAGCAAAAGAAAAAAAGAAAAAGAGAACAGCGCCAGTAAGACTGTATACACAAAACAGTTCATTTTATATCTAATGGGAAAATATTGGAAAGACGATGTTATGACATAAAATCACATAAAATAAAGTGGAAAGAAGCTATTGTATGATATGATATAAATAGTAATAATTTAAAAAACTGTAACTACTTTTATTTTCTATACAATCGATAGCATTGCCTTTTATCGTATTTATTTCTAAACCGTCGAATAATTGATTATATATGTCAATTTGACCATGTACCTCAGATCATTTATACTTTCAATCACAAAGACATGCTATATATGTAAATAAATTTTGAATTGAAAAATTTAGACTAACCGTACCTATCGAAAAGTTTCATATTAAATTAAAAAATTGAAATTTCCAAAAAGTACAGAGAAATACATTTGAAGTTTTAACTATATTGAACCCTCTACTAAGATTTTTTACAATGTATTTTAATCATGTTGTGTATTGGAAGCTAAATTAAATTTAGTTCAATAAGTTATTAACTTGAAGATGTTGCTTAGTTACGGAAGATATCACTTTGACTCACATAGGCAAAATTTAACAAAATGTTCGGGTGAAAATACAAAAATGGCCCATAGCCCTTATAAAAAAAAACACTAAACAGTGCCAAAAAAATGCTGTAATCCAGAAAAAAATCATGAAATATTGAACTTTATGGAATTTTTAATTTTATTTATATAATTAGATTGATAAACATATTAAGTGTTGAAAAAAAAATATTAAATTAATTTAAAAAATACTATAATTAAATTAACCAATTAAAAATTATTTTCTATTGTTTAAAAAATTGTTTCAAACAATTACACAAAATTGTGTGTTTAATATATTAATTATTATAATTTACTCAACAATTAATGATTAATAATTGAATTTAAAAGTGGAGAAAATATTGAATAGTATTTGCATATGATTTTAAAGATTATTTGGAAGAAAGAATCATATTCATAATGAATAGGCATGAAGGATAAACTTATTTTGATCATAGATATTCGGGTAATATTAATATATTGTAGAGATATAGTAGATTTAAAAGACATCAAAATTCTAAACATGTAATTTCTTATATAGAGAGATTATATTGTACAATAATTTAAATATTACACGTAATCAAATTTTTGGTCATTCCCTACCCGTTGAAATATTTCACTACTGATATATAATAGTATGAGTATTCCAACAGGTAGAGAGATGATTTTTAAAGATAAAAACTACGTGTAAGTTTTTGTAACCTACTAAATTGATAATTTAGTCAATCAATCTTTAAAGTCTTTATAAAAATGTTTTCGAATAATTTGCGAATTGACTGAACTATTCTAGCATCAATGAAAATAATAATGTACCATTCATAGACGGAAATTAATGAGCAACGTATTTGTGTTTCAATCATATACGTGTTTAGTCTGAAAACTGCATTAACAAAAGTATATAATATTAGTAACAAAGAAGAAGAAAGAAATGATTTGAAAAATATTAAAAATTATGATTATTTTTTTAATCTTATTTAAATACTTTAGAAAATAATATATAATGCTCTGTGTACATTGAAATTACTTAATACATTGTTTATTCTTTTGCTTCAATTGCTCGAGTAGCATACTTTGTAAACTTATCATTAGCCTGTAAAGATACTAGTCGATCTTTGAATATTATCTAAACATCATTGAGATTACGTCTTGTTGTTAGTACTCTATGTATATCTCGAAGTGTTACACAAAAGCCGTATGCTGAATGATTTGAAAAAAAACTATCAACAGGATTTGGATGAGTTAAATAATAAAGACTAGACTTATAATCATTGTATTAGTACACTACAGCAACATAACCAAATGTCTGATATAATCAAGCAATATGAACAAAAACTATCAGAGTTGACATTCAATAATGGACCAATTATAACAAATTTAACTCAAATAGCAAAACAACATCCAGAAGTAGCAGATCAAATAATGGATTTAATTACAGAAAGAATATTTAAAGTACTACCTGAACAAAAATTATATACATTATATGTATTGGATGATATATGTAAAACTGTGGGCAATCCATATAATATATTAATTGGGGATGAATTATATAATATTTTTATACATGTTTTCCAATTGAATAATGATTTTATAAGAAATAAATTGGTTAGAATTTATGATACTTGGAAGACATTTACTGTCAAAAATACAAATGAACGAGTATTTTCAGATGATCAGATTAGTAAAATAGGTACTTTTTTGAAAAAAGCAGGATATCCTAAACAAATAACTTCAGAACCATCAACACCACAACTAAAACAAACTGGACTACCAGCAAAACCAAATGTATCGTTACAACAATCATTAATCAATGATATTGATAACCTTATACCATTGTTTGAAAAACAACTCAGAACCGATATGATGAATGAAAAATTACAAGAAAGATTTAAAGCATTAAATAGTCTAAAAATAATGTTAACGAATCAAGAAATGAAATTAGCAGAATTAGAAGCAATAAAATCTCATATAGTTAATATACAAATACAATCAACACCAGAAACACCAGTAGCAGAAACACCCAAAACTTCAACAGCAACTCCACAACCTAAAATAAATCCAGCTTTTCAGATATTTAATGATTTAATATTGTCTGGGTTAGTCAAGAAAGAACAAGAACCAATACCTGGATCACAACCAACACATACACTAGTATTTCCCGAAATTAAATATTCATTAACTCAAAATCAAACAGAAACTTCATTAGAAGATTTATTGCTACAAAGTAGTTCAATCCCAAGATCAGAATATGATAAATTAAAATTTGTTGAATTAATGAAAGTCTCAAAAGAATCTTCAAATGATTTACAAGATTTTATAAATAATCATAAACCAACACCAACAATGACTGATTTATTATATGACGCAAAACCTTCAAAATGTTCAATATGTGGTAAAAGATTCACAACAGATGCTGAAGGTACAAACAATAAAAGATTACATTTAGATTGGCATTTTAGAATGAATAAAAAAATAGGTGTTAAGGGAGCAAATATTCAATCAAGAAATTGGTACTTGGATGATTACGAATGGGTTCACTTCAAAGAAGATAAATTATTAGATTCTGCTACTGATACCACTGAACAAGATCAAGATCAAACCATCACTGAAATTCAATACGTTGTTGTTCCACCAAATGATACAAATATGAATAATAGATGTTTGATATGTCGAGAACAAGTTAAAGCTAAATATAATGATGATATTGGAGAATGGGTTTGGTATGATTGTATGAAACAACCAGGTGAAAAAAACGCAAGAAGAATTGTTCATGTATCTTGTTTTAATGACAAGAAAAGATCAGCTGAATCAGATTTAAATAATCCAAAAATCAAAAGAGAAAAAAATTAATTGGTTTATAAAACTTATAGCTATTGTGTATTATTTATAAGGTAGAATATATAGTTATAACTTTTTCTTTTTATTTTCCGAATTTATTGACCTAAACATTTTAAAATATCATTCCAAACTTTACTTGGTTTTTGAGAAGCATCAACACCTTTCCAAATACCTGTTTTTTGATAATATTCAACAATTGGTTCAGTTTGTGAATGATAAGTAACTAATCTTTTTTTCAAAGCAGCTTCATTATCATCTGATCTTTGAATTAATGGTTCACCAGTAACATCATCAATCATTTCCTTTTTAGGTGGATTAAAAATTTTATGATATGATCTACCACTTGCTGGATGAACTAATCTACCAGTAATTCTAGCAACTAATAATTCATCATCAATTTTTAATTCAATTGCACTTTCTAAAGGAGTTTTTCTATCTTTTAACATAGAATCTAATTTTTCAGCTTGTGGAATAGTTCTTGGGAAACCATCTAATATAAAACCTTTTGAACATGATTTATTATTTTCTAATTCTGATTTAATCATATTTACCATAATTTCATCATTAACTAATCCACCTTGATCCATAATTTTTTTAGCTTCTAAACCTAATGGTGTACCTTGTTTAACTTGTGATCTTAACATATCACCAGTAGCTAAATGACATGCACAAAATTTATCTTTTAAATCTACTGATTGTGTTCCCTTACCGGAACCAGGTGCTCCAATAAGAACTAATCTTAATTGTTTTGCAAAAGGATTTTCTACTGGAATACCTACTTTTCTTTCCAATTGTTGAATTCTTTCATGTAATTTTGAAATTGTGTTTTTTAATTCATCAACTGACATTTTGGGCAAGTTTTGATTGATTGTTTGGTGATTTGTTGAATAATCGAAATTATAAGTTTGAAATTTTTCACTTTTCTTTTTGTTTTAAAATTTTTTTTTTTTTGAGTGACGTTTTTGTGTTATATAGTGGGGTGACAGTAATATAAAATTTTAATTGGTTCATGAAACAGTTCAAAGAAATATTATTTAGTAAAGTTAGAGAATTAAGCTAAAGATGTTGTTGGATGCTCGATAGAGATATAACCGCTTTGAAAGATTTAGGATCAAATTGCATTCTATTAAAAAAAAAACAAAGTTAGTTATCAGATATGTATGAGTTTTTAAAACAAAGTGATTGATTTACATAATAGAATAAAAATAAGAGAATTATATATTCAATAAAGAGGACTAAAACTTCAAAATGACCAATGATCAATTATCTACCAAAATAAGCTAAACTAGAATTTACCTTAAATTGTTACTCATTAATTATATACATTCCTAAAAATGTACAAATATTTGACCCAAAATACCCACCCAAACATTTGAAAATCAACAAATAATCAGTCAACCGATACCATTAACTCTATTATTTCTATAATAAAGTTTTCAAATTATTCAAATCAAATTATGATTCGATATGAACTTTGAAAAATTGTTATACAATTAATCATTTTAAATATAGTTAATAAGCAAATTTACTTAATAACCAAAAAACAGAAGTAGATTATAATTCATGAATAGAATTGATAAAATACCCTTACAAGACAATCTTGACACAAGAAAATCAAGTATATTAAATAATTCAAATGGATCCCAAATAAATCATTTGAAATGTCGCTAATTGCAAATTTGCAAACAGCCAACGTATAACCCTTGGAATATAATAATAAACTTGGGCAGTTTCATGTTTATTTTTAAACAATGAAATATATACTGGTAGTTGGTTATCCTGAATATTGTATCAAATCTCCTGCTTGAATGAGCGTTTTAAATCAAATATTTTATAATTGAAATTACCACCACCAAAATTTTGCAACCAGACATGTATAGCCCCCACAAGCCCATTCAAATGATAAGCTGAACTTCATAATCTATCACCAAGCTGGTTGATTTGTTCTAAACCAAGAAGATTGGGTTATTTGTCACCTTGAAAACTAGACTAGATCTAATCTAGCACAAAATGTTTTGACCTGTAAATTTGAATACCATCAAATAATAAAGACTGCTAAAAGTAGTTGATGATTGTAACATCAGTAGTTAATGTAGTTGCAACATATGAATTAGTAAAAAACATAAGCTCCACTTTGATTAAGAAAATCTAACAACAACACATTGTTATCAGACAATGAGGTCCAAACTTTTTAATAATCACTTGAATAAGCGTGTAAAAACAATATATCTAAATTGCAATTTCCATTTCTTTCAAAAACATATAATTTTTCACAAAATTAAAACAACTAAACCCAAGGGCCCATGCAAAATACAATCTAAATCATAAAAACACCATAATGAACCAGCATGCACACCAATTTGATATTAACCCAATACAAAATTGCATATACACCTACCCCAAGACATTATTTAAACCATCCGTAAAGTAATGTCAAGGAAACAGCAAATTAGTTTCCCATACTTTGGAACAAGTTATTAGCAAAAGTCCCAAATAACAATCAAACTTTTTTTGTCAGTTTGATTCTATAATCAAAATACTTTTAATTTTGAAAAAATCTGTTTGACTTATGTAACGAACACTTGAGTGAGCTTTTAAAGATGTCTATCTATTCAAACTTTGTTTTTGATAAAATTTGATATTGTTGTTGTTGTTAGTAAAAAAAAGGTATGAAATTAAAATTTTAAATAAGAATTTTTTGGATTATTTATACCTGTGTAAAATAGGACAAGTTTATTATTTTATTCTTAAACAATTTTTATCCCTAATTTTAATCTCCCATTTAGAGTTTTACTTATACTTTCTCAAAACAAAAACCAGATAGGTTAAGCTTAAAATAAACTTCAATTTGCATTAATACCCAATCACAAAGTTGAGATGATTTGACTTTAGCAAAATTTCTTAAATTATGCATCTTTTTGCAACAATTTAAATCAAAGTAACCTTAAATCTGCTACCAAATTTTTTGTAGCAGATCAATACATTCACAATACAATCATTACTTCTCAATCAATGTCTTGGAAATTAACATTACAAACTTCAGCAACAGTAATATCACTAATAATAATAGTAAATGAATTACATAAAGCTTACAAGCGACTATATGATACCACTTCATTAACTTCACTCCCACCAAAGTCAAGAGGTATTGAATCACGTATTGGAAATACTCCAATTATAGAAATTAAATCATTATCAGCTAAAACAGGATGTAAAATATATGCCAAACTAGAGTTATGTAATCCAGCAGGGAGTTCAAAAGATAGAGTAGCTCTAGCGATAATAAGAGCAGCTGAAGAATCAAATCAATTAATACCTCATCAAAATAATGTAATATTTGAAGGAACATCAGGTTCAACTGGAATAAGTTTTGCAGTATTAGCTAATGCTTTAGGTTATATTGCACATATATGTTTACCTGATGATACATCACCTGAGAAATTACAACTTTTAACAGCATTAGGAGCAGAAGTTGAAAAAGTTAAACCTGCAAGTATTGTTGATCCAAATCAATATGTTAATGCAGCAAGAAGAGGAGCAGATGAAATAAATAATGATTCAACAACTACCCAAAAAGCCATTTTCGCAAATCAATTTGAGAATGATTTTAATTGGAGAATTCATTATAAAACCACTGGACCAGAAATTTATAAACAATTAAATTCTAAAATTGATGTATTTATAAATGGATCAGGTACAGGTGGGACAATATCAGGAGTTGGGAAATATTTAAAAGAACGAAATCCAAAAACAAAAGTAATTCTAGCAGATCCACAAGGAAGTGGACTTGCAAATAGAATCAATTATGGAGTATTATATGATACTGTAGAAAAAGAAGGTACAAGAAGAAGACATCAAGTAGATACTTTAGTAGAAGGAATTGGATTAAATCGATTAACTTGGAATTTTAAACAAGGTGAATCATATATTGATGAAGCTATAAAAGTAAATGATGAACAAGCTTTAAAGATGGCTAAATATTTATGTATTAATGATGGATTATTTTGGGGTTCTTCTGCTGCTATTAATTGTGTTGCTGCTGTAAAAATTGCTTTGAAATATGGTTCAGGACAAAACATTGTTGTTATTGCTTGTGATTCTGGTGATCGTCATTTATCTAAATTTTGGAAAGAAGCCATGAAATTACCTAATGATATTAAATTAGAAGATATAATATAAAAATGAAACACTTACACATATTAGAACCTAAATAGACAATTTATAAACGAATGTATAATTCCAAGTATAATATATATTAATTAACGTTTTAAACAACTCTATAAATTTTGTTGTAACAATTCTTGTTTTTTCAATCTATATAATTTAACAGTAGATAAAGTAGAAGCAGCAATACCCATCCAAATTTGCCAAGTATCAAAAGGTAAAACAATACTGAAAACAGTATATGTGTTGAATCCCAAATCAGCTAAATTCTTATAAATATCTAACCATGCATTATTTTTTTTGAACTGTATGGAATTCAAATTTCGATGATCTTCTGAACTCATGTGTGATTGATCTTTTTCGAGATAATTTTGTTGTAGTTGATGATTATTCCCCAATATTTGTTTAGATAAGATACGTGCCCTATTTTTAACTTGAATTTGAATTTTTAAATCCATTTCTTGTTGTGTTAATTTATTTAAATCTTCATAAGCGTTATATAAAGCTAACCAAGTTTCACAATACCAACTATAGGATTCATGTCTAGTTACAATTTGTTTAAAAGTTGGGTTAGTGAAGAAATTCAACTTGTATAATAAAATAGATTCATCATTAATTCCATAATATAATGAAAATAATTGACCTAATGTTGAACGATTAAAAATATTTGGTTTATTTATTTCAAGATCATTATTTGATTTGTTTAAAGATATATTTTTGTGGAATTTAACGAAAAGATCTCTTATTCTAAATGGTGTTTTCCCAAATCTTAAAAATTGTCTATACATCGAAAGACCATTTATCATTCCTGCAATTCTTGATTTAAAAGTTGAACAAGATAATATAAGTATAATTTTAAAAAAATCAGCTGGATGTTTTATGAAATTTTTTATAAGTTCTAACTGCTTGGTTGAATCATTATATCTATCACTTATAATTTTTATATTTATTGTATCATCTGATAAATAAGTTTGTGATTTATTCGCATAATATACTAATAATCTTAATGTATATTGACCTACTTTTGCCATTTTATCTTTCCCCACTATATCATTTAACATTAACCAGAATATATCCCAATTATTTACATTTGATTTTTTTGTAGTTGTTGTTGTAGCTTTAGACGGTGATTGAGTATTTGTTGTTGTTGAAATTGATGATGATTGTGAATGATGTTCTGAGAAAGTTTCATTATTTCCAATTTTTTGATTTGAACTTGGAGTGATGTATGCGAAATTTTTTATATTTTTGGAAGGAGTTTCATATTTATTAGAATTATTCTGTATTTGAGTTGTTGTTACTGTTGCTGACATTTTAGGATCTTCAATTTTAAAATTTGTAGATTTAATTGGTGAAATAATAGGACTATTAGTGTCTTCTTCTACCCACTCAGAATTAAAAGATTGAGGAGGTTGAGAATATAATTTTGAAGATGGATAAAGGGGAGATCTTCTTACTCTTTGTTGATTTTGTTGATTTTGTTGATTTTGTTGCTGTTGTTGTTGTAGATTTTGTAAATATTGTTGATATTGTAATGAGTTTTGGGGTTGAGTATGTAGTATATCTGGTTGATTATATTGTTGTTGTTGTTGTTGTTGTTGTGATATATTTGAATTGAGATTATTATTCTTATTATAATATTGTGATTGAATAATCGGTATCTTGTCAATACTATTATGATTTAATGAATCAATATCATTCATTATAAAAAAAAAAATATTTGATAAATTTAAATTAATGGAATGTAAGGAATATTTATAAAAGCAAAAAATTAAATATAAAATAAATAAAGTGAATGATGATATACAACTAAAAACAAAATTCAATGATGTTTAATTTCTAATTATTAATTGTTTAATGGTTGTATTAATTACTTAGTATAAATTTTTTTTTTTGTTTTTTGATTCTGTAACTTATTAAAATATTTAAAATTGTTATTTTGTCTCAATAAATAAACAATTAGAATCTATTAATTATAATATTTTGTAACTCATTACATTTATAATTAAAGGTGCTTCTTAATCTATTTAGATTGATCTAATGTTAATAAGATTCTACAATTTACAAACAAATTTAAAGAAGGTAAGAGTAGCTTTTTAAATAGCTAAAACTCTTCTTCCCATGTGTGTTATATTTAATAACTCTTCTAATTAAAAAAATATTTAATAACAATCATTTGTTTTTTTTTTGTTGTGATTTTATATTACTATTAAAATTGCATCCGAAAAAGTGGGGATAAATGGAAGGTATAGACAATATATTCAGCAAGCTTTCTTTACTTTAGGTTCAACAACAACTCGTTTGATGATATATATATATAGAAGCAACCTATATATGCTTTGACCATACTGGTCTATTTGCTGCAAAATTTAATTGTAGTCGTTGTAAAGCTAGTCTTTTTTGCAACTATTCATTTTCACTGTAACATGAAATTTTCTGTATATTGTTATTACGTTACATTTTAAATTTGCTATTTTTGAAACAAATTATTAAAACCATTGCGTTTCGGAGTTTTTTTTTTTTAAAGAGAAGACTACTTAGTCCAAATAATTTAGTCAAAACAATACAGATACAATTTTATATATTCATTTACATAAAACTTAATAATCTATTTTAGTATTTAAGCAGTTGCTGGACCCATCATAAAAGCTCCAACAGAACCTAAATAACCTTCATGTCTTAGAAAATAACTTTCCATATCACCTTTTGACCAAAAATTAACAGCAAAACTTAAAGTATGTATAGTTTGCATATGACCTGATATATAACTACCACCAAAATAAATTCTTTTTAAATCAAATCTTAAAGCATGAAGGTAAGCAATTTGACCAATATTATTACTTATTGAAAATAAAAGACTTCTTGCAATATCTTCTTGTTTAAATTGTGATAATTTTTCAACTGGATTTAAAATAGGTGTAGTTTCTGATGCATTAGAATTATTATTATTGAATCTTAATTTTTTAAAAACTTTTGCAAAACTTGATGCTATATGGTTTGCTTTTAATCCAATTTTATTGTAATTAGTACCATATATATCACCAACTAATAAATCAATATTTTCATTATCTCCTCTCTGTGCCATTTCTAACATTTCATTATAATCTTTTGCATCAGTTAATAGTGAAAGTAAACCCCATAATGTCCCACCACCTAATGAAGACCCACCAATTCTTTCAAATCCTTCTGGACCAGGTTTTGTTACTTTGATTAGACTTACTCCACTGCCTATATTTACTAACAAATATGGATATATTTCATTTTCATTTTGTAGTGGTTGGAACTTTGTACATGATTCATTTAAATCATAAATAAAAATTTCTTGTGGGATTTTTGTAATTAACCAATCAAGACCTTTTATTAAACATTCCATTTCATCTTTTGCTAATATTTTCATTGGAAGATTTTTTTTACGAAATGTTTTTGTCATTAAATTATAAAATTTATGAGCTCCTCCTCCAGTTGCTAAAATATAAGTTATTGGAGGATTTTTATTTTCCTTTGATATTGATCTAGTTATTAATTGTATCATGAACTTCATTACTTCATTTTTAAAATTTTCGGTTTGAAAATCTTTAAAATGTAATTTCCCACCTCCTATTTGTTTGGTGTTTTTAGTTGATTTACTAAAATATACTAATTTTGTTAATGTACCTCCTATATCTACTGATATGTGAATTATTTCATCATTATGTTTAGGTAATGTTATATTATTCTTTGTGATTAATCCATTTGTATTTTGATTATCATTTTCTAGTATATCATCTTCTTCAATCTCATCTTCGAAATCTGAAGAAGTATTTGAAGATGGTGGTGTTGGAGTATTTGAATTTGAATTTGAAGAACTTAATTCTTCATCATTATTTGTTATTGAACTTCTTAATAAATCATCATTTGCAATATATGCTCCACTACAATCAATTTTAATAGTACCAGGATCAACTAAATCTAAATTCATATCTTCATGACTTACACTTAATCTATGTCGACGAGAATGATGTAGTAATAATGATGAAGTAGATGTAGAATTGGAAGTTATTGCTGATTGTGATGATTGGATTGACACTTGTTGTGTTGATGATGTTAATGGTGAAATGTTTTGGTAATTATTGTTATTATTATTACTAATATTTCCAAAATTTAATAATGATGAATCTTTTATTGGATTATATGAAGTTATTATATCATCATTTTTAGAAGATTGTGAACTTGATTCTTGTAATTTACTATTTATCTGATCAACAGATTCCATTTTTAATTAGTTATTGAATAATTGAATTGAAATATTGAAATATAAAATTGATATATAAATTAAATAAATGAATTATTGTAGTTAGATCTTAAATTTTATTGTAATTTTATGATATTGTTGCAAAAATTAATAATACTTTGAATAAATGAAAAAAAAAAATGCTAATAATAAATATGAATTGAATGCTATGAAAATGATATATATATAAATGATCTATTAAGTGAATGAATAAATAAGTTTTGAATAAATAAATAAATATGAAAAACAGTTAAATAAATATGAATGTTAAAATTAATCAGTTGGTTAAAGGATTGAAATGTTGGTTGTAAATAACTATAATTTTTCAATAATAAATTTAATTTATCAAAAGATAATTTTTTTTTTTTTTCTTTAATCGGTTGATTTATTTTTTTTGTTGAGAGACACCTTTATAATTATTAATAAAATGAATTAGTTGAATATGAATCCTATTTAAACACTTGAACTTAAAAGCAACTATGAAATATCTTAGACCCTTGAAAGTAATATTATTGGTTAAGTAGAAAATTTTTCTAAAATATGGATATATGAAATTAATTTATATAATATTTAATGTCATTTAAATTTACTTACATTTATAATATAATAAATTTATTGTCGTATAAAAATATTATTTTTGTTGGTTTCAAATTAAATCACCGCTTAGTTTTTATTTTAATAATATTTTGATAATAAGACCGCTGGAATTATAATGAATTGAAATATCAAGATTAAAAAATATAATATAATAACTACATCTTAAAGATAAGAGATATTTATCAAAAGAATTGTTGATTTTCGATAATCAATCGACTAGACTAATCTTTAAATGAATTTCATCATTTTACATCTTAATTAAAAAAATACAATACATTTCTTAGATTTTATTTGCTATAGTTTCAAGTAAGTGATATCAATTTACAATTGAACCGAATCTTATATAATTCAAAACCCTGAATTAAAATTCTTTGAATCAATTTTTGAGTGAATTCAATCTTCAATTCCAATGTTTAACTCTAATATTCAACAAATAGTAATGGCCAATGTATAATTTTCAAAATTACATTAATACGTTGGTTTAATCAATATATCATATAAAATATTTAAAATCTGTATTCCCCTAAATGAAGAAAAGAAAGAAAAAAAAACTCCGAAGAATTTGACAATATTAATTTATTTTACTTATCCCCACAAAATATATAATTGAAAGTTTTGTAATTAACCGCTCGTATTTAATGTATTAATCAAAATAAGTTTTCACTACTTCTTGATTGATTCTCAGGACAATTAATAGTAAAGATTTTTGTAGATTAAACTTCTACATCATTAAATTCTCCTTACTCCTGAATGAACTCATTTTAGTAAGAAAATTCGAAAGAAGAGTTTTAAAATCTCTCAAATCTTTATTCACATACAATATACAAGAATTTAGACCATAACGTCTTAAAAGAGTCAGAAACAACGCTTCCATTTGATTCATCTTTATTTGCTATTAAACCACTTTAAATCACTTTTAACTACTTAAATTCAATTGAACAATAAAGGATAGTTGATAATCATTATTGTTTAAAATGATATGACTTTAAAGAAATTTAATTAAATACTCCATACTAATAGTTTAATGTGACAATTCGAGGATCAAAATCCAGAATGAAATGACATTAAATTTAACAACTTTTAAAATTTGTTATTTACATAGCTATTCAACCATGCATCCCAATTACCAATGATTCAAATAATAAAACATTAAAGTAAATATGAAAGGAAATGAAGTTTCAAAATTTTGATTCTTTGAGTACAATTGGCGTAACACTACTTGAGAAAGTCACGTGTTGGATCTAAACTTGTATGGAAACTGTCAACCTACGGGAGGTTTTTGATAATTTTTGGCTCGAACAGAACAATAAATCATAATTCCGGATTGTGAACATGTACTATCCAAGTGTTTAAAGTTTGAAAGGCATCTTCTTATTTGAACTGTTAGGGCTACTTCATTTTTCAACTTAATATTCAAATTATAATTAGAGATTAAAAATGTTACAAATACAGTTAATAATTATACAAATACAAATTTTACATTAATACATATAAAAACCCTCTGTTTTTGCAGCAAATCAACGAAAAAAAACGTACGATGGCTATCAAAAAGGAAATGCAAAACTTTTACCTGCATCAAGAATCATGAATTTGACGATCCTTCTCTGAGCGAGGCATAATGGAACTGAGTAATGTAAACATGTTATTAATCTCGGTTTAAACAATTGAATTGAGTAAAAGTTTGTCAACAATCGTTATTGAACTTAACTTTATTTCAACAAGATTTGATTAAACACCCTTCTTAATAACCTTGTCAACATTATTTCATATAGCAATGGCCCTCTTTCAACTAATATTAGATCATTTTGCTAAATTTACGATGTAGAATTAAAACCTTCATATTATCCAACAACACCCATATCGAATCGAGCAATCAAAGACATTCAAACAAATTTACTGGAATTACGATAGTAAAGCGATTTCTTTAAACGTAGACTTGACAAAACCAATGACAAACATTGATTATCACCACTGGAACACCATATGGATCTCAGATATATGGTGATCAATTATTACTGTTAAACTCAAAAAATGAATTACAACTCCAAAATTGCCAACAATCTATATTGAAAAATTCTTTTTTTCAACAGGACTTAATTAAGCACTTTTATAATAAAATTAGTCACTTCGAGCACGATGCTGCGACTAGATTGCAAAAACTAATATTTCCCAATTCACTTCCAAACAACTTACTGATAACATGTTTGAATTTTAGTTCTTTCGTTGATTATTCACAAGACAGACATGCTTCTTACATAATGATATCCACCAAAAAATTCCCATCATGACTTACCTTGAAAGTAAGTGTTCTCTCATATAACTTACTGTTAATTAGAAGATTCTTTCATTAATATTATCTCTTCCAAAAAATGAGCCAATAGTAAGAGACATTAACACTCCAATAATATACAAACCATCTCTCATACTCATTAATCAGTAGAATCAAGTTTAGGAAAAAGCCCGGATTTAAAATACCCAAGTAATTGGATCAAACCATAAAACAATCCCCATTAACAACTTCAAACTAAGATTTTCAATTTCTGTAATAACAAAAAAATTGAAAAAACACATCAATTGTGATTCAGCTGATTTAATTTTGAGTTTTAAAATTCTCCAATTATCATCATCTCATCTTCCGTAGACTGGATAGACGTTTAGGTACATAAGATATATTCAACAGGCTAATTTATTTTGAGTATTACCACTTATTTGATACATTGAACTTTAAAATCATAAATTAGGTTTTTATTTTTTTTTGCTATATGTATTTCAATTTCTTTAAAATAATTAAAAGCGTCACCAAAAATAGCACGTGATGGAAATTTCTTCGTATACTGTTTGACTTATGTATTTCATTAATTATTAACTAACAATCGATCGTTATAATGAAAAGGAGTTTCCATAGATTACAAGTTATTTTCCCTGTTTTTTACTTAATTAGATCTTAGTCTTGAGAATCTTTATAGTATTAATTTTAAATCTTATACAAACTACCATCATCAAGTCTCTAGTCAATTATAAAATTTCCATTCCCCATACCTGATAGATCAAAAATAGTTGCATTTATTACCAAAACCCCGTTAAAATCATCTTTATCTTTTCTTCTCTCTTCTTCTTTAAAATTTTCTTCAAATTGATTCTCTTACATCTTCCTGATCTACAACATCCATAATCTCTTAATCTTTATTCAGTGTTTTAACATTCATCTAATTTTGATCCATAATCTAGTGACAAATGATTGTTCAATCTTTCTTTATTTTCTTCATTGGTTTGCAGTAAAATTAAATTAAATTTACTGGGTGTGTACTTTTTTTGGAAACCGATTAGACTTTGGTTCGAAACTTCTTAAATTTGAAACTGACGTAATAATATTGCAAAAACACTCAAGGTAGAAGATTCTTGTTGAACTGGTAACTAAGTAAGAATAGCCCAGAAACTTTGGAGGTAAGAAATACTTATAGAATGAGTATTTAACTGAATTACATTTGTTTTACTACCTATAATTTTTACTTTGTTACTGTTTCAAATTTGCAACCATAAAAAACGTACAAATTTAAATACAACAAAAAGATTTTCAGTAAAAGAAATCCGAGTAGAAACTCTGCAAGGAATGATTAAAATTTTAATGTGAATCAATGAAATGATAACAAATAGAGATGAAAATATCTACAAATTTTGTAAAATTTTACACATACAAATACAACTTTTACATTGGTGACTTAATTAGATCCAGAATGCTCCGGACACGACTCCTTCTAAATAATTTTAGACACATTCAAGGTAAAGGAGATAATGGACTGGAAATCATTTGCAGAATTAATAAACTTTCAAAGACAAACTTATGACTCATGTTTAAATTACCAAACCAACTAAGATCAATGGTTGAGCCTTATGGGCGAATTTTTCTACAAATCTCCAACAATAAGACTCAAAACCAATAAACAGTTTTATTATGATTGTCATATTTGTGTTGGGCAATGGCCACTTTTTAACTACAGCAATTTTACGTCTGAGTTAGAAAAATCATTCCCAACGTCAACATGTTATTGATCCCAACTACTAGCTGAGAAAAGTTTGTCAATCATCATTATTGAACTTTCATTTGTTTCAACAAGATTCGATTAAACACCCTTATCAATAAGCCAATTATAATTTTTACTGTAGTTAGTTGGATTTCAATAACGAAAATCGTTCACCCTCATATTTCGAGTTATCAAAATATTTGAAACATTTGGTATATCAATAGGCAATATCAAAAATCATTTGAATAATCAAAAACAACTTTGCTTCTTCGCATAACAAATACGGATTCACGTAACATTTTTCAAAATCTCAAAATAAATTGGATAAATGTTGCCCATAGATTCTCAACCATTATTATTGATTTCAAATTCAATTTGATTAAAAGTTGCCAATAATCTATATTGAAAAGTTTCTCTTTTCAGTAAGACTTAAGTCAGCAATTTTTCAAATAATAATAGTATCATCTTGGACCCAGGGAAATCAATATCACCAAACCAGTTAGACAAAAATAAAAAAAGAACTTGATTAAATAAAATACTTCCTAGTGCTTTGTGATTTAGACTTAAATATATAAATTTACTTCACAACATTAATAACAAAAAGAACAAAATCAACCTTGCAAATAACAATGCACTGATTGCCAAAATCTTAATAAAAAAATAAACCCCAATAATGATGTATAAATTAATTAATTACATTTATCTTGTAAAATGGGATACCAGACACAAGATGGTTAAATTACATTTTCTTGGCTGACGCTGAATTGTAATTCATGCTTTCAATATTTAGAAGAAGGTAATAATATCAATGTCAATATGGACTTCAATTATTTATATAACGAGCAAGTTTAAAGACACATAAAACGAAGCATCATCAGTCAGAAAAAATCAAATTTAGGAAAAAGTCTAGATTTTGAAAAACCCAAGTAGTTGGATTAAAACCTTAAAACAATCCTCCATTAACAACTCCAATCAATCTTTTCAAAGCCTTGCAAATTTTTGTTCAAAACTTGAAAAAAATAAATATATGTATTGACTTGTTCGTGATTCAACTGATCTGATCTTTAGCAACTTTTTTCACTCATGTATATTTAAAAACTAAAGGATCATGGGACACATTAGAACCATTAACAGTTCGTAAAACTTTTGAAGCTGAATTTGCTGTCATTGATCCACACCATTATGATGAAAAAAAAAAATTAACATAAAACATTGGATTTCTTGAACAAATTAGAAATATTCAAATATTTCCAATTGAGAAATTTGAGAAAAAGCTAAAAACATTTGAAGCTACCAACAGCTACTCACGTGATTTAGAAAGCATTATCATTTACTTGTGTTTGTTATACTTAAATATCAACTATTTAAGTTAATAGAGTAATAATATATTACTCGATCTACTTTCCTGCTATTATAATTTGATTACTAAGTTAAGCTATATACCCTCAAAGCTTTTGCACACAATTTAAAATTTAGATAATCGACAATGATAAACTCTGGAATCAACAAAATCAAATTCCTTTTCCATACTTGATCCAAGATCTGACGCAACTGGCATTTCAGTAGTTAAAACTCCATTGAAGTTTTTTATTTTTATTTTCTTCTTTTTCTTCATGATCAACTTCCATTTGATCTTCAATTTCTTCATCATCATCAACATTCATCTTGTCGTCATCTCTATTTTCAGTATCATAACTCTTACCCGGCTTTAATCCGTAATTTATTATCAAGTCATTATTCATTATTTCTTTATTTTCTTCATTGGCCTTTGCAGTTGTGCTAATTCGTAATTTTTGAATGTGTGATTACGGGAAATTGATTAAACTTTGATTTCGATATTCTTTAGCTTGTAACTGACAAAATAATATTGCGAAAAAATTCAATATAAAAGAGTTGTCTTGGAATGTCAACTGAATAGGAAAAGTCAAAAACTCCTAAAAATAAAAGATAAAGTTCAAGTAAGATACATTAGCTTCATGTATTTTTGAAAACTTAATTATAAATTTTGTTGTACCTGTTTTGAATTTGCAACCATAAAACAGCAAATAAATTTGGTCACAACAAAAAAAGTTTATTGAAAAAAGTGAAGTAAGAATTCTGCAAGGAATGGTTGAAACTTTAATGTGAATCAACGAAATGATAACAAATAGAGATAAAAAAAACCTACAAATTTCGTAAAATCTTAAACATACAAATACATCTTTTACATTGGTTTATTTTAATTTTTTAAAAGCATCTTCTTTAACGTAGATGAAGCGCTAAACAACTCTGATGTAATATACAATGGGGGATATCACTTGAAACATTTCTTTATAGAATTGGTAAAGGAAACCGAAAACAATGTAGGAAACACTGAAATTTCCTATTTTCGTTTGGCTATGGCCACTTTTTGACCGCAATAGTTTAAAACCTAAACTAAAAAAATCATTATCAAATTCAACGTGTTATTAACCTCAACAATTAGCTGAGTAAAGTTTGTCAATAATCATTATTGAACTTTTATTTGTTTCAACAAGATTCAATTAAACACCCTTATTGATAAGCCAAATATAATTTTTACTGTAATTAGTTAAATTCCAATAACGAAAATCGTTCTTCCCTCTATATTGAGTTATCAAAATATTTAAAACATGCTGGTATAATAATGGGCAAAATCAAAAATCATTTGAATAAACAAAACAACTTTTTCGAATAACAAATACGGATTTACATAACATTTTTCAAAGTCTCAAGATAATTTTGATGAATGTTGTCCATTGATAATCAATTATTATTATTGGTTTCAAAATTATTTGAATTAAAAATTGCCAATAATCTATATTGAAAACTTTCTCTATTCAATAAGACTCAATTGAGCATTTTTTCAAATAATAACAGTATCCTGGAGCAAATAAAGTAAATTTTACAAAAATTGAACCAGATGAATTTTCAAAAATTATTTAACTAAAATACCCCTTGTATTTTGTTACAAAATTTAATATTAATACCACGATTATTTGATAATGGCTTTAAAGTTATTTAAGTGATATTGAGCTAATTAAAGATAATGCAAGATGGCTAATCTCGATAAACCCAAAAAATTCTATATTGGTGACGTATAAATCAAAGCTTTATCAGTCAGAAAAATCAGGTTTAGGAAAAAGTCTAGATTTTAAAAAACCCAAGTAGTTGGATCAAAACCTTGAAACAATCCCCTATTAACAACTCCAATCAATCTTTTCAAAATCTTGTAAATGTTTGATCAAAACTTGAAAAGAATAAATATATGTATTGACTTGGTTGCGATCCAACTGATCTGATCTTTAGTAACTTTTTTCACTCATTTATATTTAAAAACTGAAATGATCATGGCGACACATTAGGTCCATTCACAGGTCGAGGACGAAAATATTATCACATCACAATCATAGATCAATACACTGGATATACTGAATTAATAGTAACATTTAACAAAACCATAAGATTAATTGAGCGAAGTAGAAATATTAAAAAAATTTTAACTGAGAATTCTGAGAATGAGTTAAAAAATTTCAGAGCTACAAATAGCTACTCACGTGATTCAGAGAACATTATTATTTACTTGTGCTTGTTATACTTAAATATCAACTATTTAAGTTAAGAGATTAATAATATCTTACTCAATCTACGTTCATGGATTTATTAATTAATTATTAAGTTGAGCTATACATCCACTAAGCTTTCACAAAACATTTCAAATTTTAGATAATCGACTATGATCAACTCTGGAATCAACAAAATTAAATTCATTCCCCATAATTGATCCAAGATTTGAGGCAACTGAAACATTAGGAGTTAAAGCTCTGATCAAATAATCTTTATCTTTATTTTCCTCATTTTCTTCATGATCAACTTCCATTTGATCTTCAATTTCTTCATCATCATCAATATCCATCTTATCATCATCTGATTCTTCAGTATCATAACTTTCATCTGATTCTGATCCATAATCTATTATTAAATCATTATCAACTTTATTCTCTTTATTAATATTGGGATTATTAGTTGTGGTGGATTGTAGTTTTTGTATAAGTGAATTTTGGAAATTTAAATGTGACGTATTTTTTGGAGTTGATGGTAATAACGGTGATGGAAATGGGGTTGGTGTATGATTCATTGGATTTATTTCATAATTTGTTGTTTTGAAATTTGTTGGGTTTGCAATAAGAACATTTTTAGTTGAATGCTCTGCCAAGTTTATATTGTAATTAGGTTGAAAATTTCCTAAATTTGAAACAGACATATCAAAATGAGCAAATTAGTTGAAAGTAATAAAGAATCTGTTGAAAGTACAAACTAATTTATAAAAAAAAAAAATCTTTAAAGTATTTGAAATTAATGAACTTTCAGGGATGAAAATTTTAAATTTGTTTCATGTGTTTCAAAATATAAAATTAATTTTTCCAATTTTGTACGTGTTTTAGATTTGCAACCATTGAAAAAACATACACATTTTCATTACCTATAAATTTATATACAACAAAAAATATTTATCAGAAAAAAGTAGAGTAAAATGTCTACAAATTATGATTCTATAAAAGTTAAAACATTTTATTGAGAATTGAAACTAAAAAGATTGTAAAAAAATATGTATGTATAAACTAATCATAACATTAATTAACTGAATTGAATACTAAAAATACCTTTTAAATTTGTAAAACCACTTAAGAACTGAAATTAACTATGAGTTGTTAACTATATAAACCAATCTACTTCCTTTTTACCAATAACATTTAAGATGTTATTAGCTAAATTAAATTCTAAATCATCTTCTGAAGCTTCTAGTTGTTTTGGGGTATAAATTTCTCCATTTTGATGAGTATTTACTGAATTTATTGAATTGATTGAACTCTTTTTTGAATGTAAACTAGATGAATTTGTCCGTATTTTATTGCAATGACTATAATAATGATTAAATTCTTCAATACTTGGTAACGGGGGTATTATACTTTCTTCTTTAAAATTTGATTGTAGTTCATCATTCATTGTAATATCTGTATTTAAAATTTGTGAACTCGTTGTTGATGTTGATGTTGAATTTGAAGATGAATAATTTTCATAATCTATTTGAAATTTAGTGAAATCATCTATTTGTTGTTGTTGTTGTTGAGCTATATGTTTTTTGGAACTTTTCAATGGTAAAGACAATGATCTTGTTCTATGCATTGAATGGAAAGGTGGTGATGATGAATTAGAGTTGATTGAATTGATTGAATTTATTGTAGATAATGAAGGACTTATTATCATTTGATGACTTGTTATTGATTCAAAAGATGAATTTTGAGTAAATAGTGGTGATGAATTTGTTGAATTTGATCTTTTTGTGTTACTTGTATTACTATTTGAATTGGTATGTAAATTTATTGATAGTGAAGATGAGGAAGTTTTTAATTCATTTTTAATTGACTTTATTTTAGTTTTTAATTTAGAACTCATTTTGTAATATCAATGGATTGTAGAATATTTAATAGTTATAAAGTTGTATTGTAATAAATTTATCTGGTCCAAATATACTTTGTATATATATAATAAATAAAATTTGTAGTGATTTATACTGAAAAATAACAATTGAAACAACAAAAGTACAATTAATAAGTTAAAATTTGAAAATAAAATGAATTAATAAAATAATAAACAATTGAATTGAAAATGATATATATAACTTGTAAAAATTAATTGAGTTTAAAAAAAATTATTTGGGTAAAACTATCTTTATATTAATTAATTGACTAAACTTATAATGTATGTCCCATTTGTTGATAGTTAAGAGTAAAATTAAAAAAAAAAATGAAAAAAATAAAATAATTTTTCAAAATTTAAATCTTATGGTTTTGTGTTTTTTTTATTTTTATTTTCATTATGCATATTTACTTAATTTGGTTACTTATTATTTTTTTATTATTATTATAAATATATTTTATTAAAAAAGGAGATTAATTTTTATTGTGTAGACAATATAAATAATTAACCGTATTATTTTCAATATATCATAACCAATAATTGTATTTATTGTATTGTTCAAATATATTTGATATATATTAATTGAAGCCAATCGATTTAGTGGTAATTTTTCAATTATTTAGGTCTAAAATTTAGACTAAAATAAAGTACTGCTATATGGAAACATTTTGTTAATTTGAGAATTTTACTTATCTACAACATTTGTTTTTTAAACCAGTATTTCAAAATCCAATTGACGAAAGTGATATTCAAAAATCGCTCAACTCTAGAACTTTAAAATTTCATTTAAAAAATATCTCAAATTTCATATGCTAAATAATAAATTGATCATATTTCAAATTTTATAATTTTATATGTAATTAATTTATTCTGAAACAAATATTATAATAATAGGTGAACAGAAAAAAATAAAAAATTACTTTTAAAAGATAACTAAAGAAAAAATAGATGAATCAGATGTAAATTAACGTCAGGAGTAAAAGAATCTCTGTTTCAAGATATACCAACTAAATTATCATCGACTAGACCTTTTTCTTGGTTTTTATACCATATTTAATAAACTTTCTAGTCTATCTCCCTTAATTATGATAAAAAAGCCAATATTTTTCAACAACCCTATATGTAATGTATGTAGTGATAGGATTTATGCAAACAATTTCATAATCCGTTGAATTTGAGGAGCAATCAATTAAAATACGTTGAGTACTTATGTGTTATATGACTTTATTGTGTCAATGAAATATGATATATAACGTTGTAATTAAAGTGGTGGTTGTAAAGTGATATTCTGATGACAAAACTGTTCAAAAAAGTCACAAATTTTTCTGTCAATCTAGATGTACTTTTTCAAGTATGACAATAACAATCAATTCGAATAATCAATTCAAAAAAAGACAATAAGAATAGGGAAATCTTTTGTGTTTAAAATCTTATTGTTTTCTTGAAAAGCCTATTTTTTCGTAAAAACATTTCAACAAATGAAAAATTGTTTGTTGTGGAGTAACATTGAAAAAGTTTATATACGGTAAAAGTTAAAATCACCTTATGTGCTTAAATTTTAATAATCAAAAAAGAATTGAGTGTTTCGTAAATAAGTTAATTGAAATATATGAAATTAAGGGGATGAACCACATATACTTAATCTAAAACTGTAAGTACTATAATGATTTTGTTCTACTTCTCTGGTCTTTTAAGATAAATTAACTAATTATAACTGATATTAAATCTAGACTAATTTATTTATTTTAGTACTATGTTTTCATTTTCAACATTTTTAGTAAAATAAAGTTTTTAAAACAATTTAAGTTAATATACATTTTAACTAAAAAAGTTTAATTATTAGTAATAGTGAATTTTATATTGTGTTATATTTTCCTTTTCAGGATCTCTCAAATTCGGGATTCATTTGATTGTAAGAGTACGACAATTTAAAATTTAGACATTTTCTGAATTCCATATGATTGACAACTTTAGAATACTTTTTAAATCAATTTCATGTATTTTAGATTATCGTATTTAAAGGAATTTAGTACAACTCATTTGCATGTGTAAAGGGTTGAAAAAAGTCATTCGTTTGAATTTAGGTTACAGCAACATTATTTGTTGAAATTAAAAATATTACTATATAAATGTCTATCTATACATTCTTGGAGTATTTTTCACTATCTATTTTTCCGTTATGACTTATTCCATCTATTACTTCAACTTCATCTCTATGAGAACTACCATCCTCCTCTTCCATATCTCCATTACCTCTCACTTTGATTTGTTTATTTTCTCTAACTTCCAAAAACCTTATTATTAACACAACAAATATACTAGCAACACCAGTGCCCAATAATGCCCAACATCCCTTTTTAAATGGAAAAGTATCAGCACCATAAAACAATATTGACCACCATGCATTAACTGCATTACTAAACATATTCATTGAAGCCAAAACAATAGCCCTTTCTTGTAAATCATTATGACATATAACATTAGCATAAGCGAAAAATACGGTTTGTGCAGCAAAGGCAGTTCCTGATAAATATTGACCAACAAATACTGATACATCAGACAATGGATTACTTACATGTACCACAGACGCTATAACGACAAATAAACCAATCACTATTCCTAGTAAGAAATGAGATCTAAATGATTTTATATTTTGAATTATTATTGCTGATATAATAGTTGCAAATATTCCAATTCCATAGATAGCTAATGGATAATGATTTCTTTGTAATACAGTATATTCATTTTCAGCTAACCATAAAGCCAATATAGAATTAGTAGCAAATGATTCATTCTCACCACCTAAAACCCATAAAAACGAAAACAAATAAAAACGCCATTTCCCCAAAACTCGTTTAAGTATAGCCCAACTAAACTCATCCTTTTCAGGTCGATTCTGTTTCATCTTTGTCATCGCTATCTCCTGTTCTTCACTAGTAAAATAAAAAGGTTTAGCAATATCAGGAGAATCAGGAAAAAATATAAATGCATAAATGATAATAACAACACTAATTGCAAAATCAATAATAAATAAATATTGCCAACCTTTTAAACCTAAATGACCATCTAAATTTTTGTATATAGCACCTTGAAATACTCCCGAAAATAATGACCCCACTAATCCAGCAGAAGTAAAAATAGCAGTTCTTATCAATAATCTTGATTCATCATAATAACTACCTAATATTAAATGTACACCACCAAAAGTAACTGATTCAAACACTCCTAAAAAAAACCTAATAACACAAATTTGCTTATAGTTGGTAACTTTATACATTCCCAATGTCAATAAAGACCAACAAAGAGAACAAAAACATAACCAATATCTAGGCCTCACCTTAAGTAAGATTAAATTATGAGGAATCATAGCAATAGTATACCCCACGTAAAAACAAGTATTTACTATATTAAATTCATTACCATGCATATTTAGGTCTTGTTTTAAAGATGAGACATATGCGAAATTGAATGATACTCTATCTTGATAGTTTATGTAGTAAATTAGGCATACTATTGATAACACGAAGAAATCTGTTTTGAATAAGTATTTTTGTTCTTGTTTTGTTGGTGGTTTTGGACCCCAAATTATTTCACTTATTTTGGAAGTTGTATCAGTTATTTTCATTTTGGGCTTGTGATAGGTGGGAACTTGTTATAACTGAATACACTGATCGATCTAAAGCATTGTTGACTCTTATATATTATCAGATGATGAATTACTTATCTCAGTAGATCTCTTTGTTCGGTGATCTAATATGAGAAAAAAAATTGTTATTGTTTTAAATATTAAACACGTCTAAATTAAACTGATAAGATGAATTTTAATCAGAACTTCATTGAGGGGTTAAAATTCCGTTTATTTCAGGTCAAAAATTTATTTATCAAAAAAGCTATCAGTTAATCAAGCAAATGTCTATCTAATGTCTGTATCTTACGATAAATAGGTTATGAACTGTTAAGATCTACAATAAATAGAAGTCTAAATTTGAGTTAACTATCTGCTAATTATTAACAAAACCCAGTCACTGATTTCCTGTAAAATCCACTGCAACATACTTGTTAATGTTTTTAGGTTTCTATTCATCCATACCGTTCTTATCGGTTTGACATATTTTATGTCAGGTCAACTTTATAATTTTTATTTGGAATGCGCTTAAAAATTCCGTGTACAAAATATTTGTAAAAATACTGTATATAATTTATTTCCTACAATACACATTGTTTTAAAGATAAGATAACAAGATCAAGTAATAATGTAGTAATTGACAATATAGCCATGCCATATAAAAAGATTCTTTTTTCAAGAACGAGTTCAAACGCATGGAAAATTTAAAAAATTAGATCTATCAAATGACAGTAATCAAAGAGAAATATAAAGAACTTGCAAATAAAAAGAGGTTGGAAAGAGATTCAAAATGGAATTTAGATTGGATCACATCTGATGAAAAATTACCAGCTAAAGAAATAAAAGATGTCATAAATTACATCGATTCAAACAAATTACTAAATGAGTTGGAATTGGAGATTACAAATAGTACAGCTATTGAAATTACTCAAAATATCAAGAATCAAAAATGGACAAGTTTACAAGTTACTTTAGCATTTTGTCATCGAGCATCTATAGCTCATCAATTATGCAACAACCTTACCGAAATTTTCTTTGATGAAGCAATTCAAACAGCTAAGAATTTAGATCAATATCAACTTGATAATAACGGTGGAACAATTGGTCCATTTCATGGATTACCAATTTCACTAAAAGATAATTTTAATATTAAAGGACAATCAACAACTTTAGGTATGGTTAATTTTTGTTTCAACCCACCGAAATTTGAACAAGACTCAGTATTAGTTTCATTATTAAGAGATCTAGGTGCTGTATTATATGTTAAAACTAACGTACCTGTTGCAATGATGATGCCAGAAACTACAAATCACATATGGGGTACAACATTAAATCCAATGAATAAATTATTAAGTGCTGGTGGATCAAGTGGTGGTGAAGCTTCATTAATTAAGTTAAAAGGATCTCCACTAGGTATTGGGTCGGATATTGGTGGATCAATTAGGATACCATCAAGTTTCCAAAATTTATATTCTTTAAAACCTTCATTTGGTAGATTTCCCACTTTTGGTTCAAGATCTGGTTTACCTGGTCTAGAAAGTGTTAATAGTGTGAATGGACCAATATCTAACAATTTACGGGATTTAAAATTTTATTGTGAAAGTATATTGAATTCTGAACCTTGGAATTATGATCCAAAAGTAGTTGAATTACCATGGAGAAATGTTGAATTACCTAAGAAACTAAATATTGCTGTTTTAATAGATGATGGACATATTAAACCAACTCCACCAATACGAAGAGGTATGGATATAGTTATTTCAAAATTAAAATCTCAAGGTCATGATATAATTGAATGGGAACCAATAAATCATTATAGATTATCTACGTTAATTACAGAATTTTTCACAAGTGATGGAGGTAAACATGTACTAAAAGAAACATTAAAAGTAGGAGAACCATTATTTCCGTATATGGAAAATTATGGGAATTCAAAAAATATACAAGTTTCAAAATTATGGAAATTACAAGATGAAAGATCAATACTAGTTAAACAAGTATTAGATAATTGGTTATCAACATCTACAAAAACTCAAAATGGTAAACCAATAGATGCAATTATAATGCCAGTAACTCCATTTGCAGGTAATCCAATTGATAAATTTTATAATTATGTTGGATATACTTCACCTTTTAATTTATGTGATTTTGCCACAGGTACATTTCCAGTAACTAGAGTTGATTCTAGTATAGATTTACCTGATGCTCCAAGACAATATTATAACGAAATTGATTGCAAAATTTCTAATGATTATAATCCTGAAGAAAGTCATGGTGGTGGTGTTAGTTTACAATTAATTTGTAGAAGGTTTCAAGAAGAGAAAGTTTTAGAGATTTTAGAAGTTTTAAAAAAGTTAATAGACTATAAAGATTAGAATTTAAGCTAGTAGTAATCACGTACTTGTATTGAGAAAATTTAAAAGTTGTGTCTCTACCCTCTTCAACTTCGTGAATTAAATCAGAACATAAATGAAGTCTCGTAATGTCGCATTTAAATGGTAGCTCTAAAAAATCCCAATTTTAAAGGTCAAATTCGGTTATAAAAATATCAAGTAAAAGTATTTAATTTAACACAAATTTAAAAACATCAAGGGTTTTGAAAAATTAATTTTACATCAAATCAAACGTTTCAAATTTTTTCAACAAGTACAATTAACGAAAACAATTCATTTTATTATAATTGTGAAAGTAAGACTAGAATCATTCAGAACTAATATTATTTTTGAAGTGTTGACACATTGCATTAACTTCTGATTTTTGCTTCAAACGGGATATATGATACATAATAATTCACGTTCACTTCGTGAAGGTGGTGAAGTGGTGTAAGGTAAACAGTATTTAAAGATAAAAGTTTAAATTCAAATTGATGAAGATTGGTTATTTCATTTGAACATCTATTTGAATTGTTATTTACTCCTATTTGTCATATGAATTCGGTATTTCAAAACCCCAACAAAAATAGGCTTAATGTAACCTTTTTAATTTGTATCTTATCTTATCATTATTAGTCAATTTCTGTTTATTTTCAAATGAAACAGTTGTCTAAAACATTTAGACCTATTTAAAACTCTATTGAAAAAGAAATTCACTAAGACCACCTTTATTTTTCACTAGAATGTAGGGCTTAATTAAATTTAATTTTTTTAGACTAAATTTTAGACCATACCTTCAATTTACTAAAAAACGCTTACACAAGATTCTATCATTTTAACTGCCAAAACTGAAAAATTCTTGACCTGGGGTTGTTGAAAATTTATTTACAGTGGTTCATTCAATTTAAGTTCAAAAACCCTCAATTTTGTTCTAAATTTGTAAAATATGATTTACTAAGCATATTTAATGAACAGTAAATCATTTTTGCTTATACTTTTCGACAAAAAAAATACAAAGTTGAACAAAATTAACGAGTATATGTATGTTATGTAATTTAAGTAATATCGCTTAATATTGTTTATGCTAACCAAAAAGAATAGTTGCATATTTATTTATTATGATTAATAATTTAATCCTGATTTTTTAAATTTTTGATGCCGTATTAAAAAGTGGGACATTCCACAAGATTTAATTAGTTTTGTTTAGATTTACAATAATATTTGACATTACTTTTTCGTTAAGTGTCAAATATCGTTTATACTTACTAGACGAAATGTGAAAATATAACAACAATCTGAAAAATTATTTGCCTTAGTTTAGTCTAAGATCTTGTGTGTCTTTCATTTGCTCAAGTTCTAGGGAGTTTAATTATTCCGTTTTCTAAAATAATTTATCAAACCAAATTTTTGGGTTTTTGTTTTGTACTTTTGAAAATAAGAATTTCGTAACGTAATTTGTGATTTGTGAAATAACCGTAACTGGTAAATCAGTTGTTTTACCCAGCCAATCTGGAACCCCACTTGAACAAACGTCACTTATAAGTATTCAGGGGAACTAGTGGGGTCTATCATTAATAAATTTTAATTGTACAAATTAAGGAAAAAAAATCGAACTAAACTTGCCTCATTTTTCGTATATGTCCTTTTCTCGTTAGTTTTCCGTTAATCAACAATCATCCATTTCATACGTTTTTTAAAGATTTGATATATAGCGAAACAATTAGTCAATACTTCAGACTTCAGCTCAGTTACAAAAAATTGCTGTGTTTGTTATGCAAGATGAATGATGGTTAATGAAGTTGATTTGGATTGTTTTACTTTTCGGTAGTAACTTACTCATCCAAATTTCTTTTTTTTTATTAGACAAAAGATTATGGAGTATGCCGCCCTAATGTATTGGTTATGACTTAACTTAGGACTAATAGTACAGCCTTATTTGAAGGCTTGAGCTAATTCAATTTCTAAGGAGTCCTTTTTTTAAACAAGAAATATTTGAAAGCACACAGATCAGTAATTATATGATTTCTTAATTTTCAAGCCATGTCCCCACAAAATTTTTTGGATCAGCAAAATTTAAAAATGGCTTTATAGTGCTAATTTCTTTCAAGTTCTTTCATTCTTGCACTCAACAATGAACAAATACCTAATTTACATTCTCGACTAAGTAGATCATTTTTGAAACATTTTCAAGTTCAAAATTTCATCTGCGATATTAAAATTTCTTTTTATATATTGGCAGTATCTGCAAGAATAGGTGATAATTAAAGTTTTAAATGTAGATTTATTGATTTACTTTGAAAGTTGTGAATTAATCATCTTTTCATTAAGTGAACCTCTGCTTTTTTCAACAACTCAACAGATACGAATAAAACGCTGATTATGAATTTTGGAGTTGGACAGTTACGATTTTACTACAAACTTTATTTAAAAACAGGAAGTAAATTTTATGGTTGATTTAGATGCGAATTTGTGAAAATTTTTAATAGAAGTCATACATTCAACAACGAAATTGAGAGCATTTTCTTTACATTTTAGACAAAACATTCGTTGCTAAGAAGGTAATCTTTATATATCTGTGTTAACACTATCTTTATCAACTTTCGTGTATTAAAATTTCATATCAATTTATCTTGTTGCCAATTTTTTGATGTATTAAAATTTCATATCAATTTATCTTGTTGCCAATTTTTTGATTTCATGAACATATTTATAATATGGACAGAAATTGTACCAATTGGACTATAACACTGAAAGAACTTATACAGTGTTCAGTTCTTGTTCTAAAATTCTTCGTACTTCAAGTAGTCCAGAATCTAGTTTGACTTAAAACTGTCATAGCTATTTAAACAAACAACTGAATGCATAAGCCGAAATTGTTGCACTAATATAAATTTATAATAGTGAGCATAATTTGGTATTAGACTTTACAAAATTTATTTTTTCTCCTGCAAAAATTGTAGGCTTCCTGCAAAAACTTGGTAGCCTACAATTTTTTACGAGATGTGAAAAATTTAAAAAAGTATACCGATCGCGTCTTATTGCTTAAGGAGAATTTGGTAAATCTAATACGGAATTTTTATAACATTTTCTAGGTCTTCGCTTATCTTTGTTTAAGAGAGATCTTGCAGTAATGTTGAACTCAAGCAATGTTGCAAATGTGAGATATATTTTATTTCTAGTCGTAATAGGTGTAAAAATTAAAAATGAAATGTACTTCTCATCCATTTTTTCCTGGAGTATAATTTAATCTGAACATTAAATTTTGAAAAATGTAAGACTTCAAATTTAAATTATTAAGAGGAGTAGAGCGTAATTTGGCTTCGTAACTTAAAGTTAATGAGTCAGTAACCCTTTAATTCTTCAATACTATTTACAAAATAGTTAAACTGAATAATTAATGTATTCGTCGGTATATGTTTATGAAATGATACTGTATATAATTATCAAAATGTTTATGTTTTTGAAACATAGTATATTACATAATCAATTAATACAATAATTACATAATCATAAAAATTTAAAAAAGTAATATAATCTCAAAAGAGAGAGAGAAAAAATTAATTCCAATTAAAAAAAATTATAATTAGAAATAAATTTTCAAAGTCCTTTTAAATCTCTAGATTTTTTTTTTTTAGCTATTTTAATAATTTCAAATTTCAGAACTAGTTGAATTATCAACGAAACATAGAGCAATTCTAATTCATTGTATTTCTCTCGTTTATAAAATGATATTAATCTGACTGAATTGGTCCCTTTATAATTTTATTATTCTTTTTTTTCTTTCTTTCTTTCTCTTCTTGCTGCAAAATTGTATTAAGATTATTTAATTTTTAATTTTTGTCACATAGTTAAATTCATTAATTAAATATATATTAACACTAAAATGAAAATAATATATACAAATTTAATTATATCTAATTTAATTTTAGAAATTCAATTTTTAAATAATAAAAAAATCAACACATCATTTTTTTTTTACTATATCTTTAATTTTGACAACCACTTTTTAAATTAATTTATTTTTACAATCATCAATCAATCAAGTAAATCAAATCAAATCAAATTAAATCAAACTAAACCAAATCACGTTAATCCATCATAATGGTTTTATATAAACGTAAACAAGTACCATTTATACCACCACCTCAAACTCCAACTGATTTATCACAAGAAGTATGGGTTATACCAAATACAAAAGAATGGTTTTTAAGTTATGAAGAATTTTTATTAAGATTAGATTTTTATAATAAAAGAAAATTTGTTTGTGAAATTACTGGAAATTCATGTTTAACATATTTTGAAGCATTAACTTCTGAATTAAATGAAAAAAAAGAATTGGATAAAAATTTCCCAGAAAATTTAAGAGAACATATATTAAGATATTTACAATTTAATAGAATTTCAAGATTAGATCAATTAGTTGATAAAGTTTATCAAATTTTTAAAAATGATTATTTTCCTGGTGAAATGGTATTTCTAAAAGGTTTAGATCCAAATAATTTATCAACAAAATCAAGAGGGGTTATAAGAGAAAAAGTTCAATATGGAGCAGATAAATCAACAAAATATTTAGTTATACGATCTCATGATAAACAACAAGCTATTGTTACTGGTAATAATATATCAAGAGATCGAAATCATTTTACAAAATGGTTAATTAAAACATTTATTAAATTAACAATGTCAAGATCTCATAAAGTTGGAGCTCCATGGGTTGTTAAATCACAATATGCAAAACAATATAATATTCCATCAACTTATCCAGAAGATTTACGTCAATATATTGATTCAACTCCAAATGGTGAACCTACATATATTATCCCCAAAAAGAGAAAAGCAGAACCCAAAGATTTAAATGATGAAAATTCAACAAAACAAAAACAATCAAAAGAACCAGCAGAAAAGAAAAGAAAAATTGCAAAAGATGATCAACAAAAGAAAAATTCAACACCTACAACAAATGAACCAATTATCCCATTTAGAAAGAAATTTCCAAATCATCATTTACCTGAAAATATTGTTCGTGAAATCGAAATAGAAGAAGCAAAAGGTAATTCCGCATCATCAATAGCATTTCAACAACCCACAAAGAAAACAATTGTTGAAGATTTGGATATAAGATTTGATATACAACATGGCAAACCATCACCAAAAATATTGAAAATTAAAAAGAAATCGGAAAATGAATTGATACCCTTAAGAGCAATGTCAGAAGCTTTACAAGTTTGGGTTTTTATGAATGTTTATCATAATGTTTTGAATATCGATACTTTTACATTTGACGATTTTATTTCTGCATTAAATTATAATTCAATTGAAATTGGTTCAACAATGATTGATGAAATTTTTTGTTCATTGTTGTGTAAAATTATATCAAATGAAATTCCAAATAGTAAAGAGTCAAAAGCCGCAAAAGAAAATGAATCAATATTTGGATTGAATATTACTTTACCAGAAGCAATTGAAGATGATGAAGAAGAAGAAGAAATAGACGATAGTGATGACGAAGAGGAAGAAAATGGAAAAGTAAAGGAAGAAAAAACTACAAAAGATGTGAAAGAAGAAGAAGATAGAGGTTCTGATTCAGATGTAGAACATAAGCCTTTGAAAATTGAAGATGATGAAAAAGAGGATAAAAAATTAGAAGCAGAAGATTCAGATGCAATGGATGTTGAATCAAAAGTATTTGATCATTCAGCTTACGAATATTTAAATTTTAAAGATATATCATGGCATGATAGATTAAGAAGAAGAAATTTTAAAGATGGGAATTGGCAAATTGTTTTGATAGGTGTATTATCATTAGTTGAATCAGTGCCTAAATATTTTCATTTAGTAGTTGATATTTTCAAAAAATTAGCACCAAAAAGTATGCCATTGAATTTGACAAACTTACAAAATAATTTTGAAGATTTAGATATAAATTTGAAAATACAAATTTTGGGTATATTAACTGAATTATTGATTACTAGTCCTTTGGTTAGAAATTATATTGAAGAAAGTTTAGAACAACAAACAGCATTGAGAAGAACAAGATTAGATAATATTAAAGAATATAGAGCTGATTTAGAATCAGCAACTGCAGCTCAAAAATATATCGATGAACATATACCACAAGAAGAAGAGCAACCACAAGAAGAACCAAACAAACAAGAGGATCAAAAGAAACCACCACCACCATCGAACAAACTTGGAATTGATTTGAAAAGGATAGATCCATCACCCAAAGAAATCGAGGCTAGTAGAAATGATCCAGAATTAAAGAAACAACTAGCTATCAGAAAAGAATCAATACTAAAGATCTTTGAATTCAAGAAGAGTAAAAAATTTATTGAACAGAAATTAAATGAATTAGATTGTCAAAGAGTTAAATTATTAGGCAAAGATAGGGTATATAATCGTTATTGGTGGTTTGAAAATAATGGTTTACCAACTTTACATAGTGGTTCAAATGAAGATGAAGATGATGAGGATGAGGATGAAAAAGATAAAAGTGGGAAAAATGATGAAGTAGAAGAAGTTGTAGAAGATGAAGATGAAGATGACGATGATGTAAGAGATGAAACGTATTTAATGGGTAGATTATGGGTTCAAGGTCCAACTGATACAGATATGATTTCAAATTTCAAAACAGAAATTGAAGAAATCAAATCGTTGTTGGCTGAGTTGCCAGATGAATTTGAAGAAGATACTGATTACGAAGAAGCTGGAGAGGAACAAATAACACCAGCACCGACACAACAAACACAAGAAGGAGAAGAGGAATCCATAAACAACACTACAGCATCAACTCCTACTACAGCACCAACAACAAAAAAGAAATCAATAAAAATGAATTTTGAAAAAATTCCCGATATTTACAAAACAAAATTATTAGAAAACTATAACATTAGAGTAACAAACACAGATATATATTTAAATAAAGAAAATGAAATGTTAATAAATGATGAAGGAACATTACAATTACCATTATCAAAATTAAACAATTTACAAAGAAAATTCATTGAAGAAATAAATTGTCCCATATTAAATAGTTCAACTTGGAAATATTATGATAATTCTCAAGATTTAAATAAATTAATATCATGGTTAAATCCATGGGGTAGAAGAGAATCGTCACTCAAAAAAGAGTTGATCACGGTAAAAGAAGCAATGTTCGCAAGCATGAAAGCAAGACAAAAAGCAATGAATATAAAAAATTTTAGAACATCAAAGGAAAATGATATAATTGAAGATATTAAATCAATAAAAAAGAGAATCACTGAACTTGTTAAAATTGAAAATAATGAAAATGGAGAGGATATAAAAATTGATGAACCAGAATCAGAAAGTGTTGAAATTAAACAAGAAAGTCCAACAATAAAAGATGTAGAAGAAAATGATACAGATGATTCATTATCACGAGTATCATCAAACAATATTATCAAAAGAGGTCCAAGAAAATCAAGATCAACTCAACCACAACCACTGAAAAAAAAATTTAATTCAGTTAAAGATTTAATTGAACATGGTTCAATTCAACAACTTAATGATAAAATTTCAAAATTACAAAAACAAATAATACAATTGAATTCAGAAAATGAAATTAATAGAATTTTGGAATGGGTCAATTCATCTGCTTTAGATAAATTTGGTAAATCATTATATGAAGGTGGTGATAAAAATAGTAAAACCTCAAGATCTATAACTTCAACAAATACTAAGAAAGAAAAATAAATAGAGTAAAATTAATAACACGTTAACCTTAATGTTTAATTGAATATTTTCTATGTTAACTAATATTTCCTACGTTTATATTCATAATCATCATTTAATCTAGCATTATAACCGCCTCTTCTACTTGATTCATTCCTACCAGAACTTCGTGAAGAACTACGTTGTCTGGCACTGTAAGCTATTTCCTTTATCCTCTTTTCTCTTTCTAATCTAGCTTCATTTTCAATTTGTTGTTGTCTCTCCATTTTTTCCTGAAGCTCTTTTCTCACATCAATGTCAGCTTTCGTTAAAGCAGAATTTAAATCTTCAAATTTTTTCAAATTAATTTCTGGAGTTTGTTGTGGGAAAGCAGCCATTCTTTTAGTGAGATCAATAGTATATCCACCATTATTTTTCCAATTCGATACTGATGCAGGAATATTCCATTTAGCACGATCTTCTTTTGTGACATTATGTTGTTGTTTTAATATTGGTTGTTGCGGTAATTGATCTGGTTTTTCATGTCTGTTTTTACGAAGTTTATGTTTTGGTGGAAGCATTGGATCTTGTTTGTATTCTTCTATTTGAATTATTTGAGTTGATGATGTTTCTATAAATTCTGGTTCTTTTTTGGTGGTTGTTGAACCGATTTTGGAATTTAATAGTGCTTGTAGTACTTCTTTTGTTTCATTTATTCGTTGTTGGTTACGTGGTGGATTGGGGAAATTGTGTTTTAAGTTTGGATATCTTTTTTTAAGGGGGATTGTTGAGTCTAGTTTTGACTGAGTTGATGAATTTGTCTGTATGTCAGTTATTGAAGTGATTGAATCTGGTTGTTTTTTCGATGTGATTGATGATACATTTGAATTGGGTATGAAATGTAAGTTTGGATCATATGGGGAATGTTTCGGTCTTGATAGTAGTGAACTAAACATCTTGTTGATCTTGTGAAATATTAGATTAAACTTGAGTTTGATATTGAATTCGTAAATATCATTGATGTATTTTTTCTCTTCTTTAAGTTTCACATTTTGTACTACAAAATTTTTTTGAAGAGATAAGCTTCTAAACAAATGTTAGGCACCAAATAGATAAGATTTAACAATAGAATTAATTGAATGTTTATTATTCTTTGATTTTACGAAAGGGTTGTTAAAAGTAATGGTTTAGCCATTTTGGGTAATTGAGCGGACGATGCTAAAATTGTTATCTTTGGATGGTCTTTTTAAAAAGTATGGGGAATTTCGCTTTAATTGATGTTTTAGATAAATATTTAATATGTAAATTTTCATTCAAATTTCATTAAACTTTTACAAGAATTATATTTAATTAGATAGTTCCATGTGAACATTAAAATGAGCTGTCAACGAATTTAACCAAAGGATGCTCATAACTCCACAATTCAATGGAGAAAAGGGCTTTTCTTTCTAACTACAGGGTACGTGTTGGCAACAATATTCATTTTTCGTATATATTGTTTTGAATTATAGAATACCATTTTAGGAAATACAGATGCGCTTGTAATATAAAACATTTGAGATTTATTAAGTATGTATTAAGTAAATTAATATACAATATAGAAATACACAATAATATTAAATCTGAATATATAATCATTATTTGAAACCAAAACTATAAAGAGATCTACAAATTGCCCTTCTTATTTCATTTTATAATTTACAGTTCATTATCAAATCTAAATATTATTAATTAGCTTAATAAGTACTTAATCTTGAAACAACTAAATACATATACAAACATTAGCATATACAATTACAAATGTCTACAATGTCAATAAATACTCATCAGATAAATCATACTACCAAACCAGTTATTTTCAGTAATAATATCAATTTGAAAAAGAAAAACAAACAAACTACCGAATTAAGATATTTAACAGAAAAAGATGTTTATAAAGCTGCATTAACTTTAAAAGATGCTTTTACAAATGATTCATTAAGTAAATTATTAGTATGTCATATCAAAGATCAATATAAAAGGGATTATTGTGAATTATTATTATATGAAGCTTATATAAAACAACATTTGAAAAAAGGTATTGTATTGGGCCAAGGTGAAAATGAAACATGTTTTGAAACAGTAAGTATTTGGTCCCACCCAAAAAGTGAAGAAGATGGTTTAGATTCATTTCATACTTTAATGCAATCTGGATTTGATAAAATTTGGGAAAATTTCGGTAAAGAAGGTCAAAATAAAATGTTTAGTAAAGATGGTATGTTACCATTATTACATGATTCATGTGAACGAATTATAAAAGGAGATAAAAGATTTAAAGATAAACCAATTTATACTTTAGTTTATGTTGGTTCTACCAAAAAAGCCCAAGGAAAGGGGAATTTAAGAAAAATGTTTGATTTCATGTTTGATAATTATATTGATCCAAATAATGCTTTAGCTTATTTAGAAAGTTCATCACCAAATAATATTCCAATTTATGAAAGGTTTGATTTTCATTTTATTGAAGATATAATGTTGGGTGATAACCAATTGGAAGGAGCCGTTGAAGGTGAAGATTATGCTATAATGAATGTTATGATTAGAGGAATAAAGGGAGAAGATTGGACTAAAAGTATTAGTAGTAATAAATTATAAATAAATAAAATAATATATACAAAGAAATAAAAACTAGGTAATTTATTCATCCATTGATAAAACAGATTGTTGAGATGGTAAATTCATATTTGAAAATTCTTCTTTTGTCTTTTGTTTTATTAATTCCTCTTGTTTTTTAGTGATTGGTTGAACAGTTTGATCAGGTGGTACAAATTTAAATTTACCAAATCCAAAAGCTCTATCTGTCATTTTATTAAGAACATATAATTGTGATCTAACATAAACCAATAAAGCTTCAATATGTCTAACATCAACATTTTCATTAGCATTAAAAATATTTCTCCATAATGCAGCTGCTAATGTAATATCATCACTCATTAATCCTTCATCATAACTCAACACAGCTCCTAATAATTGACTATGATAATCTTTTGAATATCCTTCAATTAATCTACCTGACTTTATACCTAATTCAGTAGTCATTCTCGACTCTAAATCTGTAAAAATTCTATCAATTAATTTTTGTTGATATTGTCTTGAATATTTAAAAGGTAGTGCTCTCATTCTTACTGATAAGATCCAATAATGTAAGATAGTAATTTGAAATTGTTGTGAAAATGACATTGGTAAACCCAAAGTTTGATAATAAAATTTAGCAGTATCACTTAAAGGTTCATTAGGATAATACAATCCTTGTTTTTTACATTCTCCAAAATAAATCCCACCAGCAACTGGTCCACTTCTTGATTTATCCATATCCACTGCAAATGTAGAAACAATCCATTGACCTATTTTTTCTTTAAAGCTTGAAATAGTTTGTTGAGAATCTTCTTCTTTTGATAAAAATGGTGCTTTTGTTTTAGGTTGACGTGGTTTGATCTTGAGATCTTGTTCTATTATTGGTAAATGAGAATCTTTTGCCATATTTGTTGGTGATTCTATTATTTCATCTTGTTCTTGTTTATATTTATCTAGTATTGAATTTTTGATCTGGAAACTTGTTCGAGTTGTTTGAGACAATAGTCTTATAGGAGATAGTCTGACACCATGGCTTATTCTTAACATGATGATGGTCGAAGTAGAACTTTACTAGGTTGTTGTAAAATTAAATTTTCAAATGGTTGTAAAAAGAATTATTAAGAAAAAAATAAAGTGAAAAAATCTTCTTAGTTTGCAACAAAATCAACGAACCACAGCCAAAAATGAGTGGATCAATAATTCATGCATTTGATAATTTAAAGATTAACAAATTATCATCTGAATCAGATTATGAAAAAATTTTTACTGTTTCATACGACTATTTATCAAAAGTCAAAAATTTTAACGACCTCAAAAGTTTCAAGAATTGCCTTGTTTCATTAATAAATTTAGATAAATATGAAAAAGCAAATCAATTAATTTCAAAAATACCTAAAGAATTGATGAATGAGTTGATATTGGAAATTGGTTATGTCTATTACAAGATTGGTAAAACCACTGAAATTATCCAATTGAACAAAAGTGAATATAGTTCAATTCCAACTGATTTAAAAAGTGGATTTCAACATATTTTAGCTCAAACTTATTACAAAATAGGTGAATATAAATTAGCATTGGATTTGTATAAAGAATTTATAAGTAATGACTATGGTAATGACGATTTATTAGTTAATGAAAGAGCAATCATGTCACAATTAATTTTCCAAGATGGAACTACCATTGAAGTTGATAATTCTCGATTAGATGAATCAAATTATGATTTAACTTTCAATCAAGCTTTGATTAATATTGCCATTGGTAATCACACTGAGGCTTTAAATTTATTACAAATAGCTCATAAAAGTTGTTCCGAAAATAATATATCTGAAGAAGATGTTGAAACTGAATTACTACCAATTAATTTAACTACTGCATATGTATATCAAATACAAGGAGATAACACTAAAAGTGATGAAATCTTACATCAAATAAATCTCGACAATGTTCATGATTCATTGATCAAATTAATCATTAAGAATAACTTAAATTCTGGTAAAGTTAACAATGTAAATTTATTAGAAAGAAAACTTAATTATCAAGAAGAATTACAAACATTAAAACAAAAAATCATAATTTTGCAATTAAATACAATATTGAAAAACTCTTTAATATTAAGATTTGCAAGCGGTACATTGGGTAATAATATAGCATTAAAAACTGGTTTAGTACCTGAAGCGTATAAAGTATTATCCAAAAATCAAATATCTTACAAAAATTTGAACGACTTAACACAATTGAAAACTATAGGTAGAAATTTAGTACGATACATCAATAAAGAAACAAACCCAAATTTAAAAGAAGCAGCTATCTTATTATTAGTATTTATAAACTCAAAACTCGGTTCTTACGATCAAAGTTTACCATTATTGGAAAAAATAGCAACAGAATCTCAAAATCAACCTGAATTTTCACCAGGTATAGTAGGTACATTAATTAACGTATATGAATCAACTCAAAGTATGGATAAATTAAAAACTTTATTAGGTAAATTAATTGAAAAATTATTATACACAACAGAATCAACTTTCCAAAACCAAGATTATTTCAATACTGCCAAAATCATAGCAATGAAAAATTTAAATTTCAACAACGAAACATCACATCAACTATTTGAATTTTTGAATCAAATTAATCCAAATGATCAATTAATAAATTCAATTTTATCAAATTCAGATGAGCATTTATTACCTATTGATCAATTACAATCCTCAAAATCAATTGAAGATATACTATCTATAAATATTGATGAATTAATACCAACAAAAACTAAAACAATTAACACATTAACCGCCAAAAAGAAAAACTCCAAAGTGGTTAAAAAGAAAAAAGCTACGAAATTTGGTAAAAATAAAGTTTTAAAACCTAAAGGAGAATTTAAATTAGATGATGAAAGATGGTTACCAAAAGAGAAAAAGAAAAAATTAAGTGGAGGACATCAGGGTGCAGTTGAATCAACAACTACTACTACTGCAAGCTCATCGGCATCAAAGTCAAAGAAAAAGAAGAAAGGTAAAAAATAATCTGGGGGTTTATTAAAGTTTCCTAAAAATTTGGATTTAAGATTTATTAATTAAATCGTGTGACAATTACATCAACACAAATCAAGTAGCAGAGCTTTGCAATCGTTCAATTTAATAGCTTTTCTATCAACGTTTATAGGCTTTTTTAAAAAAGAGTTCAATATACATACAATGCTACAACAACCACATAGCAAATGAGATTTTTGTTGGTTTTATTTCTACTCTTATGTGTCTCATCAAATTTAATTCCACCTGATGAAGATCCATTTTATGAACCACCACCAAATTATGAAAACCAACCACTAGGTTCAATATTGAAGAATCGAACAACTCCTGCAAAACTATCAAATTTATTCTTTACATTTGAAATCAAAAATTCATGGCAAATAATGTATAAATCAACAAACACACATGATGAACCTCTGGTGGTGATAATGACAGTTATAGAGCCATTTAATGCATCAACTACAAAAGTATTATCATATCAAACTTTTCAAGATTCACCAAGTCTCAATTGTTGTCCAAGTTATGGATTTCAAAATGGTGCACCCATCACAACTTTAGCTTCTCAATTAGATATGAGATTCTTTATACCAGCATTAAAGAAAGGTTATTATGTGATTAGTTCAGATTACGAAGGATTGAATTCAAGTTTTGCAATTGGTCGAACTTCAGGATTTTCAGTTCTTGATGGGATTAGAGCAGCAACTAACTCTAGAGATATAACTGGAATTGATCCAAAAGCTAAATTCATTCTTACTGGATATTCAGGAGGTAGTATTCCTTCAAGTTGGGCTATATCTTTACAATCTAAATATGCACCAGATTTGAAGAACTACATAATTGGTTGTGTTTTAGGTGGATTCGTTACAAATATCACTGCAACCGCTGAAGCTACTGATGGTGGGATTTTTGCTGGGTTAATTCCATTAGCATTGAATGGATTATGTAATGAATATTCGAGATTCAGAGAAATAATGTACTCGAAAATTGAACTAGCTACCAAACTTTTGAGATTCAAAGAAGCTTCATCGAAATGTTTCATAAATGGATTAATGACTTATCAAAATGAAAATTTTTTCAATGGAGAAAATAGAACATTTGAAGAGGGTTTTGATATATTACAAATTCCCGAAGTTTCAGAAATTATAGAATCAAACAATTTGATAAATTTGAATAAATCGTATTTACCACAAGTTCCCATTTTCGTATATCACGGAACATTAGATTCAGTAGTACCTATCAGCGGAGTATACAAAATTTACAAAAAATGGTGTTCTTGGGGAATTAAGTCTTTGGAAATTTCAGAAAGTTTATTAAATGGTCATATAACAGAACAAATATTGGGTGCAGCAGCAGCTATTACTTGGATTGACCGCATTTTCGCAGGTGGTGAACCGATAAAAGGTTGCTCTCATACAAAGAGGGTGAATAATTTGTTTTATCCTAATGTATCTAGTGAAACTCGTAGTTATTTTTTGGGCATGGATTATACTGTTTTGGATTTTTTGATGGGTAAGGAGTATAAGAAATAGGGTAAGTAGAATAAATGCATATAATAATTAACGATGAAATTGATGTAGAACTATTGCTGTATACTCACTACGTGTTTTTGAGTTTATTGTTATACTATAACTGTTAAAGTTGCAAATAATAAAATTATACAAATGCATTAAATTCTTTAAATCAAAATTTTTATACTTCTTCTTCGATCAATCAGCATTTTTCACCAAATACAATAACCATGTTATGGCAATCACATAAATTATCATGATTATTGAATATACTTTATCATAGTCTTCCATAAAACTTCTTCCAAAAGTTTTTATTGGCTGAACAAAGTTCAAGTACATATTGAATATAATTTATCATAGTCTTCCATAAAACTTCTTCCAAAAGTTTTTATTGGCTGAACAAAGTTCAAGTACATATCATAAAAACAAATCAAACTTTTTTGGGTCAATTATGTATAGTCCAAGGAAGGTAAAAACCATTAAATCAAGGCTTTGTTAATTAGATGAATAAGAAAGGTCAATGTAATTCATTAGCTTACTAATAATCAAGTAACAAAATTGGAATTTAGTTCGGAAGTATTCTTCACTAAGTAAAATTGCGGAACAAAAATGTATATGTGGAATTTATTTGTACACAAAAATCAAATGTATTAGTGGAAATTGAAACAAAAAATAATAAAGATAAGAATGAAAAATTCGACAAGATAAAAATGGTTAAGATAATTCAACGGAATGAAAAGAATTTAGGACTATGAGATAGATACGGAGTCTGTATATTATAATTTAATACTAGGTTGCGAACGAAAAAGCATGATCAACTACTCAAACTTATCATAGTTAAAGATTGAATTTGGTTCAATAATTAAACATTTCTCCTGTCAAACTTTATATCAATTACGTCAATTTGAAACTAATTTTTCAGAATGGTAAGCGCACTACATTTTTAACAACGTTTTTTTAAGATAGCAAAACACAAAGAAACCGCTTTATTATGAACCTTTTCAAAGATAAGCAAAATTTCTTAAATTTTTTCAGATTAGACATGTTCACAAAACATAAACTATTCAGCAATTATAGAATTGATACTATAAATACTGGTTGAGATTCTTTAATTGATTCACTAACTTTTATTTTTCGGAAAACACTAAAAGCAATTTCGATAAAATGACTGTTTCTCAAGTACCAGATAGGTTTCAAGGATTTGCTGTAAAAAGTGCAGAAAATTGGGATCATCCAAAATTAATCTCATATTATAGAAAGAAGATAAACGATCATGATGTCGTAATAAAAAACGAAACTTGTGGTCTTTGTTACTCGGATATTCATAGTATCCAAGCTGCATGGGGTCCTATTACAATTAAGCAAGCTCTGACTAAACCTAAGGGTGATTCAATCAAAACTGATTCAAAAAATGAACCGACCACCTCCAACGAAGGTTCAGATGACTCCAAGAACGATGATTATGGGCTCGTAGTTGGTCATGAAATTGCGGGTGTTGTTATCGCCGTCGGAAGTAAAGTGAAAGATTTTAAAGTTGGTGATAGAGCTGGAATTGGTGCTTGTTCATCATCTTGTTTAGATTGTAACAGATGTAAAAACAATAACGAGCAATATTGTAATGAAGCAGTATCTACCTACAATTCCAAAGATCCAAAAGCAGATGATTACGTTACACAAGGTGGTTATTCATCACATTCAATAGCACAAGATCAATTTGTTTTCCACATTCCAGATAATTTAGAATTTAAATATGCTTCACCATTATTTTGTGCTGGTATTACTGTGTTTTCACCAATAGTTAGAAACTTACAATTATTAGATGTTGAAAACTTAGAAGACCCAACTACTACCACAAAACATCAATTAAAATCAGCAAAGGGTAAAACTGTTGGAATTATTGGAATTGGTGGATTAGGTCATTTAGCTGTCCAATTTGCAAGTGCATTAGGTGCAAAAGTAGTTGTATTTTCAAGATCAAATAGTAAAAAAGATCAAGCTTTTGAATTAGGTGCTTCTGAATTTGTAGCTACACAAGAAGATGAAAATTGGAATAAAAAATATGATGATACTTTTGATTTAATTTTAAATTGTGGATCAGGTTCAGATTTTGAATTACCTAAATATTTATCAACTTTAAAAGTTAATAAGAATTTTGTAAGTGTTGGTTTACCACCAAGTAGTGAAAAATTCGAAGTTAGTCCTTTCACATTTTTAAAACATGGTGCTTCATTTGGTTCAAGTTTATTAGGTTCTAAAATTGAAGTTGAAGAAATGTTGAAATTAGCTGGTGAACATAATATTAAACCATGGATTGAAGAAGTCCCAATTAGTGAAGAAAATGTCCATAAGGCTTTGAAAAGATGTGTAGATGGTGATGTTAGATATAGATTTGTTTTTACTGAATTTGATAAAACTTTCGGTGGTATTGAAAAAGATTAAATTTATAGAACCTATTTGTAAGTAGATAATAATAGACAGTGTTAATCTAAGAAACTACATTTTGTAGAGTTGTTCAGCATTACTTACAATTACCATGAAAATCACAAGCAGTAGTGGAACATTCAAAACAATTGAAGCTATCGAACCGTTTTCTGCAATTGACGGATGGGTATTAAGTCAATAGAGTAGCACTTATCAAACTCATTGTAATGCAGTTTTATTACAAAAGGATATATATAAAATGGGACTATAAATAGTAAAGATGCAAGAACTGAAATAATTTAAGCGACTAAAGACTAATTAGATAAAATAGTAAATCCATTTTTTTTAATTAAATCCAATTTAGAATCATTATGACCAACAGATAATGACCTTTTATGCTTTTGGATACAATAATTTGAAGAAGTTGATGATGAAGTTAAATATTTTTCTTTTTTAGTTGGTGTAACAAAACAAGGTAAGTTGTTAAATTTATGTAATGATTTAAAATCATTATTAAAATTCGGTGAGTTATATAATTCAGTTAATTGAGTAGTTTCATTGTTTTTAGTGATGTAACCTTTAAATTCTGAAATGTTTAAATTAGATAATGGTTGACGTTGAATTGATCGTATATTATGAATTTTTTTAGGTTGAAGAATATTTTCTTGATCATTATGGTTTTGTTTATTTGATGTTGGAGTACCTACTACTTCTTGGGTTGTTGTAATTTGTTTATCCTCCCATATAGTAAAACCTAAAGTTGATGATTTCTTTTTAGATGGTGTTGATGGTTTTGAAATCGATTTTTTTGGGGAGAATTGTGATCTTGTGGTGGGTTTTTTGATTGGAGATGTGAAATTCGTTGGTTTTGGCGATAAGACTGACCTTTTGGTTGGTGATGATGATGGAGTTGATGACATTGTTTATTTTTTTAAAACCTAGTTTGAAGTTGAATAGTCAATCTGAAATAATTTAAAATAATATAAAAGATGGAGAATTGATAATCAATATATATGTACGTTCAATTAACTTTGCCCTTTTTTTTCTAACCTTATAAGATATAAGAATTAATTAAATATGTTTATGGTTAAAATAATTTAATATTTTAATTCCAAAGCGAGTTTATTTAAAAGGAGGTTGTTTTGTTTGTTAAATATTATTTTACATAAAGTAAGTTTTGCATAAATAATAATTCTACTATTAAATAAACATTATTTTTTATTTACGAGATTTGGAGATTTTGTGTATTGTATTCTATACTTTAAATATTTCAAAATATGGTAGCATTATTTCCAAAAAAAGTACTAGTAATATTTCAATACGTGGACGCGTTTAAATAGTACTACAAGCAATAGACGATTGAAAGTATTATGAGAAGTACAATATTAGACTAATAAGTATTTAAGAAATGGAAAAGATTGTCAAAATATTAATAAATTATTTATTAAAGTTGTGAAGGTTTTTACCTGTTCAAGGTTTATATAATTTACTTTGTACAAATGGTAATTTAGTTATTGTAGCATCTCTTAATTTACCTCTTATTTCTATCTTAACATTTGTTCCAATTTTGGATTTTTTATCTATGAAAGCTTGTGCTACATTACCACCTAAAGAAGGAGATGGAGATCCAGAAGTAACATAACCAATTTCAGTTTTACCATCTTCTGAAAAAATTTTATTACCTTGTCTTGGAGAAGGACCTTTTGAAGTTAATCCAATTCTTCTATGAGTTGTTGATTTATTTTTTAATTGTTCTAATATCTTGGAAGAACCATTGAAATTGTTGTTTGAACCGTCACGACGAGTTTTTGGAATTAACCAAGCTAATGAAGCTTCTATTGGAGTTATATTTTCTTCTAATTCATGTCCATATAAACACATACCTGCTTCTAATCTTAACGAATCTCTAGCTGCTAATCCAATTGGTTTTGCAATATCTGGATATTCTTCAACCAATGTATTGAAAAAATTCAAGGCTTCTCTCGTTTCTTGATCATTTGATGATGGGATAGATAATTCAAAACCATCTTCTCCAGTATATCCTGATCTTGCTAAATGAATAGCTGCTGAAATTGGGGATAAGTTAATAAATTTAGTTTGACCAAAATAAATTTTACTTAAATCTTCATTTGTAAATTTTTGTAATAATTCTTGAGCTTTTGGTCCTTGAATAGCTAATAAAGTACCTTCGAAAGTATCATGGCTCACAGAATTGAAATTTTTTAACTCCTTTTTGATAAAATTTACATCTTTCTCTCTACATCCAGCATTTGTAACCATATAAAATTTATCTTTACCATGTTTTGTAATAATACAATCATCAATGACTCCACCTTCATTATTCAACAATACAGACAAACTTGAACTATTCTCAGGCAATAAATTTAAATCAATTGGAGTAATTTTTTCTAAAAATTTTTGAGAATCAGCACCTGTAATATTATGTTGTAACATATGACTTACATCAAATAATCCAACATTTGATCTTACCCAATTATGAGAATCTATATGAGATTCTGAATTATATAATACTGGCATTTCAAATCCTGCGTATGGAACCATTTTACCACCTAATTCTATATGAGCTTCATATAATGGAGTTTTTAATAAACCTGAGGTTGATGCAAATCTTTTAAATGATCTTAACATTGTGAAATGAATGTGATATGAATGATGAAGACTAATGAATGAATAAATAGAAGATGAATTGAAATATGAAATAAGTGAAAATTTTCAGTATTTAGATGATATTATTATGTGAATTTATTAGCTATAAGTATGTTACACTATATTATATTTAAATGTGGAGGTTAACTATGAAAAAATATATCAGATTTGACTTCACTGACACAACCCAGTCAATTAACCAGCATCAAATTTTTGACTCCTTTTAAACCAGAGCAAATATAATCAACCACTAGATGATAATAATCTCAAAATAACTTGAACCACTAAATATAACATAAACCGTGAAAAAACATATCAACTCAATAACAAGAGCTAAACTTAAATACCCTAACCAACACAACATTTGATTTTTACTATCTTCATGGTATTTAACTAATGAATCATTCATACTATGTCCACTTTCAATCATTATTTGTAAAGTTGAAATTCTTTTATAACTTAATAAGTAAGTGACTCTAACTAATTTGATTAACCATAAAATGGGAAATAATATACCTAATAATAATACATTTAGTTGATTTTTTCTTTCTTGTTCCCAGTAGTTGCAACATTTGCAGGTACATGTCTCGTTGTTTGATTCTAATGTATCTTGTAAGTAGCTAACTTGTTCTACTGTTTTTTCATATAAATTGGAATTCATTGTGGATCTTGATTGTATAAATTGCAATATGTTTTTATAAAAAATCTATCAACAAACAAGATCATTATATATACTCTAGTTGGACTTGTTTCACTTAAAGCTCAAATTAGTAAGTTTGTTACCTAAATTATTCCTACATGTTTCAAATGTTGCAAAATTTCCTATTTGAGACGTGACAATGAAAGATTATTGGTAAGTTTACCACTGATTTCAACAAAGATACTGTTTCAAAAGTACTTCTGAATAAATCGTCCTGACAACTTAAAAGTACAATTCTGGGCTTCCAACAATACAACTTTTTTTGTCAATTATTTTGGTTGCCAAATTTTCATTTCGTAAAACATCACCAAAATAAAAAATATTAATTTTTTATACAGATCATACTTTACGTGTATCATTTTTTTTTACAACCATTTATTACAAATCAAAACCACCAACACCAAATGATCTAAACTTTCATATGTCAACGTTGGACTTACCAGAATTAGGGAAACTACTACAGTCATCAAAAGTAAAAGATAGAAATGATTCATTAATTCAATTAGAAACTTTAGCAGTTTCTAAATTAAAATTAAGTCTGAAACAATTACGTGAATTAACAACTGCTATATTTGTTTTCATTAGTAGTGATTCGAAAATATTTATAAATGGTAAAGCCAATAATAATTTAAAATTGATCAGTGTAGAATCAAGATTGAATAAAGCAAGTTACTACTTAAGGTTAATTCTAGAAAAATCAATCAAGTTCAAGTTGAATATAAAGTATAAGATTTATTTAGATATATGTTTCAAAATCAAGGAATTATTTTATTTACAAAATGAACTAGTATCGCCATGTTCAGTTGATTTTGCCATTATAACTTCATCAATTTTAAATTTAAAATATGTGAATGAACACCTAACATCAAAAGATTGGTCAAATTTATTTTACTTTTTAATTGCAATTATTGATAGAATCTTGGAAAATAATAATACAAGAATTGGGAATAATATTGGATTAAATGATAAATTATTGATCGAATTTTGGAATTCTGTACAAGCTTTGTTACAATGTGATAGTTCAATTAGTGCTATTCAATTGTTTGAGGATGATAAGTATTTTAAATTATTACCGATCATGAATAAAATTATAAAGTGTTTCAGTAAAGAGCATTTGATTTATATTACATTATTTAAGATTATTAATAAACTCATCATTCAACTAGCCACAGTCAACTACAAATTTGTCAATAAATTAATCAAGTTGGGTTTAAACATAATGTTAGTATCTCATAAAACTCATTGGGAGAAACTTCAAGATCAATTTTTAATATTTATCAACCTAGCACCTACACACCACTATATGAATTTAGAATATTTACCAAAACTTGTGGGAGATGGAGAAATTCAATTTACCGCAGATATACTAGATGATTCAATAGAAACTCAAAATGAAGAAAACAATGATACTAAATTGTGTTACAATTTGGAAGTTTTGATTGTTAATTTATTAAATGGTCAATTGGCTACTTTAGGTGAATTGTCTGTTGATCATTTTGGATTGATACCAACAAATAATGATACTACATGGTTTAAATTAAAAACAATGTACTTGAAAAATAAAGATTGTAAAGCCTGGTTGAGATTATTAGGTACTGTAAAACTTTTAAAATCTTATTTTGAAGTCAGAAAAGTAGAAGTTGTTGCTACAAGTCCAAATGAGGTTCATAATAGAAGTTCAAAATCAGAATTTTTCAACAACTATTTAGCAAACTCAAATGATATGTTAGAATTTTGTAATTTTTTAATAACTTATACAGCATCTCCACCAATACAAACTTTGGGCATACAACTTATTACATTCTACCTAGAACATTTCACTATAAGTTCAGAGAAGATCAACAGAAAAACAACAAATGGTGAAACAATTTCATCAACAGAAGCAACAACCACTGAAGCTACAAACACAACATTTGATTTTACATTATCCAACATTACAGACAAAGAAGTAGATTTACAACTTTTACTACAGCATTCATTGGCGATAGTAGTTAATGCAATGAGTAAGAAATGGATTTTACTACTAGGAAGGAGTATAATTTCACAAGGTTATATTAAACTATTCAAATCATTTAATAGAAACACCTTGCTATGTCAGCTACTCAAATCTTCATTAGTAGAGTTGAGCAAAGAAAATTATTTTATTGCATGTAATTTGATTTTTTCAATAATATCGGAATATAATTCAAATTTAAACAAAATTGTTGATGAATCAGTTCTAACTCAAATAATTACAGTTATAGATTTTGCCGAAGCGAGTGGTCCATTAGCAATAAACAATGAAAGTTTCAAATTTTGGTACGCTGTTAATAAGATTACTATTGAATTAAATGTGAAAAAAAAAAATATATTATCTCAAAAAATTGATGAATGGCTTGTTGCTAAATGGAGTAGTTCATTCAAAGCAGATCGTGAATTTTTATCACTGACTTCAAATTTAGCTGATTTTTTGAGTTGGTTATCTGGGAATACAATAAATTATCGCAATGATTCAGCATTACTCGAATTATATGATGGTCCATTCTGTTTACCTATGTACATGCAACATTTTCAACAAAAATTAGAGTCATTTATTATTCTAGAAAAACCTTCATCTATAGAACAAACTTCAACGACTCCAATTGATCTGATATCACCAGCTAAAGATCCGAAATTTTATACAAGAGTACAAGAAACTTTTAAAGAATTAAATGCAGATCCATCTGATCATATGAATTTATTGAAATGGCTAATAGTTCTACTGAGGTTAGTACAGAGCTTCAAATTTTCATCAAAAGTGGATTGGGTGGATGGCTTGAAATATCAATTAGTAATTGGTGTTGAATCTTTCCATACTTTGGATTTAAATATAGAAGATTCAGTTCAAGTTATTCAAATACTTAACAAATTTGCATCAAACATTGTGAATGATCCTTTACAAACAATGTCAAAATTTCCATTCGAGAGAATTTTAGATTTAGTGGAACCAATTCATATTCAAGAAAATAAAAGAACACCTGCTAAAAGACCATATAATGATGACGAATTAAATAATGAGTTTGCTGACATACGTGAAAATAGTTCAACCCCATCAAGTGAATTGGGACATGAATGTTCATTCATACAATTATCTCACGAACAAGTACCGGTGAGTCAATGTTTGGAATTTAAAATCACAAGCTTACAAGTAGAAGGTAAAACACAAACTGAAATTTTAAATCAATGTATTTCATTCATAGAACATCTTAAAAATGAAGCATTTTTACCTGGGTTATGGTATTTAGTTGAAACAGCTTTGTCGGATTTAGATATTTCAGAAGCTCAAGTTTTCCCATTTATTAGACTTATTAGATTATTGGGAGAAAGATTATTATCAAGTCAAATTTTTGACAGAAATGAAGTAGTTTTAGTTATTGTTTCAAAAATACTTATGTACTTAATTCCACAATTAAGGGACGTGGGAAGTGATGGTTTAATAAAAGATTGTTCGGATATAATTAATTGGTTATATGCATTAGGAAACAAAAATTTCATAAATTCAGAAATTTCATTACTTTTTTACATACAATTTCTTATCACCTATTCTCAACACAATGATGAAAATTTGATATCTCAATTATCATTAAGAAATGAGATTTTTCAAAAGTTTCAAAATTCAATTAATATTATAAAGATCAAATTGATGTCAAATTTTTATAAAAAGATTCAAAATTCAAATACCGTTTTGCAGGAAGATACGTATTCAAGATTATTTGAATCCTTCACTAATGCACATTCAGGACAAGAGAACGCAGCTACTTTTACACTATTTTTCTCAGAATTAGCTACTTCATCACCAATAGTATTAAGATTTGTCATATTCAATTTGACAGAATGTTCAAGATTTGCTTTCATGGTCCCATACTTAGAGAAAGGTTTTAAAATGATATGTTTTAACTCAAACCTAAAGAGTTCAAGAGATTTATATAAATTGGTTAAATTAGATTTATTACGAAGTTGGTGGATTTTCAATTCATTTAACTCTTTCCCAGTTCAATTATTCAAGTATAATAATTTGAATGTTTTTTTGTTTGAAAATTACAGAGATATAGTAGCAGTCATTATATCAACTAAACAACAACAACAATCATCCAACCAACTTGCAAATCAATTTCTTCAAAAATTAGCGGATTTAAAAGATGTTGAAATTGAAGTTATCATTGCTGAAAGTTTATCAAAAATTATTCCATTATGTTATTCAAAAGAAGGTATTAAAAATAAATGTTTTGAAGTTTTAGGCTCCTTTTTATCAAATTTAAAAGATGAAATGAGAGATAATATGCCTTTGATTGTTTTAGAAATCTTGACTAGCATAGAAATTTCAAAAGAAAGTGATTTAAAAAATTATTCAAAAGATCCTAGACAAACTTCTGCTTTGATTGCTGATGAATCAATAGGTGTTGAAAGTTATTCCAAACTGTGTATTTCAATAAGTTCAGGAATGGAACTAGTCAATCGTATTGTTCAAAAGTTTCATACTAATGATAAACCATTTTGGTGTTGTCAAACTTTATATTTTTTGATCAGAAGAATTGGATTGTTATTAGCTTCACAAACGAGTACCATTGAAAGACAGCTTGTTTTGAGGAAAATCAAATTGATTATTTTGATTGGTGGTAACAAATTGTTGTCATTAGAGGTTGTAAATTTGTTAACTGAGATCTTATCCCCGTTATTAAAAGATGATAATTTATCACCAGATGTTTTTAGGATTTTTTCAGCTTTTCAAAATCTATACTCAATCGAGTTTGAGCTTTCAAAAACTTTGGATACTAATTGTGCAATTCTTGTTGCCCTAAGTGAATCATTGTCTGACAAATGGTTTAGTAGCTCTTCGTTTATTAGCTTGGTAGTACAATTTGCTAGCTTTGTTGATATAGTGTCATCGAAAAATCAAGTATCACCAAAACTTAAAATCATCACTGCAAAAATCAAGTCATTACAAGGTGAAGATTTTAACTTAAATGCTTCTGACATTATGGATTGTTTAAAGATGAAACCAAATTTCAATTGGATACTGCTTTGCTCATATTGTTTTGCTTTAGTTATTGATCCACATAAGACTACTTCCGATCCTTGTGTTATCAGAACTTTACTCCAGCTAGATGATTCCCAGTTAAAGATGATATTATCTGAAAAATTTAAGATTTGGATTTCAAAATGTTTATCTGATCATTTCTGTCAAGCTAAATCTATGAACCTACTATTGTTGAGTGATAACTCAGAGTATCATGGACCTTCTGAAAATTTTTTACACAGTCATTATTTCGACTATGTAATTGAAAAATTGGTTGAGTATACCAAATCTAATAATGTTGATAATGCTGCTTGTGCTGAATCAGTATTGGCTGTATTTTTTGAGAGATTCGTCAATAATGAAAACGAATTATCCAATTTTATAAATCTGAAATATTATTTTGAAAAGATGCAGAATTATATTCTACCATTAAGATTGCAAACCTGTGTTTTATTAAATGATGAATCAGAATTAAATTATAAAGACTTGAATTTGCAAAGTATTATTGAAGACATTAATTCATTTTATATTATTGACAATTCCAAATGGTGTTCAAGTTTATATTTGGCGATTCTAAAGGAATTAGCTTCATATACATCAATTGGGTCAATAATGAGTACTTTCTTAGTTAAAGTACCTGAGTTTGCTTCCACAACTATTGCATCGTTAATTTGCTTTTATTTGCTGTTGGCTAAATCAGATGCTGAAGAGATTATTGTATCATTATTAAATGCATTTGCAAGGATGAAACATGTCGATGAAGAATCTTTAAGAGTTATATTAACTATTGTTCAAAGTATAAGAATTGCTGCCAAAACCACTAATGTCAAACAATTTTATAGCATCTTATCCAGAATTGATCTTGTTGAATATTTTAAAATGGCTGCTAAACTGAAAATGTTCAAATTTGCGTTTATGTTATTTGAAGATGTTTATGCCGGATCTGAAGAACCAACTGAATGTTTAGATACTCACTATAATGTTTTACAACAAGTTTATGAAAATTTAGATGAAGATGATTTAATTTATGGATTACCTGAAAAGACAGGTTTAGATCAAACTTTAAAAATGATATCAAATACAGTACCATCTGATATTCAATTTCAATATAGCAGTGCATGCCTTGATTCAAGTATGAAACTAGGTGCAAATAGATTAAATAACAACTTAATTCATTGTATGTCTAATTCAGGATTATTAGGTCTTTCACAAATTATTAATAATGATTACGCTGGTGGTACTGATGATGCTTATGAATGGAGTTGGAAACTATCTCAATGGAATAATCCAGTTCCTGTGGAAGCTAAGGAAGAAAACGAAATCATTTATAAAACCTTGAAACAAATTCATGATTTTCCACAAGATGGAAAAGATATTTGTGATAAAATGATATTAGAGATTATGGATAATGATAGAGCTTCTCAAAATGAAGGTGTAAAAGAGAAAAAAGAAAGAGAATATGTTTGGCTCAAATCATTAGTAACAGTATCAACGATAGGTGATACTTTAGCTTATAGAGATGATGACGTTTTACAACAACAAGATATTGAAAAAGTTGATTTCAATATGTTTGAAAATCTTATACTAGCAAAACAAACTACATTCCAAATTATGGCACAACAATTTGATACAACTTCTCATAACTTAGATGGATTATGGTCATCTGCATGTAAAGAATTGGTGGTATATAACAATTTAGCAAGATCCAATAATCAAAATCAGAAAATGATTTCATCAATGGTGATGATTGATGCAATTTGCAAAAAATTACAAGATTCTCAAAATCCTGAGGTTCAAAATATGACAAATTTATCACTTTTCCAAGCCGCTCAATCCATGTGGAAACAAGGTAATACGAATGCTCCAGTGTTAATGTTGAAAGAATTATATAATGCTGGTGGAGTTGATATTAATCATGACAATATGAAAGTAGATAAATTTTTAATTAAAGCAATGATGATCAAATGGATGTCGGAATCACGTCAGGAATTAGCTTCGAATTTAATGGAAAATCAAGTTTTACCAACAGCTGAAAAGGCTTTAATGCTTAATGATGAACATCAACAATCCAAAATTTTCAGATTATTAGCTCAGTTTAGTGAAGCTCAATATAAATCACCTTCATTGACTGAACAAATTGAGAGACTTGATAAAAGAGTTCAAGAAAAACATGATGAAATTGAAGAATTAAGAGTTCATTATCAAAATAAAAATGTGTCATCAGATGAAAAAAGGGATATTAATAAGTTCTATAATAAGTTGAAAATTATGTATGCTGCTGAGTCGGCGGATTTGAAATATGCTACGGAGAGTAGAAAACAATTTTCAGTTAAAGCTGTAGAATTCTATTTGGAAAGTATGACTATTCATAATTTTCCAGAGGAAGATTTGGATAAATTTTTTGCATTATGGTTGGAACAATCAAATGATGATGAATTGAACTTGAGAATTGAGTCAAAATTGTTAGCTTTACCGTCACATAAGTTATTAAGTTGGTGTGCTCAATTAATATCAAGATTATCCAAGGAAAACACTCCTTTTCAAATTATATTGAAAAAGTTAATTTTACAAATGTGCTTTGATCATCCTCATCATTCTTTGTATTTATTATATTCCTTGAAAAAACAATTAAATTTGGCTCAACTTGATAAGAATCCATTACTTGAATCCAAAGCTTTATCAGCTGCAGCTATATGGAGTGAATTAGCAAATCAAGATGTTCGATATATACAAGAGGTTTTGATTCCAATTGAAATATTTAGTAATGAATGTATTAAATTAGCTGAACACAAAGTTACTAAAGGTAGAGTCATGAATTTGGATAAATTAAGCTATGGAAAGTATTGGTTGAAAGAATTACCTAATATACCGCCCCCTACTAAGACATTGAAAATTGATTTGACAAAAGAATACAAAGATGTACCTGTACTATGGAAAATAGATAATAAATTAAATTTAGCATCATCAGGATTAAGCTTACCAAAAATTGCAACATTCACATTATCTGATGGTTCAACTCACAAAACTCTATTAAAGCATGGTACTGATGATTTACGTCAAGATTCAATTATGGAACAAGTATTTCAAAAAGTTCAACATATTTTTGCAAATGACAAAGAATGTAATAAAAGAAGTTTGTCAATTAGAACTTATAATGCAGTACCTTTAGGTCCGAATTCTGGTATAATTGAGTTTGTTCCGAATTCAGTTTCTTTAATTGATGTCATTAGACCTTATCATTTAAAACATGATAAATTAAAAATAGAAAAAGCTAGAGAAATGATGAAAAATGCTCAAAATAAAGATAAGATTGAAAGATTACAAGAATTTCAAAAAATTGAAAGTAAAATACAACCAGTTTTGAGATTTTTTTTCCAAGATCATTTTTTAACTTCTGATAAATGGTTTGAAAGTAAAATCAAATATACTCATGGTGTTGCTACTACATCAATAGTTGGTCATATGTTAGGTTTAGGTGATCGTCATTGTAATAATATTTTATTGGATAAACAAACTGGTGAACCAATTCATATTGATTTAGGTGTTTCATTTGATCAAGGTAAAAGTCTTCCTATCCCAGAAACAGTTCCATTTAGATTAACAAGAGATATAGTTGATGGATTTGGTATAACTGGAGTTGAAGGAGTTTTTAAAAAATCTTGTGAACATACATTAAGAGTGTTGAGAGAAAATAAAGATCATATCATTTCAATTTTAGATGTGTTACGATGGGATCCTTTATATTCATGGTCTCTATCGCCACTTAGAAAAAAGAGATTACAAGAGGATGATGAACCTGGAATTGGTATACAACCAGAAAAAGGTGATTCAGAAGTGGGTAGAGCTATACTGAATGTTTCTGATAAATTAATCGCAAATGGTTTAAGTACTGAAGCAGCAGTAAGAGAATTAATTCAAGAAGCTACAAATTCTCAAAATTTATCATTAATATATTTTGGTTGGTGTCCATTTTATTAAACAAAAAATTCATGTACAAATATAAAATCTAATGCATCCTGAATTACATTTTCAAAACTAAAAATAATTTTCAATCTCTGCATTCCAAATCAAACTGGTACTGATTTGGTCTTATTATGTTGGACAGGAATTGTACCGGCCGGGAAAATTAAATAACTATTATATGAAGTAGAAATACCAGCAAAACAAGCATAAAGTCCAAATAATGAAGACAAGAAAATTAAAACTCCTCCTCCTCTAATACATCTTGTACTTTGAACTAAATATCCAGCACTTAACATAAAAAACCCAAAATCTAATGTAAAAAACAACAACAATAAAGGCCAAGTAGATTTAAAAGTGACTAAGAACATAAAAAATGTGAAAATTGCCCAACCTAATAAAAAAAATCCAACAGCATGATTGAATTGTTCAATATCATCACCATAAGCAGAAGCAATTTGAAAAGCTGGTATGAAAATAGAACCAAAAGATAACCAAAATGATCCATATGATGTAAAAACAGTAGCTGCAAAAGTATTACCTTCACCACCAATAATGAATAATGCAACACCAGCTAAAAATTGTATAACACCACCAAAGAAAATAGCAGGTGCAATAGCAATATTAATAGTTTCAATCCCCATAGCTTGAGCTAAATATAAACCCAATACAAAAGTTGTAACTCCAAATGAAGCTAATCCAACACTTGATGCATTACCAGCTTCATGTTTTGGCCATTCAGTATAACCAGGATTAAAATCTGCTGCTGAAGGTTTTCTTAATTCACTTCTTAAAAATTTATGATTATCAATTACTGTATTTTCATCATCTGATACTAAAGTTGATGGGATGTATCTAGAACCTGATTGGACTGCTGAAAGTGGTGCTGATGCTGGTGTTAATTCTTGTAATCTTTCTTCGTCCTCTTCTGCCATTTTAATGAATACGTGAAGTAACTTTTTTGCAACAAAAGGTGTAAAACCCTCTACACACTTTAAAAATAGGGGAACCCCAAGTGTATTTATAATATGTTGTGATTATTTCTTTCCTTAAAAATCCTTCATTGGCAGTAACCCCTTGAAAGTCAAAATATGTCAAGATTATGCATTAATTTGCGAAAATATGTGAAATGTATTAGATGGTTTGATAGTTGAAAAATGAGCCAATTTGACCAGTTAAAACTTATTCATTAAAACAGCGCAACGCTATGGTTCTATCTCTGAGCATCTTCAGGATTCATTGATGATTTTATTATTGCGTATTGTGGACCTTAGATTTATAGCTTAAAAAGTAGTTTCTCGTAAATTGCACTTTAATTTTAAAGGTTATTTCAGAAATAATTTACAACCAAAATTAATATGGTACATAATAATTATTTTTGTAATACGTCAAATTTGTGAATAATAATATTATTATTTTAATCACATTGATCTTACCACGTCAACTTTAAAAGCAATGTTTTACAAATGAGTTACTACAATAATGAAGATGCATTAGATGGAACGATTTTAAAATTACCACTATCATTTATAGATAAAGAGACGTCAAAAGAATTTTTATCATCAAAGATATGGCTTTACGTTTCTAAAGCTGATACGAATTTTGATGAAGAGAATACTGAAATATCAAAGACTGGTGATTTGAACTTTACGTATATTTCATTAATTGCAATTTGGCCAGAGGGGTATTATGATACTGTAATTACGTCAAGTAATATTTATAAGATATTTGGTTCAAATGCTTATGATTTATTTCCAAGAGAAGAAACTTTTGACGTTTTTACTAATTTGTTTCCCTTGGATTTTGAAAATTTAGTAGAAAGTAGAGAAAAAGATGGGATTCATAAACAATTTACAGTTAGTGCAAGATTTGAATTATCACAATATAAATATGAATTTGAACCAGATGTAGAACTAAAAGGTAAACCATTACAAATTGTTATTAAACAAGATACTACATGGGCCCCCAAGATTGGTCAATTTGAAATGGAACCTGTAGATTTTGATGGTAAAGAAGAGTATAAATATGTTAGTGATATGTTCAACTGGATTGATTTATATAACAAACAAAATGAATCATTACTCAATTCCTATATGAAGAGTAAAAAGAAAGTAGATGAACTTGAGGAAGAAAATTTTATATTAAAAGATACTGTCAATAAACAAAAAAAAGACTATAATTTAATTATAGAAGATTTAGAAAATAAATTTTATCAAGTATTAGATGCTAAAAAGAGTAAAATTTTTGATTTACTTGAACAAGATTTACCAAAAAAAGAATTAATTGGATTAAATTCAACTTACATGGAAAAAAATGGGAAATTGAAAAATATAGATTTTAATAATATACCAAATATAGAATTTTCCAATAGAAAAAGATCCAAAAATGAAAATGGTACAACAAAGAAAAGAAAATTAGGTACTGGTAAAAGAAAAATCAAAAAAGAAGAAGAAGAAACAAGTGAAGATGAAAGTGAAGATCAATTTGCAGGTTTTGGTGGTTCAGTAAAAGTTAAAAAAGAATCACAACCACTATATAAATCAAAACTACCAAACTCTCCAGAATTAAAAGATGATTCATTTTCTTCAAATCGTATAAAAAGAGATCCAGATTCAATGTCAAAACCATTCAACCCTAAAGAATATGAACCTTTTACAAATGAATCACCTGAAATCAAAGATAGTAGTTTTTCACAATCACAATCTTTTAAAAAATCATTTGAAGCAAGAAGTGATAAAGATGTTATAAAACAAGCATTGAGTGAAGAAGATGAAGACGAAAAAGATGGGAATAATCATAGTGATGATGATGATGCTACTCAATATAGTACATCAGGAGATGAAATGGAATTAAATTTGGATTTATCAAATAACGAAGAAAATGAACCCAAAAGTATTCATGAACCAACCAAAGATCAACAAGATACTCAAGAAGATGTAGTAGCGGATAGTCAATCCGAATCAAATAACAAAGATGATAAAAATTCTACTACTCAAAGTTTCAAAGATCAAAATGATATTAATCAAAGTCAAAATAACAACAGTCAAAAAAATAATAAAAGTCAAAATGCAGTTAGTCAAGCAGATGTAGAAACAGATTATAGTGATTCTGATGATGACTGAGCAGAAAGGTTTTAAACAATATTGCAGGCAATGAGTTTAAAACTTGGAAGATATTTCAATTCAGTTGATATACGTAATTCTAATAAAAATCTCATTTACATACTTAACTCAATACATACAGTAATACATAATTTTTCAGATCAATGTGATCTCTTTCCTAATTAATATATATTTGCGGCTTAGATCTAAAGTTGATCTAAAAAAAAATTTATTTCTTGGATTAAATCAATGAAATTTTTACACGTATTTGTTTTTTTACTTAATACGTTTCTACTACAAGATTTATTTGGTTTGCTTGTTTGAGAGTATTAAACCATTGCATGAAATATAATAAGTCAAACTATATATATTCTCTTTATAATTGATGTTTTTGTATTGACCCTATTATATATTTTAATCGTTCTAGAATTTAGCGGAGCATAGCCTTATAATAGCACAAAACATAAAATTAACATAAAAGGAAGTTTTAAACTTGTTGAGTATTATTAACGGGTTTTAATTATTAATTATGTACTATTGGATTATGGATTATTAATTGAAAATCTTAATAGCCTAAATACGGATCTCTTGGAGGGATAATTTTAAGGAAATAAAACTTAATTTTGATTCTACTATATTCAAATTTTTATTCTGCTACATTCATGAGAAAGTTAAGAAATCTATAAATAGAATATAACTTCAGTTTTTTACATAGTAACGCGTTTATATCATGACAAAGTATTGTAGTTGATAACTTACTTATTATGAACTATTCTTCATAAGCCTTATAGAGTAGGTCTAAAGATTTGTTTTATAAACTTTAGTTTAATCAGATCAATATTAAATATATAATTATATTCTCTAGCTATATGTCTATATAAACTATTTTTTTGTTAGCAGATCAATATAAAAAAAAAATTTTACTAACAAAAAAAAATCTCTTCCATACATTTTAAAATTTTCCACTAACAAAAAAAAAATTAAATCTATATAGAAAAACATCATCATTCTTTTTTTTTTTTGCCAACTTACATTCACTTACTTTTTAATCAACTATAAATCAACAACTGAAACGTTAATATATCATTTAAAAGCTTATTTATTCATTTCTTCAACATTTTATCATTTACTTTTAATAGAGGGGAAATATTGTGATAACTTTTAAATAATTATATAAAGTAATAGAAAAAAGTGTTGACAAAAATATACATATAGGAAAGACAGAAACAGTACTCTTTTTTTTCATTTTTCATTAAGATAACTTTCATTTCATTTCGAATTATTCATTGTTAATATAGAATTGTTTACATTAATTTTCATTTCGAGATAATTTATAACCATTTTTTTCAACATACAATTTTAAAGAGACAATATTTTTTTTTAAAGTTGTTTAGTTTACGTTATAATCTTGTTCATAGTTTATTCAGAATTTATCAATAAGTTTTTACATCGCATCAACTTGTTCATATTTTGAGTTCGTTTCAGATCATTTAATTTAATTTTTTCAAATTTTTTATTGCATTTTTATACAAATTTTTCCACGAATTTTCAAGACGAAATTTTGGTTTCAAAGAATTTATATACTCATTTTATTTCTTAATATTTATAATTTGGCATTTAAAAATAAAAGTTATACTTCAACTTGTTTTTATATATTACAGTTTTTCATTTTTACATTTTGGTGGGTAATTATTAAAATATTTTCATTTTTTTTTTTAATTAATTTGTATCTTATTATATTTTAACTAAAAGGTTGTTTCCATATTTATAAATAGTTTTTATCATTATGTCATACCAAGATCCATATCAAGGAATGTCTCAACAATATATTGGACAACAATATTATCCTCAATATTATACTCCACAAACTCAATACGAAGAACCAGAAAATTTTCAAATTGATAATGGTAATGGAAATTATGATCAACAATATCATCAAAATGGATTACATCATCATCAAAATTTTGATCAAAATCAATATCAACCAGATTTAAATTTTCAAAATATTAACGCGTATAATAATGGAATAGATGCTCCTGCAATTGGTACAACAATTGGTGGAGAATTTTATACAGAAGATGGAAATTTTGCAAATAATAATTTACAAGGTGGAATTTATCAAAATTTATCACCTTCAGATTATGATCAAAATTTATTACAACAACAAGATATATATCAACAACAACCTCAACAACAGCAACAACAACCTATCCATGGTGCTAATTCTGCAGCTCCTTCAAGAACAGTTTATTTAGGTAATATACCATCAGATGTTGAACCTCATGAATTATTAGATTATGTTCGTTCAGGTATATTGGAGAATGTTAAAATTATTCCATCTAAAAATTGTGCATTTATTTCATTTATTGATCATCAATCTGCTTTATTATTTCATTCTGATTGTATATTAAAAAAATTAAATATTAAAGGTCATGATATTAGAATTGGATGGGGTAAAAATACTCAAATTTTACCAGCTGTTTTAGAAGCTATACAAAGAGATGGAGCTACAAGAAATGTTTATTTAGGTAATTTAAATAATCCAATAACTGGTGAAACTATAACCGAAGATGAATTGAAAGATGATTTATCATGTTATGGTATTATAGATTCTATTAAAATCATTTCAGAAAAGGGAATTGCATTCATTCATTTTTTAAGTATATTAAGTGCTATTAGGTGTGTTGCAAATTTACCATTAAAAGAAAAATATTTAGATAAAAAATGTTTTTATGGTAAAGATAGATGTGCATTTATAACCAAAACTCAACAACATAATGCAGCTCAATATTTAGGTTTAGCACCAGGTATGGAACATATAGTTACAGCAGCAGATCGAGAATTTATATCATCAGCTTTAGTTCAACAATCAGCTGCTGCAGCACAAATTGCTACTCAAGCAGGTGGTGCAAATAATTTGGGTAATCGTACAGTATATTTAGGTAATCTACATCAAGAATCATCAGTTGAAGAAATTTGTAATGTTGTAAGAGGTGGATTATTACAAAGTATAAGATTTTTAAAAGAAAGACATGTTTGTTTTATTACTTTTATTGATCCTATTGCAGCAGCTCAATTTTTTGCAATGTGTCAATTGCATGGATTAACTATACATAATAGAAGAATTAAAGTTGGTTGGGGAAAACATTCAGGACCTTTAAGTAATGCATTATCATTAGCTGTATCTAATGGAGCTTCAAGAAATATTTATATTGGAAATTTAAATAATTTTAATTTATATAACCCTCAAAAATTAAGAGATGATTTTTCAAAATTTGGAGATATTGAACAAATTAATTATTTAGAAGAAAAAAATTGTGCTTTCATTAATTTTGTTAATATTGCAAATGCTATAAAAGCCATAGATGGTATAAAATCATTTCAAGATTATAAAAATCTTAAAATTAATTTCGGTAAAGATAGATGTGGGAATTTACCAAGACAATTTCAAAACCAACCACAACAACATCAACAACATCAACATCAACAAAATTTATCAATTCATTCAGCTCATTCAAATAATGGGAATGGTATTGGTGGACCTTTAGGAATATTAGATAATCATATTGAATCACAAGATTTAAATATTGATAATCCAAGTGGATCAAATTCATTTTCAGATTTAGGTGAATTTAAAGAAGATACTCCACAATCTATAACAACTCATGGTAATTTAGATGGATTTGAAATTCAAACTCAATCTCCAATTAATGATTTAAAATTTTAAAATCTTTTAAAGACGTAAATAGATTTAATGACTATATATCAAATAAAATAAATACATAAACCATTTAACGAATATACAAACACTGGGTATTGTAGACTATATTAATCCCTAGAGCGTAAAATACATTTGATTATTTTTCTATCTAATCCTAGGTACTATTCCAATAAATAAAACCATAACAATAAAAACAACAACAATAACAACTGACATTTTAATTAAAAACCAAATACTTATTTTATTACCAGATTTATTACCTAAATAATTCTTTAAATTATTTTCAATTGATTTTAAAAAAGTAGAATTTTTTATAAGATTTTCATTAGTTTCATTAATAACTTGAAGATCAGCACCTAATATCTTAGTACTTAAATTTAAAGCACTTTGTTTTAATGTACTTGTTAATTGTGATAATTCGTTTATAATATCTTCTTGTATTGATTCATGATAATCATTTTGAGATTCGGTGGTGGTGGTGGTGAGTTTTTTTGAAGGTGTTGATAATAATCTTTTACGAAGTTCTGTAAGATTATCTGTTTCTGCAATTGATGAGTTTCTTTGTTTTAGTATTTGTTCAGGTTGTGGATTAGTTGTAGTTATTTCTATTGATGATGATGGTGAATTTTGAGAATTATATATATCGATAAGTTTATTTGTAATATATAATTTTTCATCAATTAAATCAATTAGAAGTGATTCTATTTTTGATTTTAATGATTTATAATTTTTATTTCTTTGATGATTTTGTAAAGATGATAGTTGTTGTAGGAGTGATGATTGAATTAATTGTAATTTTAATTTTGGAATATATGGTGATGCTTTAGTGGTTTGATTTGAGCTTATTGTTATCAAATTGGGAAGATTCAAATCATTAATTTCTTGTTCATAGTTCTTTATTATGTTTGTTATTGTTTGAATTGATGGTTGTTGTTGTACTGTAGTCGTCATCTATATTTGATTTGTTAGTGGTTATATTTTTGATTTTTGATTTAGCGCATTTAAAAAATCTAATGATAGTTGGAATATCTTTAGTTCAGCAAAACTAGAGTTATTTCGCTACGCAAAATTATGAAGCCTTGAAGTATAAAACCAGTAAGTCATAAGTTACTACATCATGCTTTCATAAGATTATAATAAGATTACAGAAAAGTATAAAAAAATGTTAGCCCAACTACTATCAAACAACGATCTACGGATTACAAAAAATGATCGTGGTTAGCGAAAAAGGCTTATAACTATTCTAAGAATTCTAAAAACCAATGTAAGGTATGTAATCAACTGCTACTAGAGCAAGTTTGTAATCTCTTTTTATAGGTTTCTTATATCCTTTTTGACATAAAGAAGAAGAAGAAGAAGAAGTAGGTGAAATTTTAGTTGTAAGGAAATAAAATTTTTTTGATGTTAGAATTTTTTTTGTTGTGCACTACTTTATCTTGAGGTTAAGATGTTAACTTTTTTTTTGCAACCAATTTTCTGAACATCCCTCATGTTTAAGATGGTTAAAGAATTAAGATAATGATCTTGACTCAATACTTTTAATTTGAACCATAATATTATGGTAAACTATTAAGGTTTGTGTTTCTTACTAACTTTTCTCATATCATTTTTAAAAATTCAATATCTTCAGTGTTTTAATAATACAACTATATTTTGAAGCAAAAATTTGAAGATATATAAAAAGTTACTAAAAATAGATTATGATATAAGTTTCGAGAATATATACGATGAAGATTCGATTACAAATATAAGAAGCACTCATAATCAAGAAAAATCAACAAACTTTACTTTCTAATTGTAATCTGATCCAAAGAAGGAAAAAAATTTAAGTTTAAATTTAAAAACGTTTAAGCATTTATAGGGCAAAAAAAGGTTTGAATGACCTTCACTTTAATTGATGTTATAACACTATGGTTTTGAGCTTAACATTTACAGTTATGTAATTAATAAATCAACTTTTGACAGAATATTGTTTTACGTAAATTCTTAAATATTGTATACAAAATATGTCTGTCGGGCTTATATAAAATACTTGAGATCTAATCATGTGATTTAGAATTTTTCCAAAAATTCAAAATTGTCGGGCTAGTAAAAAAATAATAATAAGATTTAAGTTTTGTGTCTTAAAATGTCAAAATCTTTTCAGATCTCATATATTATGTAGATTTGAGATCTCTTAAATTAATAGATTTATTGATTCATCATAACAAAAATCTAATGAACTTATTGATTAATACTTAAGGAAGTTCTAATCATAAGACTAAGACTGATTTGAAGATTTTAATTCTTCATGATAAATACTTCTCAGCACACAAATGAACATAAATCTTAATTCCATTCTTAATTTTGTAACTGAAAAATTATTTGAAAAGAAAAAAATAATAAATTTCGTTCCTGAAATTTTCAATATAAAAAATAATTTCACCTTGTTATTTTATAAAATTAATTATGAATTCTCGAGATCAGTTTTCTTCAATTTTAATCATTGAATATTATTAATATTATATTTAACTAAATGTTTATCTAAATAATAATAATATTAATCTTTATCTTTATTAATTTCTTGGAAGTTTCTAAAGAATATGTATTAACCCTTACGAAATTATAATTTAAACTAAAGATTTAGCTATTTTCTAATTCTGGTAAATATATGAATAAATTGATTAGATTATACCCCAGTTAAATAAAAAAAAGAATAGAGAATAAATACATTTTAGATTGTGGGTGTAAATTGTATTTTTCAAAGATGAAATTTTTATAATATTAAAAAATACATCATAATGGAAAAATGTCAATTTGACACCGATTTTATTATACAGATAAAAAGTCAAATAATAATACAGCACAAAAACTAAAATTTTCGAAGGGTTGGAAGGTGTAATAAAATATTCAAGTACTCACCATGAAGAAATACTGAATATATAATCAATTACTATAAGCTGAGTTTCTCAAATTTTAACCAAAGGAATTAAATTACTAACTTGATCTCTTGAAAAATGATCAAATAATAAGTATTGTTGCTATCAATTTAGTCCATATTAATTTTACAATTAGTTCTACGCTTACAAAGTAATTTTAATTTATTAATTAATTGTAGTATACTTATAATAATTTCATCAAACGTATATTCTCAATATTCTTAATAGAAATTTAAATTTTTAAAATTACACAAAAAAGTAATAAAAAAAAATTTCTAAATATAAAAATAAAAAATAAAAATATAAAAAAATAAAAAAAAAAAAAATAACAAAAATAAAAAAAATTAAAAAATATAACAAACAATAGAAAGAAAAAAATCAACAATTTCAATAATTAAAATTAATATAATTTTTCTATTACAAATTTTTCATAAGATCAACAAATCAGTTCTACAACCAATTTTATTCAACTTTTATTCAATCGCTAATTATTCATATTCATATTCAAAAACTTACTTATCAATATTACTAAATCATAAGGTTACATAGCTCCTGAAAGTAAAACCTTAAATAATTTTAGATTTTAATTTTTTCCACCTGTTCCCTTACCAGAACTAAATACAACAAGATTTTATTTCATATTTCATTCGTTTTTCAAATTTACTTAATTAAAGTTTTTTACTGATTCAAATCATCTTTGAAATCATCATAATTACTAGATATTATCAATTATTAAAGTAAAAGGTCAGATATTCATAAAAATTTTTTTTGTTGTTTATTTATACAATTCTTTTAATTATTCACTACATATACATATTCACTCACTAAATTTTTTTATTATATGATAATATAACTACTATCAACTTTTAACAACTTCAAATTAAATTATAGAATACTAAAATATAGATTAAATCATAATACCAAATAATATCATGACAGAGTCTATAATATCAATAAATAAAATAACGAAAAAAGCTATATTTATACAATTATTATTTTTAATAACAAAAGTAAAATCAGATTCTTGGTCATCATTAGGTTGTTTTAAATCATCATCATTATCAAATACTCAATCTCAAGGTACTTATACTTTCCAATCATCAGGTTGGTGTCAATCACAATGTTCAGGTAAAAGAATTATTGGTTTAACTAATGGTAATCAATGTTATTGTGGTTCAACTGATCCTTCAAATAAAGTTGATGATTCAAATTGTAATATTGATTGTCAAGGTTATGATAAAGAAAATTGTGGAGGGAATGGTTATTTTACTGTTTTTGTTAATTCAGATGCTAGTAATGAAGAAAATAATAATGATTCAAGTTCAAGTTCAAGTTCAAGTTCTTCAAGTACTGAATCTTCTTCACCTACAACTAGATCAACGTCATCACAACAACCACAAACTAGTACAGTAAAAGAAACAACGACTGCACAACCACAAACTACACTGACTACATCATCTTCATCATCATCAAGTACATCACCTACAACAACTTCACAAACTTCATCTATTCAACCAACTACAGTAATATCAACAGTAGTAAATTCTTCAAATAATGGACAACAATCAGTCATATATAAAACAATTATAGAGCGTCCATCTACATCATCTCAAGATTCATCATCATCAACCACCGCAACTTCATCATCTAATACCCCATCTCCAACATCATCAAACCCATCATCATCATCATCCACCACCACCACCACCACATCAAGAAATCAGTCAAAAGGAACATCAGGAGGAGTAATAGCAGGAGCAGTAGTAGGCTCAGTAGCAGGTGTAGCAGCAATAGCAGCATTAATTTTCGGATGGTGTTGGTACAGAAGAAGAAAATCAGATGATAATGATTTCGATGATCAATTTACATTATCAGGACCTGAAAAATCTTCAGGTAATGGTGGTTCAAATAATGGTTTAAATCAAATGTCACAAATTAATGATCCAAACCCCTTCTTATTAGCTGGTGGTTATAATCATTTTGATACTTCTCAACAACAAACTCCAAGAAATCAAATTCAAAATTCAAGAACAATATCTTCTAGAAATGGATCTAATGGAGGTGGAACAGCAACCACTGCAGGAGCAGCAGCAGCATTTGGTCATGATCATAAATATAGTTCAAGTGGTGGAACAAGTAATGGTATAGGTGGTGATTCATTTGGATCACATAATGATGATTACGCATTTTATGATCCAGATCATCAACATATAGATACTCCAAACACTCACACACAAACCAATCCTGGGTTTTTAAATTCTCCCGATCCTGAATTTGGTCGTAGAAAATTAAGTAATGGTTCATTACCTGATATGATTGCTAGAGAACCCGGATCTTTGAAAGTGGTTAATAATTAGATTAGAAAAAAGTTTTAGTTTCTTTTCATTTAAAAGATTTTTTAGGATATTATTATAATTATCTAAAGTCTAACGTTACGAATTAATATACATATACAATTAACAAATTCGATTTCCTTCGATATTCTACTCTTACGACTGTAATGATGATACTGATAGTGATGATTGAGATAGTAGATTAGATACATTAGTCTAGATCTAGTTTGAGTCACAAAATCAAAACGTACCTAAAATAGATATCGCGAATTTACGTGAAGTGAAGTAAAAGAAGAAATTTAGTCAAATTTCAAAACAAATAAACAAATACACAAAAACTATTTACTGAAAAACCTTATAAAAAGATTTGAGTTATTTTTAGTTCTGATGAGTTCTTAGTTCTTTCAGATTTATTGATCATTTACAATCTGGAAAAACCGGTGGTTCAGAAGCAATTGATGAACAAAGATTTTGATAATTTCGAATAGTCAATTAATAGATGAACAAAATTAGTTGATAATAATATACCAAAATCTAATCTAGTATTTCATTTATCGGGGATGCATCAAATTTGATCCAATTTGGTCCATCAGTCAATATTAAAAAATCAAGACATTATAATTGTTATATGAAACATAATTATACATCCAACTAGTTCCAGAACTTCGAGGAGTTTAATTATAGTAAACAAACCTTTCGAAGAGAAGTAATGAAAGGCGTTAAAACTTATATAACGTCATTAACCGCAGCAGAACAAAAAAAAAAAAAAAGATTTGCGTGAATTCATGGAGTAATTTATTTAGTTGTTTAGTTTGTAATGTAAATAAATAAATAAAATTTTCAGTAACGAAGTAAAACTATTTTGATTTTTGGGTTTATTTTGTGGGTTTCATGCGAGTGAAGAAAAGTTTAAATTTTTTTTGATCAGACAGGAAAAGAATAGGTTAAGTCCGCGCTCGATGTCCGTTTGAGAGTAATGTGTTGTAGTATATGAGATGTTGTATTTGCAGAAGTATGATTAAGTTGAAACTGCCTGAGATATATTAAGCTAGAGCTTTGCTTATTCTGAAATTGTAAGGAATCGTTTTTCATGTCTTACATCGTGGCGAATTTATTCGGATTAAAGAGAAAAAAGTAATATGACAGAAAATAATAAAATTAATTTCAGACACTAAATTTATAATAATTTATTTTTTTTTCGTTTCAAGTTTTTTGGTGTACTTGAAATTTGACAGTTTTTATGTATTGAACGGAAATATGCGTAACTTGTGGTAAAGCGGATATGTGCTGTTTTGATTCTGATTTTCGAGTAATTTAAAACTATTTCAAATTGTTTCATGTTTCAGAATTTTTTCACGACCAAATAGTAATTGATGACTTGAAATAAGGTGTCAAACTTTTTTAATGAAAATTTTTTCGTTTCTTTTAAAGTAAAAACGTCATAAGTTCAATCAAAACAGTTCCAAAATGAATTTGAGCTCCAAGTACAAATGGCAATAATCACAGCTAATTCTATTTTTATCTTTGTTGGTATTATTTTACACATTTTGTAGCTTTTTAAATGGAAATTTAAATTTCGTTGTTCATAATTGAAACTTCTTGTTTTGGACTTTAAATTAGCAATGAAAACAAATTGTAAATAAGTTTAAGTATTAAACGTTAACAACATTATAAAAATTTAGTAGAATCGATAATTTTTAGATCAAGGAAATAACTAGTCATATTATATTTAGTCAATCAATACATTTGCAGTTTCTTTTACAAGTAAATTTGGAAATTTATTGAGAAAAAAACCTTAAGTTTCAATGAGTTAGTTTCAAAATTTATTTGAATTAATTACTGCCTTAGAATAAAAGCATGTGTTTTTATTAAAGTTATGATATTTTATAAAACTTCACCCCCAATCTAATTTTACTTAAATATAATTCTGATTAACAGAAAAATAAATTGATTGTTTGATGGAATGACTAATATTGAAGGTTTTTGATAGTTTCAGTTTTGGGAAAAATTTATTGACTTTTTAAGATTGATCCTGCTTGTGTTTAACAGAGGTAAAGTAACTTGTCAAGTTCTGTTCTATATATATTTTACTGTAGAAGCTTCAATTACAGTAACATGTCTTTCTCAATTATCTTTGTACTTTTCGGGTTGCTCAAGTTTAAATGAGATTAAAGTTATATCAATGGATACAGTTAGTTGAGTTAATGTCTATAACTAAAATAGCTGAAAAATCTTTAGCTCTTACGGTAGTTACTCACTGTACGCTATGAAGTTGAAACTTGTGCATAATTTTCTTGGGGAAGTTATAAATTAAGTTCATCCATTAATTTAAATTCAATACGGACTTTTGCTACATTAGGTAAAATTTTGTTATGTGTTATATTTTGAAACAAATTTTCGAACAATAGAAGTTCAATTTTTATTATTATTTTGTCACGAGAGAAAATTTATATAAATAATACTTTGATTTTTCTTTTTAAACAATTCATTCCAGTTTTTCAAGCTCATTTTGAAATCCTAGAATTATGAAAGTTTCAATTCGTATTTCTCCAACTAGCCCTGGACAGGGTTAATCTTGCGTGTTAGATTCCTTTGTTTCGAAATCCTACGAATTTTTTTGATATGTTTGTTTATTTATGATTCAAATTTAGTAGAATTTTTTGGGGAACAAACTATTGACTTGTTGAAACTTTTAATTTTAATTATATGAAAATAAAATAGATCTTTCATGCTATTTAATTTACAAAATATATAATATGCGGACATTTCAATCTAGTCATGCTTCTTTCTCAATAATCTCTGTACTTTTCGGAATACTCAATTTTAATTAGATTGAAATTATTTCGATGGGTACGGTTAAGTCAAAATTTGGAATTCTAGCCTACAACCACATGTCCATTTAAGGTCTAAACTAATTTTTTTGAGCAAAAGTTTTAGAGCATGCTAATCGAGTTTCAATATTTTATCAAGTTTCACCCCATAATTTAAACTTCAATAAAAACGATTGTCGATGAAAAATTACAAGTTCTGTGTAATGATTTAAAACAAATTTTTAAACAATAGAGATTTAATTTTAATATAAATAAGTGGGACAAAACAATCATATAAATATAACTTGACTTTTCCTTCATTTAGATTCGTTCATTTATTTTTTTCTATACGAATAGTTTCTTAGAAAGTTGATCCATTTATGTATTCGATTTTGCATTGTTTGCGTTACGTCGGGAGGTACATATTAATTATTTTGATCGCGTTGTTGTCAGAGCTTCGTTGAACATTAAGTTTTGTAACGATTAAAAACAAATAATTGTGGAGTGTATTTCACAACTTGGGATTTCATTTGTTTATAAAAATGTGATAATAAATTGATTAATACTTTCATAGTAGTTTAGTTTAGTATGCATTAGTAGACTTTCCAACTTTGATTAATTCTTTTCGCAATTTTCTCTGTAGTTTTTGGAATGTTCAATTGTTTATTCGATTGAATTTATTTCGATGGCTACGTTCGGACCAACTTTTTACATTTTTAAGTACTGCAGACAAGTTTGAGTCTAGTATTTAAAATAGAGTTTGTTTCAAGGAATTTTACAGAATTCAGTGTAGATAATTTCTCGACTAAGTTAGTCCTCCTAAAAAGCGCAGAGCATTTCCTCATCAAATTAACGTCAGGACAAAACAAAATTACTTTAATAATCGATATATTAATTAAATTGATTGTTAACTTCATTTGCTGTTACCGTTAATTAACATATTGTTCACAAAAACTGCGCATGATTTTCTTGAGTATATTATGATAGAATAAGACCCCTAGTTGATATAAATTAAATATAGACTTTTGCAGGATTAGGTAAAATTCTATTTTGTGTTAAATTTTGAAACAAATTTTCGAACAATAGAAACAGTTTTTACTTTAAAAATGTCAACAAAGGAAAATTTATATAAATAGTACTTTGATTTTCTTTTTTAAACAATATATTTCAGTTTTTCAAGCTCATTTTTGTTTCCCAGATCAGATTAATCATTTAATTTGGTATTCCTTCATTTCACCCTGGACAGGTTTGATCAATGTGTTAGAATTCTATTTGATAATTCCACGCATTTTTTTGGCAATTTTTTGGTTTAAAACCATATTTAATAGAATATTTTGGGGAACAAACTATTGACGTGTTGAAACTTTTAATTATAACTATACGAAAAAATAGATCTTTCATTCTATTTTACTTTACAAATCATATAATATGTAGACATTTCAATTTAGTCATGCTTCTTTCTCAATAATCTCTGTACTTTTCGGAATATTCAAATTTTAATCAGATTGGAATTATTTCGATAGGTACGGTTAAGTCAAAACTAAGATTTTGAGACTATAACAGCAAGTCCATTTAATGTCTAAATAATTTTCTTGAGCAAAATTTTTAGAGCATGCTAGTTGAGTTTAATTGTGTCGAATTTCACCCCATAACTTAAATTTTAACAAAAACAATTGTTGATGAAAAATTACAAGTTCTGTGTAATAATTTAAAACAAATATTTAGACAATAGAGAGTTAAGTTTGATATGAAAAAGTTGGAAAAAACAACTCATATAAATAGAACTTGTTTTTTCCTTAATTTATATTGGTTTAATGATTAATTCTATACGAACGATTTTGAAAGAAATTTTCTTATTGATACATCTTGTGCAATGTTTGTCCAGTTCGCTTGTTTAGGATGACAGTAGGCTATCTGGGCAGTTTATTAGTGAATTATAATCGCAAGATTGATTGCGTAGTCAAAAATTTGTTGAAAATGTAGTTCAATAATTATGAAAACAAATAATTGTGGAGTGTATTTGACAAGTTGGTATTTCACTTGATCATAAGAGTGTGATAATGAAAAAAGTCTTTCATGCTAATTTAGTTTAATTTGCATTCGAAGACTTTTCAACTTTTGTTAGTTCTTTTCGCAATTTTCTCTGTAGTTTTTGAAATATTCAATTGTTTGTTCGATTTCGATGGCTACGGTCAGACCAATTTTTTATATTTTTAAGTACTGCAGACAAGTTTGAGTCTAGTATTTAAAATAGAGTTTGTTTCAAGGAATTTTACAGAATTCAGTGTAGATAATTTCTCGACTAAGTTAGTACCCCTAAAAAGCGCAGAACATATTTCCATCAAATTCGCGTTAAGACAAAACAAAATCACTTTAAAACTCGATATATATTATTTAAATTGATTTTTGATTTCATTGTTGTTCCCGTGATAAGAATGTCATCTACGTACAATCCGATGTGAATACCATCTACGTCTATAAACCTAAGTCAAAGGTTACTGTTATGTAAACGGTAAACAAGTACAATTAAAAGACTACAAACTTTATTGAGAATTATTCAATGTTAGTTTTACTCTTTTGATTATTTCTCTGTACCCTTCGGAATACTCAATACATTTGAATTATCTTGATAGGTACGGCTCGAATCTTCCTACAAACTTCATAGAATAATTATCTGTACTATATGGATCAATCATTTATTCGTCATCTTCGAATGATCTTAATTTCTCGAACAATGCGGCTTCTTTCGGAATTTCTAAATAAATCAGTCACATGATAAAGTGCTAGTAACCCTAATGCGAGAAATAAATTTTGTGTAATTATTTTTTGTCTCATTTTTCTCATTAACAAAAATTTTCCAATACAAATTTGGAAATATATAGGAACATAGTATATCATACAATCTAATCAAATACCAAATAACATTATAAATCAATAAACAATGTCAGGATCAGGTGCTTCAGGAAACAAATTCCGTATGTCAGTATGTGTATCAATTTAGGAGATTTACAAATATTAATATTGGAATATAATTATTGAACTTGTGGAATCATGTATTTAACAAAGAAGTTAGAGGGACGGATTTTGATACACCTTATCATAATAAAACTCAACAATTGAAGACTATTATCTCACATTTCACCTAAGATACAACAGTTTGATAAGAAATCTATAAATTGGATCATATAAAATATTATCAAATAACTCATCTTTAATTCATCAAAAACTTTGAATCAAATTATTAAAAAGCGTCTAAAAATATCCCAATAATGATATTCAAAAACAAATTGAGTTAATAAATACTAACATTTTAATATAGTTAGCTTTACCAGTTGGTGCAATTATGAATTGTGCTGATAACTCAGGTGCAAGAAACTTATATGTCTTAGCAGTAAAAGGAGTTGGTGCAAGATTAAATAGATTACCAGCTGCATCAGCTGGTGATATGGTTATGGCAACAGTTAAAAAAGGTAAACCAGAATTAAGAAAAAAAGTTATGCCAGCTATTGTTATAAGACAATCAAAACCATGGAGAAGAAGAGATGGTGTTTATTTATATTTTGAAGATAATGCTGGTGTTATTGTTAATCCAAAAGGTGAAATGAAAGGTTCTGCTATTACTGGACCTGTTGCTAAAGAATGTGCTGATTTATGGCCTCGTATTGCTTCAAATTCAGGTGTTGTTGTTTAAATTAAATTAAATATTACATTATTATATTATTATAAATATAAGCCATTTTTAATTCAGTATAATAGAGGATACAAAGATTGTAGAGACTTTTGAAATGTCAACAATTGTAGATATTTTTTAAATGTTCATTAGATTATCTCTTTTATACAATTTTTTATAAAGGTTATGCATCATTAGTTACAATTACATCAATATCTCCAATTTTTTGATCTGGCTGATTACTCTTTAAAGTTGATACTTCATCAGCAGATAATTGTCTTGGAACATTGGGGTGTAAATTTTGAATACTACTTATGTTGGAATCGTGACCATTATTGTTAACTAAAGTCTGACTAGTATTTTCATTTGATGAAATATGTTCTTGTACTTGATTATTTTCATCTATTGTAGTGTTTGTTGAGTGATCATGATCTGTCATTGGATAAGGAGCTACAGATGGAGTTGCATCTTTAGTCTGGTAATTGGCTTGTGCAAAATATGCTGATCCAAAAGGTTGAGCAACTGGTGAACTGCTTAAATATTGTCCAGTTGGTTGTGGGGAAGTTGAAAAAATTTGTGGTTGTGGATGTTGTTGATGATGTGGTGGTAATGATGGAGTTATAGTATAAAATTGTTGTTGAACTGGATCATAAAATTGTTGTGGTTGAGGTTGTGGTTGTGGATAATATGCATTACTAGCTGGAATTGATGTTCCATAATTTTTGACTTGTCCATTACTTGCCATTGATTCAACTGGGATCAAATGAAATGGTGGTTGAGTTTGTTGTTGTTGTTGTTGCTGTTGTTGTTGTTGAGGATATGGCAGTTGCTGTTGTGATTGCTGATATTGTATTGCAGGCAGTTGACTTCTTGCTTGTCTTTGAGCTTGTGGGACATAAAAATTACTTGAATTTGTTGGATTTCTTTTTAATTCTTCATATGAATCTACTGGTGTTATCAATGTTCCATCACTATTTATCATATTTGCTAATCTTGGTGATTGATTATTCTTTTGTGAAAAAGTAGATGATAATCTTCTCGCATTGGCTATAGATGTTGCTTGTGATAATGGTCTATTATTTGCTGTGTTTTTAGTGTTTGTTCTTTGTAAATTTGAAGGAGTGTTTGAATCAACTGTTCTTAATGATCTTGTTGGTGAACGAACAGATGAACCTCTTGATATTTTACCAGCATCCGGATTATTTGGTAATGTTCTTGCTCTTGCTGATGGTGTAGGTAAACTTGTTAATTTTTTGATGTCATTGAACCAATCAATCATATTCAGGTATGTATTTGTTCTAAATACCCATTTATGAGTCTTGTGCATTAATGCATTTGCCAGTTTTGAAGTCAATATAAATTTATAAACTCCATCTGATTTACCATCATCTTTTGAATGATCACTAACTGTACAAGAATCTAATGGTAAAGACATTACTGGATGTGGATCTTTTTTCCTGTCATTGCTCTTAAATTCGTGAATATAACTACAAGTTAAAACATACCATGCACTTGAATAGTTCTTCAAAAATTTTGATCTTCTTTCTAAATAACCTTCACGTACAGCAACATTTAAATTTGAATTAAAGTTCTTTATAATTAAATCATGAGTATGTCTTTTTGGGATATCTAAATCAATAAAGGTCCCATTTTTAACTGATGAAGTAGTTTGATTGCCCACAGCACTAACACTTAAGTTGTTAGAAGGTAAATTTCTTTCAATAAATGCATTCCATTCAAAGTTTGATTCTTTTGATAAGAATCCTTCACTGATATTTGGTACTAAATAATTGTTAAAAGTTGAATTTTCTTCTCTAATTAAATTTAAAAACATTGACATATAATTTTGAATTTCAACAACAACTATACCTTCTAATTGTTTACCTGCATTTTGTAAATTCAGATATGCATCATAAAGATAATTTTCTTCAACCATTTGTTTCTTGATTTGTCTATCTAATCTAATTTTCACCAAATAAGGATCATATTTTCCATGATCAGCATCTGCATGATGCATCGAATGATTCGTATCTAATTTATTTGCCAATTCAATAGCTTGATTATATTGACTAATTAATAATTTTGTTTCATTTATTTCTTTACCTAAATTATTTTTAAAATCATTTTGTAAATTTTTAATTTCTTTTATTTTTACTAACAAGTCTTTTCTTAATTCTTCTAATTTTGGTATTATTATAACATTTATATCTTTTAATGTTTTTGATGCATTGGTGACATTTTGTTGATGATATTTAAATAAGACAGTGGGGATATCCTGTATTGATCCATTGCCCACAGGTAAAAATGATTTTGATATAGCTTCTAAATCCAAATGATTATTATTATTATTATGATTTGTTGTTGATGACGGAGTATGACCATTTGGCTGTGAATTATAGCCACGTGCAGCTGCCCCAACTGACAGTTGTAATCTATTTTGTTGACGTACTATTTCTTCTTGAACACTAACATATTCTTTGAAATAATTTAATAATTCTTTTATTATTGATCTCCAAGCTGAAAATCTATTAGCCATCACTTCCGTTGGATAATCATTTGTGTTTATAAAATTATAAGGTAGTGATACCGTTAATGGATTATGGGCATCGTAAGGCATTTTTGACTGTAGGTTATTTGGATTGTAATTTGAGATTTAGTTGTTCTTGCTGGTAATATAAGTATATGATAATTTTAAAAAAGAAAGGTTACAATGGAATTTATGGGTTACAATTATTTGTAAAATTATTATGATGTAATGGTTTTTTAATAAATAAAATGAATTTTGAATTGAATGTTAAGCGTTGAATGATATTCTTAACGAATTAAAAGATAGTATTATTCTTGGACTGTGAACTTGTTTTTTGATCTGTTTTTGAAAATCAATATTAAAAAAAAAAATAAAATGTCGAAAGCCTCTTTTATTATTTAATGCTGGATTTTTTATTAGTAGAGAGAGAGAGATAGTACAATATTAAATATTTTGTGTCTGTTGATCATAAAGAATTTACATTTACAGTTTTATTCAGTGAGTTTAAATCTAAGTTCTAATAATAATTGAATAGAACCAAATACCAAGACATTTTCAGATTAATTGAAAAGGGTCATACCAATTATAAATTAAGCTTTTTAATTATTAATAAATCGTTTTTAATAAACGGGGGGCTTGAGGTCTAATTATTTATGTGTTTCACAAACATGCGTTTACATGATTATCATATGATTTGACTTAGATTCAGTACTTGTGAGGTTTATCTTGCATCTTTCAAGTGAATCAATGCAAATGATAGACATAAGTAGTATTGTGAAGAAGAATCAAGTAGTGTATAATCACTTTCTTCAAGAGATTAGTATAAACGAACGAACTTGGAAATTAAACACAAAGTTCGTTGTGCTATGAGCAATACATGTCATTAATGATATAATTATTTTCATCATATTTTGCAGTTTAATGTATCAATAATTCAGTAAACTGTTCACAAAATACTAAAATTGATCTTCAATTTGAAATTAAAGTTATTTCATTTACTTTAGAATTTCTTTTAACTTCTATTATCTTTGATTCTACTCGTATGTTTTTACGCAAAGATTTACGAATTATTGGTCTAAAATTTGTGAAATGGCAGAATGTGATTATAGTTTAATGTGAGCTTAACTAAATAACTAGTAGTCTCTCATGACTTACTATATGTCAAAATCAGCAAAATGTATCTATGTGAGAAATTTAACAAAATTATACCAAGAATCAAATTAAAATTTTCAATCTCACAGCCTATAATTTTTATAATTCATTCTTACTTGATAGAGCTGACTTTCTGACAGAATTAGTTTCCTGATATGAACTTAACTATTACCAATAGTATCAGAATTGGGCAGATTACAAGAATGACAAATTGAAAAAAGAGATATGAAATAAATTATCACTGCTTGATTGATAACTAAAATTGATTTACAAGTCGGACCGAATCAATTAGAGATAGAATTAATGAGAGATTATTCAGTCTACAACTCAGGTCTAACAGACGTAAAATTATACAGACATGGGTAATTTTTCCGACTACAACCTGAAATTTGATTCCGGTTTGACATATTTTTGGCATAATTTTCGAAATTCCGCTCCTCAGATAGTTTAAGTAAACTTACATTTAAATTACATTATCGTTATGCGGCAAATACCTAGATAGGAATTCAATCACAATAGTTGACTTAAAACAATAAGATAAGATAAAACTTTTGAAAAATTTATTAAATATCCGATATCATCTTATGTGTATATAAAATCAAATGAATCAACCACTAAATATTCCAAAATGAGATACTTTTTGGCCAGTAAAAACTTGTAATCACATCCTCATTAAATGAACAAGATCTCAAATACACACAGTAAAGTTAGGGATGTTTTATGGGGTGCACCACCATCAGATCCAAAAGAAAGAAGATATTTATTCAAATTAGATGTATTTGTACTAACATATGTTTGTTTGTTGTATTTTTGTAATTTTTTAGATAGACAAGCATATTCATCATCATACTTGTCGGGAATGGCAGAAGATTTGAAAATGGTTAAAAATGATTTTAATGTTGGTAATACTATTTTTTATGTCGGGTTTGTCATATCTATGGTACCTCATAATTTAATGATGCTTAAAGTCAGGCCAAGATATTGGTTAACTTTTTGTGCTGGGACTTGGTCAATCTTAACATTAATTAATTTTAGATTAAATCATTTTTATCAACTTTGTATATTGAGGTTTTTTCAAGGTGTTTTTGAAAGTTGTATATTTGGTGGTGTTCATTTAATGTTGGGGTCATATTATCCAAATTCGAAAGATTTAGTGATTAGAACTTTTGTATTTACTGCTAGTGGATTAGTAGGTCAATTATTTTCGGGTGTGATTCAAGCTGCTGTTCATTCAAACTTAGATGGGTTACATGGATTAGCTGGTTGGAGATGGTTATACATTATGGATTTTGTTATTAGTTTCCCCATTGTCATATATGGATTTATTTTCTTTCCAGATTCACCTGATATTGCAAAACCGTTTTATTTTACAGAAGAAGAACATCAAATGGCTTTGAAAAATTTGAAAAAACCTAAGAATGATAAATTTGATAAACAATTATTAAAAAGAGTGTTTGGAAAATGGCATTGGTACCTTTTCAGTATGCTATGGATAACAGGTGCTTCAAATGAAGCATTTGCTGCTAATAGTATCTTAGGACTTTGGTTGAAATATAATAATTATTCAATTAGTGATAGAAATCATATCCCTATGGGTGTATTTGCAGTTGGTGTTGTAGCTACGGGTTTAGCTGCATACTATTTGAAATTAGTAGGTAATGGTAAAAATCATTGGCATATGAATCTTGCTGTTGCTTTAATAATGATTATATCACCAGTGTTACAATTATGTAAACCATACAATACGAGTTTTGTATTTGCAGCACAATTTTTAGGTGGAGTTTCTTATGCAGCACAAACCGTTTCATTCAGTTATGCAAATATAGTATGTTCAGATGATCTACAAGAACGAGCAATAGTTATAAGCTCCATGAATATGTTAGGAAATTCAATGAACGCATGGTGGTCTATAATATTTTTTGGTGCTGATACTGCTCCAAAATTTAAAAATGGATCTATTGCATTGTTGAGTACTGCTATTGCTACTATATTTGTTGTTTTAGCTATTGCCTATTTACAAAAGAGAGATGATGATAGAATTGCTGGACTTGTTGAACAAGTTGATATTGAAGATGTTATAGTTGGACTTGAAAAAGGTGTACAGAATATTGATACAAAGGAGAAATACTAATTAGGTCACTGTAAATGATATATAGAGTAATGATAGTGCATTTATTGAAATCATTGATGTAATTTTATCACTAACGAATATCACGTACTACTCAAAATTATGTTTCATCAAATTATACAAAAACAGAACTATAACTATACAGTAAGAGACTGTCAATTTGAACCCATTTTGCTGTATCTCACAGCCAAAATAACAAATACGATTGTTCACAGACCAAAAGCTCAACTCTTTCCACCCTTTCATGTAAAAAATTGAAATTTAGACATCGATGAATTAGATTTAGTACCTCTAATAGCGAAAAATTAGCCTCTCCCTACCCATCGAAATATTTCAATACTTATTCGTATGAGTATTTCAAAAAGTAGAGAGATTGCTTTTCAAAAGACTAAACTTAAATTAATTGAACAGAAACGAATGGTTCAACAAGTTTGAAACAATCCTCGAAAAGTTTTCATAAACCGTGAAAACTCTCACAGAATATGACTACAGTTAAAAACAATAATAAAACAAAATTATATCAAAGTATAGTTGGCTCATTGCTCTGGTTATCACGTAACAGAAGACCTGACTTGACATTCACAACCAACAAACTAGGAGCTTTCAAATGTTAACAGGGAGTAGATTGTCCATGACAGTGGTTGTTCATTTTCAGTCATTCATCAAAAGGATATATTAATAACATTGACTATAATAAACAACAAACTTTTACATTACCTAATAATAAAATTTTGCACTCTAACAGTATTAAATTTAGTAATGTTTAATAAAATAAATTTTCAGGAAAAAAAAATTTTTACGTTGATAGTATTCAAGTTAATATTTTTTAGAATTATAAAACTTAAAGTTTGAAAATAGCGAATCTTGTAATCCATATATAGGGGTATAAAATTAGTTTAAGGACAATAATTGAGGATCGATTGTTAACGAGTTTAAAATGGTAAATATTAAATATCACGATGAGGGATAAAAGACATTGAAGAATTAGAATCAGGGATTGATAAATAAGCAAGGAATGGTAAATAATTAAGGTTTAATATTAGATGAATTAATAGTATTTTAAGGGGGATAAGTCTATAAAAACTTTACATAAGTAATAGATAAAGTTTGTAGTATAATAATGAAGATTGGTTTGATTAATTGTAGAAGAATTAAGTAGTAATAAGAGTCATATAAATAACATTAATGGAGAGTATATTAATACGGAATGTTAAGATTGGAATTAGTGATAATGTATTTATATACAAATTTGCATATCCATTTAAAGTATTTAAAACTTACGCAACTTGACTTGTCTCTATTCCATTTCATAATTAATTAGTTTCCAGAATCTAACTCCAACTTAGGCATATTGAATTTCTCACAGTACACTTCAGTTTGATTACTTGGAAAATATTTTAAATCTTCACTGAAATCAACAGGTGCAATAATCTCAAAATTTTCAGGTATCATAAATTCATCATCATCTAATTTTTCAAGTTTTGACATTTCTTCTTGAATCAATGGTATAAACTTTTTTAATGAATCTTGGTTTCTCAAAGTTGATTGTGGACTTAGGTTAGACTTTGTAAATTTTGATTCTATTATTTTATTGATAGCTATTGATCTCTTATCGTAATAGCACTTATCTGAATTTAGTGATGGGTGATGCTTTTTGATTTCTATATCTATGATTTCTATAAATTTCCGTTTATTACCAACTTTATCTAATGCAACGAAAATAGTGTCATTATTTTGACCAGTCTTCAATTTTTTTGTGACATTTTCCTCCTCCGCTTCTTCATCATCGTCCATGTCTAAATCAATTTCATTCTTATTTATAGTCTTCTTTGGTAGTTGCTTCAGTTTCTCATCATGATTTATATTTGCTTCAAATTTAACATGTAAATGACCACTGAACCAATACCTTGGTTTCAAATGATGAATTAAAATTTCATTTAATGGGCTTCCCAACTCACCCTTGTCAATATCTTCTTCAAAAAATGGTTTTCTCTTTAGTAATGATTCTTTATTTCCAAATTTTTCAATTCCAATTGGCCAATCATGACTTAGTATAATATCTGATCCACGTCCGAGTAAATACATTTTTACAAAATTAATTAGTTTCTGATGATAAACACTTCTAATTGAACTTGAATCAAAAGGTAATTTCTCCATTGTACTTCCATCACTATTCAAAAACGTGTAATTATTAAAAATTCCACTCCATCCACTGATCAACAAACCTTTGTACCAAACACTTCCAAATTGTCCTAAATAATAAATATTAGGAGCAACCCAACCCCCATATTTAAGTTCTTGTAAATAACTAGATGATTCATGATTACCACCTATAAATATAGTCAACACTGGTGCTTTCTTATTTCCATTGTAGTATTGATGAAAATCTCCTAAACGTTGATACTTTTCAGGAACGTTTAATGCTTGAAAATCAGACTCATTCCTTAGTGCTTGGAAATCTCCGCATATTAGTAGTAAGTCTGTTGTTTTGGGTATCGATTTGTATATTTTATTTAATTCTCCGTGGCAACATCCTTCGATTGCAATTTTGAGTTTGTTCATTTACAAATTGTAAAATACAAAATCAAATATTTTTTTTTCGTGTTTCAAGTTTTGATCTATTTTGCAAATAGATTCTGTATTACAAATTCAAAGAAAACGCAAACTAGCAAATTTTCACTTTTTATCTATTATAATGTCATTCTATATATATAATGTAATACTAATATAGAGTTTCTGTAGTGTTTCTTTAAAATTTAAAAACATGTTCTTTTTCAAAACCTAATTCTTTTAAAGCACCAGATAATTCACCTTGATCAGATGGTGACAATTTATTACCACTGATAGCATTATATAAAGCAGGAGGACCACAGATGAAAACTTTAAAATCAGCATTTGGTTTTTCTAATTCTTTACTTAAGAAATCTTTTGTAATATAACCAACTTCACCATCCCACTTGGAATCATTTTTAGCATCATTTACAAAATAATGAACTTTAACTTGATCTTTATGTTTTGAAGCAATTTCGTCAATTTTATCTTTAATTAAAATATCATCTGGTGAAACATTACCATAAATTAAATTAACTTTTGTTTTATCTATTGGATTTGTTGTAATTTCATGTAATAATTGATATAATGGAGTAATACCAGTACCACCACCAATTAATGCAATTGATTTGAATTGATTTGGTTCCCATTTCCATTTAACAATTGGTCCTTTAAAAGATAATGTATCACCTTCTTTTAAATCATGAATATGAGTAGACATCTTACCTCCATCATATTTTTTAATAACAAAATCAATTGTACCTGTTTGTTTTGGATCTGAAACTGGTGTATATGGTCTTATAACATTGTTACCCTTTGGAGTTACAAATTTTGTCATTAACATTGAAGCTGTAATTAAACCACTTTCATCATCAGGATTTTTTAATTCAAATGATAAATGTTTGGTATTATGATTTAAAGATTCAGTAGTTTTTAATTTTAAATCAATCCATTCATCTCCACCAGTGAAAGTTTTACCAGTTTCATTACTAATAAATGATCTAGTTGCAGTTGAATATTGATAAGCAGCAAATGAAGCAGCAGCAACACCAACAATTGGTACAATATATTTTGGGGTGAAAACTCTTGATACTGACATTACAATTATATTTTGATCAATTGAATATGAATTTATATAAATTTAAATAACAATTAAGTTTGAATAGTTAAAACAAATTGAAAAATTGTTTAATATTCTAGAAAAGTTGACAAAAAAATAATTAAAGTAGAGCAAAATATAATTGGTTATAATATTAATATTAATTAACTATTAATAATCTTAGTAAATTATTTCTTAGAACCGATCTATCCCAGATTAGGTATACGATAATAGCCGTACGACTTAAGCCCGATTGATACAGCAATCAGGTTAATTAGGTCGAAGCAATTTATACACTATAATCAAAGCTAATTGACGTCAATGAAAATAGTTAATTGCTATAAAATAATGTAAAACTGTGGGACATAAAAATTCAATGTCGTTATATCTCGGAGTTGGCAAACTAATTCGCGACACTAAACCTGATTTTTTTATACTTTCCAGAACCCCTTAAGCTCTTTATACATAAATTGCTTTTATTTAATGATAACTATTATAATTCATAAAATCAAATTCAAATCAAAAAGTTTATATTTGTATAAAGTTTTTTTATCAATTTCATGTAAAATTTAATTCAAAATGCTTCGCAATAAAACTCAAAAAGAATTGATTCATTTATCACGTCAATTAATACAACCATTATTACCAAATTTTCATAAAGGTCAAGCTGGTAAAATATGTATAATTGGAGGTAATGAAGATTATACCGGTGCTCCATTTTTTTCAGGTCATTCTGCAGCATTAGTTGGAGCAGATTTAAGTCATATAATTTGTGAAAAACAAGCTGCACCTATAATTAAAACTTATTCACCTGATTTAATGGTTCATCCTTATTTGATAGATTTAGAAAATCCGATTTTAAAAATAGATGAAGAAGAATTAAATAGGTTGAAAAATTTATCAATTGAAGAAATTTTGGAGAATAATAATGGTGTTTTAAATAAAGTTATTGATGAATTGATATTACCGAAAATCCAAGGTTTACTTACTAAAATGGATATAATTGTCGTTGGACCTGGGTTTGGTAGAGATCCATTGATGTTAAAATCATTAGTTCGTATATTGGAGGAGATTAAAGTTTTGAATAAGCCAGTAATACTAGATGCAGATGCTTTATATTTATTATCAATACAACCAAAAATAGTGGCGGGCTACAAAAAAGCAATAATCACTCCAAATATTGTTGAATTTCAAAGAATTGCTAAAAAATTAGAAATTCCAATAGATATATCCAAACATTACTCACAGGATGTAATGATTGATCAAACTCAAGAAGTATCTCAAAAACTAGGTGACATTATAATTTTCAGAAAAGGTGAACATGATATAATTGGTAATTCAAAATCAATAGTTATAAATTCATACCCTGGATCAAATAAACGAGTTGGTGGTCAAGGTGATACTCTCACAGGAGCAATTGCTACTTTAACGAATTGGTCAAATAATTACTTGGATAAATTATGGGATAATAAAGTTGAGTTAGATGTAACTGATGCTCATTTATTAGCATGTTTTGCTGCCAGTTCTTTAGTTAGATCAGCAAGTGGTAAAGCATTTAAAAAGTATGGAAGATCTATGCAGACTTCAAATATCCATGAATTTTTACATGATGCTTTCTTAGAATTATTTGATGATAGTATATTTAGATTAAGTAATATATAGAATTGAATCAGATAATATTGCCCTTGTACATAGATAGAGATTAATCACGTGATGTAATTTACTCGGTTAAAAGATTTCGTGGGGAATATATTACTTAATCTAATTAGTAGGAGAAAAAAATTTATATTACGTTTTTAATCTTTATCATTAATCAGATCATTTACCACAACTTCGACAATATCAACCAGAAAATGGATGCAGCAAGTTGTGGACCATCAAGTGCATTACAAAACTTAAACAAACATGCTCAAAGAGATACATCATTACAACATCAAAGACTACATCCAAATGGACCACAACAACAAGGTTTACATCAATTTCGTCAAGGTAATCAAATAGATTCAAACTTACAAAATGATTTTAAACAATTTAATCAAAGCAATCAAGGTCATGATTTTGCGTCACTGTTTATGCAACAAATGAATAGACCCCAATTTAATCAACAGATTCGAAATAGTCCCGGTATACAACAAAATCAACAAGGTTGGGTTAATGATTTTTCAAATTTAAGTATTGAAAGGCAAAAAAGTCAACAAAATCAAAATCAACAACAACAGAATAATTGGCATCAACAGTTCATGCAACAAAGTGGACCACAACAACACCAACCAATACTAGATCAGCAACAACCACAACAAATTCATCATACTCAATCTCAATATCATCCTAATTATTCTATGGGGAATTTCCAAAACAGATTAACAATGAATGCTTTACCGCAATATAATCAACAATCAGAACATCAAGAAATTCACAAGTTACAAAACCAACATCAACAATTCGAAAATGAATTTGATTTATTAGAAAAAGAATTATCACAACAAGAAAATCAACAAGCAGATATAACAATAGATAATTCTACAGATTTAGATAAAGAGAAATTCGCACAAACCGCAAAATTGGTAGAAGATTCAATGAATCAATTAAATACTCAAGATTCAAACATGAATGCCAAATTTCAAAATTCAGATTTTTTAAAATTAATGAATTCCATAAGTAATAAAAAAGTTGAATTAGAAGGTGATAAATTGATCAACTCAGAAAATAAACAAGATATAAGAGAAGATGGAATACCTCAAACTACCTTGAATCAACAACAGCACTCAGGTACAGCTGAAGAAATTCAAGGTAATGAAAATGTTACGAATTCAAGGTTGAATCAAAATTTGAATAATATAGACTATCATCAACCAATACACAACAATCCATCGGTAGATTTAGACGACTGGTCATTCGACTCAATACCGAACCATCCACAACCACAACAACATCAACCACGTAAACATAGACAACAACCACAACAACCACAACAACAAAAATTACCAGATCCATTATCACACATAGCAGACGATGCATTAGAAGGAATATTAGATCCTCTCACAGCAGCAAGAATAATTAGTGGTGGACAAGTTACTCAAAAAGATTGGACTGATGTTGAAGGCCAAGATGATTGGTTAACATCTGATGAATTTCCTGGATTAAATTCAAGACCTCATGTACCTTGGAGAAAACATCAAGTTGTTTATAATGATGATAATGAGGAGTTTGGATTATGAATATCTAAATATTATACGTATTATTCCTAGATATGTATGTTATTGACTTTTTTTAAAAATTTGATTGTAGTATATACTCTTGATGAAGATGCTTAACTTTTTGGATCTGACATCATATATATGTTTGAGACAACTCAAATTACGAGAGTCAAATATCTAAAGAGCCAAATTACGAGATTCAAATCTTGAAAGTACCCAGATTATTTTTCAATATTTACTATTTATTTGAATTAATCATAATAATTTGAATTTTGTATGTAGAATATTACACAAATAACAATTTGTATATGTTCGTAATAGTTAATTATAAAAAAACATTATTATGACGTCAAATAAGTTATATACTCGTAATGAAAACTGAAGGAGTACTCGAGTATTTTCAAATCTAGACTTGTAGAAAATGACTATCGTAATGGCGATGAAAACAAGTCTGATATTTGAATTAAAAGACAATCCTTGTACAGGTTCAGAATATATACCACTATGAATTACAGTCACTATTACGATCCAGATATGAAAAAAGGTCTGATAAAATTTCTCCATTGATCCAGATTTCTGAATGAACAAAGGGTGCAAGAAATTGTAATCGCGTGCAGCAAATTTTGGCTAGTAAAATTGCTTTGCTCATCGTATTGTAAAATTGGTACAAATTTGGACCGACAACTGAAGCGAGATCAAAACGAGAGTAAAGCTACCAACTGATGCAAAATTGTTCTGTTCCCCTCCTTTCGTTGTACTTACCGACTAATTTATGGGTGCAATTACAAAATGATTTGCATAGATGATCAAAAAACTAGAACAGCAAGCTCATTTCAATGGCCAACATTTGCATTTACATTTTAACTAACTATTTCAAAAAACTCTATACCCCCCAATTGATATTTAAGAATAGTCATCTAAAATATTTGATGAAAAGCTCCTCCCTAATTTCATAAATGAAAAATAATTTTGTTGGGTATAAATAGAAAAAAAAAGAAAAACTTGTTGAACAAAACTTTAAACTCCCTTGAAGATCTTTTTGAAAACATTCACGAGTTCAGCTCGTTATGAAAGGGTTTCAATAGTAGAATGTTACCTATAATTTCCTCAGAGCTAACGTATTACATCATAAAACATGTACAAAATCTCAATATTATTATATTACTATATCGTTTCTTTTATCATCTTTTGTATATAAATTGACATTTTGTGTAAATTTAAAAAAAGATTTCGGAAAAACTTTTTTAATTTCTTTTTTTATTGTTCTTATTGTTAATATACTGATTATGTAATATATTATGTAACCCCGTACATTTCATTACAACAGTAATTAAAAATATAATAATTAACATTTCTAATAATAATAAAAAGAAAAGATTCTAATAATATAATTATTATTGATTATAGCAAAATAAAAATATATTTATTTAATATCATAACTGTAACCTAGATAAACTATCACAAACTTAGATTGTTTATTTATTTAAAAGTTTTAAAAATTTTTATGATATCATCATCAATTTTAAAGAATCATATATATATTAATAAATCTTCAATTGCAAAAAATAAATTTAAAATTATTCAATTGAAATCAATTACTTATAATAACAACACATATCATACATATTCAAATTATAAACAATTACAATTACAACATATAAAATACAAGATGACAGCTTCAACACCATATAAAATTGAAAATCCATTCAAAGTAGCCATTATTGGTTCAGGAAATTGGGGTACAGCAGTTGCAAAATTAGTTGCTGAGAATTGTGCAGAAAAACCAGAAATTTTCCAAAAAGAAGTTCCAATGTGGGTATATGAAGAAGAAATTACAAATGACAAAGGTGAAAAAAGAAAATTAACAGAAATAATAAATCAGGATCATGAAAATGTAAAATATTTACCTGGTATAGAATTACCTTCAAATCTAGTAGCTAACCCAGATATTGTTGATACTGTCAAAGATGCAGATTTATTAGTCTTCAACATTCCACATCAATTTTTACCAAGAATAAATAAACAATTGAAAGGTAATGTAAAACCAACAGCCAGAGCTATATCATGTTTAAAAGGTTTAGAAGTTGATTCAGAAGGTTGTAAATTATTATCAACATCAGTTACTGATGATTTAGGTATATATTGTGGTGTTTTATCAGGTGCCAATATCGCTACTGAAGTTGCAAAAGGTAATTGGTCAGAAACTTCAGTTGCTTATACTGTACCACAAGATTTCAGAGGTGAAGGTAAAGATATTGATGAATATGTATTAAAACAAGTCTTCCATAGACCTTATTTCCACGTCAGAGTTATACAAGATGTCGTTGGTGCTTCTATCGCAGGTGCTTTAAAAAATGTTGTTGCATGTGCCGTAGGATTTGTTGTTGGTGCAGGATGGGGTGATAATGCAAAAGCAGCTATAATGAGAATAGGTATAAAAGAAATTATTCATTTTTCATCATATTGGGAGAAATTTGGAATAAAAGGTTTATCACCACCAGATCCATCTACTTTTACAGAAGAAAGTGCAGGAGTAGCAGATTTAATAACAACTTGTTCAGGTGGTAGAAATGTAAAAGTTGCTAAATATATGGTTGAAAATAAAGTAGATGCATGGGAAGCTGAAAAAACCGTATTAAATGGTCAATCATCACAAGGAATAATAACTTCAAAAGAAGTTCATGAATTATTGGAATCATTCAAATTACAAGATGAATTTCCTTTGTTTGAAGCTACTTATAAGATTATTTATGAAAATGGTAATGTTGATGATTTACCTTCATTATTAGAAAGTGATGATTAGATAAATAAAGAAATATATTAGTATTTAGAAATTTGGTATTTAATAATTTAATTTTACGATTTGATTTTTTTTTAGTAAACATATAATTGTACTCTTTAGCAATATTCGATTTTGCACCCAAAACAACAAGCTAATGCATATCGGTAAATTTATAGATACTTATACCAACATTTATTTTTCTATTATAGTTGGAGCAGTCAAGTTAAAACCAGGAGGATAATCTTCATTATAAATAGAGTCATCTTCAGTTAAACCATAATTATCAAAATTATCTCCCAAATATTTACCGTTATAAATAGTACCATCCCAACAATATCTTTCAAAACATTCTTTACATTGATCAGTTTGTTCTAACCCCAATCTTTCTTCTTCTCTATGAATTATAGCACATCCAACACAAGTATCAAATTCTTCATCCAATGTACCATTCAATCTTGAAGCTACTGCAAATCCGTTTGATATCATTGAGTTTCTTTGGTAAGTATCGTACTCTAACTTTAGTGTTGATGTATTGGTCCAATATGTGAATGGACGATTAGCTATGTATACAATAATTGGAACATCATAAATATTCTCTGTCAATTTTGTTAAATTCTTAGCATCACATCCAAAAAATGTAGGTTTTGAAGTTAAATTTAAGTTACGAAATGATGATTGACCAGGTACATAAGGAAATGGAGTGTTTTCACCAGCTTTAGTAAACTGTCTTTCATAAGTCGTGATTAAAGAAGTTCCATCCGGCCAATTTGTATCTGTATCAGCAGAATTATCAAATGCCAATATAACACTTACATTTCTTTTTAATAATGGATACAACGGAACATTCTGACCATCTTCTCCTCCATCTACCAAGAATAATGATGTTGAATTTTCAATTGATTTATTCTTTGCAGTTTCAGAATAAAACGGATTTGGTTCATACCTTGCAACATCTATATTTGCTTGTTCAAAAGGATCTAATAACACTGAATCAATTAATTCTTTCAAAAAATCAGGTAATGTTGAATTATCAACATATAATATAAGATCATTAAATAAGCTTGATGAAGTACCCATAAAAAATCCAGCATTATCAAAACCTTGTATACATGATTTTCCAGTTGGTAAACCAGAATCTAAATTTGTACCTAAATATTCAGATTGTGCAAATTTACCTAAATATGGAGATTCACTACCTAATTCAAATGGAGTCAATGAAAATACAGTAGTATTTGAAGGTTTTATAATTGTACCAGGCACTCTCCCCAAAGCAACTAAAATAGGGAGTGGACTTGAATAATTCTTGAATGTGGTTTCATTAATAACATCATTAAATCTATAACCAGCTCCATAATAAGATTTTGTTGTAAGTAATGGATAACTCAAAGCTCTACCCCAAACATCAGTAATACTAATTCCAAATCCAGCTTCTTGTTTATCAAAAACTTGTTCTCCAATATCAAATCACATAACTAAATTATCAACAAAATTATCAAAATAGTTTAATATAGAATTTGATAATTGCCAAAGCTTATTCTTATTTATAATTTCATCAACAGTAATTAAATTATTCGAAACAATTGAACCAACTAACCAAGATCCACCAGATAATCCAGCAATATAATTTGATGATTGCAAAATACCACCTAATCCTTTACCATTAACAACTTGAGTTCTTGAATCTAAAGCAGCAAATTGACCAGCTCCAACTAATTGAGCTCTAAATCCACCACCTGAAAAGGCAATACCAATAGTTGGATCAGCTTCATTTAAAAATCTAGTAACATTAAAGTCATCTAATTTTTCCAAGTATGTTGCTAAATTTTCTTTGGCTATTGGATAATGCGAATCAATATAATTTGTTTCATCTTCACTCAAACCAGTTGATGATAATCTAACTAATGAACCCTGAGGACAATCGATTTTTTTCGGTGCATAACCATGAGATTCCGAATGGACATGTCTTGTAATTGTAATTATAATTAAGAATGATATAAATAACATGCAAACTATTATCGTTGTTAACTTATGATTAAGTCTTAAAAATTTGGTTGTAAAAATTAGCATTTTTTATTTTTTTGCAGCACTTTTTTTATGGGGGTATTTACATGAGAACAATAAACAAATGTGCAAAAATCATCAGTATGGGATCAATATACACAATTGATAAATTGATTTACTAATATATCATTTGAATAACAGGCATATTTGAAAACGTTGGAACACAGCTGATTTAATGTTTGATCAGAAAATCGTCTTGTCAATTTCTTAGATGCACTACGTTACGAATTACAATGCCCAAACCTTGTTTTGATAAATTATTATTACATATATTGCCTTAAAAAAAATACAACTCAAATTTTAAGGTTCATGATCTCTCTTTTTCAAATTTGCACCAGTATTGTAAAATCCTGGAGTCGATTTCTGATTATACGAATCGGCACCAAAAGTTAAACCATAATTATCAAAATTATCACCAATTGCTCCTCCTTTATAGAGAGAACCATCCCAACAATATGTCTTAAAACACTGTTTACATTGATCACTTTGTTCTATACCCAACTTCTCTTGTTCTCTTCTTATTATGGCACATCCAACACAAGTAGACCAATCTGTATCAACTGTACCATTTAATCTTGATGCTACTGCGAAACCATTAGATATCATTGAATTTCTTTCGTTTAATTCGTACTCTAATTTGAACGTTGATGTGTTTGACCAGTATGTAAATGGACGGTTGGCAAGATATATGATTAGCGGAACGTCATAAATATTATCAGTTAATGTAGTTAAATTCTTAGCATCACATCCAAAGAAAGTTGGTCTTGATGTTAAGTTCAAATTTCTAAAAGTGTATTGGTCAGGAACGTAAGGAAATGCAAGACCTTTACCTTGAGGAGAAAACTGACGTTCATAAGTCTTGATTAAACTCAGGCCATCTGGCCATTGCAAATTGTCATTAGAATTATCAAATGCAAATATTGTACTTAATTTACGATGTAATAAAGGAACTAAAGGAACATTTTGACCATCTTCTCCACCATCTACTAAGTATAATGTTTTGGAATTGGCTATTGATGTATCTGGATTGACGCTTTTATAAAATGGATTAGGATTGTATTTTGCAACGTCAACGTTCAATTTCTCAAATGGATTAACAACTATATTATTTATCAAATTTGTAATGAAACTAGGTAAACCAGAACTTGCCAAAGACAAGATCACGTTATTAAATAAACTTGAAGAAGTACCCATAATAAATCCAGCGTTATCAAAAGAATTAACACAAGATGATGATGAATTAACAGGATACCCATTATCTAACTTTGTCCCCAAATATTTAGTTTGTACAAATGATTGTAAAGAAGGTGATTCACTCCCAATTTCGTATGGGGTTAATGAAAAAACAGTACTATTTAAATTAATAACTGTTGTCCCGGGTGCTCTACCATCAGCAACCAAAATGGGGAATGGACTATAATGATTTTGAAAATTTGGTTGTGTTATAACATCAGATAACCTAAAACCGGCACCATCATTCTGTGTATTGGCTAATAATTGATAGCTTAATGCTCTTCCCCAGATATCAGTAATACTGACATCATATCCAGCATCTTGTTTTCCATGTACTTGATCTCCAATTTTGAACCATGCTCCAATATCTTTCAAAAATTTCCCACCAGGTGACAAAATGGAATGTTCAGTTTGCCATAATGAATTTTGATTTATCAAGTCATCAATACTTACTAGGTTATTTGATACTAATGATCCTACTAACCATGCACCACCAGATAATCCAGATATATAATTTGATGATTGTAAGATTCCGCCTAAACCCTTTCCGTTAACAACGTGAGTTCTTGAATCTAAAGCTGAATATTCTCCGGCTCCAGTTAATTGAGCTCTATACCCACCACCTGAAAATGCCAACCCAATAGTCGGATTTGCTTTTGATAAGAATGAGCCAACATCAAAATTTGTTAAGTTTACATTTTGAAGAAAAGTAGCTAAATTTTGTTTTGCAACTTGGTATCTTGAATTAATGTATGATTGTTCATCTTGATTTAAACCAGTTGTTGAAGATCTAGTTAGTTGACCTCCTGGACATTGAACTTTAATTGGTGCATAACCATCTGATGAAAATGATAGTACAAATGTTATCTGAAAGATAAGTAACAAAGAATGAAACAACATGACTAAAAATAATTCATAAAAAAACCCTGAAGTGATTGGTATCATAAAATGATCATTAATTATTTACATGATTCTGCAACTTATATATACCATCCAAGAAATTAGTTAAATTTTACATCGTTCCATTTAAGGCACCAAACTTTTCCTAATTTCAAATTAAACCAATTTTGGAGAAGAACAATACACTAAGCTGCAAATCTCATAATTAATTCGTAAATATAAATAATTTTAATGATTTGAAAATGCACGTTGCAGTAAATAAATGTTGTTGCCTTGTTCATGTAGTAAATTCAAAAAATTCAAACAAACGCAAATCTCGTGAAGATCTTTTTAGTTTCGCGTATCATCAATGAACATATTCGTATCTTTTATTCAATCTTTAAAATGTAGTAAATAGTTTCATTTGTAAAGTATCTCACACGTGTGTTTCATGAAATAAGTACATTTTAAGCCTTATCTCTTTGTTCTATTTTTGTTTAGAGAAAAAAAAGTGAAATAAATAAATCTAATTGTTTCAGATGTCAAAATTTGTAACCGTAATTTGTAAATTTTCTATTAAGTACATTAAAATCTTAGCCAAGCTCCAAATCACTAAGGGTTAGTTGAATTTCACCATCCTCGTAATTAAATTTAATAAACTACTGATTAGTAGTTGATCTTCAGAGATTTTATCAATCCAAATGCATGGTGTTAAAAGATTGAAGAATTCTTTTCACAGTAATAGCTGCGGCTTATTTATCTGATTAAATTAGTTAAGAAAAAAGGAAAAAATACGAATTAAACTATTATTAGAAGCAAAGATAAATAGAAACCATATGAGTTAATTGATAGCTAGACCAAGATCGAATATAAACACTAGAGTAATCATAATCAATGCCACAACTACCGTCAACAGATACTCATCCACGTTATGATCAATTTAGATCTACTCCAACACTACGAGATACGCTAAGTCAAAAAGCTGCAAGTTTAATACATTTATCAAATACGTGTAGGACGTGGTTTTTCGAACAATCAATTACGATTAAAATTTTATTAGTTATAGGATGTGTGATATTAGGAGTGCTAGGTTTGTTGTTTATAATATTTCATAAATTTTTCATACAATTTTTAATCACAGTATCAGATCAATGGCATGATTTAAAATATGGTGGTTTAATAATATTTTCATTAATTTTCATAGTGGGGTTCCCTCCATTAATTGGATTTTCGGCATTAAGTTTTTTAACAGGGATGATTTATGGATTCCCACGAGGTTGGCCAATACTAGCATCAGCTTCTATATCTGGATCAACGGTTTCATTTTTAATTTTTAGATATTTTTTAAATAATCAAGCTCAAAAATTAATGGCATATAATGAAAATTTCAAAGCATTTGCGGAGATATTAAACGATGACAATTCCTTGTTATTATTGATTTTAATTAGATTATGTCCCTTACCTTATTCACTATCAAATGGTGCATTAGCTGCTATCCCCAATTTACCAATCACTACTTTCCTATTAGCTTCGATTATAACATCACCCAAATTATTGATACATTTATTTGTAGGGAGTAAGTTAAAAGATTTAGGTAATGATTCAAGTTCAAAATCGAATAAAATAGTTGATTTAATAAGTATAGTTATTACGGGTAGTGCAGCAACATTGGTGACTTACATAATCTACAATAAGATGCAAGTAAAATTAGCAAGTTTCCATCAAAGGGGTATGGTAAATGATGATGTGCTAGTATTTGGTAATTTTGAGGATGATTTAGAAATGGGAAGTCATAATGAAATTGAATTAAATTCCGCTGATTTTGATACTGATAATTTTATCATTAATGATGACGATGATGATGATGAAGATAACAATGGCACTAATAATGAATTGGAGAATGGTAATGAGGACAACAGATCACAAAAGAGTCTATCCAGTCAAAATAGTAAGAATAGTAAGGGTAGTAAGAGACAGCAAGAGGATTGATTTTTTATTGGATATAGATTGTATTTAGAAATTAATTTAGAATTCTTAGACGTTATATATATATGCATGTAAATTGTTTATTGTCATTTCATTATTTCAACAAGTTAGATTTTCCTTGAATATATTCACCGTTACCACTTAAAATTGTAGTTTTTGGTTGCAAATTGTTGCAAATTTAAATAAAATCACACGAACGCAAGTAAAATTACAAAATCATAACTAAGAGGTTTGATACTCATATGCTCATTTTTATTGACAACTAATCACTTATCAGGTAAAAGTAAATACTCCTTCAACAGCTTTTTACATCTGAAATCAGATATTCATTAACTTTTGATGATTATCGGAATCGAATTTTAAAAAAGGTAGCATCAATTTTAACCAATTAAATTAAATTGAAATTTGATTACTACGCATTACTATATATTAAATAGTCACTAATAAAAATAAGTAGTGTGAATTGTAACAATTTAAGAAATAATTAGAATAATATAATTTAGTATAATAGTAACATACATTTATTAGTAGTAATAATTTATTTATTAATAAAAGATCATTGCTTACTTATTGATATTGATTAATCATCTAATAATTATTAATTTATAACTACTATAACTTCATTTGAAATAACTTTATATAATACACCTGATACAATCAGTTCATAGACCATTGCAAATTTATATCAAAAACTAAATCTCCACTTTATAGAATAATCACCCTTAGCATAAATATATATTTACATCATTCAAAACAAAAATGATAGCAAGAAGATCGTTATCAACAATACAATCAACCAAAAGATTCTTATCACAGGAAATCAAAACTAATACTAATAAAAACAAAAGATACATACAAACAATCCCACTTTCAACAGCCAACCCCAACTCATCATCAAATTTATTTTATAATGATCAAAATAAAGAACCTAAATTAATAGAAAGAAATGATTCAACTTCCCCAATTAATAAATGGTCAAAACATTCTTTGGGGTTCCCATCAGCTCCTATTTCTTTACAATCTCCTAAACCTCAACAACAATCTCAATCAACAATACCAATAAGAAGATCAAGGACTTCAAGATTCAAAAAAGAACCACTTGTTCAACCACAACCAACTCAACAATCACAATCACCAAACTCACAACCAGAAGTAATAGATATAGCATTTGAACCAGAAATTCAAGCAGCATCATCATCCATACAGAATTCTAAATCAACAACAGCATCAACAAAACCAGTATTAGCAACAACTATACCCACAACAAATACATCAACCACACCAAAAAAGAAAAGAACACTAAAACCAAGAAAAGCATTAATCACATTATCGCAAAACGCAATTCAACATCTACAAGCCCTTTTAGATCAACCTTCCCCAAAATTGATAAGAATAGGAGTCAGAAATAGAGGTTGTTCTGGATTAACATATAACTTAGAATACGTTGACCACCCAGGAAAATTTGACGAAACAGTTGAACAAGATGGGGTTAAAGTATTAATAGATTCCAAAGCTTTATTTTCTATTGTTGGGTCAGAAATGGATTGGTTAGATGACAAATTAAGTTCAAGATTCATTTTTAAAAATCCGAATTCAAAGGGAACTTGCGGTTGTGGTGAATCTTTTATGGTTTAGTTAAAAGGAGATAATTTATAGAATAATAAGTAACGCAGTAATGAAAAAGAAATGTTTATTTAATTTATGAACTAATCACTGTAGTCTTTTTTGATTTTACTGTATTTTTCTACATTCAAAATAAGTAGCATCAACATCATTAGGTAAAGAACAAAAAAATTCATTTTTTTGCATAATTTTAAATAATTCAATTGAATTCATTTGTAATTTAAGACAAGTTTTACCACCATCGTTATTTGATGTACATATTATACTTTTTTTCAAATCTTTTTCACCATCAATTATAAATAAGTTTGAAATTGGATAGTTTTCAATGAACTGGGAAACAGTGTTTGAAATTTCTTCTGGAGATTTCGATCCGTTTATTTGTTCTACATTGATATTCGTTGAAGCGGAAGTGGTGGGTGAATCAGTAGTTGCATTTGATGATAATTGTTTATGACTCAATTGATTTAAAGTAATTTCTATATCTGATTCTTCTTTATTTAATGAGTTTTGATATTGTTGAGTATCTTTCGGATATTCTGATATGGGGGCGGTTAATTGACTATGTGATCTTTGTTGTAATTGTACTGGCGGTTGTGGTTGAGAAGGGGGAATTTCTGTCTTGGTTGAACCAAATGATAACCAGCCCATTTTGTTAGTTCTTAGGTAGGTTTTAATTGAGTTATTTGGTGATATGTGTAATGTATTGAATTTTATGGTTAAGAGTTGCTAAATATATTTACTTATATTACCATGTCTATATACAGGATTATTAATAGAATTCTATTTCAGGGCCATAAATGATTAAGAAAATGCTTCCCAAAACCAACTTCCTTCTCATTCAAAGTACCCCTGAGTTCACTAACTCAAAAACATAGCTTCAAACTTTCATCCATCCTCATCAAAGTAGTATGATATTGTTTATAAGTTAATAATTCCAAAGGTATAGATTTTTGATTTTTCAATTTCTTACCTTTTTGACCATCACCCTTTTCAACAGCGGTATTATCCTCATATTCAGCCAAAATCGAATTGATTTCATCAATCCAATTGAATTTATAATCATACTTGATTAAGGGGGGACAATCATAATCCATCCTCAAAATAGTACTAATAACTCGTGATTCAGTAGTATCTATACTTGCGTCTATCTCGTCTTGCTCACTAAGTATGTATTTTTCCATTTGTGGATTTTTGGTGGAGGTTGTATGATTGAATACAAAAGCTAGTGTGTTTGATATTCTACTGACAATTTCGTCATTCGATAAGGGAGGTAAATGCAAAATTTTTTCACGTTTTAAATTATAGTTGGAGTGTTTGAACTGTCTTTTTAGTAGTGTTACATAGTCATCTGATGTGATCGTTGGTGTATGATAAGGTGATCCTTCAACTTTATAAAGTGATGAAGTACATTCGAAATTCCTTAACTTGTAAAATCTTTTGTAGTATGCTTTGAGTTGTGATTTAAAGTTCGGGAGTGCGGTGATCTGTTCTTGTGTTGTTGACAAGTTGATTGTTGGTGTGTGAAATATTAGACCTTTTGTATTTTTTCGAAGTGTGAACTTGGTATGGTTCATTAATATCTAGTAAGATTTTTGGTATGCTACTATTTTTTTTTCTGGTGATAAATAATTTTGGTTGCAAAAAATCGATTATGAAATTATAAACAATCAAGAATTATGTCAATTAAGATAAGAAGAGGTGATGATTATTATATACTAGGCCATGATTTACCCACAATCTTAAATACTGTAATTATCCCAGCGCCAAAATTATCAATAAATTTCAAAATCTTTATTAACAACCACCAACTAACAGAAGAAGATTCTGACAACGAACTATTTCAACTTACGTCAACAAAATTTCATAGCTTTTGGAGCAGGTGCAGGTACTCAAGTACAATTGATGTTTCAGCAGAATCCGAGTACTCATTTTCAGTTATTTGTCAGGACCAGATATTCTTAGACTCGAATTCATTAACTAAATTATCATCCATTGATATCTCATTGACTTGTTTAACATACTCACTAAACATACCATTAAAAGATCTACTAGGTACTTTCAACTATTTATTGACATCTTGGTTCATATCAGTTGAACTACAATACCCCTGTGTATTTTCCATAATTGGTAGAAAGTTCATCGAATTGAATTTATATTGGTACAAAAAGATGAAATTAGAATTTTTGAAAGATTTTGGAATAATCAACTCGGAGAAGGTTATACCACGATACGTTGATATTATAAAGGAGAAATTTACTACTTCAAGTTTATTGAAAGATTCTAGTTCTTATTCTCATGTATATGATCAAGATCTGTCAAAAGTTAGTGATTTTTCTAGTATTGTTAGATCTTATTCATTAAATTTGATTGATCTAATAGAAATTGAATGAATCTATTGGCAATCAAACTGTCATGTTTTCTCATTCACAATTAGTCATCATTCATGGCCAATCACTTTACTAAGAAATTATAAATTAGAATTATTATATTAACTAGTTGTGTCAAATTAGTTTCCCCCAAACTGTTATTTTTCCGAAATCTTAAAGTGGAGGGGTTGTTAATCGGCCGAATTATTGAAAATTTCATTTTAGTCTATAAAAGCATCGACATCTTCCTCCAAAAATAAACACTAAGAAAGTTCATATATTCATTATAACTCGAATAATTCACTCAATTAATTTCAAATCAAATGTCACAGTCATTAAATTTAGCCATTGTTGGTACAGGTATATTTGCAACCGATACTCATTTACCAACTATACAAAAGATACAAAATTTAACACCAGTTGCAACTTATAATAGAACCAAATCAAAAGCTGAAGCTTTTGCTGAGAAAGCAGAAATACCGAAAGATAAAGTTTATGATTCATTAGATGAGATTTTCAAAGATCCAAAAGTAGATTTTGTTGATGCTTTATTACCTGTACAATTTAACTTAGATGCTGTTAAATTAGCAATTGCCAATAATAGACCAATATGTTTTGAAAAACCAATAGCTGCTAATTTGGAACAAGCTAAAGAAATTGTTGAACTTAGCAAAAAAACTGATTTACCAATTGCAGTATTAGAAAATTGGTCATTTTTAAAAGCTATTAAAATCTTAAAGAATGATATTTTACCTCAAATAGGTGATATTATTGGGTTTACTTATAATGCAACAGGACCATGGAATGATAACAACAAGTATTTGGCAACTGGATGGAGATTAAAACCAGAACATATTGGTGGGTTCTTAAGTGATGGTGGAGTACATCAATTAGCTTTATTAACTGATGTCTTGGGCGATGTCGAATCAATCAGTGGATTAACTAAGCAAGTAAGAGAACAAAGTGGTACTGATGATATATTATTTTCTACAATGAATTTGAAAAGCGGAGTTATAGGTACTTTTACATATGGTTCTGCATTTGGTGCAACGGATAAATCTACGAGTTTTACTATATTTGGAACTAATGGATCTGTGGTTTATGACTGGTCACCATCTTTGAACAAACCAACTATAACTTATCAAACTGGAACTAGTGGACAAACTAAAAGTGATAAACAAGTAATTGAAATAGACGAAGTAAACACATTCGAAGAGGAATTTAAAAACTTTGCGGAAGCTGTTTCCAAAAAAGACAAAAGTTTGATTGTTGTACCACCAGCTAAAGCTTTCCATCATTTAGCTATTGTCGCTGCTGCTTTAGAGTCTTCTGCTAATGGAGGTTCAAATGTTAAAGTAGAATTAGCTTAGATCTAGATAAAAGACTATTACTTGATAATGCTTTGTATTACAATTCATCTACTAATCTATCTGTTACTAATGTAGATATAGTTTCCTCTAATATTTCCGACAATTTTTCGATTGTTGTAGCTATTGATGTTAACTCAGTTGTCGTTGATGATGTATCAGTAATTGTTGATAGTAGATCAGTAGCAGCTGTGGTCGCAATCATAGTGGCCGTTATAAGTTCTTGTTTAACTCCATCAAAATCTCTTTTGGTTTTAAATCCACTCAAAATCCAACCAAATATGTTAAAAATCTTAAAAAACGACCACAACAAAATCCTTATAGGTCTTCGTAATACTCTTCTATAAATGACCCAAATACAACACAACAAAAAAAATCCAATACTCAAATAAATTCTTTGTCTATCTTGTTTGTCTTGTTTTTCAATAAATTTTATTATCCCTCTTGATTTATTCAATAAATCACCAAATTGTATGAAATTCTCATTTAATTTAGCTAAATCTTTAGTCTGTTGATCAATAGAATCAATATTTAATTCTGATTGTAAAATCGAGGCAGATAATAAATCTCTAGAAGTTTGTAAAGATGATGTTATTTTGGTGTTTTGATCATGTATTTGTTGTGCAATCGATGCTTCGTTTGTCTTTTGGGCTGCTCGATTGGAAAATAGTTTATCTCTCATTTGTGATTCTGAAAGTTCTTCGTCTGCTGTTGGTTGGAATAAATTGAAATGTTGTAATCTCCATTGTTGTAGGTTCTTATCTTGAGTATCATTGATGTAAATTTCCAAGTATTTTAACTTTGATTTTAATGATTTGTATTTTAATTCATAGATTTGGTAAGTGGAAGTGTTGACAGTTTTGGAATTGTTTAATTTTAATATTCGAAGATAGTCTTTAAATGCTAATAACTTTTGATGGATTTTTGATAATATTTTGGTGCTTGCTTTTGAATATTCAGCTTCCTCTTTCAAATCTATTGTTTGAACTAATGCATCTAGCTGAGCAAATGTTTCATTCTGTAATTGATCTAGCCTTTCATATATCTCCATTTTTGTATAGCTCTTTGATCAGATCAAGTGTATGAAATTGGCTCGCAAAAATAAATAGTTGTAAAATCAAATCCGAAAATTCACTACAACAATGTTTTGCAACTAAAAATCAACTTACCACTCTACTTTAAATGACAAAGAAAAAGGGCACCAAAAAGCCCATGGATCCATCCAAAATAACCCCACAATATATAGAGGAACAACGACGACTACGAAATGAACGTAAGGAAGAAGAGCGCAAAGTAAAAGAAGCTCAAGGTATATTTGATTCACCAGAGCCAATAGATAAATTTATTAAGAGACCTGTTTTAGAAGTTCAACCACAAGATAGTACCAAATTTAACGTTACTATAATGAGTTATAATATTTTGGCTCAATGTTTAATTAGAAGAGATTTATATCAAACTAATGGTAAGATTTTAAAATGGTCAGTAAGGTCTAAAATATTATATGAAGAAATCAAATGGTATAACCCCACAATACTATGTTTACAAGAATGTGATAAATTTCAGTACTATCATTTTTGGCAAGAGGAATTGAGCAAGTTGGGGTACGAACCAAAGTTTTATAGATATAATACTAAAAATCATGGATTAGTTATTGCATTTAAGTCCGACTTTTTCATTTGTAAACATCAGTCGTTTATAAAGTACGATAATAATATTGAATATTCTCCAGACCAAATAAAATTACCAGAAGCTAGAATTATTACTAAAAATGTGGGATTCATGTGTTTTCTAGAATTCAAACCAGAATTAGTTAGAAAATACCCATATTTAGATGATAGAAACGGTATGATAGTAGGAACAACCCATTTATTTTGGCACCCATTTGGTACATTTGAGAGAAGTCTACAAACATATATGATACTACACAAGTTCAAACAATTTCAGCATGTTTTGAAAGTGCTATACAAGAACGATATAGGATTTTATTCATTTTTCACTGGTGATTATAATTCAGAACCATTCGATGCTCCATATTTATCAATAACTACCAAACCCATTACATATGAAGGGCAAGTCAAAAATGCTCTAGGTTGCTCTTTAAGCTATACCTTCTCGAAAGAAAGAGCTTTAGATCTGGAAGATGAAGAGGAAGAAGAAAAGGAAGAAGAAGAAGAAGAAGAAGAGGAAGAAGAGGAAAGCTCTGATAGTGCAGACGAAGATAAAGCATCAGATAAGAGTACCCAAAGGGAAACCGAACGTCAAAGCAATCCAAGTGATCCGGAACCAGAACAATTTGTACCAACCGAAGAGCAAGAGACAACTATGAAACAATTGGAAGATGCTCACAACGACTTGGATGTTCAAGCAATATCATTATATTCAATAGGTTATAAATTTATTGATCCCAAGAATGCAACAAATACTCAAGACGAACCAAATTTCTCGAATTGGGTAGATAAATGGAATGGTATGTTAGATTATATAATGCTATTAGTGCCGTGGAATAAAGAAGAATCCAGAACTACATTAATTGAAAAAAAATCACCAAAATACCTTGAAAAATATGGAATTAAATTAATCAAATTATTAAAATTACCTTCACCTAACGAAATGGGACCAAAACCTAATGGACAACCAAGACTTTATCAATATCCATCTGATCATTTATGTATAATGAGTCAGGTAGAACTTCTATAGAACCTAAAAAACAATAACATTTACCTAGATAACATTGTATCTACTAAATCTTCTAATGGCCCATAATCTTTTCTACTTATTAAATCAAATTCAGTAGCAAATAACACGTAATGTTTTAAACTTGTATTCAAATGACTTTGTAATCCTAATTCACTAATTTCATGAAAATGATGACAATATATATGTGCATAAATTCTAAATAACCTTTTGAATATAGTTTTAACTAATGTTGGGAATTGATGTGGGAATGGCGCTCCTATCTTAGATGGAAAAATATTGTCATTATCAAAAAAATTTTGAACCCAATTCATTAAATTTTCAATATATTCACAAGCAGGTAAGGATATTGGTCTTTTTGGTGAAGAAATCATAGTAGCATTATTATAAGTGTTTGAAATAGAACTATCATTCAGTATTGAAGGTGCAGGATTTGAATCTTGCCATAAATATTCATATTCTTCAGTTGCAATCATTTTTGGACATGTTACTGGTGAACAAAATTCAGTAATTGCACCATATAACATATTAGTTTGGTTGTAAAAATCAACAACATGAACAGCTAACCATTCATTAACATCTTCATCTTGTGGTAATTGTACTGCTTGAATTAATGCATTATCTGATCCTAATGTTTGTTCTGCATAATTTCTAATATCTTTATGTGATGATACGGGTTGACCTGATTGTTGTTGTTGTTGTTGTTGCTGCAGTAAAAGATTGGGGTCTTTGTTTATTGTCAGGTATTGATTTAATGGAACTTGTTGATGTGGATTTTGTTGTTGTTGTTGTTGTTGTTGTTGTTGTGGATTTGGAAAAACAGTATTATTTATGGGTTGTGGACTTGATATTGCTGATGATTGCTTCAATTTAAAACCTCTTGTTGATCTTAACGAGTGTGTATTGAAGTTCTGAAACAAGGCCATTATATATATATGTGTTTAAGTGAATGATGGTAAGAAAATATAATGAATTAAGTAAAAGTAAGTTGTTATGAAAGTGAATTGTAAATCAAGTTATAAAAAATATTGTAATGTTTTGAAAATTGCCATTTTAGTAATACTCAAAGAATTTGTAATAAATTATGTAAGCCAAAACTAAAGTATTACGTAATTAGTATTTTCCGCAGCTGGTAGCATTGGAACTTTTTTATATTGATCAAAAAATTTAATCATACAACAAATTTACGATCATTCATTAGCAAGCACCAACCGATATTGAGAATGGAAGTGAATCCAATTACACTTCATAAAAAAGAAAGTAGTAGATCTCCATCAAGGAATAATGCCACTGAGATAGCTAGTGAAGCAGAGCCAGCGAATAATGATCAATCTGAAACTTTAAATCAAAAAGAAGAAGGTGAGAAATTAGAATCAGCAGTTGGCAACCAACAAATCGAAGATCAAGAATCCGGAGAAGCGCCCAAAGATAATATCAACGAATCAGAAAATATACTAAATACGAACAACCTGGAAAAACCAAATGATATTTCAGAAAAAAAGAAATTAACAAAATCTGTGAGGATAGTTGAACCACCGAAAGAAGAAGAAGAGGAAGAAGACGAGGAGGAGGAGCAGGAAGTGTCACAAGAGGAGGACGAAGAGACTGAAGAAACTGAAAAAGAGCATAGTGATGAAGCAAATGGTCAAAATGATGATTATGAACCTGAATTGAAAGCAAAACCAGAAATAAATTTACCAATTACGACGTCACCAGAAAGTCTGGATGAAAAATTACAAGTCAGTGAAGAAGAAGATGAAGAATATGATCCTGAAAAAGATCAACCATCTTTACCTAGTTTACCACCAAAGCCACCAGTAATTGCTACATCTCATGCTCCACCATCTACATTCACAAGCAACGAACCCAAACCATCGAATGAAACAATATATCATGCATTTGAACTAGTCATACAAGAGGAAATAAATAAAAATCCAAATATTTTACAACTAGGTCTAGATGATCAAGCACAAATATTCCAATCCCATATTGATAGTCTTGGGCCAAGTTTTCCTGGTAGTCATTGGAATTATAATCAAGTTTATTCATACAATAAACCATTTAAAAATTTAAAGGAACCAGTTGCTTTAATACCAGTAAATGAATTTTGTCGTAGACCAAATATTACAGCACCAATGACACCAGAAGAAGAAGCAGAATACGAAGAATTTATTGTAAGAGAAAATCATTATTTAAATTTACAAAATTGGGATGAATTTCCGGATAAGCTGAGATTATTTGTTGGGAATTTACCTGCTAACACTATATCCAAACAAGATTTATTTAGAATTTTCTCAAAATATGGTGAAGTTATACAAATTGCTATAAAGGCAGGTTATGGATTTACCCAATTTAGAACTGCAGAGGCTTGTTTGGATTGTATAAAGGGGGAAGAAGGTGTCCCACTTCATAATAAAACATTAAGATTAGATGCATCAAAACCTCAAAAATCTAGGAGGTCTGGTAATCCTGATATTAATAATCCAAATTTTAGTGGTAGAGGTAGAGAAAGACACGGGGATGATGAACCACCTAGAAAGAAATGGAAGGGCAATTATGATTGTATGGTTTATGTTACTGGTAAATCGTCAGTTTTTTTTATAAGAAAAGTTAAAAAAATATTTGCAAGTTCACAAATTACTATTGATACAGAAGATGTTACTCAAAGAAATATAACGGATGTATTAAGTGAAGCAGCATATTCTGGTGTTTTAGGTGCATGTGTTATAAAGGAACAGAAAGTTGATCTTCAAACTTATGAAACTCAACCTGGTGGTGGAATTAAATTTGATGAATATGCTGATATAGAACCAGAAGAAGCAGCTGAAGTTATGGTAAAAGTAAAAATGGCTAAATATCAAGGTAACCCACCACCATATATTCCACAAGACATCAGTTATAATGATAATGATAAACATAACAATAAATTTGGAGGTCGTCATCAACGTAATGATCATGGAAGAGGTAGAGGTGGAAATAGAGGAGGACGTGGAGGCAGAGGTGGAGGAAGAGGTGGTAGATTTAATGATAATTATGGACGTGACAGGGATAACAAATTTAATCACGATTGGTCAGATAATAATCAATATCAACAACCTCACCAACAATTTCCTCCACAACAACAATCTTATGGTCAAATACCTCAACCCCAGTTTTCACCATATGGTCAACAATTGCAACCACAAAATCAACAATACTCATCACCATATGGTATGCCACAGCAATCACCACCACAACAACAACAAGGTTTTAATCAATATGGAGCTCCAATGTCTCAACCACAACCACCACAACAAAACAATCAAAATTACTTACAAGCATTACAATCTCTTGACCCAATGCAAGTTCAAAACATGATCAATCTTTTACAACAGCAACAACAAGGCACATCCCCAACCATTCAAATGCAACCAATGCAACAACAACAACCACCCCCTCAACCTTACAATAGAGCACCACCATCAATAAATTACGGAAGCAGTAATCAAATCCGTAGAGGCGGAGGAGGTCCAAGAGGTGGTTATGGAAATATGCCCCATAATTCTAGAAATAATCAACCATATGGTAATGTACCTCAACCTCATCAAAATTCTAATTCTATGACAAGTCCTGGATATAACCCCAATTCCAATTTAAATAATAATGCTCCTAATGCTTTACTTTCCAGATTACAACAATCAAGTAATAGTAATGGACGACAACAAAATCCATATTCTCAACCTCAGCCTCAGAATAATCAGGATCAAAGTACTGCATCATTGTTGGAAACATTACAAAAATTATCTGGAAAATAAGATTTTTAGACAGAGTTTGATGAGCCAATTTTAATGTTCTTCATGGCGTAAAATTGAAATACTGCTGAATTAATGTTTAAGGTTTTTATTCTTCTTTTTTATTATACAAATTTACAAAATTTTAAGCACTTTTTAATCGTAAAATTCAAAAGTAAAATTTTGATTATATATTCCTTCTAAATTTATATGCATTTACTGTATTGATCAGTATCAATTTGTCATAGAAGACAAATCGTTTTTGAATGAATAAATATCCATGAGGGTGAAATGCAATACAATTGTAGACTACTGACATCATTTAAACATATAAATTCTTTGCTCCAATATATAAATATATATACCAACAATACACAGCATCTTAATCAACAATGTCTTCAGTTGCAACTTCATGTTCTTGTTCTTCGTGTTGATTTTCGTTTTTTAAATTTTCAAATTCTTGTTCATTTTCCAATACACCATTTATAGAAATAACTCCACAATCATTAAAAACATCTAAAATTCTTTCAGCATCTTCTAATTTCAACTTGGCAAATTCTTTATTTATTTCATCTATATTTTCAGTCTTGATTGCATTTTGGAACTCTACGGGTAAATTTTCATGAAAGATTTTATATTCTGGTGTACCCGGTTGAGGAATGTTTACCGAAAGTTTGGTGTTATCATCTAATGCTCTTAATTGAATCAATGCTTCTTCTTCTTGCCCTTCATCACCTTGAGCTCTAGCTGCTTCCTCTTGTTTAATAATTTCACATCTTTTTGCAATATGACTTACTAAATTTGAATATTCTTCACTAAATAATTGTTTTACTTTTGGATCGTTATTTTGAATTTTCCCAAATAATAATTTTATAGCTCTAATTGTATCATCTCTAGAAGTTTTACCAGCTTTTAACTGTGATACATATTGGATTATGAGGGATTGATGAATTATATTTTTAGCTTTTGCGGAATCGTTGTGTAATTGTGCATCAAAGGCTGTCATTAATAAGGCATCTTTTTGTTGTTCTGTACAGATCTTTGTATGTTTGATTAAGAAATCTGCTGATTCTGTTAAGTTTTTTGATAAGATTGTACCAAATTTTTCGGTTTCCGGTAAGATTTCTAATTCATCTAGTATATCTTTATCTGATTTTTCTTGGTTTGATGCAGGTGCTGATGCAGATGCTGGTGAGTTGATAGTTTCAGTGGTTGTAACCGAATTTTTTTGTGTAGTTGGTTTTACTTCTTTTTTATCTTCTTCGTCTTCATCTTTATCTTTATTCATGAATGATCTGTCAAATCCAGTATGTAAATCATCACTTACAATCAATTGAGCTTTTTCTTTTAATAATTCATCTAGTTTTATAGTTTGTTTACTTAATACATCATCAATTTTATTTCTATGTTCTTTTAAGTATTCAACTAGTTTTGAACCATTAGTTTTTGCATCTTCATGATCATCTTTAATTTGTAAAAATAAATCATCAATCATTTCATTGTAGGGTGGTAAATTTTCAATTTCTTCTTTATCAAAAGTTAAATCTTTCAAACCTTTTCTTAAAGTGTCACCTTTATCTTTTATTAATTCTTCATAATTGAAATTTTGTTTTGGATCAAAATTTGAGTCTAGTGTTTTTTTTACTAAAGATGTATCTGTTAATTGAGATGGTGTTAAATTGGATAGTAAATAATCAACTCTTTCATTTAGGTTGGAATACATTGTTAATTGAATTAATATTGATTTAATTTCAACATTTCTTTGCATTCTTTTTTCATGAATGTCTCTTTGTTTCCATTTAATGAATGATTTTTTATCGACATTTGGATGCACTTCTACATCTGAATCATCAGATATTTCTATCTTGTCCCATTTGGAATAATCAATTGGCATTGTTGAAGTGGTTGTAATTATGGAATTGCTGCAATAAAATTAAATCACGTTAATTTTTGGTTCTATAAAATTCGATCTGTGACGCAACATTTAAGCGAGTTTTGAGACAAATGGATATGACACTGAATTTTGCAATCATTCAGATACATTAATACACATTGTTTCATTGAGTTGATCTACGAATTACTACAAATGATATTATAGGAAAATGTAAAAGTTTGTATTGAGTATTGTATTTATGATTGAATTTAATAATCTTTTAGTTTTAGCCCAATTAAGCAGCACCATTTGGTCTTAAACCAGTAAAGAAAGCTAAAGCATAACCAGTTGATTGGAAAGTAATAGTTGTACCTTTTGGGAAATAAAAAACATCACCAACTTTAGCACTAACTGTTTTTCCAGCCTCATCAGTTAAAGTAAATTCACCATCAACTTCTAAAATAATTTTCATTTCATCATAAGTATATTCATAAACTAATGGTTCACCAGCTTCTTGTCTATAAAATCCACAAGAAATTTGTTGATCTTTTGGTGCATCTGATGTGAAAGTATCACCTAAGAATGAATTATTACCTGGAGATGGAATTTGTGGTGGTTTTGCACCTTGAGCTTCAACTGATGGTTTATATTGCATTGGCATTTTGAATTGATTTAATTTAAGTTTTGTTTTATTTGGAAGGATTGTAAAATACTGTTCAAAGTAATTGATGAAGAAAAGAAAAAGAGATATTTTGAAATTAAACTGAGGTCAATTAGCTTACTTTATATATTTTTATTCTTTAGCATTATTGATTTTGGGGTAGTAATAATTGAAAAATTGAAAAATTAATATTATATAAGATATGTGATAAGAAACTTTTATTTATCTTGATTTGGTTTTAGATTCCGAGTAAATTTCAATGCACAGGCGATTAAATCTTTTAAATTTAATACATTATACATGCAATTGAATATGTTTCGAACCATTTGCAACAATTTGAAACATTACATTAAATAGCTATAAAGTACTAATATGAGTTGACGCTTTTGACGCTAAAAGTTGTTATTATAAATTAATATGGGGGGAATGTTGAATACTAATAATAAATAAAACCCCTTTTTACCCCGTACTAATTGGAAAGGGTAAAAATAACTCGGCAAGTTGACATAATTATTTAATTCAGTGATTTGTAATCAAAGATTTGACTGGGGAAGATTAGTGGTAGACCACAGTAAATTCGGTAGTCCAAACATGCAGTTGAGAGCATCAAGTTATTTTCTACAGTTCCAATTTTGTGAGTCTTACAAACAATTGTTGTGCATAAAATTATCATATTAAATTAATATACTTCAGCTATCAAATTCTATACAAAAAAACTACAGAAATTGACTCTATTAATCTATTTGTCTATTCTTTGAATAAATACATTCATAAATCTGTAATATATGTTACTTCAATTATAAAGCATCTCTTAAACCAGTAAAGAAACCTAATCCATAACCAGTACTTTTGAAAACAACTTTAGAACCTTTTGGGAAATAAAATACATCACCAGGTTTAGCACTAACAACTAAACCAGTTTCGTCAGTTAAAGTTAATTCACCTTCAACTTCAATAATGATTTTCATTTCATCGAATTCATAAACAAATTCTAATTCTTCACCAGCTTCTTGTCTGTAAAAACCGGCAGTTATTTTTTTACCTTCTGGTGCATCTGATGTGAAAATATCTCTCATGAATGCATTGTTACCTGGTGATGGTAATGGAATGTCAGCTTGTTTACCTTCGGCTTTTGGGTGGTATTGCATTGGCATTTTGACTAGATTATATTATTTTTTTTTAATTTTCGTAGTGGAACTCTGATTGATTAAGATTCTTTAAAAACATTTTCAAGAAAAGGGTCCTTTTTCATTCTTTTTATACATGAATTTTGGTTTTTAGATTCATTTTACTAAACACAAATCTTTAACGAGTTTTGAGATGTTGTACGATACTTTGATGTTTTAATTTTGATTATTTGGGATATGTTTTGAAATTTCGTTTCATAATTTTTTTATTTTGCAACGATATTACCGTATTGGGAGTAAAAATCCATGAAGATAATTGTGACACAAATTTCATTTGATATCAATTTTAGGAAATGAAAACCCTTTCCTTGGGATTATACAGTAGCCTCGGATTTATACATTCGATATATACAACATTAATACGAATTTCGACGGCATTAACCAGATCTGAAAATACGCAAAATTACGAGATGTCAAAATTTTCTTATTATGGCGATTACAATCTACAAAATATGATGTTTGAGATGATTGGGCAACTGAATGCAAAGTGTATTACCAAATATTATATAAATCTATTTTTAGTAAATTATCCATCAACTAATGGTAAGCAAGCATCAATACAAACATCAACATCTCCCTTATTAATAAAAATAACATCTTTTAGTATATTTGTATCTAAAGTAGGGAAAACTTCTTTTAATATATCATAAGCATTTTTCATTTGTTCTGAATTAATTTCGTCTTCAGCTGGTGGTTCTGGTTGATATCTACTATTTAGTGTAGTTGTAGTATTAGATTCTAAATCAATTAATGATTCATTGTTACCTCTTTCTAGTTGTGGAATACTTTGTTGAGAAGTTCTTGGTGGTAATGCAGGTGGTGGAGGAGAATTTATTGGACTTTGTGGTAAATTTGATGAGATATAATCTAGGTTTGGATCATTTTGTTCGTTATTTGATTGTGGCAGTGGTGACAAGAAATTTGATATTGACTTTGTAAACATTTCTGCACTTGAGAATAAAACATTTGATGGTGATATTCCAAGGTTTTGACTTGTAGGTTGAATATTTTCCATTGATCTTTGATTTGTAATGTGTCTTGGCTGTGGTTGTGATAATCGACGTTTAGGAGTTGGTGGTCGACTATTCCTCTGTTGTTGTTGTTGTTGCTGCTGCTGCTGCTGCTGCTGCTGCTGTTGTTGTTGCTGCTGTTGTTGTTTAATTAATTCTTGACGTTTTATTTCTATTTGTTGTAATCTCTCTAATTCTTCTCTTTCTTGCTTTTCTCTTTGTTTTTGTTCAGCTTCCCAAGCTTCCATATGAGCATCAAATTCTTCATCTTTTATTGTAAGATCTTCTTTACTTAAATTTTGTATAAAACTAATAGCGCCTTGAATTGATGAAAGGTAATAACTTGTTTCACCATGTGATAACCATTCTTCTCCTCTATAATTTTCAATATAATGAATGTTGCTTATTAAATGATTGGTTTTGGATTTCAATATGACTAGTATGAGAAGTGGAATGAATGAATCAGCATTTGTTTCTTTTTTACTTAGTTTCAAATAGCTGAATATAATTTTACATGAATTCAAAATGCAAATTATTTTATCTCTTGGAGCTCTATAATTATTAATTTTATTTAATTCCAAAATCGCATAATCAAAAAAATCTTGACCATCTTTAATGCTTACATGACTTATTTGAGTCATATCGATATCAAAATGGGATCCATTAATCCAACTGTATTTTTCTAATTGTGTTGAAAACTCTCTATCTTTCTTCAAATCATTTTGATAAGATTGCGGTATTTGTAATGTATAATTTGTATGTTTGAAAACTTCAGGTGGGAAACATAAATCATATAATCTATTCATTATTAACTTTTCCAAACCTTCTCTAGAATTTTCTAAATCAAGATTATCCATTGATGCAAAAGGTTCATACAATTTGAACTTTTCATTGATGAAACTTTTAAAATCCATAATTATTGATATTCTTTGATCAGCTGAAAATGAATGTACTTGTTTTATATATGACCCAAGAAATGATCTTAAGTATCTGACTATTGGATCTGCTGGCTTTTTTCTTAATTGTACTAAAAAGTTTTGGAAATCAAACGCTTTATGAGATTGTTGATGTTGTTCCGTTGGGTTAACTTTGTATTTAATATTTAATGGTGTTTTACCTACTAGACTTTTAGTTTCAGGTCTTGCTTCACTTGTTAATGGTCCTTCATTTTTAATTTCTATATCTTCAATTCCTTTATGTTCGATTTCATTCCCAGCAATATCAACCAATTCATTCTTGGATTCTTTTGAGCTAACGGGCAGTGAAGAAATTGATATATTACTTTTGATTGAAGCAGCTTGATTCGGAAGACTTTTGATGGATTCAGCTTTATCCTCTTCTCCTGGTTTTTGGGTATTTAGGTCCTTATGCTGCTTCGTGTCATCCTCAACTGTATTTGAATCCGACGGTATGGTAAGTTTTTTTTGATCAACCTTACTGTCCGCTATAATTTCAGAAACTTCCCCATTTTTATTTGAACCATCTGTAATAGGATATTTCAAATCAACTTGTTTGTTAAGTATGTCTTCAACTTCTATGTTGCTCTCCAAATTTTCTGTTTTAGGATTATCTTGAACTTTCTTTTTCTCTAATGTAAGTTTATCTGATGCATTTGACTCATCCTCGTCACTTGATGATTTATCAACAGTACTCCTCTCTTCACCAATAATTTTTGATTGATTTTCTTCCTGGATTTTACCATTATTTTCGGTCAAAGTATTGTTTTTGGTTTTTTCTGCTGGCTTAGTTTCATCATTAGTAATTAATTCATCTTGCGGTGGATTATAAACTTGTGCAATCATATTCAAATGAGCAGATTGATCAATTTTCACAGCAGTTAGTTTAGGACCTTTTGATTCTAGTACATCTTCTTGTTTAATGAGTGGTTCTTCTCTTTTAATTTCTATCATTTTTTCTTTATTCTCTTTATCTAAATCATCTTCTAGATATTCATCATCCAGCTGCATTTTTTCAAGTTTTTGCTCATGTTCAATTTCGTATTTTTCGTTTTCTATCACTTCTTTCTCTGCTTTATTTGTACTGGTTCTGGATTTGTCATTTGTTTCTGATCCACTTTCATTTGCTCCTCCTTTCAAATCATACTTATCAAATAATCCTTTCAAATCTGACTTTTTTGAACTTGTAGTGTTTGTTGATTTAATTGTGTTAGATTTGTCTTCGTTATTATTTTGAGCAATTGTAACTACAGGTGGTGCAACTACTGTAGGGCTAAATCCGAGTTTTGAACTTGATGGATGTGATTTGATTGATGCCGTATTAGAATGATTGACATTAATTTCAGATGAATTAGTTTTAGAGTTAGTTTCTAGTGACAATGGCGTTGATTTGGATGGTGAATTCAGTAAGTTCAATTGATTTGTGGCACCAGCATTCTTTGATTTCGAGTTCAAATCTGGGGAATCTGATTTTATATCTTCGGAACTTGCTAATGCTTCAAGATTGGTTGATGAAAATTTTGATTTGTTGTTGGAATTCAAATCTTTACTTGAACTGGAATTTGATGCCTTTATTGATGTTGTGTTTGTATTATTTGTGGAAGTAGTTGGAGTTGATTTCGAGACATTAAATGCAAGACTATTAAATGACATGGTAAATTTGATTTATATGCCCAGACAATGCTAAATTTTGGTAAAGAAAATTGGTGAATAGTTTATGAGATTGATGAATGACGCTAGTTACAATGAATATGATGGTTGTCGTATCTTGTAAATGATAGTTTTTTAACTTATTATTAGATCTACTTATAAATTAGATTTAATTTTGTGCTGCTAAATTTTGTGTTTGTTTCGTAGAACAAATTTAAGAAAATTTTAAGTAATTATTAAATTTTAATATTACAGCTTTAAGTATGTATATTAAGATATTAAATTTATTAACTACAATTTATTATATTATTATAAAATTATTAATACAGGTCATGATATTTAAATGCTAAGTAGTTTCCTGTTTTATACTCTGCTGTTGTTCGTCTTCCATTGGTTCATCTTCCATTTGTTTATCCATTTGTTCTTCGTTTTCTTTGATTTCATCTTCTTTTTCCTCATTCTCCAATTCTTCTTGATCTTGTTCTTCCTGCTCTTGTTTTATATCTTCCAGTGATTCAGATTTCTTTTTCACATGTATTAGTGGTTCAGTTTGTTCTCGAGTTTCAGCTCCTGGTTCCACAACATCTTCTTGGTCTACTTTTTCATCTCCTTGTTTTACAAATTCTGGTTCAACATCTTCTTTTACCTTCTTTGTCAATTTGATAGTGACTAGTGCCGTATTATATGGATCAATCGTAACCAATGATGAAAACGTTGAAGGTTTTGAAGTAGTTACCCTCGTTGCATTACAAAAAAGATTTTTATTGGTGAATTTAATTTTGATTTTTCCTTTATCAATTGGGTCTAATCTGACTAATGAAGATGTTGATGACCTAAAAGATGGTAATTTGATTGTTACCATGCCTCCATTGGTTCTAACTAATCTAGATGAAAATGATGGAACGTTTGGAGAAATTAATTCATCTTCAGAAAGTTCAATAATTTCAGGTTCCGATTTTCTTCTTTCTTTTTTAAGTTTAGGAGTAGTTTCTTGTGATGATTTTAATGAAATTTTAAGTGATGGTCTTTTACTAGTTGATGCAGTAGAGCTTGAGCCTGTAGGCGGAGTACGATAATGACTAATTTCTTCAATTTTATTGGTCTTCTTGTGAAATAATGCAGTCGATGATTTTCTTGATAATAGCTGAATTTTAAATCTACCTTCTCTTTTCAAAAGAATTTGTCCATTACCTAAATTTTTAGCTACAACTTTCTTTTTAAATTCTTGTATTGGTAAACTTGGGACTGGTAGTTTGACAATTAATGAATCTTGCTCTTGATATACTATTTCTGAAATTAAAAATAGGTTTCTCTTGACATAATTTCCCAATAATGAAGAATGTATCATTTCCCAAATTACATTTTTTAAACTTTCATTTGAGTATAAGTCTCTTCTTAATATATCTATTGAACCTTTTATTGTTGCTCTTGCATATGTATCATGCTTTGATTTCATGTCTGAATTTGAACCTTCATCAATTATGATCATTCTTGTATTGTCTGTTGAACTACTCGAATTGGGGTTACTCTCTTCCTCTTGATCTTCTAATGGCACATAACTTCCGTTGATAGCAATTAAACATATGGATTCAATGAAAGCTTCAATTAATTTTCTGGTATATAATGGTCGGTAGAAATTCAAAAGACTTACTTTTAAAAAATATTCTAGTATTTCTTGATTTTTGAATCCACTTAATACTAATAATCCTTTGAATGAATCAACTCTACTATCCATCGGGTGACTATCTAAAGTATTCATCAATAAAGCTTCCAATGAAAGTTTTAAAGCCCCAGCTAATGCCATTCTAACTCTTGACTCAACACAAGTGATTTGTAGTATTTTTTGATGAGATGGTCTCCATTCATCTAATTTTTGCAATCTCACAATTTCGTCATTTACTTTTTCTGCAAATTCAGCATTGTTGCTTTCAGGTAAATCTTTACGCCATCCACTTATGGCACTTGTCGTTAATGCTATTATCAAATCTTTCATGTATAAGGAATCTTGATAATCATTCATTGAATTATCGTTATATTTTACCAAGTTAAACAATAAGTTTTGAATATCAGCTGGAACTCTACCATCTTGATCTGTAATTTTACTTAATATAATAGGAACCTCTCTTTGAATAAGGTAAGATCTGAAATCATTAAAGTCATTTGATTTTGGAATTGTACTATCAGGAAAACAAAATAATTCCCTATAAGCTTTAATTAAATATTTAACACCAATGAAATCATTGGGACCATTTGAACTAGTTGCTAATGCTTCAGCTGCTGCTATTCTTACACCATAAAAGTATCTTTCATCCAAAATTGTTCGGACCAAAGCTGTACAATATACAATTGAGGGTTTCTCAATCTCACCAAAATATCTAATTGCATCACATTGAGCTTCAACATCTCTATCAAAAATAAGTTGAGATCCAAACATAAAGTCTGGTTGCAAAATATCTATTTTAGCAATCCATTCAAAATCAACATCAGCTCTTATCCATTCAAACGGTTCACTCGCTAATGATTCCTCGTCTCTTTTATTCCAATCCTGAAAATTCCATTTTTGTTTTTCATCGTCTGTAGTAAGTATATCTCCAAATTGATTGAAATTTATACCTGGATCAACTCCTTCATCTTTCTTTTTAATTTTACGAATTTTTTTGGACAATTGTATATCTATTGTTGTCTTCATTTCTTTTATATGAATTATATGTTCATATGGAGTACCATCAGATTCATGAACTCTAATTGTCATTGGGCCCGTGAAAACATTTTGCTTAATAGTTGAAGGTTCTTTATTCATATAACACAATGCATCATCAATAAAATTTGATGTAGTCAAAGGAACTTGTTTATTCTCATGATGTTGTACTTGCCGTATAATCATTTCTATCATACCCTTTTTCTTATTAAATCTCTGACTTACTTTAAAGCTTGGTGTACCAGCACCAAAAACCCATTGTTTGAAAAAACTTTCCAATTTATTTCTATTTACTTTTTCACATACGTACTGTAAATGATCAGTACTTAATGTACCATTTGGTAAATCTCCAGACATTGCTTGTAAAAATAATTTTGGGATGACTCTTGATAATCCAAATGATTTGTCAGTTTTAGTCATTCTATTATCTAGTATGAAAAACACTATTGGTGATTTTAATTTCATGAACTCCAAGTCGGTTTCTGAGACTGGGTATTTTAAAAATGGTCTTGCAATCGGTCGCTTATTGACATCTTCCAGAATTATTTTATTCGTTAATTTCTTAATTTTATATCGATATTCATTAGTTCCCATTAACTTTTCAATAAATGAAATAGCCATATATCCTGCTATACCTGTAGTACACCACATGTCTTCAAAACTATGAGGAACGATATTAACACCTGACCATTGGCTAGCAATACTTTTTAATAATACATCAGTTGTGGTAAACATTGGTTCAATTAAATCGGCTGGATAAAGTAATGATGAGGACATTATGGACAAACCAGCATAACTATTACTATCCACTGGTGAAAATTTGACAAATGCAAAACTATAAGAACTAAAAGGAAATGAACCAAATTCATTCAGGAAATAATCCAATGCTTTATTTGCTATTATACATGTATTTTTCGCTAATTCCATATCTTCAGGTAGTGCATATATGGTTATTGGAGAGCTTGTACTCTCTTTTTCATTAAAATCATTATTATCATTATCATTAATATCATCAAAATCATTATTTTCAGATGCTGAATGATCAGCTAAAACAAAACTATCGAAAAAACCGACAGCCCAACCTACATGATGAGCAGATACTGAATTAAAGATTGACCAAGATACAACTTTCTTAGATAAATCAATCTGATGTGGAGTTTCTTTTACATTATTTATATCTGCTGCACATACAACTAAGTCTGGATTATCATCAGTATCTTCAATATCATCATCATCATTATTTTCATTTCTTCTATTTCTTTCTTGGTGATATCTCAAAGCCTCTTTTGATCCTATAAGTCTTGGATGTCCTATATCGTTTAGAGTTCTCGGCACACTAACTTCAATTGTCCAAGTTGATCGACTGTTTAAATTATCTATACATGGAACCCAGGAAGATGTAGAGACATTATAATCTGAATTTGTAGTATATGCATGCCATGATCTTTTATTTATGTCATCATTTGTAACAAAATTCAAACCATTTTTGGGATTCTTTAGCACATATTCAATCTTGATTTGTATTGGTGTGTAAACTTCACTTAATGTATTTTTTGATTTTAAATGAGTTGGTGTCATTGTGCTTGGTTGACTTCCTGACGGGGTAGTTATTGAGTTAATATCAGTCAATTCAAATTTCATATTATCTGGCAATAGAATTTTTAATTCTTGAGTATTACGTATTTCATTTAATTCTTCATCTTCATTATAATATTTCTCCCCAAATATGTAGTTTAGTTTCTGTTTAATGAAATGGTGTTGATGAATATGATATTTATCTGAGTATAAATCAAAAACATTTATTTCATCTTCTACTAAATTGTCTCCAAACATACTAGGATCATTCATATATAACATGTCATCATATATATAATTCAAGTTTCTTGTTCCATTTATATACAAGTTTTTAATTTTCATTTCACGACAATCCAACTTAATGATCTTCAATTTATTTAAAAACGGTAAGACCGTAATTTCCGTAACTCCATCTATAGTATTCGCTGATAAATCTACATCTATATTAATTTTTTGATGGCCAATTTTGAACATTGATTGTTTTAATAGATTTGGACTATTTGATGCTTTACCCATTAATCTTGGTCTTGGTGTTAAATGCAGTAGCCCTCCCGTTAGCCTTGGAGTTCCAATTTCAGGAACTGATTCATTTAAGGTTGTAGAGGGCATGTTTGCTACCTTCTTTAGTGATTGATTTTGGAGTTGTTTGAACTACTTTAGTACTTTAAATGTTATTTTATATTTGTTTGTTTTTTTCAGTTTCAAATACGAGACTGCATATAATAAAAACATATACCGAATGAAAAATAAAACGCATTTTGATTTCTTAAAAAGATATATGCCTCTATTCACTATATACATGTATAAATCTATTTTTTATTATAATCAAATTTATTGTACTTCAATTGCCATTCACAATCTATATCATCAATGTGTGAATTTGATGTTGGTAATGCTATTATTTTATCATTATTTATAATTACTGGTAATGAATTTAATCTGCCATCAAATTCAAATTGCTCGCTTAGACTTTTGTCAATCATAGAATGATGCAGCTTATGAAAGTATGGTATAATCTTGATAGTTGTATGATTCTTCTTTTTCAATTTGAAACGTAGCCAAAATCTTTTATCAAATAAAATCCATTCTGACCAACCATTGGTTATTTGTACAACTCTTTCAACTTTTATTAATTCCAGTCGTGTTAAAGGAGTTTTATTAATATCCATGACTATTGATGAATTCTTGGTTGATACTTCAAATTTTAAATTCATCATGGTGCATTTGAAAGCATTTGTGGGATTACTTCTTAACCAATGGTCGATTTTAGGAATTAGCTGTCTCTCCAACTTGGTATACGCCCAGTGGTAATGTTTCAAAGTTGAGTAAGGGTATAACTTTTGATATAAAAACCTGCTAGTGATAAATTTATTGGATCCTTCAAAGCATTTCTTTGGTAATTCGATTAACAATCTACTAAAACTTGGATATTCATGAAACAAGTTCGCCCCCACAAGCCATAGATATAAATTGTGAGCTTTTTCCTCCAAAGAGTCAACTAAATTGATACACACTTGTTGAGTATTAATTAACTCTTTTTTCATGATCGACTCATATGGAAATGATGTTGTGTTACCATTTTTCACTTTAAACTCATTGCACTTGTTAGGTAGAATCTCTCCAAATAAATTTCTTAAATAGTTTCTCTTTGTTAAGTTTATGTCTAAATTGGTTGGATCTATTATAACAGGAATTTGATTTTCTTGACAAGTCTCCAATATATCTCCTTTATCAAACCCCAATAATGGTCTCATTAGTCTAACTTTTTTATACTTCAGTAATTCAAGCGGTGTTAAATCTCTTGCTAAGGGCATAATTGCAGTCATTCTAGTGCCAGCTAATCCAAATATTGAAGAATTACCTTGTAATCTTTGAACAAAAGTTTCTAGTTGATCATCTCTATGATGTCCCAAGAATAATACTGGTATATCCAACTCATTACAAATTTGGTTCATTAAGTCATATCTTTTAGTTCTTGCAACTTCCTCAAAATTAGTAATAGTCTTTGGATCATCAACTTCATAATCGATTTTCTTGATTATATGATTAATACCCCACCGATTCATACACTTGGTTAAGCTTAACGCTTCTGATGCAGATTCCGGCCGATAATCATGATCAATTGTTATAGCGTGTATATTAAGATCTCTGGACTGAGATAATGAATTTTTATATTTAGTGAATAGCCATGCTAGTAGCATAGAATCTGGTCCTCCTGACAATGCTATTGCAATATTTTTAGGTAAACATTTTGCTGATGATGGAAATAATTTGTTAATAGACAGCTGAAATAGCTTTAAAGTTATTGTCATATAAACATTTATGAATGACGATTATTGTAAAAGTAAAGTTATTATGGTCGTGTGAAATTTATTGTATGTTTTGGTTGTAAAAAAAATTTTTGTTTCACCAGAGAGTCAATTGAAAAATTAGTCACTTTTTTACAACCAATTTATTATTAATACTAATCATCATAAACTTACTTTCACCACCAACTACTTATTCAATTCACTGGTCATACAATAGAATTTATAGACTATGACAGAACAAGTAGCAAATAATGTTCCTCAAGGATCATTTAGTTTTCCAAAGGAAGAAGAACAAGTTATAAAACAATGGGAAGAAGTTGATGCATTTCAAAGAACTTTAGAATTAACTGAAGGATTGCCACCATTTGCATTTTTTGACGGTCCCCCATTTGCCACAGGTACTCCACATTATGGTCATATTTTAACATCAACCGTAAAAGATATTATTCCACGTTATGCAACAATGAATGGATTTCATGTAGAAAGAAGATTTGGTTGGGATACTCATGGTTTACCAGTTGAACATGAAATTGATAAAAAATTAGGTATTACCTCAAAAGAAGATGTATATGCAATGGGTATTGATAAATATAATGCAGAATGTAGATCAATTGTTATGAGATATGCCGATGAATGGAGAAAAACTATTACAAGATTAGGTAGATGGATTGATATGGATAATGATTATAAAACTTTATATCCAGAATTTATGGAATCTGTATGGTGGGCTTTCAAACAATTATTTGATAAAGATTCAGTTTATAGAGGTTTAAGAGTTATGCCTTATTCAACTGCATGTACTACACCATTATCGAATTTTGAAGCTCAACAAAATTATAAAGATGTTGTTGATCCAGCCATTACAATTGCATTTCCATTGGTGGATGATGAAAATACTGTTTTAGTCGCATGGACTACCACTCCTTGGACATTACCAGCGAATATTGCATTAGCAGTAAATCCAGATTATGAATATGTCAAAATTTTTGATGAAAAAGCTCAAAAAAATTATATTTTATTAGAATCATTAATTGGAGCTTTATACAAAAAGCCAAAAGATGCTAAATACAAAGTTGTTGAAAAAATAAAAGGTAAAGATTTAGTTGGATTAAAATATGTTCCTTTATTCGATTATTTTTATGACACTTTCAAAGATCACGGTTTTAAAGTTATTCCTGGTTCTTATGTTACAAATGATTCAGGTACTGGTATTGTTCATCAATCTCCATCATATGGTGAAGAGGATTTCAACTGTGCTACTGCAGCAGGTGTTATTAATGAAAAAAGAACTCCACCAGATATTGTTGATGATGCTGGTAGAATGAGAGATGTAGCCACATTAGTCGCTGGAATGTATTTTAAAGATGCTGATAAAGTTATTATTAAAAAATTAGTTGAAGATGGTAGAATCTTGGTGAATACACAAGCTAAACATAATTATCCATTTTGTTGGAGATCAGATACTCCATTAATGTATAGAACTGTACCTGCATGGTTTGTAAGAATTGGAGAAATCATTCCAGATATGTTAAAAAACGTTGAAAAAACCAATTGGGTTCCATCAAATGTTAAAGAAAAAAGATTTTCAAATTGGATTGCTAATGCAAGAGATTGGAATATTTCAAGAAATAGATATTGGGGTACTCCTATCCCAATTTGGGTAAGTGAAGACTACGAAGAAATGGTTTGTATTGGTTCAATTGATGAATTAAAAGAATTATCAGGACGTGATGATATTACCGATTTACATCGTGAATCAATTGATGATATTACTATTCCATCTAAAAAGGGTAAAGGTCAATTAAAAAGAATTGAAGAAGTTTTTGATTGTTGGTTTGAGTCAGGTTCAATGCCTTATGCGTCAAAACATTATCCATTTGAAAATAAACAAAAATTCTTGGATGCTTTTCCTGCAAATTTTATTGCTGAAGGTTTAGATCAAACAAGAGGTTGGTTTTATACTTTAACTGTATTGGGAACTCATTTATTCAACACTGCACCATATCAAAATGTTATTGTAACAGGTATTGTTTTAGCAGCTGATGGTAAAAAAATGTCAAAACGTTTGAAGAATTATCCAGATCCAAGTTTAATTTTGAACAAATATGGTGCCGATGCATTAAGATTATATTTAATCAACTCACCAGTTTTAAGGGCAGAAACATTAAAATTCAAAGAAGATGGTGTTAAAGATATTGTATCAAGTGTCTTATTACCATGGTATAATTCATATAAATTTTTCAAAGATAGTGTTGACTTATTTAAAAAGAACAATGGTGAGACATTTGTATATGATCATGACTTAAAATCAACAAATATTATGGATAGATGGTTATTAGCTTCAATCCAATCATTAATCAAATTTATTCACGAAGAAATGACTGGGTATAGATTATATACCGTTGTTCCAAGATTATTAGCATTAATTGATGATTTAACAAACTGGTATATTAGATTCAACAGAAGAAGATTAAAAGGTTATGACAGTGATGATAAAGATGATACCAAAAAGGCATTAAATACGTTAGCTGAAGCATTATTAACCTTATCAAGAGCAATGGCTCCTTTCACCCCATACTTAGCTGATAATATCTATCAAAGAATCAAACCATCATTTAAAGAAGAATATTTGAACAAAATTGTTGTAAATCCAAAACATAAAGATTTAAGATCAGTACATTTCTTAAGTTATCCAAGTGTAAGAGAAGAATATTTTGATGAAGAAATCGAAGTGAAAGTTGGTAGAATGCAAAAAGTTATTGATTTAGCAAGAAATATTAGAGAAAAGAAAATGATAAGTTTAAAACATCCATTACAAGAATTAGTTATTATTAATTCAAATCCAAAATTTAGATCTGATGTTGAAAGTTTGAAAAATTATATAAGTGATGAATTAAATATTCGTGATATTATTATAACTGATGATGAATCAAAATATAATGTTGAATACTCATGTGTTGCTGATTGGTCAGTATTAGGTAAGAAATTAATGAAAGATGCTAAAAGAGTTAAAGCCGCATTACCTAATGTATCATCAGAAGATGTTAAAAAATTTTCTGAATGTGGTAAAATAAATGTTGATGGAATTGATTTGGTAAGTGAAGATTTACAAGTTTTAAAAGGATTATCAGAATCAAAAACTTCAGAAGGTCAAGAATTTAGATCTCATCAAGATCTTTTAGTTATATTAGATACAAATATTCATCCAGAATTAGAAAGTGAAGCAATGGCAAGAGAAATTTTAAATAGAATTCAAAGATTAAGGAAAAAAGCAGGATTAAATTCAACTGATGATATTCAAGTTAAATATAAATTATTAAAAGATACAATTGAATTTGAAAAAATTTTGAAACAAAATAATGAATTGATTTTGAAAACCACTACTTATCCATTAGAACCAATTTCTGAATCTGAATCTAAAGAATTAGTAATTGATGAAGAGCAAACTATTAATGATACTGTTTTTAATTTACAATTATTAAGAATTTAAATAGAAAATGTGAATAATTATTAAATAAAATATCAAATTAATAGATAAATATAATACATTTGTTTCTCTATATACAATGCAATTATTCATGTATTTTCCATGAACTAAGACCTGCACCTCCTATAACCAACAAATTTTCGTCGTTGATGGTAGTAACATCACAGCATCCAACATCAGCAACAGTAGTATGTCTAGCAGCTAAACATTTCAAAGTTGGTTCAATTGACCACAACCTAACAATTTGATCAACTCCAACAACCACCACAAATCTGTCAAAATGAGAAATGGAAGTTATTGTAGCTGATGCTGCATTTACTTCTTTTGCAATTGGGATCAAACTCAAGCTTGAATTATTTGTGGTTAGTTGATTTAAAGTTAATGCATTATCATCACCACCTGTAATCAAATAAAAATTCTCTCTAATTTGAGCTAAACAAATAGCTTTAATTCCACTTTGATGTAATTTTTGTTTCAATTCTAATTTGATGTTTGTAGGATAATTAATATTCCATATAATGATATTCCCATCAGTTGCGGAAATGATCAAATATTTGATACCACCAAGTTCAAATATTTCACAATTTAAAATACAATAAGTTGAATAATTAAATTTATTAACCAACTCAAATACTTCAGTTGATTTATTAAAATTCCAAAATTTTATAGTAGAGTTGGAATAAACAGTAATTAAAAAAATATATTCATCATATTCAACCCCAGCAAAATCCATAATTCTTAAATCAGGTACTTCCTTATCAGTATCTAATCGATTGATTTCTTTTAAAGTAGGCATATTTTCAAAATATGATAATTTCCAAATTAAAAATTCTTCATTTCCTGCTGAACTCAATACATAATTATGATTTAAAAATTTAACTTTTTGCATACCTGATATATGATTATTCATACTCCATAAATTAATGATTTCTCCAGTGTATAAAATCTTGTTTAATCCAATTGTTGAATCTTCAGATGTTGTAACTAATAGTTTGGATCCATCATTGAATTGTTGAGTCAGGATGGATAAATCTCTAATTTCTCTCCCATGTGTTCCATTATGCAAAATCCCAAAATTTTGAGTTATAAATCTACCCGTATAACTACATAAATACAAATCTTTTTGAAACATATAATCAAATTTATAAGAATTGAAAGAAGTTAAATAAAATTTAAAATGTCGATGACCATTACCTCCACAAATTTCATTCATTATTTCAATTTGTTTGGTTTCATTCCATACAAAAAAATATGATGATTTGAATCCATATAATATTAGATCCTTGTTATGGAAAAATCCACCCTCGATAATTCCTCTTGTTAATTTATTTTCTAAAAGAATTTCAAATTCAAAACTTGTATTTTGAGAATTTTTGTAGATTTTTGTAATTAAATAAGTTCCATCTCTTGATAAAACCAACAAGTTGAGGATATCCTGTTGAGAACTTATTATTGATACTTTACTAATTGTATCACCAGGAGCAATTTTTCTTTGAAAAAACTTGATAGATAAATCATTAAGATCAACTATTTGAATAGATATTTTTTTAGAAGCCAAAATAATCCATTGGTTTTGTACGTCTATAGTCAATGAAGTTAATTGAAAATTTGAATTTGGTCTTGCTATATTTTTAATGTTTTGTAAAACTAATTTATTTTGTTGAAATTTAAACTCTTTTAATATAAATGGTAAATTTGGATTTGATGGTTCTAGTAAAATATAATATTTGTTATCTCCATTAACAGTGTGTATATTTGAAATTTTCACATCTTCATTCTCTATCCAATTTGTCTCTATGTTCTCCTCAGTATATGATAAAACTAATATTCTCCCATTTTTATCAACTATCAAAACTGTATTTATATCATTAAATCCATTTACAATTCCATAATCAAATTCATAATGGCCCAAATTTTTGTAGATTTGTGTATTATAATCATATTCTATAATGTACCCATTCAGTGTAAGACATATTAATTTACCTAAATGAATCAAATCAAAATAGTCTCTAATCGTATCCTTTTTCAAATTAAAACTCAAATTTAAATGTTCTGCAAAATCTTGTATTGTTAATTTAGTAGTAACTTGATTCAGCTTATCTAAATCATGAATTCGAACTCTACCATCAGCACCACCAGTACAACAAATCTTCAAATTTTCTACTAGTGATTCATCATCTTGAGCATCTCCCGACCAAATATGTTTACCTCTATGACAATTCTCAATAACTTTATCACACCTTAATAAATTTTGATTTGTATAAGTCCATAAACGTAAAGTACAATCTTCTCCAATACTCATTATTTTAACTTTATTGGTGGTGGTTAAAAATTCTAAATTCCATATTCTAGATCCATGACCCCATCCAGTTGATAAAATTTCACCAGTTTCGAAATTATATAATTTAATTGATCTATCATCTGAACATGATATTATATATTTACCTAAATGATCAATTTTAACTCCAAATATTGAACCTTCATGATCTTTTAATCTATATTTTATTTCTTTAGTATTATAATTCCATATTATTACTCCATTCATTACTGTACCTGATGCAATATAAATTTCTCCATTATTGAGTACATTAATTGATCCACTATATAGTATTGATTTTTCACCACAATGGATTTTGGTTGTGCTTGAACTTGTGATTTGATAGATTACGTTGTAAGCATTTAATAATAGCACTGTACCATCATTTAATATACATGAGGTGATAATCCATTCATTTATGAATCTTTCAACTATTTCTGAATCTTGTAAAGTATCTAGACTTGTGAAATCCAAAACAGTATATGATTTAGCTCCACTAATGATAATTTTTTGAGCAATATTATTGATGAAAATATTATGAATTTTGTTTCTCTTGAAAATTTGTTTCTGGTATATCAATTGAATGTTATCATTTATTAATTTATATACATGTAGTATTGGTCCATATCCTACAAATATGTAATTTTGGTGAATTTGAATATATGTGACGGGTCCATAATGTTGTAATGGTTGGAACATATCTTCATTTAAATTATATATGTCATTGTTTATTGTCATTACTGTTGGTTGTTATATCATTTGGATTGGTTATGGTGATGATGAGTTTCGAAATACTGCACATAATAATTTTTCACTGGAGTATTATTAAGTTTCGTTTTGCAGCTAAATTTTACAACAATAACTTTTCTGCAAATATGATGTACAATTTGAGGAAATATACAATTAGTAATCAAAGATTCATTAATATTAATTACTCTATATAGCGAAGATTAATCTTTCTTGTTAGTTTTCTCATTCTTCAACATAATTTCTTCAGTTATACCCAATTTAGTTTGAACATCACCATAAGCTTTACAAAATTCAATACTAGAATCCAAAACACATTTCATTAATTTAGAATTATCATGAACTTCATTCTCATTAGGTGGATGCGCTAATAAATCTTCAACAATTTTTTTTAATCCATAAATATGAATAATACTATTATTTTCATCAGCTACACTTAGTGTTAAACTTAAAATATCTTCATTACCAGATTGATCTTCCCATATAGATATTCCATTTGGGATAAGCACGTTTGGATCTCTAGCGGCACATTGAACTTCATGTTTTCTCCAACCGGAAACTGGGATATTGAATGATATTGAAGATGATAAGTATCTAACTTTAAATTCATTTTGTTCTTTTATGAAGATATAAAAATTTGGTCTATACATTGATCGACCACAACCACAATGAGATATATGAGCTCTTAAAAATCCAATCCATACATCTTTATCTTTATATGATGAATCTAATGAAGCAAGGGGAAACATTTCTGTACCTCCTCTTACTGGACCTACTTTTTTGGCCTTTTTGTTTGAATCTTTATATGTAAATTTACAATTGCTTATTCCATCTTTAATGTTTATTAAATCACATTTTAAAATTTCAAGATTATCCCATTTATAAACTAAGTAAATGTTTGTATCACCTTTGGTTGTTCTCTCACTGGGTATAATAAAAGGAGTCCAATTTTTTTCAACTACTTGTCTTTTAGTATTTTCTATTTTTAGTTCTGCTACTTTGTTGTATTTAATATGATCGTATTTAGAATCTTGTATCCCATCTGTATTTACTTTACCTAATTGTTTTCTAAATGGCCATCCTATAAACATTGATCTATTCATTTCAAATGAAATTTGTATTGATGTATCCCCGTTAATTGATGTTGTACCATTGATATTTCTATGATCACTATTGAATATAATTATGGGTTCTTTCTCCTTAAATTCGTTTTCTATCAACATTATTCTTGTGTCTTCTGGACCATACCACCTTCTTTTAGTATAATCAGAATTGAAATAATAGGGAATTGGTAAAAATTTAGGAAATTTTATAGGTTCATAATTTAATTCCCCATCTGGTTCAACCATTGGTAAAATTAATTCAATATCATTAATTTCATTCCAATTTTCATCATAAATTTGAGCATATAATAAACTAATTTGTGGATTCCATTTTATTCCCTTTCTAGAAAATAAAACTCTACTAACCATTAAATGTACCCCATATTTTTCAAGCCATACTGAAGTACCTGCAAATTTATAAAAATGTTTTCTATATGTATTTTCTTTTAACATTTGATGTAATTTATTTTGAAAAAATTTATCAATATCAGTGAAAGCTTCATCTTTTTCTAGTTGTTCTATTAATTTATTAATCATTATTTCAAAATTATCATTGAATATAAAATTATCACTTATTTGTAAATCTATTAATTGTTGATTATCAGAACATGAGGTTGATGATTCTGATTTTTTATAAGTTCCATTAAATATTTTTATTTCGTGTGAATGTTTGGGTAAATGATTTAACTCATAATTTATAGCTGATGAATTACCATGATAAGTTATAATTTCTTGATTATCATTTAATACCATTTTGTTTGCTTTAAAAACATCTTCTTGTTTCTTGTAATCAAAAAGTTTGGGGAAAATTATTAAATTCTTATTACTCTCATTATTTGATAATAATTTTTGATTTATATTATCTGGTTGATGTGGTTTTATTATATTTTGAGGTATTATTCTTTCAAAATATGGTGAAGATAGTGAACCATTTAAAACTAAATGTAATGGATATATTATCAACAATAGCAATGTAAGTAATAAAGCTATTTTCCGTATTGATGATGATTTTAGATATCTCTTTGCTTGCTTCATATTTCGTAGTATATGAATATGTATTGTTGATATAAAATTAGATGAACAGGTTGGATTATTTACTCGTGTGATTATTATAATTAGATAAAGATGGCTAATTATAACTAAAAAATTTAAGTTTTCTTAGATTCTTTCATTTCATGTTAAATGTATTAAATTATTAATTTTAAGTTATTTTGCATATGATAAAATTATCTATTAGTTTTTGATGTATTATTATTTAAATACATACAAAAATTTATATATGACAAATAAAATAATATCAAATGGAGCTCGATTAGTAGACAGAATCGTGATGACATAACATTATTATCTTGATAGAAGTTACTCGAAACTTTAAAGATTTGGATTTTATTTTAACTCTAGTTTCTTCGGTGTACTCATTTCAGTTTTAATAAGTAAAAAAAAGGCTACCAACTCAGGTACAATTTTAATGAACATAATATATTTTGAGTCGAGACAAGATATAATAAATTACTATAAAAGACTCTTGAGATTAAAAGAGGATACTTAAAAAAAAAGACTGAAGTACTAATCAAGAAGCTAGTTTTGCAAAATGAATCAAATTAAAAATATTTATTAAATATGTAAGAATTAAATATTAAAACGTGAATATATAATATAATATAATTACCTAAAATTTAAGATTTACCAGCAGGTTGAACGTCTTTTACTTGTTCATTATTCTCTTTTGGTGGTGGTGGTGGTTGTGATTGATCTTTAATTGGTCGATCTTGTTTATCTTCATTAGGATGTTCATCTTGTTGATTTTCTTCAGATGGTGGTGCTGGTTTTTCATTAGGTATAGGTTCAACACCAACGTTTTTCGGTTTTTCTTGCTCTTGTTGTTCTTGTTGTTCTTGTTGTTCTTGTTGTTGTGGTTGTGATTGTGATGAACCTTCTTGTGAATTACCATTTGATCCTTTTAAAGCTTTTATTTTTTTATCTTCTTCTTTTAATTTATTTATTACATTTTCTGAAATTCCTAATTGATCTTGAACTAATCCATATTCTTTACAAAACTCTATTGATTTTTCAAGTACACATTCAATTTGTTTTGATGGTTGAGTTTGATGTAAATTACCATCCCATTTTAAATATAAATTTTTTTCAATAATTTTTTTTAAACCTTTCATATGAATAATTTTATCATCTTTATCAGCAGTTGATAAAGTTAAACTTAAATAATCATTTTTGTAATCATACATTGATATACCATTTGGTATTAAAACATTTGGATCTTTTCTTGCACATTGAATTTCAGCATATTTCCAACCATCAACATGAATATTAAATGATATAGAAGTTGATAAATGACTTAATTTAAATTTCCCATCTTGTTCAACTAATACAATGAAATTTGGTCTATACATTGCTTTACCACATCCACATCTATTTAAATGAGCTCTTAAAAATCCAATCCATACTTGTTTTAATTTTTTGGAGTTTTTGGTTTTGATAGGTATTAATTCTGTACCTCCTCTTACTGGACCTACTTTTGATTTAGCGTCATTTTCTTGAAATGTAAATTCACAATTTGATACTACTCCTGGAGTAGATAATTCACATTTTAATACTTTAAGATGATCCCATTGATAAACTATATATATGAATTCATCACCTCCATTTAAATTATTTATATTTCTTTCACTTGGATTTATAAAAGGTGTCCAATTTTTTTCAGTTTTTTCTCTTGGTTTATCTTTTATTCTTAATTCAACTACTTTATTATATATTGTCTTTTGAGATGCTTTATCTCCTCCATCAACATTTTTTTTACCACGTTGATATCTAAATAAATAACCCATAAACATTGATCTATAAAATCCAAATTTTGTTGGCATTTTTTTACCATTTGATGATTGTGCACTTGACATGGGAACAACTTGTCTATGAAATGCATTAAAAATGACTATTGGTTCTTCATCTCCATATTCATTTTTACTCAATAATAATCTAGTATCTTCTGGTCCATACCATCTCTTGGATGTTCTTTTATGGTTATGATAAAATGGAATAGGCATGAATCTTGGAAACTTCAAATTTTCATATTTTCTATCCCCATTTTCATCTATAAATGGTAATACTAAATCAACATTGAAAATTTCTTCCCAATTTTCATTATATAATTGAGAATACAACAAAGATATTTGAGGATCAGCTTTTCTTGAAGTTTGAGTAAATAAAAATCTACTAACCATTAAATGAACACCATATTTTTCAAGCCATACTGAAGTACCAGCAAATTTATAAAAATGTTGTTCATTTAATTCATTATTTTGTAAATATTCAGGTAATTTTCCTTGAAAAAATCCAGAAAGTTCTTTAAATGATTCTTCAGTTTCTACTTGTTTTAATAAAGTTTTAACAATATATTGAAAATCTTGTTTTAAATCCATTGAATCTGATATTTGAAATTTTTTTTCAATTCTTAAATCTTTACATTTATCATTAAATTGTTTATGTGGAACTTCTTCAGAAAATGATTCTCCAATTGATGAAAAAATTGTAAGTGGATGATCAATATAAGTTTGATTTGTAATATATTCACTTAATGCATTAGGATTTCCCTTGAATTGTATTACCTCATTTTTGTTATCTGTTACATTATGATCTATATATACTGAATCATCAAAATTTGAAGGTAATATAGTTATAGATTTAGTATTATAAAAACTTATTGGAATTTTTAAACCTGAATTTTGAACAACTTGAAAAGTCCATTCTTTTACTTGATCATAAGTATTAAGATAATGTAATAAAAATAATAAAGTTAAAAATATTGGTATTACAAGATAAATTTTTCTAATTTGTCTTGATTTGGGAAATAATGCTGTATATTTTTTTATCATAATGTCATTTGTTTATATTTGAAGATCTTGTGGTTTTTATTTGAATTTGATGAATTTAATGTGGATCTAGATTTGATAGATGAGGGCTGTGCAAATTCGTGGAATGTCTATTTATATGAATAAGTATATAAGGTTATTATTTCAAAACGATAAATGGTCTATAAAATTCCCTGTTGTTTATCTATTGATGAAGGATGTTGATAAATGTAAGATTAGATAATAAAAATATACAAAATAAATTTTGTAATATTATTGATTTAAAAAATAAATAAATATCAAATTGCTTCTATTGAAATATTCTATTTTTAAAATAGTCAATAATAATAATAAATTTAATTTATTCAAAGCGGTTAAATGAATTTAAAAAGAATTAAATAAATACTCTCTAAATATTCGTAAATTAATTTAACGATGATATGGGAGTATTCGAGATGAATCATTACTTACAATAATACATGATATAAATAGCCATCTATTTAATCAATCAAATTAACTAAACAATTACTTCTTATCTTTTGAAACTTATAAATTTAATCATCTTCTTATTGAAATTGAAATCAAAAGTAAATTTTACTTTATATTATTTTTTCTTGTGTTTCTAAAGGCTTTAAATAAAAAATAACAAATCAAAAAAATAAACTTTATAAATAGAAATTTAAAAAGATTAAAATTTAAAAAGATGGTTATGATTCTTGAAAGTTATTAGTCTTACTATCAATATACTTATTGAGATGATCTAATGATTAATATTGCTACTTTTGATTGATAAGAGCAAGAAATGAAAAATTATTTGAATAGATAGACATGTTTTAGACAAATAAATATATATTATCTGGTAAACGTGGTACCTTAAATCAACTTAGATAATAAATTTATTCTAAGAAATTTTAAGTTTTTCAAACAGCTACCAAATTTTTGACATATTATTTTTAATAAAGTTTAATTTATTCTTATGATAAATTATACCTGTGATAATTTTGTAGAGATTCGAGATTTTGTGTTTCATGTCCTTGCATTTTATTCATTTATCCTATGATTCTAAAACTTATTGAATTGGCTAAAGTAAGTAGATTTTAAATAAACAAATTTAATATTTGAAAGTTGACAGAAATGATGCATACAAAACTGGACATTAATTAATTATTGTATTATGTATTATGAAACTAATGCAATGGTTATATTATTAATGCAAAATATCATCAATTATTTAAATGTATAAACTTTAACAAATTCAGGACAAATTTCTTTCCTCCAAATTCTACTATTAATTTTATCTTCTTGTTCATTATAAAATTTTTTTGGTATTATAACTTGAAAACTAAATAATTTATTATTAGTTCTTTTATTTAAATTATCCAATATTCTTTGAAAATCAATTTTACCAAATGATAAATTTAATCTATATACATTTTTTAATTCATTAGCTAATTTATCACCATATCTAAATTCAGTTTCCCCCAAATAATGTAATGTAAATCTTTCAACTTTTTGTAATGGGAATAAATCAGTTATCCATTCTAATTTAAAAAATCTAGGATTATCTCTACACCAAGTTAAATAAATTTGTAAATATTTTGGTTTACAAAATTTTGTAATATTTTTTGGAATTTTTTTAAAACATTTAAAAGTCATATCTAATTCTAAATCATTAATATTTGTGAAAAACAGTTGTACATATAAAAAAACAGGTTTTAAATATTTTTCCATATATTTTTTAAATCTTTTAGCATCTTCAGATTGTTTATTTAATGAATAATTTCCCAAAGTAGATAAAGAATCTTCAGTTGACAATTTTATACAATTATCATCAATTGAATGTAAATGTTGAATCACAAATGGATATAAATAAATATAAGTATTATATGAAGTATCAGCTGTCCATATTTGAATAGAATTAATTAAAAATGCAAACATTGGTAAATGAACTCTTACATCATTATGATTCAAAATCACATATTCTGAAAAATCAGCTCTATCTACATTCATACCAAAATTAACATATATTTTACGTTGTAAACCTTCATCAACATTGTATAACAGATCTTTTCTATCAAAAATTATAGTTAAACAAGCTTTAACGGTAATTAAATTTAAACATTTTATACAAATATCATCTGGATGATTAAAAACTTTATCAGGTATGATTAAAAGTATTTTAGTTATTATTTCAACAGGTAAATTTTCAAATCTTATTTTTGTTGGCTTGATTTTCGGAACTAATGGTTTTAACTTCATTTAATATTTAGTTTTTCACTATAAGTTTGAGGCAAATAAGTAAAAAAAAATTTTGGATGAATTAGTTTGATTTTATACTTTTTTTAATCGTGCTTAAAAACCATATTTTCAGTCCTTATACTTTCATTTGTGAATCAAGGGATAATGCTGGCAGTTTTTTTTTCTTTCCTTGTATCTACCGGTATATGGAATAAATTTGCAGCCAAAAAATCATACTATATCAAAACTACCAACTGCTTCAAAATTATTATAATGCATTTGATTGCGTTGTAAAAAAGTAGTAATTTATAACACATAACATTTCTTTCTAATCATTCTTATTTAAATGTCATCAATTTATTCAGAATCACAAACACTACCAAGTTGGTATAAGGATATACCAGAAGATTTCAGACGAATTTATATATCAAATTTAGATGCTTTCGTGTTTCATAACACAGGCGGTAAACCTATAAAAACCCCAAATTTGGAACCATTAGAAACAAACTTGAAACAAATAGCAAATAACTTGGAATTATTATTTGATGAAGATTATAAACTAGGTGACGAAGTAATGAAAACACTTACAACCAAAATACATAATGCTCAATTTGCTGATCAACTTGAAGAAAATATAAGTTTTGATGAAATTGAATTGAAAAATCAGAGTCAAGTTATTTATTAGTCAAGTACAATTATGGTCAACTGAAGATTCATGGAGTTATTATTATTATATGTTCCCAATAATTTTTGATACATTAAAAATGTTAACTGAAGAAAAGTCTAAATTATTAGATTTTGAAGCTTATCAAAATTTACTAAACAAACAAATCAATGAGAAATATTTAAAACCTACAATACCAAATGTTTTGCTACACATGAAAGAAAGGTTTGCAAATGTTAAAGAAATTGAAATGGATTTACTGTTTGAAACATTTAAAAAAATCCCTCAAAATTTAGCAAAACTTTGTAACTTGAAAGTAATATCAATAATTATTAAAAAAAATGAACAAGATCCACAGATATTTGAAGTAAATTGGATAACTGAATTATTTTCATTGCATCAAGTTGAATATTTTATATTGAATTATTTGGGAGATACTGAATTAGTAAATGTTACTGAATTGTTAAAGCAATTGCCTAAAGTCAAATATATGAGATTAGAAGTAGGTAAAGTTGATTATCAAGTAATTTCTGAGATTTTGTTGGAACGCTTTAGAGCCCATAAGAGAAAAACAATTTTAACAATATTTATGTTAAATAAAAATCTTATTGATGAAGATGAATTAAATAGTATTTATACTATAAGAGAAGTAGGTAACAATTTAGTAGAAATAACTACAAACTTTTAAATTGAGTGTTTATATAATTTAAATTTGTTCGGGTTTTCTCTTGATTGTAGTGCATCAAACTTTCAATTGAGTTTTTAATTTTAAAGAGATACTTTTAAAACATCTTTGATATATGATAAAAATTCCTCAATTTTGCTCATAGTGAAAACTCTATCTCACTAATAGCTCCACAATAAGCTTAATATCGTAAATAGTAGTCGGAATTAAAAAAAGAATTTTGCTGAAAAATCTGTAGTTCGTATGACAGACTAATTTTATATTTTGTTAATATTTACATTAGTTTATTTAATATTAATTTTTCGCAGCCAAGTTTACTACTACAAATTGAGCATAACAAAAAATCTAAATAATTAATATAAAAACGAGACAAATTCTTTACAAAAAATTCTTTGAGGGTTCGTTCTTTTTCTTTTGTTCTTCATACATCGTGTCAATTCTATATATACATTGTTTAGGAATTTTTCATCTAATACCTGTGATTAATCATTTCTTGCTGAATCTGAATTTGGGTCAATTGGTTTACCTTTTTTCATTTAGGACTTCAAGAGCTAGAATTAAAAAAGATATCAAGTTGGAAATTATCAAAAAAAAAAATGTCACAAATTCGAGTACCCACTTGAATAGTTTGACATAATTTGCATTTTTTTTCAATGAAGATTTTTTGAATTCTTGATTATTAATTAATTTTCAAATAATGTTGCATTGCTTTGCCATGTGTTCAGTTACCTTTGATCTTTGTTTGAAATTAGAGGTATATAGTTAATATATGTAATTCTGTATGAGTGTATTTTTTATATTTAATATTATGTAAATCGTATCCTTTGATTGCATTAGTTGAGAATTAAAGAGAGTCAACTATCTACTATTGCTCAATCAACACTATAAGGTGTCTCTACTGATTCTTTCTATGTTTTAGAAGAATTGTCAAATTTTCCCTTCTGATTTTGACAAGAATACAGTAATTTATTGTAATTTATAAATTAATGTTTAGTGCACTACCTTATACTATAAAACTAAAAATTTCGCAGCCTAATTGATTTTATAAAACATATCAAAAAAACTGGAAAAATTATCATTAATATGAGGCAAATTCCTTCAGAAAAAAATTTTAGAAAAAAAAATGTTTTTACTATTTTTTTCGTTTTTTTTACTTCATAATTATTAATAACGCAAAAGTTGCTATTGATATTAAGAAATCATCAATCATTAATTATCGTTCTTGTTGCATTTGAATGGAGGTCATTATTTACTAATACCCTTAATTTAAGACTTCAAGAGTTGAAATAGAAAAAAATATCATCTTTGGAAATTGTTCAAAGTTTAATGACAGATTAAATTAGTTTACTAAAAAAATATAAAACATACCTTTTTGAATTTTTTTCATTGATTTGTTTTTCTATTACTCGAAATTAATCAACGTGTCTGAATGACTATCATTTCTTTGAAGGTTTTTTTGTGAAGATAAATGAATTTCGATAACGAGCATCTTAAAGGCAATAAACATATTGTTGTGGTCAAAAATTAAATTAAAAGGTATGTATGTCAATTAATTTTATTTTTTAATATATGTAATTTTGTATTAGTGTATTGTTTTATCTAGTTTAAATTTTGTAGAATTCATCTATTTGAACGGACAAAAATTTTTAAATATAATGAAAATGTTTACATCCCACTGCGTACTAGAATTTACTTGAAGCTATATCAAATTTCTAATTCAAGGATTCGTAATATATCAATTTAGAGGAGAGTCGAACATCAGAGATATTTTCCAAAATAATAATGTGTTTAATTTGTTTGGTTATGTAATTATTAGCCGATACACTACTAATACTTATTCACAGCCAAATTTGCTTTTAATGAAATCAATTTAAATATATTAAATATTTCCAAAAAAATTAATATAAAAGTGAGATAATATCCGCCAAAAAAAAAAAAGTAAAAAAAAGTGTATTCATCTGTGATAAGTTGATTCTCGAATTTATTCTTTGGGCTTCGTCTATTATTATATTTATTCTTACTTCATTAATCATTTATTGTTGGATCTGAATATTGGTCAATCGATTACCTTTTTATTTAGGACTTCAATTTTAAATTTAAAAGAGGAATTCATTCTTTGGAAAATTTTCAAATAAAGCAGAACAAAAAATCAAAATTTTAGTAATTGCGTTAGATGTTTGGTTTGATTTTGAATCTTTTTCATTGACTACTTTTTTTAATTTTTTGATTACTGAAATAACGAACTTGTGACATAATTAGGAATTCGTGAGTATCAGATTTGTTTTCTAGTTTTTTGTACCAAATTTTTGAAATAGGTATCTATTTGAATTATCACGAGAAGTATGTAGTGAATATATGTAACTTGTATTATTGTAATTTTTTAAATATTTTAGAAGTAGTAGAGTAGTCATTTCTTTGAAAAGTAAATAGTTTATGCTTTTACATGTTGTTGTACATTTCTTGATTTTATAAGTTGGTTACTTGTATTTGACATAATATTTTATTGTTAGGATTTCACATTTGTACAGCTCAAATAGTAGGTCCACCTCAACCATCGAAATCACATGAACAGATACAATCAAATACTTTACTTATTAAATTTTTTATAAATCATTTAATTATCGTAGCATTGTTCAACTCCTTTTTTTGTAAATTTGGTTGCCAAAAAATCATCATAGTTTAATATAAAAAAAAAAGTTATTAATATAAAAACGAGACAAATTCTTTAAAAAAATTTTTTGGGGGGTTTATTCTTTTTCTATTCTTCACATTCTTCGATAAATTTCTCGAACGATTCTTCCACTTTTATACGAAAGTTTTGCATCATGGATACTTTGAATAATTATTTCTTGTTGAATCTGAAATTGGGTCAATTGGTTTACCTTTATCATTTAGGACTTCAAGAGCTAGAGTTAAAAGATATTACATTGGGAATTATTAAAAAGATGTCACAAACTTTAGTACCCACTTGAATAGTTTGACATGATTTGAATTTTTTTCTCAATGAAGATTTTTTTAATTCTTGATTATAATTAATTTTTAAATAAGTAAGCATTACTTTGCCATGTGTTTAGTTAGCTTTGATCTTTGTTTGAAATTAGAGGTATATAGTTAATATATGTAATACTGTATGAGTGTATTGTTCATATTTAATATTTTGTAAGACTTATCTTCTGAATTGCATTAGTTGAAGATTAAAGAGAATCAACTTACATGTTACAGCTCACTCAACACTATAAGGTGTTTTTACAGATTCTAATTTATAATTTCGAAGAGTAGTCAAATTTTGCCCTCTAAATTTAATATGTGATTTATTATATATTTATAAATTAATGTTTAGTGCACTACCTTATACTACAAAACTAAAAATTTCGCAGCCTAATTAAATTTGTAAAACATATCAAAAAAAACTGGAGTAATTATCATAAATATGAGGCAAATTCCTTCAGAAAAAATTTTAGAAAAAAAAAATGTTTTTACTATTTTTTTCGTTTTTTTTACTTCATAATTATTAATAACGCAAAAGTTGCTATTGATATTAATAAATCATCAATCATTAATTATCGTTCTTGTTGCATTTGAATGGAGGTCATTATTTACCCATAATTTAAGACTTCAAGAGTTGAAATAGAAAAAAATATCAATTTTGGAAATTATTCAAAGTTTAATGACAGATTAAATCATTTTACTAAAGAGATTCAAACATGCATTTCTGAATTTTTTTTCATTGATTTGTTTTTCTATTACTTGAAATTAATCAAGATGTTTATACGAAAAGCAAATCCTATATGCTAATTGTCCGCTATTTTGCAATTCATTATAATTAAAGGTATGTATGTCAACTAATTTTACTTTATTAATATATGTAACTTTGTATTATTGTATTGTTTTAACGGTTTAAATATTGTAGAAAATATCTCTTTGAATGGATGAAAATTATAAAAATACTATTAAAGTTTTAGGTCCTATTGCGTACCAGAGATTATTTAAAGTTTGATCAAATCCCCATTTCAAGGGTTTTTAATATTTCAATCTAAAGGAGAATTAAACATAAGTGTCTAAAACGTTAATATGTTTCAAGGTATTTATTATTAATTATTTAATTATTAGTTGATGCACTACTTAATCTTATTCGCAGCCAAATTTAATTTCATTAGATTAATTTAAACACATCAAAAAAACTCAGAAAAATTAATATAAAAACGAGATAATATCCGCAAAAAAAAAAAGTAAAAACAAGTATTCATCTGTGTTTAATTTGATTCTCAGCTAATTCTTTGGGCTTAATCGATTATCATAATGATTCTTACTTCATTAATCATTTATTGTTGATTCTGAATATTGGTCAATTGAATACCTTATTATTTAGGACTTCAATTTTAAATTTAAAAGAGGAATTTGTTTTTGGAAAATTTTCAAAAAAAAGGAGAACAAAAGAACAAATTTCATTAACTGCGTTAGTTGTTTGACTTGATTTTGAATCTTTTTTTATTGATTCTTTTTTTTTCAAATTTTTGGTTATTGAAATAATGAAATTGTTACGGAACTTAAAATGGGTGAGTGTATACATATTTCGATATTTCTAGTTGATATTTTTTGATGATGGTATTGAATTATCATTAAAAGTATGTATAGTGAATATATGTAACTTGTATTATTGTAATTTTTTAAATGTTTTAGAAGTAGTAGAGTTTTTATTTCTTTGAAAAAAGGATAGTGTATGCTTTTACATATTGTTGTAAAAGTCGTGGTATATGTTGGTTACTTGTATTTTATATAATATTTTATTGTTAGGATTTCACATTTATAAAGCTCAAGTAGTTGCTTCACCTCAACCATCGAAATCACATGAACAGATACAATCAAATACTTTACTTATTCAATTTTTTATCTATCATTGAATATCATCGTAGCATTTTTCAACTCCTATTTTTGTAAATTTGGTTGCCAAAAATTGATTATAGTTTAAAATAAAAAATAAAAAATTATTAATATAAATACGA